AAAATAAGAAAAAATAAGAAAAACTAAGAAAAAATAAGAAAAAATAAGAAAAAATAAGAAAAAATAAGAAAAAATAAGAAAAAATAAGAAAAACTAAGAAAAAATAAGAAAAAATAAGAAAAAATAAGAAAAAATAAGAAAAACTAAGAAAAAATAAGAAAAAATAAGAAAAAATAAGAGAAAATAAGAAAAAATAAGAAAAAATAAGAAAAAATAAGAAAAACTAAGAAAAAATAAGAAAAACTAAGAAAAAATAAGAAAAAATAAGAAAAAATAAGAAAAAATAAGAAAAAATAAGAAAAAATAAGAAAAAATAAGAAAAAATAAGAAAAAAATAAGAAAAACTAAGAAAAACTAAGAAAAAATAAGAAAAAATAAGAAAAAATAAGAAAAAATAAGAAAAAAATAAGAAAAAATAAGAAAAACTAAGAAAAACTAAGAAAAATAAGAAAAACTAAGAAAAAATAAGAAAAACTAAGAAAAAATAAGAAAAAATAAGAAAAAAATAAGAAAAACTAAGAAAAACTAAGAAAAAATAAGAAAAAATAAGAAAAAATAAGAAAAAATAAGAAAAAAATAAGAAAAAATAAGAAAAAATAAGAAAAACTAAGAAAAAATAAGAAAAAATAAGAAAAAATAAGAAAAAATAAGAAAAAATAAGAAAAAATAAGAAAAACTAAGAAAAAATAAGAAAAAATAAGAAAAAATAAGAAAAAATAAGAAAAAATAAGAAAAACTAAGAAAAAATAAGAAAAAATAAGAAAAAATAAGAAAAAATAAGAAAAACTAAGAAAAAATAAGAAAAAATAAGAAAAAATAAGAGAAAATAAGAAAAAATAAGAAAAAATAAGAAAAAATAAGAAAAACTAAGAAAAAATAAGAAAAACTAAGAAAAAATAAGAAAAAATAAGAAAAAATAAGAAAAAATAAGAAAAAATAAGAAAAAATAAGAAAAACTAAGAAAAAATAAGAAAAACTAAGAAAAAATAAGAAAAACTAAGAAAAACTAAGAAAAAATAAGAAAAAATAAGAAAAACTAAGAAAAATAAGAAAAACTAAGAAAAAATAAGAAAAACTAAGAAAAAATAAGAAAAAATAAGAAAAAAATAAGAAAAACTAAGAAAAACTAAGAAAAAATAAGAAAAAATAAGAAAAAATAAGAAAAAATAAGAAAAAAATAAGAAAAAATAAGAAAAACTAAGAAAAAATAAGAAAAAATAAGAAAAAATAAGAAAAAATAAGAAAAAATAAGAAAAACTAAGAAAAAATAAGAAAAAATAAGAAAAAATAAGAAAAAATAAGAAAAAATAAGAAAAACTAAGAAAAAATAAGAAAAAATAAGAAAAAATAAGAAAAATAAGAAAAACTAAGAAAAAATAAGAAAAACTAAGAAAAAATAAGAAAAAATAAGAAAAAAATAAGAAAAACTAAGAAAAACTAAGAAAAAATAAGAAAAAATAAGAAAAACTAAGAAAAATAAGAAAAACTAAGAAAAAATAAGAAAAACTAAGAAAAAATAAGAAAAAATAAGAAAAAAATAAGAAAAACTAAGAAAAACTAAGAAAAAATAAGAAAAAATAAGAAAAAATAAGAAAAAATAAGAAAAAAATAAGAAAAAATAAGAAAAAATAAGAAAAAATAAGAAAAACTAAGAAAAAATAAGAAAAAATAAGAAAAAATAAGAAAAAATAAGAAAAAATAAGAAAAAATAAGAAAAACTAAGAAAAAATAAGAAAAAATAAGAAAAAATAAGAAAAAATAAGAAAAAATAAGAAAAACTAAGAAAAAATAAGAAAAAATAAGAAAAAATAAGAAAAAATAAGAAAAAATAAGAAAAAATAAGAAAAACTAAGAAAAAATAAGAAAAAATAAGAAAAAATAAGAAAAAATAAGAAAAACTAAGAAAAAATAAGAAAAAATAAGAAAAAATAAGAGAAAATAAGAAAAAATAAGAAAAAATAAGAAAAAATAAGAAAAACTAAGAAAAAATAAGAAAAACTAAGAAAAAATAAGAAAAAATAAGAAAAAATAAGAAAAAATAAGAAAAAATAAGAAAAAATAAGAAAAAATAAGAAAAACTAAGAAAAAATAAGAAAAAATAAGAAAAAATAAGAAAAAAATAAGAAAAAATAAGAAAAAATAAGAAAAAATAAGAAAAACTAAGAAAAAATAAGAAAAAATAAGAAAAAATAAGAAAAAATAAGAAAAAATAAGAGAAAATAAGAAAAAATAAGAAAAAATAAGAAAAAATAAGAAAAACTAAGAAAAAATAAGAAAAACTAAGAAAAAATAAGAAAAAATAAGAAAAAATAAGAAAAAATAAGAAAAAATAAGAAAAAATAAGAAAAACTAAGAAAAAATAAGAAAAACTAAGAAAAAATAAGAAAAACTAAGAAAAACTAAGAAAAAATAAGAAAAAATAAGAAAAACTAAGAAAAATAAGAAAAACTAAGAAAAAATAAGAAAAACTAAGAAAAAATAAGAAAAAATAAGAAAAAAATAAGAAAAACTAAGAAAAACTAAGAAAAAATAAGAAAAAATAAGAAAAAATAAGAAAAAATAAGAAAAAAATAAGAAAAAATAAGAAAAACTAAGAAAAAATAAGAAAAAATAAGAAAAAATAAGAAAAAATAAGAAAAAATAAGAAAAACTAAGAAAAAATAAGAAAAAATAAGAAAAAATAAGAAAAAATAAGAAAAAATAAGAAAAACTAAGAAAAAATAAGAAAAAATAAGAAAAAATAAGAAAAATAAGAAAAACTAAGAAAAAATAAGAAAAACTAAGAAAAAATAAGAAAAAATAAGAAAAAAATAAGAAAAACTAAGAAAAACTAAGAAAAAATAAGAAAAAATAAGAAAAACTAAGAAAAATAAGAAAAACTAAGAAAAAATAAGAAAAACTAAGAAAAAATAAGAAAAAATAAGAAAAAAATAAGAAAAACTAAGAAAAACTAAGAAAAAATAAGAAAAAATAAGAAAAAATAAGAAAAAATAAGAAAAAAATAAGAAAAAATAAGAAAAAATAAGAAAAAATAAGAAAAACTAAGAAAAAATAAGAAAAAATAAGAAAAAATAAGAAAAAATAAGAAAAAATAAGAAAAAATAAGAAAAACTAAGAAAAAATAAGAAAAAATAAGAAAAAATAAGAAAAAATAAGAAAAAATAAGAAAAACTAAGAAAAAATAAGAAAAAATAAGAAAAAATAAGAAAAAATAAGAAAAAATAAGAAAAAATAAGAAAAACTAAGAAAAAATAAGAAAAAATAAGAAAAAATAAGAAAAAATAAGAAAAACTAAGAAAAAATAAGAAAAAATAAGAAAAAATAAGAGAAAATAAGAAAAAATAAGAAAAAATAAGAAAAAATAAGAAAAACTAAGAAAAAATAAGAAAAACTAAGAAAAAATAAGAAAAAATAAGAAAAAATAAGAAAAAATAAGAAAAAATAAGAAAAAATAAGAAAAAATAAGAAAAACTAAGAAAAAATAAGTCTACCGACAACAGAAAGAATGTTGAGCTGATCCGATTAGTCTTTGCATGCGCTGGCCACGCACAAGCATCACTCTGCCCCAATACCTTCCAACTTTACTATAGATAACGCTTTAGAGCTTATTAGAACGTCAAATATGTCGATAGAAGAAGACTGATTTGGATAGAAGGAATATATAGCTAACGCTTTAGCTTATTAGTAGAAATGTGTCGATAGAATAAATAGAAAAAAAATATCAAATTTGTCGATAGAAGAAGACTGATTTGTATAGAAGGAATATATAGCTAACGCTTTAGAGCTTATTAGAACGTAAAATATGTCGATAGGAGAAGACTGATTTGGATAGAAGGAATATATAGCTAACGCTTTAGAGCTTATTAGAACGTCAAATATGTCGATAGAAGAAGACTGATTTGTATAGAAGGAATATATAACTAACGCTTTAGAGCTTATTAGTAGAACGTCAAATATGTCGATAGAAGAAGACTGATTTGGATAGAAGGAATATATAGCTAACGCTTTAGCTTATTAGTAGAAATGTGTCGATAGAATAAATAGAAAAAAAATATCAAATTTGTCGATAGAAGAAGACTGATTTGTATAGAAGGAATATATAGCTAACGCTTTAGAGCTTATTAGAACGTAAAATATGTCGATAGGAGAAGACTGATTTGGATAGAAGGAATATATAGCTAACGCTTTAGAGCTTATTAGAACGTCAAATATGTCGATAGAAGAAGACTGATTTGTATAGAAGGAATATATAGCTAACGCTTTAGAGCTTATTAGAACGTCAAATATGTCGATAGAAGAAGACTGATTTGGATACAAGGAATATATAGCTAACGCTTTAGAGCTTATTAGTAGAACGTCAAATATGTCGATAGAAGAAGACTGATTTGGATAGAAGGAATATATAGCTAACGCTTTAGAGCTTATTAGAACGTCAAATATGTCGATAGAAGAAGACTGATTTGGATAGAAGGAATATATAGCTAACGCTTTAGAGCTTATTAGTAGAACGTCAAATATGTCGATAGAAGAAGACTGATTTGTATAGAAGGAATATATAGCTAACGCTTTAGAGCTTATTAGTAGAACGTCAAATATGTCGATAGAAGAAGATTAATTTGGATAGAAGGAATATATAGCTAACGCTTTAGAGCTTATTAGTAGAACGTCAAATATGTCGATAGAAGACTGATTTGTATAGAAGGAATATATAGCTAACGCTTTAGAGCTTATTAGTAGAACGTCAAATATGTCGATAGAAGAAGACTGATTTGGATACAAGGAATATATAGCTAACGCTTTAGTGCTTATTAGTAGAACGTCAAATATGTCGATAGAAGAAGACTGATTTGGATAGAAGGAATATATAGCTAACGCTTTAGAGCTTATTAGAACGTCAAATATGTCGATAGAAGAAGACTGATTTGGATAGAAGGAATATATAGCTAACGCTTTAGAGCTTATTAGAACGTCAAATATGTCGATAGAAGAAGACTGATTTGGATAGAAGGAATATATAGCTAACGCTTTAGAGCTTATTAGAACGTCAAATATGTCGATAGAAGAAGACTGATTTGGATAGAAGGAATATATAGCTAACGCTTTAGAGATTATTAGTAGAACGTCAAATATGTCGATAGAAGAAGACTGATTTGGATAGAAGGAATATATAGCTAACGCTTTAGAGCTTATTAGAACGTCAAATATGTCGATAGAAGAAGACTGATTTGGATAGAAGGAATATATAGCTAACGCTTTAGAGATTATTAGTAGAACGTCAAATATGTCGATAGAAGAAGACTGATTTAATAGAGAGATTAATGGGAGAAGCAGTAATTATTAAAAATATTTGATTTTTTAAATTAATTTAAATAATTTTAAAAAATTGCGATTCCGAAATTTTTTTAAAAATTACGAATTACGATTACGAAAAAATTAATCGAAGAAACATTATCAAATAAAAGAGAAAAAGTTAATTTTGGGTCAGAATGACGTTGATAATAACAATGAGAAAAAGATTGAATATTCGATATTTCCTTCCTGTTATATCCTATGTTGATTTATTCTAAGAAAACGAAGTATACAAAGAATAGAATATCATGTTTTCACAGGAGTAAATACATGCCAAATAAGGTAACTGGAATTTTCATAATTTGCAGAGAATAGGTCCCAAGAAGATTCGAAATATGATTTAAAGAAATCGTGGCGGATTTGAATATTTGTTCTACTGTTGATGCTTCTCAAAGAATGGTGGATCTATTCTTCCTTTCCCTTCTTTCTTTTTCTAACTTCAGCCAATGCCTTTTTAATAGCCAAATATGAACGGCTTTTCGTTTTCACTTTTCCAACACTGGGCTTTCCTTTTGCCAAAGTATTTTTTGATAATTTTGCACTTTGTCCTTCACTATTTCCCTCTGACATTTCAGCCTTGATCGTTTGTATATTTTTATTAATTTCCTCTCCACGATTTTTTGGTTGATTTGTTACTGTTTTGGGATCATGAGAAATGCACCAGTCATCCTTTTCCCCTTCTTTTCTTTCCTCGCACATTTTTAAAATTTGCTTAAATTGTTTGTTATAATTTTTTACCAATGTTAAAAAGAGAAAATAAAGTCAAGATGTGATATTATTCCCAAGAGATACACAGTCAAGGGCCTCACTTAAATATGTGTACGCACTAATTTGCTGGAGTGTACACCAGCAGAGGAAACCAAGCCAGGAGACCCCAAGCCCAAGGTACCGCAGAGCTGTATCTTAGTTCAGAATCTTCGAATCCGGACGCCATGATATGGTTCGATGCGTCTCAACGAGAAATCGAATCTTAACAAGGCCTCCCGGATTTGACCATACGAATTTATATCTCTGCGTTACCTTGGGTTGTATCTCCATTAGGGGAGTGCCGGACGGATCCTATAGATGCGAAAATATTGCAAAATCACATATCTGGTTTACACATAGACGGGATCCGGCTGTAATGCATAAACAAATATAAATTAGTAATTTTAAAACGAATTCCTACAAGTTCCAAATTTTTTATGTAATGTTCACTAGAAGCTGCAATTCCAAAATTCAATGCCATTTGGTCTAATTCTTCAATATCTTCCAAATGATCGTTAAAATTCGTTTCAACTATTTTTTCATCCATTTCTTCACCTTGTTCTTCGTTCACAACAGATTTTCCTTTAATTTTCCTCAATTCATCTTGTTCTTTTGGCTCAATTCTACTATTAATAGTATCCTCATTTATTGGAATAGTGTTATCGTCATTAGAAGTTTCCGAGATGCTTTTTTGGATTTGTTTTTCTATTAAATGTTGTGCCTTGTTTTCTTCCTCTGAATAAGCTATTTGTTCCATTGATGGGTTGCTGACCAGGCCTTGATTTTGATTTACTAATAAATAATTTATTTTAGAAATAATTTATTCCGTCGAGGGATGTAACTTTGGTTAAAATTTACTAATCTGTGACTGGTAAGGTTTGATGTAACGCGACGAGCTGACTGATTCAACAATACTTTCTACCGAATCTCGACGCATGTCAGCGAAAATTCTAACACGCTCTGTAACGACATGTTAAATCCCGTTAGTTTGCTTCGATAACACATACAAGATAATAGAATGGCCGGCATTCTATTTTTTAATCATCCTCCTAAGGGTCATTCTATTTGAGGGGACCATTCAAATGAAGGGGGTCATTCTCTCTATTGCAAATTAATATGGTAGTATATAATGGCCCATTCTAACATAGAATAACTACCTTGACTCCGTCTTCGCCTTGTTTGTTCATTACTTTGCCTTATAAAATTTGTCTGTCTCTGCTTAATTAATTCATTTTCAGTCAACATTTTTGTATATAAAAATTGTATGTCTTCTCTGGTTCTTAACTTTTCTTTTTGGCTAGTCTCTCGAGCAAACAATTTCAATAAAATAATTATATCCTTTGTTCCATTGACTAAATTTGTTACTTGTTGTCCCAAAAGTGTTAATAATCCTTTCTCTGTGGTGTCAAAAATTTTATTTTTTTCTGTGTCAAATCTCTCAGATTGCTCATCTAGTTGTTTAACAAATTCCTCCAATTTAGGTGTGCTAATGTCGAAATTAAATTCAGATGGATTGTCTATAAACGTTTTTACTATCCATGCTATGTTGTTAAAAATATTGTGTATATTGAGTATGCCTCTCTTTAGATAATGTAATTTAGTTGGAGTAATCGTTGCTTGTGGTCCAATTTGGGAATTTGCTGTTTGTGGTATGCTTGGAGGGAACGTTTGCTGAACAGACGGAGGATCCATTGCTAGTGAACTACTCTGAGGAATTGTTTCATGTATAAACGGAGGAAGCGTCGTCCGACGGACCGTAGTCTGCGAGCTAATCTGTTGAAGTGTTGTTTGTGGAATAATTTGACTAGTTGTTGTTTGTGATGTAATTGGTGGAGTCATTTGCTGTATAGACGGAGGAACCGTTTCTTGTGACATAATCTGCTTGGTCCTGGCTTGTGAACTAACTGAAGGCATTGTGCGTTCTATAAGAGAAGCTGTTGTCTGATAGGCCGTAGTCTGTGGTTTAATCTGAGGATCCGTATGGTGTATAGATAAAGGAACCGATGTCTGAAGTAGTGATGTTTTGTGTATGCTCGTATGTTGGGGCATTGCTAAAAATTAGTGTCAAACATAAATTACAATTCTTGCTTTAATTCTACCTGGACTAGCGATTGTTTTATAGCTCTGAGCTTCTTGTCCTTGAATATGCATTGGATCATTCATATCATCTTTAGCATTTATATTTTTTTGAATTGACTGAATATTGTGAACTTGTTGTGTTATAATCTCAGCGTTGAGTTTTGTTAAAATATCTGGCGGTTGGCCTTCAAAATTTAAATTTTCATTTTGAGTTTATAAAGTAAAGCAGCTGGGCTATAGCTATTTCTCTCCTTCAGCGAATTCAAAGCTTATTCGGCGGCGGGTAGCGAACCAGCATATTCAGTAGATCGGGATGATGTGTTATCCATCACACCAATCCGCCAACTGCACAGACTTAGGGATTAAATAGCTGTATTTTCGAATGTATATAAACTGCTTAAAACAACTCTCAGAACCCGTATCTATAGGTTCCGAATATTAGTAATTTAACATTTCATGATCCGATTGTATAAGTATATTAAATATATAATCCTCATTTCAATAGTGAGGTTACTTGTGTAACTCAAATATGTAGATTACCTGAAAATATTGTTGGTAATTTAGTAGCTATCGCAGTTTTATCCGCAATAGGAGGTTGTAGATTGTCCTTTATTGATGAAATAGCAGAGTATAACATATTCAATGGTAATTTTTCTTGTTTTTGTAGCGTAAATTTTTCTATATGAAAAAATATTAAAAATCAGTTTTTGTCCAAGCCACAAAAGCTATTTAGCGCTAAATAATATTACGTCCCTAATTTTTAAGGAAGAAACGATATTCTGGCTAGCATTTAACTGTGATGAGCCTTACGATTTATTAAAAGAGAAAAAGCCTCAATAGCTAAGTTTTAGAGCACTTTTTATGAGCAAAAACGTCTAAAATTAAATGCTAGGTTGCAGACTCGACGCTTCTCGGGTTGAACTTTTAATCATTCTTGTTAATTTATATTTTTTTAATATTTTACAAAAAATCTTTTTACCTTTCCCACCATCAGTTTCCAACTCTGAGGCAATTTCGATCATCTTACTATAACAATTATCTAGCAATCTTTCATACTTTTCTCTACCCACACTGTTTGGTGGATACATGAAAATTAGGTCCTTTAGTAACACCATATTATACATTTGCAAATATATCAGGCCATATTTGTATTCCCTCCAAGACTGTTTTTCATCTCTCATTATAAACTTTTCAAAATCTGACATTATTCGCAATGATCTGAGCTCGTATTGATGATCGCTCAAGTGTTGATACTTAAGACGATCATTTTTAAGCATGTCAGCAATGCTGCTTTCGTGTTTGACAGTTTTATTTTCAAAAGAAATGTTGATGGGTTTGTCCAACCCCACTTCATTAATTCTAAAGAAACGTCTAATGCGCTGAAATGATATTCAGATAATCTATTGTTTAACAGATTTTATTATTAAAATTTTAGTTCCCTATTTACTGACTTGATAATCCAAATTCTTCAATAAATTTTGAATAAATACAGGCATACAAACAATGCATTCAATTTGCCAAAGTCTTTCTAGTTTGTCTTTTTCATTGGAGGCTATCATAAAATAGAATAACATGTCATTTTGATTGTTTACATCGACTAATCTTCCTTCATATTTCCCCGAGTTTTCACTAAAAACAAAGCATTTAAAACGTTTTTCTGCATCCACCGGAGCGAGCCATTGAAATTCCCGAAGTTTTGTCCATGTTCCAGATATTTGTACAGAAATATGAAAGTTACAGGAAATTGAAGAAATAAGAATAAATAGAAATATAGAAGGTAGAATGATTAAATTAATTTTTGGGTGGGAATATTTTAAAAGTTGATGGTTCATCTAAACGAAAATTTAATTATAAAATAATTTTTTAAATTTCTCTTTTAAAATTAAATTTTTAAATAAGATTTAATGTATAATTAATTAAAATTGTATAATTAATTAAAATTCCCTTCACTTAAAAATAAATTCAAAAATAAGAATACGCATCGCTGTATAGATTTCACGTGAGCGGCAGGCTTTTCCATCGATTAGGCGGGTTTTCCATATCATTTTTTCCGTTAAATGCAAAGCGAGCGTTTTGAAAAGATGCCCTTTTCTTATTAAACAACATAAATATTTACAAAAATAATTTTTCGGCAAAACTTAAAAAAGGATACAAAAAACAGACTCGTTAAATTTCCTATTTCAAAATCAGACAATTTAAACTTTTAGAGTGCAAAATTGTAATTTGTTTTTAATAAACATAACTCAGAAATTAAAAAAAATATTAAAATAAATTAAAAGAATAATCAGAAAAAATGCCCAATGGTTCTCTAACGTTTATTGACGTCAATGCACCTTCCGTTAATACCTTTCAAAGGACATCAGAGGATTTGTATAGATTAGGCGGATATCGGAGTCTTATATATATCCCATAAATCATCTCTAAACACCTCCGCCCTATGTATGCTTCTACTCCCCCGCAATCCCTCTTAATCTCTCCAAATTGTTGCGTAGTGGTGACACTACTATAAAAGCCACTGTAAGCGTCAGTCTAGTTGGATCATACTAGCCCGGCTAGTCCCTGATCTCCTTCGTCTGTTCCAACTCTATCCCTTCGCCTGCACATTGTTATTTCTCGACAGATAAATTGTTAATCATTGCACGTAGACTTTAGTTAAATCTGACGACCCTCGGACATAAAACAAATCACCGTTTTCTTAAACTAAGTCGGAAATATAAAGGAATTGGAGAGATCAAAGATAATATCCGAAGCTTTAAGTGATATCAGAGGATATAAGTTAGAACAAAAAACATTTTCTGTCGTTTTGACGAAAGGTTTATTGACGGACGATACATTGGCGAAAGGTTAATTGATATTTGACAATAAATGGCAAAATGTCGCAAAACATTTTGCCAAACTTTTTTATTTTTGAACGGTTAAGGACGATTCAGTATCGCCGATTCAGTATCCGCCGATTCAGTATATGGCCATAACTTTCCTGATATTCGACCGATTCGAATAATTCTCATATCATTTGAAAGGTCTCTTGATTTGACATCTTTTTCATAATTGGCCCGATCAGATCTGATGATCTCAAAAAAAGTTACAGCGTGAAAACGGATTTTTTATGCCTGTGACGTCGTTTTTCAGTGATAACTTTTTGTAGAGTGATCAGATCAGGTCAGTCCAATTATGAAAAAGATGCAGCACCCCGAGGCCTATCAAATCATATATAATAATTTCTACAATATTGATCGAGCAAAAAGTTATGGCCAAAAAGCCCAAATACTGAATCGGCCAATACTGAATCGGCGATACTGAATCGTCCCCTACCCATTTTTGAATACTCTAATAAAGAGGGTTGTTAGAGTCTCGACCGGGATAACTTTTCTGATTCCAACAAACTTTTTGAATTTCGATTGTTCAATTAATTTTTCCTTCTAGTGCATCTGCTAGGAATGAATGTGGGAGTCTGTGAAATCCTGTGAAGCGTTCCGCCTCGCATCTTAAACTTATTTTTTTGGAAATTGCTCTCATTTTTCTCAAAACTTTTTTTCTTTTTTAGGCAATAAAAATGGAAAACTACCTTAAAATCTCTTCATATGTCGAAAATGGAACTTTAAATACACTTAAATCTAACAAGAATAATTCTAATGGCTCAAATAAATCGCCTTCTGATAAATTACTGGGAGATAGACGGCATGTTTTTTACCACAAGAGGACTGCAAAGGCGGTTGATGCTGTTAAACGAAAGGCGAGATCTGGTATATTTTTGTTTATTTTTAAGGAATTTTCAATCCAAAAATCTTCTAGGAATTTAAGGTTTGCTTAAAACAGGTCTGGTCCTACTAGTCTCGGGAATTTTGTCGTTTACGGCCCCCTTTAAGGAGTAAATTTGTGGAGAAAAATGGTCCTATGAATTATAATATGACCGGCATTTCTTTACAGGGCTTAATGGGACTAGTCCGGTCATTTGCTCTAATTTTTGACGTTGCAGTTTGCCTACCTTAAAAATTTGGGCTCGGATTTCGTGTAGCAATAAGCTTAGATTTCGTGTAACTCGGAACATTTCTCTTCCCAAAAAAATATTTCATTAAATTCCTTCCAAAATCTTTCCTAAATAATCCTTCCAGACTTCATTGCTTCCAAACGAGGGATATCACGAGTCGAATAGACAAAAGCGGGGTCGAGTTCTCAAAATTTTATTTGGGTCAGATTATAAGTCTAATAGCCCGTCTCTAAGAGCCCGTCTTTCGTATTTTTATGTTAACCTCTGGGTATTGTGTAGTTTACCCCCCTTAAGCCACGCCCATTTTTTCTCTTCCTTATAAGCTTATTTTCTGAAATAAACAAAATATTGGGCTAACTTATTTTATAAGAAAAGGAAAGAACAAAAGGCTTATGGGGGGTAAACTACACAAGTACCCCCCCCCCCGTTCAAAACCTCTCAAAAAATTTTTTTTCAGAGCTTAAAAAGAATGAATGGTACAGCGAAGGTTATTCTGTAAATTCTGCTCAATTTCTTTCTCAAATGGCGCTGGGACCGGATACTATAGAACGCGTGGATGCCTCCAAAATGACTTGTCAAGAATTTGCTGAACGTTATGAAAAGTTGGATAAACCTGTGATTTTGTTGGGTTTGATGGATGAATGGAAGGCTAATGAGCGGTGGAATTTACAGGTTTTTTTTGATAATTTTGGGGAATTTTTCGATTATTTGGTAAAATTGAATTTCGTTTTTTTCCTCAAAATTATTAAAAATGGATAGACTTGAAACTTGAGTTTGCCTATTCTTTTTCTATTTCCTTGAATCTTTTTGGGGGTATGGGCACAAAAACACCCTCTTAGTTAGCATTATTTTAAAAACTCGTTCCGCTTCTACGAGGTTCTGAAAAATATTTGGCCTGTAGAGCTTAATGGTAGAATAACTTGGCTTGGGCTTCCTTCAGAACCTTGGCCCATGAACCCCAAAAATAATTTCTGTTTATGTTCTTGACTTGAACCTCATTGAGTCCTTTGACTTGAACTAAAAATAATTTTTTAGGCCCTTCACCGAGCTTATCGAAACCAAAAATTTAAATGTGGGGAAGACGACGATGGATACTCTGTAAAGTTGAAAATGAAATATTATTTGCATTATATGACAGCAAATTGTGATGATTCGCCTCTTTATATTTTTGATTCTGGTTTTGGAGAGGTTTTTTTGTTATTTTTATTTTTGAAGTATAGTTGGACCTCGGATTCATATACCTGGGATTTGCCGTTTTCGTCTTCCTTTGATTTTCGCCTTTTTTTCTCTCGATTTTTTCGTTAACGTCGTTGTTGACGAACGACCTCTTTTTAAAATATGTTTCGGCACACTTATGAATTTTTTTGGGTACCTTCGAATTTTCTCTTTATGTATTTTATTAATGATTTTTTTCATTTGGGGGAGAAGGGTCTGTTTGAGTGAAATAATCCCGAGATTACTCACACCTCTCCTCCCCTGAAAACTGACCCTGAATTCACTCTTGCCTAATTTTATATTCCCTTGGTTTTTTCCAGCGCCTAGGGAGATATGTTAGTAATTCAAGGTCCGACTTGTTAAATTTTTAGCGACAAAAAACTTCAAAAATTTTGGATGATTATGAGGTTCCAGATTTTTTCAAGGACGACTTGTTTCGTTATGCTGCTGAAAAGAGAAGACCTCCCTATAGGTTCTTTTTAATTTTTTTATTTTTCTTGTCACTAATCCATTGCCCGTTAGTTGCAATCTGATTAGTTTTTAATTTTATTCGCAAATAATTTTTTTGTCCGCAAAAAATTTTAATTCCAAATCACTCTGAATTTTTTTGAGAATGTTTTTATGCTTAGGAATATTTCCAAGTTTTTTTTGCCTTTTTAAAATTTTTTTGTAAATTTCTCTTTTGCGGACACGAATTTGCGGATTAAAGAATTTTTCAAAAAAAATTTTTTAGATGGTTTGTCATGGGTCCAGCCAGATCAGGCACAGCCATTCACATTGACCCAATTGGAACTTCAGCTTGGAATGCTCTAATTTCTGGCCACAAAAAGTAAGAAAAAAATTTTTGTTAAAACCATTAGAAAAAAATTTTAAGAATTTTTTTAATTTCCAAAAATTCTCTCAATTTCCAGTTGCAGCAACAAATAAATGCACTTTGAAACTGAATGTAATTAAATAAAAATTAATAGGCCGTAATTAATAGAAAAAAATTGTAGGGGGAATTTTTGAGAAAAAAAATTTAAAAAAATTATTTTTTGAGAGGGCATTTTCCCTCACCTTCCCATCTTCGGCATTTTTTTAAAATCATCTCCAAATTTTTGCGGACTATTTTTTTCGGGCAATTTTTTGCGGATTTTTTTTTGCGGACTGTTTTTGCGGATAATTTTCTGTGGATTTTTATTAAAAATATTTTATTTCGGTCATTTTTTAAATTTAATTTGGCCAAATTTAAAATGCTAAATAAATATCAAACTTTCAAAAATGCAAGAAAAAAATCCGCAAAAGTTGTCCGCAAAAATCAAAAATAAGCAATTTTTATATTTTTAACATTTAAAAAAAAATTTATTTTTTTAATTTTTAGATGGTGCCTAATTCACCCTTCTACACCCAAACAATTAATTAAACCAAAAACTGAAGAAACTAAAAATCTTGTACACCCAGATGAAGCAATTACTTGGTTTGGAACTGTTTTTCCCCGAGTTTGTAGTCCACATTGGAATAATGAACGTTTTCCTGTTATTCATGCAATTCAGAGGCCAGGAGAGGTTTTGCTTTTAATTCTGATTTTTAATTAATTTCTGATTTATTTTATTAAGATTCTGATTTTTATTTTTAAAAATTCGGATTTTTAAAATTCTGATTTTTAAATTCTGGTTTTTTGATTCTGATTTTTCGAAATTCTGTTTTAAAAAATTCTGATTTTTAATTCTGATTTTTTAAAGATTTCTGATTTTTCGAAATTCTGGTTTTTAAAATTCTGATTTTTTCAATTCTTAAATTCTGATTTTTCGAAATTTTGATTTCAAAAATTCTGATTTTTTAAATTCTGGTTTTTACAAATTCTGGTTTTTAAAAATTCTGATCTTCCTCTTCTAAAAATTATTAATTTAATTATTCAAGTTAATGTTCGTTCCTTCCGGTTGGTGGCATGTTGTAATGAATTTGGAGACGACTATCGCTGTTACTCAAAATTTTTGTTCTGTGGTTAATTTACCTAATGTTTGGCCTAAATTAATTAAACAGTTTGGAGATTTTTTAAAATAATATAAGGAATTTAAATTTATTTTTGTCATCAAAATCTGCAAATAAAAAAAAAATCCGCAAATTCTGTCCGCAAAAAAAGTTTTTTTTTATTTTTTGGATATTTGCCAGTCGCCGAATTTCAAGAGCTTTTTTGGGATCCTCGTCAAAATACAAAATCTCCTTGGGAATTTTAATAAATTATAAACTTGCGGACTTTCTTTTATTTTTGCGGACTTTTCTTTTCAACTTGCGGACTTTTTTTTCAATTTGCGGAATTTTCTTTTTTTGGATTTTAATTTTAAAATTCCTTCAAAAAAATTTTTTTAATTTTTTTTTCAGACGTCCTCAACTTGCGCTACATTGGTTAAAAGTAGTAAATAAATCTAGACCAGAACTAATTGAAAAAATTGATGAAATAAATAAATTGAATGGAATTGCTTCATTGGATATTAGCGAGCCGTAAAACGATTTTTTCAATTAATTTTTTAAAAATTCAAATGTCCGCAAATTTTGTCCGCAAGAAAAATTTTTTGGATTTTTAGTCCTTTTAGTTATTCCTCGTATTTTTGCGGACAACTTTTGCGGACGTTCGCAAAAAATTTAAAAAATTATATTTTTTTCAAGTTGTGATTCATCAAGTTCATCCTCTTCTTCTTATGATTCCTCTTCGGATTCTGGTGTTGAATATTGTGATGGAAAATCAAAAATGGGGGCAACAACAAATTATGAAAAAATTAATGACAAAAATGGGCAAAATTTAGAAAAGCAAAATAAAGAAGAATATTATCGAGGGACTAAAAGGTGTGTGGTAAAGAAATATTAAAATAATAATTTTAATTTGAGAAAAAAATTTTTTGAAAAAAATTTTTGGGAAATTTTTTTAGGGGTGAAAATTTGGGTGGGATCCAGGGCCTCTTCTCTCCAAACTGCGGCCTAATCTGTTCGGCCATACAACTACCCACCTGCTGCAAAGTTTGATGTTGTTGTTATTTCTAGCTGCCGCCCATTTCCTTGTTTTTTACACTTTTCTTCCCTTCGTTGACTAGATAGTCGCGTCAGGGAAGTACCCAAAATTTTGGAAGTTTGTGGGGCTTTAGTGCTCCTTCGAATAAATTTTGGGGTTGAAAAATAGCTGGATTGAAATGATTATTAAATTAAATTTTTAGGAAGCATACTACTACTTCCCCTCAACAACAAAGTAAAAATAATAATAATTCTTCCAATCACAACGGAAATCGACATTGTAAGGAAGAGAAGGAGAGAGAGCTGGCTAGCATTTAAAACGCTGACTGCGGGGGTTTAAGATCTTATAAAAGAGAAGGTGAAAGCAGCGTCCCGGTAGCTCAGTTGGTAGAGCACCTGTACGTGGTGAGCGAAAGCGCCTAGCAATAACTGCCAGGAGGTCGCAGGATCGAAGCCTGCCCGGGATTAAACTTTTACCTCGCTCTTACTGGTGCTCCCAGGCGGCAACCCCACTTGCTTCCAGCTGGATCGCCGGTTGATCGGTCTGGGCGCAAAGACCGAGGGACCGGTCTAGTGTAGGGATGGAGATGTAAGGAAGAGAAGGAGAGAGAGCTGGCTAGCATTTAAAACGCTGACTGCGGGGGTTTAAGATCTTATAAAAGAGAAGGTGAAAGCAGCGTCCCGGTAGCTCAGTTGGTAGAGCACCTGTACGTGGTGAGCGAAAGCGCCTAGCAATAACTGCCAGGAGGTCGCAGGATCGAAGCCTGCCCGGGATTAAACTTTTACCTCGCTCTTACTACATTTACAAGACAGAAATTATTACCCTTACCACTACTATGATAAGCACAAAATTAACAAAAATGGAGTGAATAAATAAAAAATTGGAGGGGTAAAATATATTTATTGACTATAAAATTGTGTTTTGTTGGCCATTATCTTCATTATTAGCCTTATTTTTTCGTTTTCAATTTTTTAATTTCCTGGGTTAAGTTTTTTGTTACTTATCCGTTATACCCCCACAAATTGACTGTCAGCCGACTTTGATCGTCCATAACTTTTTAATACTTGAATCAATACGAATGAATTTCATATCATTCGAAAGCTCTAAATAAGCGGTATCTTTCTTATAAAAGGAAGTATAAGGACTGATCAAGTATTAAAAAGTTATAACCAGATAAACCCGGTTATTTGGTGTTTTTCACATTTATTGGGTTATAACTTTTTAATACTTGATCAGACTTGATCCATCAAATTGGAAAAAAGATAGCGCTTATCGAGGGCTTTCGAATGATATAAAATTCATTCGTATTGGATCAAGTATCAAAAAGTTATGGCCGATCAATCAACGGTAGCCGGCACTCAATTTGTTGGGGTATAGCGGATAAGTGCCAATTTTCTTTATGTAATTGTTATAAGGGTATTAAATATATTTTTTCAAAATATTCATTTATCAAAAAAATTATCTTTTTTCGCAAAAATCTTTTTTGTTATCATTAATTAAAATTTTTGTTATTTTTGTAAAATAAATTTATTTTATAAATTATTCTTTTTTTTTAAATTAATTTTTGTGTATTTCAAAAATCACAATATATTTATATTTTTGTATTATCATTTACCCCGTCTCTCGTCGTTTTCTTTATTTTCGAGACCGATAATTTTTGCCTTGCATTTTTTTGGAGTTAATAAAAAACATCTTTTTTGGCATTTTTTGTTTTTTTGTCAGCACAGTCCCATTGATTTTAAATTCTTAAATTTTATTGTTAAACTTTTTTCTTTAGGTTTTTAGCTTAATCTTTTAATTTTCACATCTAGTCTTAATAAAGACTCACTTTTGCAATTATCATGTCTAGACAAGCATCTAATACAAATTGAACATTCTTAAATTTAAAGTGTATTTACTCAAGTATTTTTCAAAGGAAATGAGATTGAGGAAGGGAAGGTGGAATTGGAAAGGGGCCGGGAGGGACTCGAATCGAGAAAGGAAGACGGGAGGGAGGAGGAGGATTGGGAGAGAAAGGAGGAAGATTGGAGGAGAAAGAAGGAGGATTGGGGGAGAAAGGAGGAGGATTGGGGGAGAAGGGAGGTGGACTGGGAGAGAAGGGATGAGGATTGGGGGAGAGGAGGGTGATTAGGGGAGAATGGAGGAGGATTGGGGGAGAAAGGGAGGAGGATTGAAGGAAAAAGGAGGAGGATTGAGGAAAAAGGAGGAAGATTGGAGGAGAAAGGGAGGAGGATTGAAGGAAAAAGGAGGAGGATTGAGGAAAAAGGAGGAAGATTGGAGGAGAAAGGGAGGAGGATTGGGGGAGAAAGGAGGAGGATTGGGGGAGAAGGGAGGTGGACTGGGAGAGAAGGGATGAGGATTGGGGGAGAGGAGGGTGATTAGGGGAGAATGGAGGAGGATTGGGGGAGAAAGGGAGGAGGATTGAAGGAAAAAGGAGGAGGATTGAGGAAAAAGGAGGAAGATTGGAGGAGAAAGGGAGGAGGATTGAAGGAAAAAGGAGGAGGATTGAGGAAAAAGGAGGAAGATTGGAGGAGAAAGGGAGGAGGATTGAAGGAAAAAGGAGGAGGATTGAGGAAAAAGGAGGAAGATTGGAGGAGAAAGGGAGGAGGATTGGGGGAGAAAGGAAGGGGATTGGGTAGAAAGAAGGACCGGGAGGGAGGAGGAGGATTCTAATTTCCTCCCTGAATCTCAAACTTGTCAGGGAAACGAAACATAACCCGGGAATATCCACTGACGATTTCCTCTTCCAGGTCCTATTGTCCGCCAATCCCTACTTTAAAAAATTAATTAATTTTACATTTGTATCGGTTGCACAAGTGTGGTGGCCTTTAAAAATATTATTTTTTTATTACCGTATTTCCTAAAATAGTACTCCCGGGAGTACTATTTTTCAACCCTCCTCCAAAGGGGAGTACTATTTAAGGGGGGAGTGCTAATTCAGGGGGGAGTATTATTTTTCAACCATCCTCCATGATTTTTCATAGGAAAATTTATTTCAAAATTAAAAAAAATATTTTAATTTATTTCAATTTATCTCAAAATAAATTCGATTAGAGTTCGCTATTTGAAAAATGCCGGATCCGGACCCTGATTTTCAAAAAATTTCTTTAATAAAAGTTGTAGAAAATATCCGAATTAGTATAAAATTGAGCAAATTGCGAGACAATTAAACACAAGTGACTTAAAATACGGGTTATTGAGGGAAATCAAAAAGGATATAAGTGAATTTGGAGTGATATCGAGGGATATAAGGGGATTTTCGGGTCTAAGATTTATCAGGGTCAACTAAACCCATGTGTCTAGGGATTACCTAATCTCTGTCTAGTTATTTATCATATTAAACACCGATATCCTCCACATCCCTTTTGTACTTCCGATATTAGTTGATTAAGAAGGATTTATGATTCAACTTATCGCTTAATCGCTCTTAATCAACCAAAATCGCCTAATATTACTCCCCCTTCATTATTCCCTCAAATTCCTATATCAAACCTTAATCCAATGATGTCTTTTAAATGCCACTTGATTAATACAGAACCCATTTTACACCCGATATCAATCCCTTTATATACCCAAAATCCACTTTTACTCCACCAATTAATCGGATTATATCTCTTTAATCCTCGAAAAATTTTAGTTTAAAATTTCGATTCGTTTTCGGTTAACCGAAAGCTCTCAGGTTTTGTTTATCAAAGAATCAAGTGAAACCGACAACGATACTTAGAATAAATAAAATAATTCAATGTCTCGTATTATTTTTTTAAATATGTATAGAGGAAAAATATTTTTGGGGGGAGTACTATTTTAGGGGGAGTACTAATTCAGGGGGGAGTACTATTTTTCAACCCTCCTCCAAAGGGGAGTACTATTTAAGGGGGGAGTGCTAATTTAGGGGGGAGTACTATTTCAGGAAATACGGTATTTTATAAATTCCTTACAATAAATTTCCCTTTGATTAGATCTATTTACTTGTTCAAATTTCCATTGAATATAATTTGTGCATTCTGTTTGGTTTTGAAGGCCTTTGTATTCCGGAAAGCAAACGTTGAGTGGGGAATGGGCTATTTTTTCGGCAAAAATGTCCTTTTTGTTGAGGAATACTGTAAATTTTGAAAAAATACTGTAAACTAGGGACGTCACGGGTCAGTGACAAATCAGTGACACTCCCGTTATACCCCCCTCCATGTAATGAACGGTCAATAGTAGATAGGTGACATTGAGGAAGGGTAGGTAACCGGGTATAATTTTTGTATACTTTTATATCTCGAGTTTACGCACACCTAAATTGGACCGTATTGTAAGTACTAGTGATACCCTCTCCCTCCTCTTATAATGATACGCCATACATATGTGTGGACACTCTATTGAGATATCATTTTTCAGCTCTAAGGGTATATGTAAAATTGAGGTCCGACTGTATCCAACTAGATTTTAAGGGACAATTCTGGTATGCCAGATAGGTGATAGGTTTAGTTATGGGGCTATCTCCAAGGATTGAGGGTTATAACGAGAGTTCGACGAATACTATTTTAATTAAAAAAACCCCAGTCTTGTATGCCAGATAGGTAGGTTCAGTTAAAGGGATATCCAAAGACGGAGGGTTATATCGAGAGTTAACATATAATCTTTTAATTAAAACCCCCTAACTTACAAATAAAGTGAATTTCTGAAAACCAAGGACTATTACAAATTGAATCGAATAGTTTAAGTGATTCAAGCATTCTATTAGTGCAATTATCCTCCCTTAATGTTTGATCGTATTCAGAAAGTGAAGAAATAAATATAATAGAGTTGACGTTGTCTACAAAACAGTGTATCCACTAAAAACATTCAAAGATTTATTTTGTTAATGTTTTTATATTTAGATGTTTTTCCGGAAATGTTTTTATATTTAGATGTTTTTCCGGAAATGTTTTTATATTTAGATGTTTTTCCGGAAATGTTTTTATATTTAGATGTTTTTCCGGAAATGTTTTTATATTTAGATGTTTTTCCGGAAATGTTTTTATATTTAGATGTTTTTCCGGAAATGTTTTTATATTTAGATGTTTTTCCGGAAATGTTTTTATATTTAGATGTTTTTCCGGAAATGTTTTTATATTTAGATGTTTTTCCGGAAATGTTTTTATATTTAGATGTTTTTCCGGAAATGTTTTTATATTTAGATGTTTTTCCGGAAATGTTTTTATATTTAGATGTTTTTCCGGAAATGTTTTTATATTTAGATGTTTTTCCGGAAATGTTTTTATATTTAGATGTTTTTCCGGAAATGTTTTTATATTTAGATGTTTTTCCGGAAATGTTTTTATATTTAGATGTTTTTCCGGAAATGTTTTTATATTTAGATGTTTTTCCGGAAATGTTTTTATATTTAGATGTTTTTCCGGAAATCTTTTTATATTTAGATGTTTTTCCGGAAATGTTTTTATATTTAGATGTTTTTCCGGAAATGTTTTTATATTTAGATGTTTTTCCGGAAATGTTTTTATATTTAGATGTTTTTCCGGAAATGTTTTTATATTTAGATGTTTTTCCGGAAATGTTTTTATATTTAGATGTTTTTCCGGAAATGTTTTTATATTTAGATGTTTTTCCGGAAATGTTTTTATATTTAGATGTTTTTCCGGAAATGTTTTTATATTTAGATGTTTTTCCGGAATGTTTCTCCTGATGTTTTTATATTTGCATGTTTTTCTGAAAATGGTTTTATTCGCAGATGTTATATTTGCATGTTTTTCCGGAAATGTTTAGATGTTTTGATGTTTTTCTGAAAATGTTTTTACATGTTTTCCGGAAATTTTTCTATATTTAAATGTTTTTCCGGAATGTTTCTCCTGTTTGTTTTTATATTTGAATGTTTCTACATGTTTTTCGCAGATGTTATATTTAAATGTTTTTCTGAAAATGTTTTTCCGGAAATGTTATATTTAAATGTTTGTACTGAAATATTTTATGTTTATCCGGAAATGTTTTTAATGTTTTCTGAAAATGCCTTTATATTTAGATGTTTTTCTGAAATATTTTTACAGATTTTTCTGAAATGTTTTATAATGTTTTTATATTTCAATCTTTAGGATCAGTATTTGTTTTTGGTATTACATTGTTTTCCGGAAATTTTTAGTCCGAAGCTGTTATATACCTTTTTCCGTTCAGACCGCTGTCCACCAACATCGATTACCCTAAATGATGTTTTAATTATTAAAATTTTTAGTATTTTATATTTTACCTAAACGTAAGGCCTTTAAGTTCAAAGAGCACTTCAGTAATTCCACTTGTCTTAATAAAAACTATTTTTTTTATTTAAACAAGCTTCCCCCACCTTTATCCTTGTTCTAAGCAAATCCTGTTCTGTAGGCATATAGTTGTGGGCGCCTAACCTTGCTAGATTGTCCAAGAAATACTTTGCGGAATCATCTATCTTTAATAAAAAAAATATTTTTTGGCTTCAAAAATATTTCCTCAACCTGGTATTCATTAGACCGTCTGAAGCCTAAAAATAATTAATTTTATTTAAAAAATTATTTTATTATTTTACATTCTTGGACGCCTTCGTCCTTCCATAGCCTTTGCATGGCGTCAACTAATTCATCGGTTAATTCTTCCCTGTTGGCATGAATTGTAGCAAAAACAAGTTGACTATCTTTCTACACTATTAAAAAATTTATTTAAATATTTTTGAAATTTTTTACCAGTCTTTCGGGGTCGCCATAGTCTATGTGGAGGTGAAACATTGCTCGAAGAATAGCAAGCATTGAATGAATAGTGTTGCTAAAAAAGTTGGGAGGAAATTGTTTTAAGTAAAAACAATTATAGGAAATCAGAATATTACATAAACATTTTCCGGAAAATCAGAATTTTATTTGAACATGTCTATTTATGAACATTTTCCGGAAAATCAGAATTTTAGAAAAACATGTTTAAGAAACAACATTAGAAATAAAACATATTCATATAAAATCAGAATTTTATATGAACATGTTTAAGAAACAACTAATTTCTATTTTCTTTTCCGGAAAAATGTTCCGGAAATAATTGAATTTCTTAAAACCAGAATTTTAAATAAACATAGAAAATAAAACATTTTCGGAAATCAGAATTTTATTTGAACATGCTTCAAAAACATCAAATTTTTAACTAAAATATTTTTCCGGAAACATATAAATATTCGAAATTAAATTAATTATTCTGTTTTTATCTTTTTACCCACCAAATAACAACAGGTTTAATTAATTCCAAATCTTGTCTAGAGAAGCCGTCTTTGTGAAGAATTCTTTGAAATTAAATGATTTAAATTTAAAAATTAATTTCAACCTCATTTGCTTTAAAATTGTGCTTTTCCCGCTTTCTCCAGCACCTGGCACAAATTAAATAATTTTTTGGAAAATATTAATTTAGTAACCAAGTAATAATAGCTTTATAATCCGCATATCCATTGAATGCTAAAGGAAAATTTAAAGGAAATTTTTTCTTTTCTCTAAAAACATCTACCTCCTTCCTTAACTGTTCATCTATTTTTCTTGTTTGTTTCTTCTGGTCTTTTTGATATTTGGATGTGCAACGGCCCATTTTACAGATTATTTGTTGTTAAAATAGAAATGTTGTTAAAATAAATTATAAATCAGAATTTAAGTTTTTGGGCGATTAGAATTATACCAGAATTATTTTTAAAAATCAGAATTTCAAAAAAACATATTCCGGAAATCCTATAAATAAAACATCAAAAGGAGAAGTAAATAAATAAACCATTTTCCGGAAAACATTTTAAATGAAGCAATAACCATAAAAACATGTTCCGGAAAAGTCAGAATTTAATTAAAACAGAATATAATAAAAACATAAAAACATATTCCGTAAAAGTCAGAATTTAATAAAAATGAAAAAAACAGAATATGATAAAAACATGTTCCGGAAAAATCAAAAATTAAAAACAATATAATAAAGGGTTATTAAACAATGTTGCGTAAAAATCAGAAAACAAACAAAACACTTCCGGAAATAGTTGAAACAAATTGATTAAACTTATAAGAATTATCCATCCATTAAATAATTCCTAGACAATTTTAATGGATAATCTTCTATAAAATAGTCCTTAGTTTTATATTAAGTAATAAATAAAAGAAAAGGAAAAGCCGCCCTCCATTTCTATATTTAATTGATGTACCTACAGTTGTTGCAATTTTATTGAGTTGTAAATTCCTTCCCCTCCCTTCTGAAAAATTTCTAAGGCATTTCTTAAAATAATTTTTTGGGTTAGAAATTAATAAATTTTTCATATAAATTTAATCCTTTAATTCACTAAAATCTAGAAAATATAAATTTAAAGAATTAAAAGACAAGAACGCGTGAAAGAAGCTTAAAATTTTTTTCTTTTCTCTAAAAACATCTACCTCCTTCCTTAACTGTTCATCTATTTTTCTTGTTTGTTTCTTCTGGTCTTTTTGATATTTGGATGTGCAACGGCCCATTTTACAGATTATTTGTTGTTAAAATAGAAATGTTGTTAAAATAAATTATAAATCAGAATTTAAGTTTTTGGGCGATTAGAATTATACCAGAATTATTTTTAAAAATCAGAATTTCAAAAAAACATATTCCGGAAATCCTATAAATAAAACATCAAAAGGAGAAGTAAATAAATAAACCATTTTCCGGAAAACATTTTAAATGAAGCAATAACCATAAAAACATGTTCCGGAAAAGTCAGAATTTAATTAAAACAGAATATAATAAAAACATAAAAACATATTCCGTAAAAGTCAGAATTTAATAAAAATGAAAAAAACAGAATATGATAAAAACATGTTCCGGAAAAATCAAAAATTAAAAACAATATAATAAAGGGTTATTAAACAATGTTGCGTAAAAATCAGAAAACAAACAAAACACTTCCGGAAATAGTTGAAACAAATTGATTAAACTTATAAGAATTATCCATCCATTAAATAATTCCTAGACAATTTTAATGGATAATCTTCTATAAAATAGTCCTTAGTTTTATATTAAGTAATAAATAAAAGAAAAGGAAAAGCCGCCCTCCATTTCTATATTTAATTGATGTACCTACAGTTGTTGCAATTTTATTGAGTTGTAAATTCCTTCCCCTCCCTTCTGAAAAATTTCTAAGGCATTTCTTAAAATAATTTTTTGGGTTAGAAATTAATAAATTTTTCATATAAATTTAATCCTTTAATTCACTAAAATCTAGAAAATATAAATTTAAAGAATTAAAAGACAAGAACGCGTGAAAGAAGCTTAAAATTTGATTCATAAAACATTTCTAACTGAACATGTTTGCTTCGCATTCTGTTATTTCCGGAGGATGTTTGTCTGATAATTTAATTTCCGTAAGATGTTTGTTTCATCCTCATTCTATTTCCGTAAACATGTTTATTTAATAATTCTGATATTTCCGGAAAATGTTTATTTAATAATTCTGATATTTCCGGAAAATGTTTATTTAATAATTCTGATATTTCCGTAAGATGTTTATTTAATAATTCTGATATTTCCGGAAAATGTTTATTTCATAGTTCTGCTGCGTTATAATTAAAATGTTTGCTTCATTGTTTCCGGAATATTTTCGTTTAATTGTCAGTTTGAAAAATCAGAATTCATAAATGTTCATTTCATGTTTCCGGAAACCTAGCATAAGTATTATAACTAGGACATATTTGGCATGAAAAGTTAGAATTCAAAGAATAAAAATATAAAAAAAGCAAAACTTATGTTTTCTCAACTTTCTTAACCAGTCAAGTGCCATTTGAAGGAAAGAGGTGAAAAACGCCATAGGGCAAGTAAAAGATGATGAGGGAGGGGAAGGGTCTCTGTGCTTGTTAGCAAAAGCAAGTAACAACTCCAATCAATTTGGCGACTTATCCATCCTGTTCTGAGTTTTTTTCTCCCTTCTTTCCGCTCAACCCTTCCCCTTCCTTATATAATACTAACTCAGCTTCTTCATCCGCCTCATTCTTGTTATCCCCCTCAATGGCCATTGCTTCTATAAATATATTTTTATTTATTTCTCACAGCTTCATCCGCCACTTCCTTTCCTTTTTATTTTTTAAAACTCACACTCATTCACACATTAAATAAAACTCTCATTCGCATGCTTAACAAGGAGCGCTAACAAGGGAAAGAAATGCCTCAAGACATGCATGGAAAATGAAATGTTGAGCTTCTTGTTTAAGAAACTATTTTTACTAAGCGTTCAAAATCAGAATTTCAAACAAACAAACATCAAAAGAAAATATCAAAAACATTTTCCGGAATAATCAGAATTTTAAACAAACATCAAATTAAAATATCAAAAACATTTTCCGGAATAATCAGAATTTTAAACAAACATCAAATTAAAATATCAAGAACATTTTCCGGAATAATCAGAATTTTAAACAAACATCAAATTAAAATATCAAAAACATTTTCCGGAATAATCAGAATTTTAAACAAACATCAAATTAAAATATCAAAAACATTTTCCGGAATAATCAGAATTTTAAATGAACATCAAAAGAAAGTATCAAAAATTCGGAATAATTAGAATTTTAAACAAACATCAAATTAAAATATCAAAAACATTTTCCGGAATAATCAGAATTTTAAACAAACATCAAATTAAAATATCAAAAACATTTTCCGGAATAATCAGAATTTTAAATGAACATCAAAAGAAAGTATCAAAAATTCGGAATAATCAGAATTTTAAACAAACATCAAATTAAAATATCAAAAACATTTTCCGGAATAATCAGAATTTTAAATGAACATCAAAAGAAAGTATCAAAAATTCGGAATAATCAGAATTTTAAACAAACATCAAATTAAAATATCAAAAACATTTTCCGGAATAATCAGAATTTTAAACAAACATCAAATTAAAATATCAAAAACATTTTCCGGAATAATCAGAATTTTAAACAAACATCAAATTAAAATATCAAAAACATTTTCCGGAATAATCAGAATTTTAAACAAACATCAAATTAAAATATCAAAAACATTTTCCGGAATAATCAGAATGTAAAATAAACATCAAAACAAATATTAAGAATATTTTCCGAAACAATCAGAAGTTCAAACAAACGTTAAAAATAATAAACATTTTCCGGAATCAGAATTTTAAATGAACATCTAAAAAAATATCAAAAACATTTTCCAGAATAATCAGAATTTAAAATAAACATCAAAAGAAAATATCAAAACATTTTCCGGAATAATCAGAATTTAAAATAAACATCAAAAGAAAATACCAAAACATTTTCAGGAATAATCAGAATTTTAAACAAACATCAAATTAAAACGTCAAAACATTTTCCGGAATAATCAGAATTTTAAATAAAATATACTCTGAACAATTTAACGATTCAAATTTGTATTTAAATAAATTTTATAAAATTATTTGCCTTTTAAAAATTTTAAGTTGAAAACAAAACGTATAAAAAACAATTTTTAATCACCAATTTGTCCATTTATAGCACCAAACCTATTAATATATTGGTTATCAATTTGTAGAAAATGCAAATGGCCATCATCCGAAGCTACAGCCAAATAATTTGTTGTTTGTTCTGATTGTTGTTTTGGCCTCCAAGCTAGGCAGTTTATCTATAAAAATATTAGTTGAATTAAAGAAAAATCAAAATTTTATTAAAAGATTCTCATAAACTATTATCTGCAAAAATAAACAAAAATCAGAATACTAAAATAAACATAAAATATCAGAATTTTAATTAAACATTCTCGGGAAAGATCAGAATATCATTAAAACAATTACAAAAAATCAGAATTTTATTTAAACATCTTCCGTAAACAATCAGAATTTCAAACAAACAATTACAAAAAATCAGAATTTTAAATAAACATTCACGAGAAAAATCAGATTTTCATTAAAACATTTACAAAAAAGCAGAATTTTAAATAAACATTAACGGGAAAAATCAGAATTTCATTAAAACAATTACAAAAAATCAGAATTTTATTTAAACATCTTCCGTAAACAATCAGAATTTCAAACAAACAATTACAAAAAATCAGAATTTTAAATAAACATTCACGAGAAAAATCAGATTTTCATTAAAACATTTACAAAAAAGCAGAATTTTAAATAAACATTAACGGGAAAAATCAGAATTTCATTAAAACAATTACAAAAAATCAGAATTTTAATTAAACATTTTCAGCAAACAATCAGAATTTCATTAAAACAATTACAAAAAATCAGAATTTTAAATAAACATTCCCGGGAAAAATCAGAATTTCAAACAAACAATTACAAAAAAATCAGAACTTTAATTAGACATTTTCCGTAAACAATCAGAATTTCAAACAAACATAAATAAAATTGTTTGGAAAACTCACTTCGCTAGGTAGTCGTATTGAAGACAGGAGTGAAAGTGCTGAATTTTCCACATCAAAAACAAATAACCTTAAAAATTAAATTCTGATTTTACATAAATTCAAGTTTTGGTTAATTTGAAGTTTATTCACCTTACAAGACAGTCACCGCCTCCAACAGCAATTATTCCATCACAATTCCAAACAACCGCGTAAAGAGGCCATTTAGTCTCCAAAAAAGGCAAATTCACTGCAATTTTCCAAGAGCACCTATTTTTATTTTTTTCTCTAAAAATTTAAATTTTCCTTCTTACCAACTCTGTCCTTCTTCCGGTCTTTTCTCTTTACTCCAAATTTTTATTGTTTTATCACCACCAACTGTTGCCAAATGTTGACCGGTTAAATTATCAAATGCTGCGGACCTAAAAAAATTTTATTGAGAAAAAAAAATAAAAATTAATTTTATTTAAAAAATAACCAAACAGTTTCGGAATGTGCATCAGCTATTGCTTGTGCAGTAACCCATTCATCTCCATCAAAAATATAGAAACGAATTGAACAATCATAACCACCGGAAACTAGTATCTAAAAATTAAAATAAAACATTGCTATAGTCTATTTAATTTACAATTAAAACCAGAATTTTAATTGAACATTTCCCGGAATAGTCAGAATTTTGAAAAAATATTCCCAGAAAAAATCAGAATTTTATTAAAACATTCCCAGGAAATAATCAGAATTTTAATAAAACATTCCTAGAAAAAATCAGAATTTTATTAAAACATTTTCCGGAATAATCAGAATTTTAATAAAACATTTTCCGGAATGCCCAGAATTTTAATAAAACATTTTCCGGAATAATCAGAATTTTGAAAAAAAACATTCCCAGGAAAAATCAGAATTTTAATAAAACATTTTCCGGATGACCAGAATTGTGATAAAACATTCTTCTGAACAATCAGAATCTTAATAAAACATTCCCAGAAAAAATCAGAATTTTATTAAAACATTCCCAGGAAAAATCAAAATTTTAATAAAACATTCTTCTGAATAATCAGAATTTTAATTAAACATTCTCTGATCAGAATTGCAAACAAACACAATTCAATCAATTTTCAATATATTACTTAACAACATATTTAATTTTTCCTCACATGTGCCGCTATAGCTCAGCCGGTTAGAGCGTGGGTCTAATAAGCCCAAGGTCGCAGGTTCGATCCCTGCTAGCGGCATATAGTTTTTTCATGTGGAAATAATTATTAAAAATTATAAAAATTCTTTCGCCCTTTAAAAAAATATTTTTTAATTTTTTTTCTCAGCCCTAAAAATATTTTTTTATTTCCCCACATATTTTAACCCAAAATTTAATTCAAATTTTTACGTCTTCTCTAGGATGCCAAACAACAAATTTAACATCAGCAGTGTGTTGTTGAAGGATAGAGAGAACTTCGTAATCTTCGTCATCGTTTTCAAAAGGAACTAGAAAAAAATTATTTAATTAAAAAAGATTCTTAAATGAAAAAAAATTTTTTATGGCGAAAATTAGTTAAAGGTTTATTGTCCCGATAGTTTTTAATTAATTTAATTCACGAAAAAAAAAATTTTTTAGTAAAAAATCATGTCAACAAATTATTTTTGATTTCCAAAATCATTAAAATAAGTTTAAAAATAATTTAGAAAAAAAAATCAATAAAATTTCTAAGAAAATTATTTCTTAATGAAAAGTTATATGCCGCTAGCAAGGATCGAACTTGCGACCTTGGGCTGGCTATGAGTTATTAGAACCACGCTCTATCCGGCTATAGCGGCACATGTGGAAGCGAATTAAATTTCAAAATTTAAGTTAACTGAATTAAACCTTTCCAAATCCAAACAGTTTTATCTCTAGAGCAAGTTGCAAGATAGTGTCCACTTATTGAAAAACTGCAGCACTTTACCTGAAAAAATTTTTGTTCAAAAAAAATTCCAATTTACAAGATATAACCTCACACTCGTGTCCTTCTAATTTGTGGAGTTCTTCAAATTCATTGGAGCTTCTAAAAAATTTTAAATTAATTTTTCTGGCTTGTTAGAATACAGAATAAATTATTTAAATAAAATGAGTATCGCTATTTTTAAAAAATCCCCACAAAAATTTCGTTTGCAAAAAAATTTTGCTGGCAAGTCCATCCATAAATTTTTTAAAAATTATTTTCATAAATTATTGAATTTATAAAAAAGAACTCCCCAATAGAATCCAAAAATTTCCCATAAAAAATAAAAATTTAAACAAACTTATTTCTCTCATAAATAATTATTGTAGCATCAAAACTAGCTGCAGCAAGAAACCTTCCACAGGGGGAAAAGCACACCCAACGAATTGAACGAGTCTGATCACCTCGAATTGTTCCTATTTTGATTATAGAAAGGGGAGAAACTTAAAAAAATTCGAAAAATTTGGTAATCCTTAAGATCATTGGTCCCTAAAAAAATTGGGAAAAAAGTGCTGTTTTGATAATTTTGAGGTCTGCCAGTAGGTAATCGAGTGTGCTGAGTCCAAATCTGAGCTTAGAATTGGTTTATTTCGAACCCCGGACCCAAATTCGACAAAGTCGGTTTCGGGGTAAACATTTCGAAATTAAAAATTTAGGGCTAATCTGACACGACTATTCGAGCTGAGTCGAATGGTATCAAAATTATGATGTTTCGACAACTTTGGACGAAGTTATGATCAATTTAATACACGCTTGCTGAGACTTCCGTATACAAATCAGACACCATAACTTCGTCCAAAGTTGTCGAAACATCATAATTTTGATACCATTCGACTCAGCTCGAATAGTCGTGTCAGATTAGCCCTAAATTTTTAATTTCGAAATGTTTACCCCGAAACCGACTTTGTCGAATTTGGGTCCGGGGTTCGAAATAAACCAATTCTAAGCTCAGATTTGGACTCAGCACACTCGATTACCTACTGGCAGACCTCAAAATTATCAAAACAGCACTTTTTTTCCCAATTTTTTTAGGGACCAATGATCTTAAGGATTACCAAAAATTTTTTTTGAAAATTTTTTTGAAAATTAAAAAATTTAACCTTCAGAAGTTGCTTCAATTTTTCCATTATTTTGTTTATTTTCCTCCTCTTCACACTTCCAAATCTTATTTTTTAATTTAAAAATTAAAAAATCCTTCAAGTAATCTCTCAAAAAAACCTTGATTGTTTTATCCTCCCCAGCCGAAGCAATTAATTTCCCACCAAAATGCCAAGCACACGCCCAAACACGTTCACTCAAATAAAGTTGTTGTTCATCTACATGACAAACCTTTTTAGGGAAATTAAATGAAAATGAAGCAGACAATAAAAAAATTAAAAAAAACCTTCGATACATGACGGACAATTTTAGAAGAAGAGGCACTTGTAGACATTAAAAATTGAAGTGAAATTTGCTTAAAGACCTTCGAAAAATGAGTGGAATTTGAAGTAAAACCTAATAAAAGAATAAAAAAATTAAAAGAAAAAAAATTTTAAAAATTAACAAAAAAACTAGAAATCGGAAAAATCGCATTTGCAGGATTCTGTATCAGAATTGAGTTTTAAAATTTCGAACGGGACAGGATCCTGCAGGATTAATCCTGAAAATCCTGAAAACTGAAAAAATGCAGGATTTCTGACAGGATCCTGAAAAATCCTGTGCGGGATCCTGTCCCGCGCCTATCTTTAGAAAAAACCCCTGAAAAAAATCAAATCAAAATAGACATTATTTAATTTCTTCCACTGCTGAACATTTTTAACTGCTATAGGCTTTAGGTATTTTGAAATACTCAACAGCTTTTTGACATTTTAAAGGAAAATAAAGAAATAGTACATGCTCAAAATAGAGAAAGAGAGAAGGTTAGACGATTTTTAATATTTTCTTCTACTGGACATTTTGAACTATACGTTGTGTAGATATTTTGAAATATTTTATTCGAGTTGACATTTTTGGAAGAAAAAGGTTAGACACACACAAATTTGTTTAGAATCAAAGAAAAATAGAGAAACAGAAAAGAAGAAATATTAAAAGATAGAGTTAAAGGTTTTTTTTATCGAAATCATTTTTGCCTTACGATTTTCGATTTTTAGGGGTCTACGTGGTTCTTGTTTAAACTTTTTCATGTGATTTTTGTTAATTTTATGTTCCTCTTTTTGATCCCATTGTTACTCTATTCGATTTGTGTAGAAATTCGAACCTAATAAGCATGAACTTCGATTAACGGATGGATTAAGGATTGGTACAGGAAAACCCTAGACCGTAGCTTTAACTAGAGATCGGTTAAATCGCGTTTCCGGGGTCCTGCAACTGGATTGAGTTTGATAAGAGTTTGATAAGATCGAACGGGAGGGATTCCCGGGATTAATCCCGTTAATCTCAAAATCCAGGTAATCCCGTTCGTCTATTAAAACCCGGGATTCCTGGACGGGATCCCGTAAATTCCTGCCCTGGATCCCTCCTATGCCGATCTCTAGCTCACTTTGACCTGGATTTGATCCTGAAGCTGATCCTGGTTCAGACCTGATCTTGTCCTAGATCTTTGGCTCAGATCCAGCTTTATCCCTACTCTTCATTTCTATATTTTCTTTTTTAGGTTTTCATATTTTTTCTTAAAATGTCTTCTCGTTATGATGCAACTGAAGAACTTTCTGGAGCTGAGTATTTGGCCAGCATTTATGGAACAGAAAAAGATAAAGTCAACTGTTCCTTCTTTTTCAAGGTTTCTTTTAAATATGGCTCACTTTTCTTTTTTCTTTTCAAGATTGGCGCTTGTCGACACGGCGATAAATGTTTACGTGCCCATCACAGACCAACATTCTCCAACACTGTTTTACTCAAAAATTTTTATCATAGTCCAGCACTTGCACAACCTGATGCTTATGATAATTTGAGTTTGTTTTTATTTTTATAATTTACGGTCTGGGTTTTGAGCTTACTTTAATAGGAGAGTGGGTAATTTTTGAGTAAGTGATATGTTTAAGGAGAATTTTGAATATTTTTTTCCTACCTCCCTTTTGCGGACTGCCTTATGTAAAGAATGGTCAGACCAGAAAAATTGAGTGAAATTGAGGAAGAAGACTACATAAGGAAGTCCGAAAAAAAAAGTCCGCAAAAGGGGGGCAGGGATAACGGAAAAGTATCGTTTATGGTAGGCCCGTAGCCAGGAAAAATTTTCACGGTGCTACGGGCCTGGTTAAAGGGAATTAAGAGTTTCATTTTTGATTCAGAAAATTAAGGGCTAATTTTAATATGTTTGAACTAAGGACTACTCGAGATTCGAGATTTAGGAAAAGCCAAGGGTCTGTTCCTGAACTCTGGGTTTGATTTATTGATCTGGGCGGATTCTGGGCCTTTAGTCCAGATTAAACCCAGGCACAGAAAAACCCTAGGAATGCAAAAAATGCCTGGGCCTAGACTCTGGGTACAGGAAAACCCCAAACCTTGTTCCAGCCCTAGCTCGATCTCTACTCGGGATAAGTAAAAGCCAGCATTTTGTCTATTTAATGTATTTTATGCTTCCATGCGTGTTAAGAAAATAGTCGGTCAGAGTTTTCATTTTTTCCTTCTGATTGTTTGCATTTCAAATTGAACGTCAAAGGATTAATTTACGTCCCAATATGTTTGGGAATGGGTCGGATTACCCGAAACCACTTTTTCTCAGCCCGATCCATCCTTATGTTAGTGTTATAATTTTTTCCAATAAGTCTATTTTTTCTCTCGCCCGACCTTCGGCTTTCTCGCTAACATTTTCTCGGCTTTATCGCTAACATAAGACGTTCTCTCATTTTTTAAGTTCCCCGGAGATAAGAAACTTCACGTTTTTCACTTAAATTTTTTCAGAACTCGGCAAGACCGATAATTTGGATCAACAACATTTTGATGAATTTTATGAAGAAGTTTTTACAGAAATGGAGAGGAAATATGGGCCTGTTGAAGAATTAAATGTAAAAAATTTTTTTATTTTTTTTTGTTTTACAAAAAAATTTTTTTAAGATTTGTGAAAATATTGGAGAGCATATGGTTTGAATTTTTTGTTGTTTTTTAATCATTCATTATTTTTATTTTGTAGGTTGGCAATGTTTATGTAAAATTTGTTTATGAGAAAGATGCAGAAAAAGCAGTTCAAGGATTGGAAAATAGATGGTTTTCTTTTTAATTTTATTTTGCTAAAATATTTTGCCAAAAATATCTTGTGGGCAATCTTACCCCAGAAATTAGTCTGTGTTGTTTCCCCCACTCAAGGGTCAAAAACTATCCATTATCTTTAACTGAAGAGGTATCTAATTCTGGGGGTATCTTCTAGTGGTACTTGAATGTATCTGGAAATTATTTTTTGCAAGTTGGCCACACTTGATTCGGTAATTCCAAGGCTGGTCCCCCTTTTTTTCCTTTCTAGTTTTTTTCGATTTTTAAACTTTTTATGGCAAATTATATATCGTTCGAAAGAGCTCTTCAAGCCGAGTCGAACGGTACTAAATTCATCGAAATCCGACTTAAATAAACATAGTTATGAGCATTTGTTTTAATCCACTTCAACATCATAAAAAGCATGTCCATCGAGGATTTAGCTTCATAATTCTGCTCAGAATCTCCAAATCGAACCGATCATAGTATCATTCTACTCAGCTCGAACAGCTCTTTCGAATGATATATTGTAAATAATATGTCAAGCAAAAAAGACCAAAATGGTCAGGCGAACACAAAAAAAAAGGGGGGACCAGCCTTGGAATTACCCTTGATTCGAATTTGAGATTAGCCCGGGTCTTTGTCCTTATAATAAGGATGTAACCATGGGTCGGACTTCTTGTGTGGTTATACATAATAGAGATCGGGCTAGGCCTGGACCAATGCCTGGGTTTTTCTGTACCCTGTTCCCAGGCACAGGCATTTTTTGACCTTTTTGGGTTATTCCTGGACTACAGGCCCGGGTCAATAAATCAAACCCATAAACAGGCCCAGGCTTTTCAAAAATCTCGATCTCTAATACATCTAGGTTGTTCGCCATACTCTTGGCGTTTACCTTGATTTTTCTTGGACCCATTAGTAAAAATTTGGTCGCTTTTTTCATTTTTTTATTTTTTCTCTCCTAATTCTAGAAAAAAAATTTTTTATTAATAACTTTAACTTGTCAATTTTTAAGGTTTAACGGCCACCCAATTTATGCTGAACTTTCACCAGTATCAGATTTTCGTGAGGCACGTTGTCGTCAACACGAAATCAGTACTTGCGTAAAGGGAGGATTTTGTAATTTTATGCATTTGAAGGATGTGTCTGATGATGTGTATGTTCTTAAAAATCGTTTCTTTGAATTCCCTCAAAAAATTACCTTTTTGGTGTAGTGGGATAATCTTTAGTTTTTACTATTTAAAGGTCGTTGGTTCGAACCCCTTCCAGGGAAAATATTTTTTATTTTTTTATAAAAATATTTTTTAATTAAAATCATCGAGAATAAGGCACCAAAAAATTCAAAAAAAATTTTTTTATTAAAGTTATGAACGCTGTTATGGAGGCAAAGGTGCTAGATATAGGAGTGGACGGCGACATGATCGTTTGTGTTATTTTTTGTAAAATTTATTATTTTATTTTTAAAGGTTTTTATGCTGATGATGGATATGATGACCGACGTGATAGGTTCGATTTATTTTTAGAAAAATTTTTTTCGACTAAAAAATACTAGAAATTGATTCGCGGATGTCCGCAAAAATTTGCGGACAAATTTTTTCTTATAAGAAGTCCGCAAAAAATAAAAAGTCTGATAGTTGTCCGTAAAATAATAAGTCCGCAAAAGAAAAAATAGTCCGCAAAAAATTTGCGGACATCTGCAAAAAATTTTTGAAATCCTTTTAACTTTAAAATTAATTTTATAAAAAATTTTTTAAGAGACCGTAGCGATAGAGATCGAGGTGACAGAGACCGTGGAGATAGAGATCGTCGTCGACGGAGGCGGGATGATGACGATGATTTTCATGATTATCGTCGTTAAATTTATTTCAAGTTTATTTTTTTAATTTTATTTTTTTGTCCAAAATTTTTAAATTTTTTGATTAAATGTTTTTTCAACATTTTGACATGAATTTTTAAAAATTTTATGAAAAAAAATTTTCGGCGAACTTTTTTGGGAAAAAATTTTTTGAATTTTTTGACGGATTTTTTCCTCCTCTAGTAACGTATATTTTTCTCCTTTATTTCTTTTTTTTTCGAATAAAAATTTGATTTTTATGTTGATTTTTCTTTTATTTTTATTTAATTGTATTATGCAATTTTAACTCAATATTTTTCTAATTTTTTTTCTAGTTTCTATTTTTAACGCCACAACTATCTTAATTTTATAAGTTATTTACCTGATACACATTCTTAACGTTTTTCCAATAAATCGTAATATTTAAAATTGCGGACATCCGCAAATGACTTGCGGATGTCCGCAAAAAATTTGCGGACAGTTTTTTCTCATCCTTATTTGACAAAAGATCCATTAATCCGCTATCGTTTAAATTGCGGATGTCCGCAAGTTACAGCGGACGTCCGTAAGTTATTTGCGGACATCCGCATAATTTTGCGGACTTATATTTTTTTCATTTATTAAGCAAAATTGTATTAAAAAATGAAAGCCGACAGTAGCAGTGTTTCAACTTCCTCAACATCATCAGAAAAGTTGGAAGAAACTCGTCCTTCTGTATTAGTACGAAGAATTGATGACAATAATGAAGTAGAGGAAGGGGGCACAACTTCCTCAACACAAACAACAACATCTACATCAACCACTACAACAACTAGTACAACTTCAACTTCTGATGTTTCTTCTGCTGTTATTAATAGTGGAACGAGAACGGCTGATTTGGACAGGTTTTTTTGATTATTTATTTTTTTAAATTTAAATGGGGTGGGCTCCAAGGGATGGGGTTTCCAAAATTTTTATTTAGAAATTTTGGACATGGTTTTTTTTAATGTTTTAGGATTGGGCACCCTCTGTTATTCGTATCTGATTTTCGGCTATTATTGGTTTCTGATCCCTGGTTTTTCGATTTTGGTTCGGTTTTGAATGATAGGCTCCTTGGATTTGGTTAACCCTGTTTGTGTCTGACCGACATTAATTTTCTTGACATCCATTTTAAGTAAGTTGGTGGTATTTGCTGCCATACATTAACATAATAAGAATATGTTTTGTTTTTTCCACCTCGATTAAAATTGATTGTGCCGAGGTTTATCAAATACATATGTTTGTGTATAATGTGCCTATGTTTTTAATACGTCTTGTCCTATTGTTCCCTCTTTTCTTTATAGATTTTTTGTCGGTAATATTTTTTGGTAACTGCGGACACCCACTAAACATCCGAAAATATTCTGCGGACATTTTCTGCGGACTTTTATAATTTTTCTATTTTTTAGACAAATCGAAACCTTAATGCGTTGTGAATGTCTCAGCGAACAAGAAGTCAAGGTTCTCTGTGCTAAAGCTCGTGAAATCCTCATGCAAGAAGGGAATGTTCAACGGATAGATGCGCCCGTCACAGTTTATTTTAATTTTTAAAAATTTTTTTAAATTTTTCCCAAAGATTTGTGGCGACGTCCATGGCCAATTTCACGATTTAATGGAACTTTTCCGTGTTGGTGGCCAAGTCCCCGAAACAAATTATCTTTTTCTTGGAGATTTTGTGGATCGTGGATTTTACTCTGTTGAGACGTTTTTGCTCCTTTTGGCTTTAAAAATTCGTTATCCTGATAGAATGATGCTAATTAGAGGAAACCATGAGTCTAGACAAATTACTCAAGTTTATGGATTTTATGATGAGTGTCTTCGAAAATATGGTTCAGCTGTTGTTTGGTAATAAATATTTTTTATTTTTGAAGTCCGCAAATTTTTGTTAGCAATTTTTATTTATTTTGCGGACTCTGCAAGTATTTTTGTGGACTCCGCAAAAAAGTATAATATTCTCTAATTAAAGTTTAGTCTGTTTTAGGAACCCATAAATACCCAAGTAGACCCATCGGGAAATAAAAGAGTTTAATATTATATGAGTTAGGGCTCTAATTAAACCTTTACTTTATTTGACATGCGGATTAAAAGTTGCGGACTTTTGGATCCGCAATTTTCTGTCGCAAAAAAATTTTTTTTGCAGGCGTTGTTGTACAGAAGTATTTGACTGTTTAAGTTTATCAGCTGTAATAAATGGAAGAATCTTTTGTGTTCACGGTGGATTATCACCAAGCATTCAAACAATTGACCAAATTCGTACAATTGACAGAAAACAAGAGGTTTGGAGTTAAAAAAAATTTTTTAGAAATAAAAAGATTTTTTTGTCATGGTCCTTAGGGTTGGGGAGAGGATGGAAACGAAAAAAAAAATTTTTTTTTTAAACGAAAAAAAATTTTTTTGCCTTGGACCATTCTTTTTCTTTTTATTTTGTCCACAGATTGAGTTGGTTTTAATAATATGGCTATTTTTTCGAAAAAAATTTTTTTAATGAAGTTTTTTTCGCTTGTCCAGATCTTGAATTTTATTCTATAAATAATTTTTGGGTGACTAAAATTTTAAGAAAATTTCTTATTGTTATTTTTTCATTAATTATTTTAATATTTTTCAGGTTCCACATGATGGTAATATTTTTAAATTTTTTTTCAAAAAATATTTTTAATGTTTTTTTATTTTGGGTCCAATGTGTGACTTGTTATGGTCTGATCCAGAGGTTTTTTTATTTTATTTAAATATTTTTATTTATTTTAAGGATTCTGTTGGTTTTGGTGTAAGTCCTCGTGGTGCTGGATATTTATTTGGTTTGGAATTTTTTTAAATTAATTTTTTTATTGGATTTGGTTGAGCGCCCATTTTCCTTACAGAAACTGAGCAAACTATCCTTAGAAATATTTTTTGTGGCTTTATATTTTGTCCGCAAATAGTTGCGGACAAACATTTTTAAGATTTCTGGTGCACCCCAGGGAACGAGCCGTCATGATTCCCGAAAATCGGGAATTCCCGACGATTTTTTGGGTCGGGATCCCGATTTCCCGAAATCGGGAATTTTGTTTTATTGTCGGCTTGTTCCATGATGCACACTCTCACACCCTTTTTAACTCTGTAATTTGTCCGTTAAAGGCTCCGACGTTGTAAAAAATTTTTGTGAGACGAATAATATTGACATGATTGCTAGAGCACATCAATTAGTAATGGAAGGATATAAATGGCATTTTAATGAAACGGTTTATTTTTGTTTAAAAATTCCAAAAAAAATTTTTAATTAAAGGTACTCACAGTTTGGTCAGCCCCAAATTATTGTTATCGTTGTGGAAATGTGGCAGCTATATTAGAATTGGATGAGCAATTAAATAAAGACTTTACTATTTTTGAAGCTGCTCCACAGGTTTGCTATGAGAGAGGGAAAAATTTTTTGGGGATTTAAAAAAAAATTTGTCCGCAAAAATTTTGCGGACAAAAATAATTGTTAAAAATTTATTTTAATCACTTTTTAGTTCGAAATTTAACGAAAAATTTTTGCGGACAGATTTTTTTTGTCCGCAAATTTTTTGCGGACAAAAAAAATCTGTCCGCAAAAATTTTGCGGACAAAAAAATTTTTTTGGATTTTTTAACTAAAAAATTACTTTTAAATTTCTAATTATACTAATGATTTATTCATAATAAAAAATTTATTTTTCAGGATAATCGTGGTGCTCCAGCCAAAAAGCCTCAACCAGACTATTTTCTCTGAATTATTAGAATTCTTCAAGTTTTTGTTTTTTAATTAATTATTTTGGGAATATCATCATCTCGTTTACATTAATTTGAGATTTTTTTTCAGCTCTAAATTTAAATTTATTCTTTAAAAATATAGATGACACAATTCATCCTATTAAAAATTAAAAAATTTTTTGTCCGCAAAAAATATTTGCGGACAAAAAAATTTGTCCGCAAAATTTTTGCGGACAAATTTCATCTTATTAGAAAAAATTAAAAAGTTCTTGTCAGCAATATTTTTGCGGACACAAAAAATTTGTCCGCAAAAATTTAACGGATGTTCGCAAATATTTTTGCGGACAAAAAATTTTTGTCCGCAAAATTTTTGCGGACAAAAATTGAGTATCATTTATTTTTTAACGTTATACTGTGTAAGCATTTTCGGGGATTTTTTGTTTCAAATTAATTAATTTAAAAATCCCTAAAAATTAAATTTATTGCTCATTTGATGTTTTTTTTTGTTTTAATAAAGATGGGAAATTTATTGTTGTTTTCCTTATTTTTTAAATTAATTTTAGTATTTTAATAGAACTATCTTTAATTTTTTATTTTTTTAAAATTATTTTCTGATTTAAATTATTTAAGGTTTGGTGGAGCTGTGTTTACTGATATTTTTTTAAGAAATTAAAAAAATTTTTTGTCCGCAAATCTTTTTGCGGACAAAAAAACTGTCCGCAAATATTTTTGCGGACAAAGGGAATATTTTTAAATAAAATTATGATTTTATAAAGGGCTTTTAATGTTTAAAAATATTTTCTGAACTTTAACCTTTGGCCCTTTTTCATTTTTAATATGTTTCGGGATTGTCCGCAAATTGAGTCCGCAAATTTTTTTTGTGTCCGCAACTTTCAGAATTTAAAAATAAAAAAATTTTTTTTAATATTTTTTAATAATTTGAAAAATATTTTAAAATTAATTTTTTAATTTATTTTTAGACCTTTTAGAAAATTTATTTTAATTCTCTTTCAATATGTTGAAATCCAAGCTTTTTTCTTCATCATTTATTGCTTCAATTACACACAAAAAATCAAATTTTAATTTTTTTCATTGTTCTGGACGTTTATTGCTGGAAGATGTTCTTAAAGAACGAATTGAAAATTTTGTAAATTTTTTTAAAAATATTAAAAAAAATTTTTTTTTAATTTTTAAGGTCAAATCCGCACCCGTAACAGTTTTTATGAAAGGAACACAAACAGAGCCAATGTGCGGGTTTAGTCGGAATGTTAAATTGGTTAGAGAATGTTTTTAATTTTTTCAGAATTTTATAAAAACATGTTTTTCTGATTGTTTAGAAATGTTTGTTGTTTTAAAAACATTCAGAATTTTTTACAAAAACATCGTTCTGATTTTACAAAAACATTTAAAAATTGTTTAAGTAACGTTTCAGAATTTTACAAAAACATGTTTTTCTGATTTTATAAAAACATGTTTCCAACGTTAAAAACATTCAGAATTTTTTAAAAACATCGTTCTGATTTTACAAAAACATTTAAAAATTGTTTAAGTAACGTTTCAGAATTTTACAAAAACATGTTTTTCTGATTTTATAAAAACATGTTTCCAACGTTAAAAACATTCAGAATTTTTTAAAAACATCGTTCTGATTTTACAAAAACATTTAAAAATTGTTTAAGTAACGTTTCAGAATTTTACAAAAACATGTTTTTCTGATTTTATAAAAACATGTTTCCAACGTTAAAAACATTCAGAATTTTTTAAAAACATCTTCTGATTTTTCAGAATTTTATAAAAACATGTTTTTGTTTTTCTAAATATTTCAGAATTTAAACAAAACATTTTTGACCTTAACATAAACATTTCTTATTTATAACCAGAAAAACATGATTTACCAAAACATTTATAAAAACATTTTCTGATTTTTATAAAAAATGTTTTTGTTACTAGAATTCTTTCTAAAAATATTTTTAAAATCAACAACAATTTTAAAACAAAATTTCTATTCCATTCAGATTCTCGATTTACATCGTATCCCATTCAAGGACTTTAATGTTTTGGAGGATGAGAAAATACGTGAAGGAATTAAAGAATTTAGTGATTGGCCGGTAATAATAAATCTTTAATTTTTATTAAAATTTAAAAAATAAAATTCAGACAATTCCTCAAGTTTATGTAAACGGGAAATTTGTTGGGGGAGCTGATATTTTTATGCAAATGCACAAAGATGGCGAGGTAAAGGAGTTTTTTGTTGATTTAAACATTTTAATGACAAATGTTAGAAACATGTTTCTGATTTTTAAAAACATTATTCTGATTTTTATGAACATGTTTTGATTTCCAAAAACATGTTCTGATTTCTAAAAACATGGTTCTGATTTTTAAATACATGTTCTGATTTTTATGAACATTCTGATTTTTAAAAACATTATTCTGATTTCGAAAAACATGTTTCGTTCTGATTTTTATAAACATCTTTTAGAAACATCGTTCTGATTTTTTAAAAAACATTCTGATTTTCAAAAACATGTTTCTCCCCTTAAAAACATTCATTAAAACATCGTTCTGATTTTTAAAAACTTTTTCTGGTTCTTGAAATCATTCTGGTTTTTAGAAACATTATTCTGATTTTTAAAAAAACATTCTGATTTTTAAAAACATGTTTCTCCTTTTAAAAACATTTATAAAAACATTCTGATTTTTAAAAACATGTTTCTCACATTAAAAACATTAAAACATTTTTCTGATTTTTTATTCAAGTTTATTTTTAAAACTTGTTTCACTTTTTAAATATTCTGATTTTTAGAAACATGTTTCTCCCATTAAAAACATTTATTAAAACGTTGTTCTGATTTTTAAATGTTTTTCTGATTTTTAAAAACATTTCTGATTTATTCAAAAACATGTTATTTTTAGATTCACAAATTCTTCGACGCAGAAGGTATTCCGTCAAGATTTTCTGACAAATTTGAAAAAACTGAAGGCTAAAAAATTTAATTTAAAATATTTTTGCCGTTATAAATTATTTTTTTATCAATAGTTGGAACATTTTTTTAAATTTTAATTTTTGTTTTAAATTTTAAAAATGCTCAAAAATTAAAATTTTGGCCTCAAAAATTTTTTTGAAAAATTTTTGAAAATTTTTTTTGAAAATTTTCAAAATTTTTTTATAAAATTTTAAAAATTTTTAGACAGTAAAAAACCACCTTTAATAAATTTTTCGGACCTTTAGGCTCTCATTTTTGCCCATTTTTATAACTCCGCGCCGTAACTTCCTCGCGCCCCAACAACCCCTCCATATAAAGTGGGTGAGGCATACTTAAAAATATATGTCTTTCTCCTTTATTACTCTTTTAATTTTTATATTACACATCAAAAATTAAGATCTTTGGGAATAGGGACAGGAAGAAAATAATCTATACTTAAGGAAAAGCTTGGGTTTAATAAAAAACAATTTTTGGTCGGAAGAGACATTTGCGGACAAAACTTGCGGATTTTTTAAAAATTTTTTTCTAAATTCTGGTTTTCTGATTTTTTTCTGATTTAAAATATCAGAAAAATATTTATTGGAAATACTCCAGTCTATTAGTCTTCCCATTTTCACTAGGCTTCGGTTTTGTCCGCAAAAATTTTGTCCGCAAATTTTGTCCGCAAATTTTGTCCGCAAATATTTTGTGCGTAAAAATTTTGTCCGCAAAAATTTTGTCCGCAAATATTTTGTCCGCAAAAATTGCTCCTCCCCCAAAATTTTTTTTAATTCCTCAAAATTATTTTTAAGTCAACGCCCAACTGTCCCCTCTTCTTCCATTTTTTATGTCTTCACGATTTTTGAATTCTTGTCGTGTTTTAAAAATAAAGAAGTGTTTACTTTAATCATTTTTTGTTCGTTTTTAGTCATCTTTTTTGTTAAAGGTTTTTTGCCTTTAAAAATATTTTTTTAATAATTTTTTAAAATTTTTTTCAGGAATTTAAGAAAAAAAATTTTTAAAATAAAATGTCAACAATAACAGAAATTACTAGAACAACAAAAACTGGAATTTCTCGAAATGTTGATTATGTTGGTTTTGCCAATTTCCCAAATCAAGTGTTTCGACGATGCATTAAAAATGGATTTGAATTTACTTTAATGGTTGTTGGTTAGTTGGGAATTTTTTTTATTTTATTTTTTAAATTAATTTTCTGAGAGGTCTGTAGGCGCTGATTGATTTGTTTTTTTGTCAGAATTTTGCGGACAAATTTAAATTTGCGGACAAATTTAAATTTGCGGACAAATTTATAATTTGCGGATAATTTTTAAAAATTATGGGAATATGCGTAATTATCCGCAAATAAGGTTGCGGATAACTGTCCGAAAAATTTTTTAAATTTGCGACAAACGCAAATTTGCGTATAACTTGTAGAACTTTGTTGACTTTCTCCGCAAATAAAATCCGCAAATTTAAAAAAATTTCTAATTTAGGCCAATCAGGTTTGGGCAAGTCTACTTTCTTGAACACACTTTTTATGGCCGAGTTGCACAATTTGAAGAAGGATAAGCCTATTGAAAGCAAATCTACAGTGAAAATTGAAAGTAAAACATTTAAACTTGCAGAGAATGATGTTCGGTTAAAGGTTTTTTTAAAGATTTTTTTGGGGAATTTTTAGAAAATATATTTCTTGGGTACTTACCGCAAAGCTATAACTTCTTTCAAAATGGTCGAATCCGGGAAAATCTGGTATGGTTCGATTCAGCTCGTCGAGGCGCATCGAGCCATACCAAGGCGTCCCGGATTCGACAATTCTGAAGTTGTAGCTCTGCGGTAAGTTGGCCTGCTCCTATTTTCTTCTATTTTCAACAAGAAATAAAGGGGAAATATGGGATAAGTTAAAATAGGGCTCTTAAATTTATGAAAAAATTTATTAAATTTTTGCGGACAAAGTTTGCGGACTTTTCCCCATATTCTTCTCGTTTTCCCTTCCCTGGCTAAAAATCAACCAAGAAACGCTTCCAAAGTTATAAAAAAAATTTTTTTTAAGTTAACCGTTGTTGACACGCCTGGCTTTGGCGATTTTGTGGACAATTCAAAATGGTTTTTTTAAATTTTTAATTGAAAAAAATTTTTTTCAAGTTGGGAACCAATAGTTAAATATATCGATGACCGTTTTGCCGATTATTTGGCAGAAGAAACAAAAATTGACAGATCGCCACAAATTGAAGACAAACGCGTTCATTTGTGTGTTTATTTTATTCCGCCTACTGGACATGGGTATTTTTAAAAATTTTTGAAATTTCGAGTCGTGTGGTGTAGTGGGACCGGTCCCAACTTTGACCTTTTTTCGACGAGGGTTCGAACCCTCTCCGGGGCATTAATTTTATTTTTTTCGAATTTATACATTGTAGGGCATTTGTAAACTTGACAAAAAAATTTTAAGTCTTGTGGTGTAGTGGGACCGCTCCTAAATTTGGCCTTTTTTCGACGAGGGTTCGACCCCTCTCCGGCTCAAAAATTATTTTTTCCCTTTCACTAAATTTTTAAAATAAAGGAGCATTTACAAGCTTGCCTAAAAAATTTCGTAAAAATCTTTTTTGGTGTAGTGGGACCGCTATCAAATTTTTACCTTTTTTCCACGGAGGTTCGATCCCTCTCCGGTGTAAATATTTTATTATTTTCTTTTTTCCCTTATATTTACTCAATTAAGATTTTTATTTAATTTTCTATTACAAAAAAATTTTTTAAATATTTTTTAAGCCTTAAACAATTGGATATTGCATTTATGCAAGCATTACAAGAACGTGTAAATATTATTCCAGTTATTGCAAAAGCAGATACTCTTTTGCCTTCAGAACTTGGACGTTTTAAACAGAATGTTAGTTTGACATTTTAAAGTTTTTAATAGCTACATTGGACCTCCCTTTATCCTTGTAGCCAAAAATTTTTATCATTGAGGGGTTTCACCTATTAAAGCATGTTCCCTTCACTCTACCAAAAATGTTCCCTACGCAGTACAGAAAATTCATAAATACTAGAGAACGGACTGGAAGGGTTAGTCAACGATATCAAGGCGTTAACAAAATCTGAACCTTTGGATCTGAAATCTGATCCAAAGAAAATTTTGAAAATCCGTTCCGACATAAATATTTTTAACCCAGTCCATCCCTGGTCCAATTTTTTATTTTTTAACTTAAATATTGAGAGGAAAAAAATTTTTTTAGATAATGGATGATATGAGAAAAAACAACATTTCCCTCTATAAATTTCCTGAAAATATGGAACAACAACAGCCACCTCCCCAACAACCTCCACACCAACAACAGCCTCTTATAAACGGAACAACGACCAACGATTTTTTAACTAATGGAAAACCTCATCAAAATGGCAACAATAATTCTGCCTCTTCAGACCTGTCCAAACGACTTCCTTTTGCTATTGTCGGTTCAACCCACATTAAAGAAATTTTGGTTGGAGGGGAACAACGTGCTACTAAACACAGAGTTAGGGTTAGAGAATACCCTTGGGGAACAGTTGAAGTGGATAATTTGGCACACAATGATTTTATGGCTTTGAGGGATATGATAATCAAAAATAATTTGATTGACTTAATTGATGTTGGTAGTTTTTTGAATTATAGTGACATTTGAGAACAGAGACATTTGCGAACATTTAGGCTTGTTTTTTTACTGTATCCCACCAATATAACGTACCGTATAAGTGATAAGAATCTGGGCTGACCTGTCGATTAGATTGACACCATGGTGACCCTTTCCAAACCACAAAAAATGGGGCATGGCTTCACAAAAATGGGGTCCTAAAGGTGGCAAAAGCTTGACACTCAATTTATTCCAGTTTCAATGGGCCTCAGTTTTGTTCGCAAATGTCAGTCGGTAGATGTCGGTAGGCCTTTATTTAACTGTACAAACTTTATTCTTAACACATAAATGGGAATAAAAAGATTAGTAGTGTACCAGGGGTGTGCCTAAACTGATTTTTAAAAAGCGAAAGACTAAATCGAAACAACAAAAAAGGCGAAATTCGGCGAAATACGAAAGTCGAAACTGAACACAACCCTGGTTAGAGTATACCCTTGGGGAACAGTTGAAGTTGAACTGACACTGACACAAGCCTAGAGGTCCTGGAACTTACTCATTCACGCAAAAAGTTCCCCTACTTGTTTGTACGTTAAATAGAGAGTTCCTACCTTAAAAAAATATTTTTCTCTCATCTCTCTTAATCTAATATCTCCCCTTCTTTTTGAAGGTAACCAAATGTGTTCATTATGAAAATTATCGAAAACGCAATTTGCCCCAAAACAAATTTGAAGAAGAAGATCCTTTTACTCAATTAGAAAAGGAAACAACAACAAGATTGGCTGAAGCAGAAGATACACGTCAAAAACGGGAAGCTTTATTTAATGAGGGTGTTGCTGAACGTGAACAACGATTGGTGAAGAAAGCATTGGCGGTGAGGGAAAGAAAGAAATTTTTTGTTATTTAGGAGGGGGAATTGTTAGACACTAAATTTAGCTTTAAGGGGGGGGGGTCAAACTTGAACACTTACCATCCTGATCAACACAAATCTGGAGATTTGGGGAAAGGGAATATCAGGGGATCAGGGCGTGATATCGAAGGATTAAGAGGTTAAGGTAGAGATCTGTGGATTTGATTGGATATGAGAGGATTTGAAGAGTTACCTAGATATTATAAAAGATATCAAAGGGATTGGTGGGATACCGTGAGATTAGATATAAGAGATCGGGGGTTAGGGAGGATATCAGGGAATTTCGGGATATAAAAGAATTTGGAGGGATTGATTTGAAGAGATATAAGTGATATTATGTGAGCAATACATTTTTTATATCAAAATTTTTTTGACAGATGGATTCGGAAGAGAAGGAAAACCGTAAAGTTTTGGAGGAGAAGCAAGCATTGTTGGATAAACTTAAACAAGAAGTTTTCAAAATTTGAAAAACTTTTTAAAAAATTTTTTCCCTTTAAAAAGATTGCCAACACAAAAAGGGGAGCTAATTTGTCTGCTTCAAGTTTAGAATCTGGATCTACTGGGACAATAACTTCAACATCATTGCGTACAAACTCTTCACCTCCCGACAAAATTACAACAAAGAAGAGAATTGGGCATTTGTTTGGTGCGAGGAATTGTTAAAAAATTATGTGAGAGGATTGAAAAAAAATTTAGAATAAAAAACTTTAAAAAAAGAAGCTCGGGTTAAGACCATAAAAGTAAGCAGGATGGAAGGATGATTTCTAAGGACATCCTTGAATAGCGGCTTTAAGAACGGGTACAGTCCAAGTAGGCACAAAGTCATACGCGCAAGTCATACGGCGTAAAGTCATAACTTGCTTCAAGATTTTTGAATCTTACCAAATTTTGTATTAAACGATTCCTCTCATCGCTTTAAAGAGATGGGTACCAAAATTAATAAGAGTCATAAATTTTCCAGAAAGTTTATGGCTTTGCGCCGTCATGGCCGCGTGCCTACTTGGGCCTTATGGATGGGAAAGACTTGAAATTATCGAATTGTCCTGTGAGGGTTTTCCTCTTCGACTAAGTTTTGGGTATCCAAAAATTTCCAAGAAGGGCACAGAAAAAATATCATTTCCCTCATAAGATTAAGCTTCCAATTTTTTTAATTTTTTAGGTAGTTCAAGGACATATCTTCTTTTATCTAACAAGGCAAACAAAAAAGAAAAACCTTGTTTATTCTCTTGTATTTCATTAAATAATTTGTATGGTTCTTCAAATTGAACTTCTTTCTATATACAATCGAACCTCTTTTTCAGATATCCCCAATATTAGATCATTCTATTTAAGCTACGTTTTCTTAAAGAGTGGGGTGGCCACTGGGCGGGAGGAGAGACGATACCCTTACTGTAAGTTACCCTCATTATAGGATAAACCTCTTTTTAATAGACACCTCACTATAAGTTACCTTCATTATAAGATAAACCTCATTTTAATGGACACCTCACTATAAGTTACCCTCATTATAAGATAACCTCTTTTTAATGGACACCTCACTATAAGCCACCTCATTATAAGATAACCTCTTTTTATGTACATTCCATTATAAGGTTCAACTCTACAGAATACTTACCAGGGGTGGGCCGAGACCCACAAAATAAAAAACACGAGATACGAGACTAAGCCCACCCCTGATACTTAGCTCTTCTTAAGCTACTTCTCATGATATGATACTATCTCTTTTAAGCCTCCAAAGTGGATATTTAAAAACGAGGTTTGATTGTTATATACATTCAATTCTATTTATTATAGTTTTTTCAACGAAGCTTTTTTCTTTGAGACTTTATTTTAGACTTATTTTAAACGTTTTTATATACTCAAGCCTTTTAAAAATAGCCTTGCCATTTTTACACGTCTTTATTAAAAAGCCATTTTTGTCCCCTTTTTTAAATTTTTGAATTATTTTACTTAATATATAATTTATTATTATACTCGAATTGCCTTATTAATAGCAATTATTATCTTTTCTTGTTCACAAGAACCTTATCAATTTTTATTTTTGTTATCAAGCCTTTTAATATTCACTTTGGTTGGGGGCAACTGAGCGCTAGGTGACTTTGATCGACCATAACTTTTTTGACCCTGATCTAATCTGAATAAATCTTATATCATTCGAAAGCTATTAATAAGCGCTAACTTTTCTCCAATTGGACGGAACAAGTCTGATTCACTCATTAAAAAGTTATAACCCGGTACGTGCTAGAAATCGTTAGTTTTCACATTTATTGGGTTCTAACTTTTTAATGAGAGATCAGACTTGTTCCGTCCAGTTGAGAAAAAGGTAGCGCTTATCGAGAGCTTTCGAACGATATAAGATTTACGATGATTGGATCAAGTACAAAAATGTTATTGCCGATAAAAGTTTCCCGGTACTTGGTTGGCCCATACCGAAATAATTTTATATGTTATTGTATACGAAAATAAAATTACATACATTCCTGTGAATTTTACGTTTTTTAGGTACTGCGAGTATAAGTGTTGGATCGGATCGTTGGTCAGTCATTAAAATAAAAACGTGGTTAGATGTGACCAAAGTAGCATGGCATCACCCCCGTCACCTAAGCGCAGCGGGTTTTGGCGTCACTAACTGATTTCTTATTTCATTAATTAAAAAATAAATTATTAAAAAATAAATTTATTAAAAATTAAATTTAATTAAAAAAATTTTTGTCGAACTCCACTGAAGCCCTCCATCCGAATACAACCGCTATGAGAGTTTAGAATTTCTTCGTCAATAGAGAGCTCTCCAGCCATTTGACGACACTGTAGATTGCGTTTATTGTTCGCCGGACAATACAAAATTGGCTAGCAATCGTTGAACGCGGTCAGAACAGGGAAACGTCAATCGTTGGTCGGTCATTCTAGCCATTGAGGTTTTATCAACTCTGTTGACTACCTAGAAAGGTAGACGTTCCCATTAGGACTCAATAACCCTAATGTGACAGAACGTTTCTCTCTCATAGCGGGAAACGGCGGCTTTCTGTTCGCACAACAGAACAATTTCTGCAACGTATATATTAATGCAGAATATTTTTATAATAAATTTTTGATGGGGAGCAGAAAAGAAAAAAATATAAATTAATTTTTATCTTTCTCTCTTCTATGTTTCTCCCAGTATAAGAAGATTTTTATATTGTCTACCACAAAAAAGGTCCGCAAGGGGTGTCCGTAAATATGTATATGCGGATTTAAATCCGTAATGCGGATAAAAAAAAGTTCGTAATGCGGATTTAAATTTAATAAAACAAATATAAATACTTATATATCCCTTTATCAATAAGATAAATAAAAAATTTCTTCCCAATTTTCAAATAGAGTCATGAAGTCCATACCATACCGTATCCCGTACCGTAATACCGAAAAATATCAATACCGCGATAAATACCTACATTAAAATCAGTCGGTATTGTGTCGTACTACCAATATGGAATACCGAAAAATACTGTCGGTAGTACGGTAGGCTCTAAACTAAAAATTTAAAAAATATCCCGATTTGAATAAATCTTTCCAGTATTCTTTATAAAATTCTCAGAGTCCTTTTTGAATGTATCACATCAAAATCCATCACAACTTCCACAACATCCCATGCAGTTACATTCGTCTTTAACGCAGCATCCATCAACACAACAACCTTCAGGAAAACTTGTTGGACAATCATCAGGGTTACCATACTAAAATATATTTTTAAAATTATGTAAAAACCTCCCTTAAACCCCCTCCTCCTACAACCAACGTTTGAAGCACTAATTACCCAGGGTAGTTATTCAAGGAAATACGGTAGCTATTTAAAATTTCTAAGGCTGTTTAAAGCGATAGAAACAAACAGCCCGGCAAGTACTCAGCAACAGGAGACCTCTTTGTTAATGGCTAATTCCTTCAGAGGCAAGGCAGAATTACTAGAATTACTCTCTCTCAAACGATAATTACCCAAGATAATTATTCGAGTGTATACGGTATTATTTTACCTTGGCTCCTTCTGTCACACCAGCAAAATAAAAAATTGTAGCGAAGGCCAAAAAATAAACTAAGAAATTTAATTTTACCATTGCAGAGTATAAATAGTAGTTAATAAAAATCTAAAAAATACAAATATTTTCTCATTTTTTGGGTGTATCAACAATAATGGTTATTTATGCTTTTGGAGTAGGGGGGGGGGTATTTCTTCTGTCATTTTTGCTCTTCTACTTTCGCCTTCCTTCCGCTTTTTAAAATATGGGAGAGTTATTCCCTGATGTGTAGGAGGGGGAGGGTCAATCCCTGATAAGGACGAGCCCTTTTGATAAGGACGAGCCCTTTTGACGAGCCCTTTTGCCCATCCCTGAGGATTTATATGCTTCCCCTTGCCACCTCGGGATTTACAAGCAAAATTAGCCTCTAATTACCTTCCCACTCGGAGAATGACCGTTGTTTAGGTGTTATACAGTGACTAAGCTAAAGCAGACTTCAAAAACCGCCGCCAGGCATCGAACCTTTGCCTTCTGTTAACTGCAAGCCTGGGGTGTTAACCACTACACCAAGGCAGCGGTTCAACAATATCCACCTCATATCAAGGGGGAAAGGAGGGATGAGGGGCAGAGATTCATGTATTCCTCGTACCTATTGATTAACTCAAAAGCAAAATAACTGATTTTGAAGAAGAAAAAAGAGAAAGTGAATAAATTTGGGGTAAAATTAACTAATTTTATATTAATCTAAAGTTAATGTTCTTTCACGACTCATCCAATATTTGAACAGCAAAAAAATTAATTTTTTTAATTTTGCAAATTTTTTTTATTTAATTCATTAAAAATAAATTTAAATATATTTATTTTTAGTATTTTTTGGGCAAAAAATTTATATTTTGGAATTTTGCCCAAACATGTGTTGGGATCGTTTTGGCGCGGGGCCGTTTTGGCGCGAGAGTCGAAATTGGCACTTTGGCGAAAGCTAAATTTATGAAAATTTTCTCAAATTTCTTTAACGTCCATGGCTACCTCCTCCAGAAATTTCAGAATTTCTCATCAAATATTTCTGAAGTTATGGTCGATAAACCTCGAAAAATAGGGCGTTTTTTGGAAAATCAAAATTTTTGGCCATAATTTTTGAAATTCAAGTTTGGAAATTTTTTTTAATTTCTAGTTTTAAAATTTTCTGAAATTTTTGGAGAACTTAGTTAAGGATATGAGTGTTATTATTACAAAATTTTGTCTTGTTAGGTAAGCAATTCACTATTTTATAAGCTCGCGCCAAAACTGCCTCGCGCCAGAACGGATCATTCCCTATAATTTTTGCCCAACAAAAAAAATTTTTTTGGCCAAAAAAATTTTTTAAATTTATTTTTGGGGTTTGCCTCCAACATAAAGTTTAGAGTAAAATTAAAATTTACAAATATCCACATGGCAATAGAGAGAGAGATAAATTAAAATAAAAAAATTAAATTTTCTAAATTTGAGAGGGGTTAAGCTCTTTAAATTTAAAAAAGCTTAACTAGGCTTGGTTTAAAATTTAAAACAGGGGGGAGAGAAAATTAGCTGCCAACAATTTTTAAATTTTTATAAAATTAAAAAAAAATAATTTTTTTCATGTGATTTTAAATAAAAAAAAATTTTTTTAGTTGCCAAAATTGGAAATTTTCAGAAAAAAAATTTTTTATTGAGATTTTTCCGGTACATACCAATATGATAACTTAAATTTATTCAAGCGTACTTGCAAGAAAAAATATCTTTTTAGTAAATGGTTGTCATCCTTTTGGAGAGAGGATGACATCTCTCCTTTGGAAAAGAGAGATTGTCATCTTTGTCATCCTTTGGGAAAGAAATCAAGACTCTCCTATCTGGGTTACTTACCCCCCCCCCCCCCCAAAGACCTACACCCCAAAACTTATTGACTGACTCTGAAGACCTGCAACTTTTGAAGGGAAATATCGATGGATTAAGGAAGATAAGTACCCTGTCAATAGATATGTGCCAGATATGTATTTTAGAACCTCTGGCGTTGTGAGCGTGTAACATAACTCTGGGGGAGCAGAGATTTCTATCCACTTCAATCACATCACATCTATCCATAATCCCTCAACAACTATCAGGGCTGGGACCCTTCAAAAATTGTAAGTCTTCAGGGTTAACGGCATTTAAAGAACAAGGCTTCAAAAGGGGACTCCATTCAAGGGGGACTCCTATCTTTTTTTCGACAAAAAAGTATAGCCAAGCTCCTTTATTAATATTAAATTTTCGTCCGAAACATAGATTTGATTAACTCTTTTTTCACAAAAATTCGTTAGTTCTTCAATATTCTTTTTATCCAGCCCCCTCACAACTTCAGCAACATCCACTGCAGTTACAACCTTTTTTCTTAGTACGGCAGATTCCATCAACACAACAACCAGCAGGAAATCTTTTAGGGCAATTGTCAGGGCTACCATACTAAAAAATATAAAAATAAATGACAAATTAGTTACTTGTATCGTTTCCTTCCCCCATCCAATTTTTCCTGGGTGTACAAAATGGTCAGTCATTTCTTCCTTGAATAATTTCACAGAATTTCACTGTCGAAATCAGTCAATGTGTGCCACAGAGAGATTTTGTGAAATTATGCAAGGAAGAAATGATTGACCATTTTGTACATCAAGGAAAGTGAGTGGGGAAAGGAAATGACTCAATTACCCCCCCCCCCCCAAATTGGCATTCCTCAATACTCGGAATAAAGACAAGTCAAACCGTGCTGTAGCGAGGGTGGAACAGCAATTACCCAGGGGTTATTAGAGTAAATACGGTATATTATAATTACCTTGACTCCTTCTGTCACGCCAGTAATGAACAAAATTGTCATAAAAGCCAAAAAATAGACTAAGAAAGTCAATTTTACCATTGTAAAGAACCGTTTAAAAATTCTAAAATGAAAATATTGAATCCTTGCAAAATATAAAAACGGCAGTTGAAACAGTCCCGAATTCCGTTACCTTCGTTATTTACGATTACCTGCTAGTCTATTAAAGTAATTTTCTTCTGGACTATGATGGGCCGTGTTGGGGGAGGGGGGGGGGGTGAAGATCCGAGGTCCCTTGGAATAAGGATAGATCGATGAAACGTGACTTAAGGTTGAGTAGTCCTTCAGTCTGGTCAATCCTTGGTGTTTTACCATTGTAAAGAACCGTTTAAAAATTCTAAAATGAAAATATTGAATTAACCAGGGATGTGCGTCATGGCGTTTTGGCGCGACGTTCTGGCATGATTTTTGTCCGGTTTTGTGATTTAAAAATTTGAAAAATTGGCGTTTGACGGGCAGGCGAAAATTTTGGCGCACATCCATGGTGTTAACCACTACACCACTGCCCTGGTGTAATGGTTAACACCCCAGACTTGCACTTAACAGGAGACTCGGGTTCGATGCCTGGCGGCGTTTCTTGAAGTCTGCTTTAGTCTTAGTTCCTGTCTAACACCTAAATTTCTTTTTGGGTTGCATTATAACAAGAAAAAAATTTTTTTATTTAATTTTGTGAAGCTTAAAATCCTTTAGGACCAATATGGGGAAGAAAAAATGAGAGGAACTAAATTTAGAATAAAATTAGCTGCTTTTATATTCAATCCAAAATTGAGGAATTTTGTCTACTAAATTATTTGAACAGCGAAAAAAAGTATTTAAAAAATTTTTTGACGGATTTTTGGCCAAAAAAATACTTAAAATCTTTTTATGATTAAAGAGAGAGAGAGGAAGTTACAGAAGTGTACCGGAAGCTTTGTGGATTAATTATGTCTACCAGTACCAAACAATTTTTAAATATTAAAAAAAAATTTTTCATGTGATTTTAAATAAATTTTAAGACAAAATGAAAGTTGGAAAAAAATTTTAAAAACCAAAAAAAAAAAGAAAAAACTTCCAAGCAGAAGACAGCGAAAAAAAGGTTTTGATGTTCTTGAAGGTGATCAATTGGGTCAGTCCTTTTTACATTAACTAAAATCCAGCCTTTAAAAAATCTTTAATAAATCCATAAAAATCAATCGTCTTTTCTTTGCTTCTTTGTCCATATTTGTATAGAGAAATATTAAATTTAAATTTGTCCGCAAAATATTTGCGGACATTTTTTTGCGGACAGAATTTGGATGAATTGTCGCAACTGATTTTTGGCCATAACTTTTCTGGATTTCAACCGATTCGAATAATTTTCATACCATTAAAAAGCTCTCGATCTGAGGATTATTTTAGCAAAAGAGACTGATCAGATCGGATCGTCCTCTAAAAAGTTAGAAGCTGTTAAGTGACGAAAATCGTGATTTTTTCGACTTTTATGTCTCTAACTTTTTGTACGGTGGCTTTATCAGATCGATCCTGTTAGAGAAAAGAATAAGCAAAACAAGAGCTTTCGATTGATATATGACTTGTACAGAAATTGTAGAAACTCAAAAAAGTTATGGGCCAAAGAAGAGCTCAAAGTCAACATTCATTTAAAATCAAAAAAATCCGCAAAAAATTTATCCGCAAATGTGCGCGAAGCAATTCTTGTACAACTCAGCTTCCTCTTCTCGCGCATTCGCTCTTTTTTTTATTGAATTGATTCTTGTCTATATAGCAATAAATCAGTCTAAAATATGGCCATTAATTTTTATTTTAAAATTTTTTGAAATTTCGTAAGAGCCACTAGAGTCTCTAACCATTCGACATTCTTTGCTCTATAACTCTGCTTCCCGAAAACTGTTATTCTAGTTCTTGGTGTCGTTCGATAGAGAATTGAATTGGCTACAAAATAAGCTATAAAGCTTAATTTGTGGATAACTAGCAAAAAAGTTGAGGTCGAAAAACTAGGTAAAACTAGCGAAATTTGAAGTTTTCTGCTCATATATTTTTTGTCAAAATTTTCAAATTTTCTATTTTTTTGTTATTTTATAGCTAACTTAATTCTCTATACAAAGATACCAAAAATACCTCAATTGGTCCATCCGTTGTTGAGTTATCCAGCTTAAACAAAAACAACTCAGACTCAACTGACGAATTTTAAAATTTAACCGGATGTGACAATTGAGTCTTACCGACTGAGCAACATTTTTTGGCCCATAACTTTTTTGTTTTTCGAAAATTTCCATACAAGTCATATATCATACGAAAGCTCTTGATTTGCTTATTCTTTTGTCTAACGGGAGCGTTCTGATCTGTCTATCGTACAAAAAGTTGGAGATACAAAAGTCTAAAAAATCACGATTTTCATCACTTAATAGCCTCTAACTTTTTAGAGGATGATCGGATCTGATCAGTCTCTTCAGCTAAAATAATCCTCACATTCAGAGCTTTCGAATGGTACAAAAATGATTAAAATCGGTTGAAATTCAAAAAAGTTATGGCCCAAAAACAGACTCTTACCCGCCCAGACTCTTCTGTTCCCTAAAATTTTTATTTAAAATTTTTTTTATTTTTCAGGATGCTTAGGCCTACAAACTGATTTTTAAAATTTCCTTCAATTCTTCTGAAGATATTATGTTTAAATCATCAATGCTCTCTTCTTTTGTTGTTCTAGCTTTGTTACCCAATTTGGTCAATTCTGTTGGTTTAGCGCCCGGACTTTATTGTGGGACTGTTACTTGTTATGACGGTTTGTTTGATGTTTTTTTCTATTTTTAATTTAAGTCAGACTTCATTATAAGAATCTGAAAAATATTACCTTATAATGAGGTGGTTATTAAATAGAAGGTTCCTTTAACAGCTCCCCACAGACCACTAGAAGAGATCGCAAGGGCGTAGCTAGGAGGTCGATTTCAGGGGGGGGGGCTAAAGTCACCTCTCACATTTTTCCCTTTTCCCCACTTTGGTGGGGCTTTAGCTCCAGAATCTCCCCCTGGCTACGCCCTTGATAGATCGAGGTTTCTGAAAGGCCAGGGCCTGCTCCTGGGTTCTGGGTTTGATTTATTGACCTGGGCCGAATCCTGGGCCTGTAGTCCAGGAAAAATCTAGGCCCCGGGAAACCCCCAGGAAGGTAAAAAAATGCCTGGGCCTGACCTCTAGGTACAGGAGAAACCCAGGCCTTGGTCCAGACCAAGCTTCCCTCTCCAGTAGCCACCCTTGTACCTTAGAAAGCGTATTTTAAATAGAGGTGTATTTAAAATAGTGGGTATCTTATATAGAGTGTGTATGTTGTAGGGAGATCTAACTTCATTAAGAATATTTTAAAAAATCGATAAATTTTATTTTTTAAAGTTCTCGAAATTTCCCGTGACGATTTTAACAAAACTGATTTACCAAGAATCTATAGAAGATTGGCAAGGCAATATCACCCGGATAGGGCTAAAAGAGAGGTTTATTTATTTATTAATTTGTTTCTGGAAATTTTTGGGTTTTTGAAGAAAAAAATATTTTGCGGACAAAAAAATTATTTGCGGACAACTTTTGCGGACTTTTGAAATAATTTTTTATTCTAGTAAAATGTCTTTTCCGAACAAGTTTATTGAAATTTATGAAAAAAAAAAGTCCGCAAAAATTTTTTGTCCGCAAAATTTTTGCGGACAAAAAAATTTGTCCGCAAAAAAATTTTATTTTTTAAAATTCCGAAAAAAATATTTTTTTCAAAAAATATAAGATAGAAAAATTTTTTTCAAAAAATTTAAATTAATTTTACAGAACCGAGAAGAGGCAGAAGAACAATTTAGACTAGTAGCCACAGCCTATGAGACCCTCAAAGACGACGAAACGCGGGAATATTATGATTATTATTTGGATCATCCAGAGGAGCGTTACTACAATGTTTTTATTTTTAAATTAAATTTAAAAAAAAAATTAATTTTAAGTATTATCAATATTATCGGTTGCGGACTGCTCCGAGGGTGGATGTCCGCATTGTTATTGTGGTGGCTATTTTGTTGGTGTCGACTATTCAGGTTCTGATTTAATTAAATTAGCATTTTTGAGAAAATACAAGAAATTCTGATTTTTAGAGGAAAACACAAAGATCAGAATTTTAAGAAAATGGGAAAAATACAAGAAAATTCTGATTTAATTTGGAGAAAAATACAAATCAGATTATTGTATTTTCCCTTATAATTCTGATTTTTAGAGAAAAACACAAAAATCAGAATTTAAAAAATACATGCGAAAATATTAAAAAAATTCTGATTTTTAGAGAAAAACACAAAAACCAGAATTTTAAGAAAATGAGAAAAATACACAAAATTCTGATTTAATTTGGAGAAAAATACAAATCAGATTATTGTATTTTCCCTTATAATTCTGATTTTTGTGTTTTCCTTTAAAATCAGAATTTTCTATGTTTAATTATAAATCAGAATTTGTGTTTTCTCTCTTATTCTGATTTTTGTATTTTATTCAAAACAGGCGGAATTAAAGAAATTCTGATTTTTAATATTTCCGCCTGTTTATATCAAAAATTCTGAAAATCAGAATTTAATGTATTTCCGCCTGTTTTAAATAAAATACAAAAATCAGAATTTAAATTAAACAGGCGGAAATATTAAATAAATTCTGATTTTCAGAATTTTCGTTTATTTCCGCCTGTTTTATTTAAATTCTGGTTTTTGTATTTTTCCCACACAAAAATCAGAATTTCTTTTTTCAGTACCTTAGCGCTCACCAAAAATACAGAGAAGCTTTAAAATACGCTAAAGAGCAAGTGAAATTTCGAACAATGGCTATTGATATTGCAAGGGAAAGGGGAGTTTTAGACTTTGACAAACTTACTGGGAAAGTGAAAAAGAAGCAGAAAAATGGAATTGATGCGGAGGCGGTTATTAGGTTCTGAGAAAATTTTGAAAAATTTTCTGAAAATTTCTGAAAAATTTTTTTTGAAATTTTTTAAAAAAATTTTTGGATCAAAAATTCAACTAAAAATCAAAAAAAAATTTTTTTTCAGTTCAATAATTGAAGAAAACATAAATATCAGTGGCGGATACAGGCCTCCTTCAGTCTACCAGACATTAGCTTGGCAATTGGTTATTTTTAAAATTAATTTTTTTATATTTTTAAATTCGTTTTTAACCCTGAAATCACCCAAAAAATTCAAAAAAAAAAAATTAAAAAAAATTTTTTTCTCATTCAGATAATTTTGCCGGTAACTCTGTTTGCTCAACTCCGTTGGGGAGCCTCTTGGATATTTAAATTTTGGATTTGTAAAAAAGATTATGATGATGAAGCAAAATTGTATTTAATTAGGAGAAATTTGAAGCTTTCTGAAGAACAATTTCAAGTAAATTTTTTTTATTTTTAAAGTAAATACAAAAATCAGAAGTTTAAAAATATTTCCGTAAATTCTGGTTTTTTGTATTTTATTTAAACAGGCGGAAATACATTAATTTTAAAAATCAGAATTTCCTATGTTTTTCGCCTGTTTTAAATAAAATACATAAAATCAGAATTTAAATAAAACAGGCGGAATTATTTAATAAATTCTGATTTTCAAAATTTATTAAATATTTCCGCCTGTTTTATTAAAATTCTGGTTTTTGTGTTTTACTTAAAACAGGCGCCTGTTAGGTAAAATACAAAAACCAGAATTTCAATAAAACAGGCGGAAAAATTAACAGGCGTAAATACATGAAAAATTCTGAAAATCAGAATTTATTTAATATTTCCGCCTGTTTTAAATAAAATTCAATGCTTATTTAATTAATTTTTCTTAATTTTTCAGACAACAGAACAAAAATTAATTGATGAATATTTAATTAAAGAATTGTGGAAACGAGATGTGTTCGATCAGTGGAAACATGAAAAGGATTTGGAAGAAAAGGAGAAATTGGCAAAATCGGGTCGTTATAAACAATATCAACGATTCCAACGGAAAAATGCTGGGTAAGGAGAATAATCAGAATTATTTGAAGATCAGAATTTTAAAAAGATCAGAATTTTTCAGAAAACCAGAATTTTCTATCAGAATTCTTTAAAAACCAGAATCATTTTTCGGAAGATCAGAATTTTTCAGAAAATCAGAATTTCTGAAAAAATCAGAATTATTTTTTTAATTTTACAGGAGTACAATATCATTTCTGGATGAAATGTGAGGAGAGAGAATTTGTTATGTTTGCAACAACGAGGTTATAAATATTATTTTAAAAAATACAAAAAAGCTTTCTAGCAAATATTTATATAATTTGTGATTTTATATATTTAGCTAGTATTTCCAATTCAAAAACGGTTGTTTTATTTTCCTATTTGTTAAAAATGCAAGCTTGTTGCGTCAAGAAAACTTGCGGACTAGATTTGCGGACAAATCAGAATATTTTCAGAAATCAGAATAAAAATCAGAATTTTTTAAAATCAGAACTTTCTTCAAAAATTGCAAAAATCAAAAAAATCCGCAAAAAATCTGCGGACAGTCCGCAAAAGATTTTTGCGGACGTCTGCAAAAAATTTGCGGACGTCTGCAAAAAATCAAAAAAATCCGCAAAAAATTTGCGGACAATCCGCAATTATACAAATTTAGTCCGCAAGTCAACTTGCCCCCTTAGAAAATATTTTTTGGCTGCAAACAATTTATCTGTAATTTTTCGTTCCTATCTAAATTACATCTTTGCCATTTTTACTCATTTTTTCGTTTTTCATATTTTTAAATTTACTCAAAAGTTTTTCTTTTCTTTTTTATTTCTGTTTAATTTATTCATTGTTTCTCAAAGTTGTTTGTTGGTATTTGAGTAAAATTTTAGAAGGGAATTTTTTTTAATTTAATAGAATGGGAAAATTTGAAAAATTTGTCCGCAAAAAATTTGCGGACATCCGCAAAAAAATTTTTTTGCGGAATCTTCGAAAGATTTTCTACTTTAGACGGAAATACTTAGGTTTTAGAACGATACAAAATATTATTTTTAATTCACACAAATTTATGTGACCATACAAAACACACAATTGACAACCCCAAAAGGGTACGCCCCAAGGTACCACAGGCTCGAGGTACTGCAGAGCTATAACATCGTTCAGAATTGTCGAATCGGGACGCCCTGGTATGGTTCGATACAGCTAGCCGAGACGCATCGAACCATGCCAGGGCGTCCCGCATTCGGAAAATTCTGAACGAAGTTATAGCTCTGAGGTACCTTGGCCTGCTCCTACCCCAGAAAGTCAATTGACAGCTTTAAAAAAGACCCAAAATTTTTTATATATTAAAAATTAAATTAAACATTAAACCAAACGAAAGTTTGTAAAATAGTAAAGTCAATAGAGAGATCCTTCCTCATTCCTTTCATCTCATTTTGGCTTGGCAGAAGCTTGTCCACGAAGAAGAATGAATATTTGCTCTTTGATAAAGTCCTTTCCCTATAAATTGGGGAAGAAAATGAAAAAAATTTCCGCAGCCGCAAGTCAAAAAGTAATCCGCAATTACGGACAGCCCTGATGTCAACAGAGCCTGACTATTCTCTACATATGAATGAGTTCGCATGAACTAGTATAGATAACTCAAGTACCGTCCCTAGCTATAAGTCTCTGGATAGGGAGGAGATTCATTGAAGGGGACCACAATGCAGTATCGGCTTAGGAAGTCTTCGAAGCCTCACTGCAATTATTGCTAGAAGCTTTCGCTCACCACGGACTAAAAAGGTGCTCTACCGATGAGAGCTATTTTGGGTTGCTACTTGGCATTCTCTTCCATTAATAGACCTTATACCCCCACCTAGTAAACGTTTTAAATGTTAGCAATCTCCAAGGGTGTAACTGAAGCCCCCTCCTCCCGAAATTGGGGAAAGTGAAAAAATTTTAGTAAACACCAAAATTTTGGCTCACACCCCTATTTTAGCCTACCCTCTGAAATCGGCCCCCTGGCTGCGCCCTTGGCCTCTCTATCCTTAAAAGTCGTAAAATTTGCCCAATTTTTTCAACTTCCCCGTCCTATTTTCCTAAAAAACAACCCAAAATCCCCCAAAACTATCCCGTAAAAGCTCAAACAAACCTTAGGCACATAAACATTTTTATCCAAAACCAGACAGCACAAATCAGCCAAACGATCAATAAATTTGAAAAGGTCCGAGATGTCGTATCTAAAGTTGAAAATTTCAAAAACAAATTTTTAAAATTAAAAAAATACTGAATGCATGGCAAATCTGGATTTAATTTTTTAAGATGTTCCTCATAAATTTTGCAAACTGCTTCCATGCAGTCTGTCAAAGTTTCATAATCGCTCCTTAAAAAGGAATTTTAGATCAGTTAAGGAATGCCTCAAAGAAAAGCCCCGTTAAAATACCCGGGCAGCTCACAGTCAGAGGACACTTAAAGGAAATGAGCAGAGCTTCTAACAATAACTGAGAGCGCAGACTTATGTGATTAATCCGCAAAATATTTTCCGCAAAAAAATTTTTTGGTCCAAAAAAAAATTTTCTAATCCGCAAATAAATTTTCCAGTCCGCAAAATCTTTTAATCCGCAAATAATGTCCGCAAGTAAATTTTGACAGAATTTAGGCAAAAATGAAAGTCGAAAAAGCTTGTACCTTTTAAAACCCCCGAAAAAATAAAAATAATTAACCATGTTCTCGAGTCCACTTTTGCACTTGATTGAATCAATAAAATAGTATGCGTCATCTTTTAAGTAAACTTTAAAGAAACCTAAAGTAAAAATAATTCTGATTATTTTTGTATTTTATTTAAAACAGGCGGAAATATTTAAAAATTCTGTTTTTTAGTATTTCCGCCTGTTTATATCAAAAATTCTGAAAATCAGAATTTATTAAATATTTCCGCCTGTTTTATTTAAATTCTGATTTTTATATTTTATTTAAACCAGGCGGAAATACATTAAATTCTGATTTTCAAATTTTTGATATAAACAGGCGGAAATACTAAAAAACAGAATTTTCAATGTATTTCCGCCTGTTTTAAATAAAATACAAAAATCAGAATTTAAATAAAACAGGCGGATTTAATAAATTCTCATTTTCAGAATTTTCGATTATTTCCGCCTGTTTTATTTAAATTCTGGGTTTTTTTAATATTTTAATTAAAACAGGCAGGAACAAACAAATCCTGCCTGTTCAGAAAAGAAAGTTTTTAAAAATATTCTGATTTTTGTATTTTCTCAGAAATTTGTACATTTCTGATTTTAAACAAATTAAAACACACATAATTAATTTTCAACAAATTTATTTAATTTTTACTGGGCAGAAAGGGTTTACAATTTACGCATTTATTTGCCACACAAAGAATTTATTTTTAAAAGAAAATATTTTTTGCCCTAGAATTTAACAGAAAATTTATTTTTTCTTCCTCATTTCTTATTCCATTTTGCTTTCATTTTTCTTTAAGTAAACGTCTGCTTCATCAAACGAGTATCGCCTTGCATACGAGCCTTGCAATCCTTGAGCAAATCATTGAAAGATTGACAGAAACTAACGTCATTTTGGCGCTCAGTGCTTAAAAAAATTCAAAAAATTCAAAAAAATTTCAAAAAAATTTCAAAAAAATTTCAAAAAAATCACAAAAAAAATTAACCAGTCCAAGAATTGACGCCACTCAACTTCACAGTCATTAGAGTATTGCTTCTGTCCACCACTCTGTTGCTCGTTGTACATTGGCTGCTGCTCCTGTTCAGCAGAACGACCACCAGAGAACATATTGCCAACAGCATGACCCTATAAATTTAGGAAAAATAAGTATTTGAAGGGGACGGACTGTCCGCAAATTTTTTTGTCCGCAAAAATTTTTGCGGACAAATTTATTTTTTGCGGACAGTCCGCAACTTAGTGCGGTAAGATTTTTTTGCGGACTTCTTAATGTAGGACGAAATCGACAACGGTGGGAAGAATGGGGAAAGTAAGAGAAGGCTCATATCAACTAACCCAAAGCTAACTTCCCATCTAAACTCAAGTCTCAAAAATAATCTTTAAAGAAATACCACAGCCGATCCAATAGCAACCCCACCAGCAGTCGCAGCCATTTGCCCTAAAAGCCCAGGTTGGCGTTGCTGAGGAGCAGGAGGTGGAACAGTTGCCGGAGTAGTAGTACGCATTGGAGACGACGGAGCCCGACGAACAGGTCCGCTGGAACGAGGAGAGGCACTACGACCACTACGACGACCCATATTTGTAATTTATGATAGTTTGTGATAAAATAGATTGTCTGAAAAAGTAAAAAATTAACGATTTATTCGATTAAGAAATGAAAAATGAGCAAGTCCAAGGCTAAAAAAGCCTATTTTTAACATAAAATTTCATCTAAATTTACTTTAACACTTCAAAAGACGTTTCTAGAACCTTAAAAATTTGGAAAAATAAATCTAAACACAAATCGAATGACAAAAAGCTTTCAAAACTAAGCGAAAAAGTCAATAAAATCGAACAAAAATCAAATGACAGCAAAAGAAATTGATTGTCAGGCTTTCAGACATTTTGCCAATACCACATATTGCCAATAAGGGATAAATCCCACATTTTGTCACAAACTTGATGCCAAAACGAGAGTTTTTAGCCTTATTGGCAAAATGTGTATTGGCAAATTGTCGTCACATTACTTCAAAATATGTGTTGAAATATACATGTTGAGAAGAGAGATAAAGGTCTATAACGTTAAAAATAAGAGAAAATTACAGAAAAAGAGAAAATAGTCACTACACAAAAAAAGAAAAAGACTGCAAATTATTACTGTAATTAAACAGAATGCCAAAATCAATAAAAGAACATCTTTTTAAATGGCAAATTGAAGGAGCGGAACGTTTTTGTCCGCGTTTTCTTCGATTTTTAAGGGCTTTCAACAATTTTTTTTGTTTTCTAACAGTTTTTCCTACTCTTATTTTTCGACATATTGTTAGGGAGTGTAGATAAAAGTTGATTTAAGTTTTGAATAAATATAACTCAAGAAAATGGGCAGAAAGAAGAAGAAGCCACAGAAGCCTTGGTGTTGGTAAGCCTTTTTTTCAAAAATTTTTTTGTAGAAATCTTATCATAAGTCCCATACTGTGATTAGTCCAATCAATATGCCATCTGAAAGAGACCGTCGAGCATAGTCGAATGACGCCACACTTAAGCTCGGGTATCAAAATTGACCTTACAAGCCTGGTTGTGGTCTCATAATGGTCAAAAATGTAAGGAGGGACCAAGCTGATTTTTGGTGTGGAAATTCGAATATGCAGGTGATAGTGAGCTTAAATTGGGTGGCATTCGATTCAGCTCGTCTGGCTTTTTTAAATGCCTTATTGATTGTCCTCATCGGAGTAAGGGACATTTACTTCAATTGGTCAATCAGTATACCAGCTGAAAGGGCCCGACGAGCATAGTCGAATGACACCACACTTGAGCTTGGCCACTAAAATTGGGCTTAAAAGCTGAGTTATGGTCTCATAATGGTCAAAAATTTAGGGAGGGACCAAGCTAATTTTTACGGCCAAAAATTCAAGTATGCAGCTGACACTGAGCTCAATTCTGGTGTCGTTCAGCTCGGCTCGTTGAGCTCTTTCAAATGCCATATTGATTGTCCTCATAGGAGTAAGGGACATTTGACGGAATTTTTTTCAAAATTTTTCAGTATTTTTCAATTACCCGTTTAAAGGTATTGCAATCGCGAATTCGAAGACGAAAAAATACTCATTCAACATCAAAAAGCCAAACACTTCAAATGTCATATATGCAACAAAAAACTCTTCACAGGCCCGGGGCTGGCTATTCATTGCATGCAGGTACACAAGGAAACGATTGACAAAATTCCTGGGGCTGTGCCAGGGAGGGACAATGTTAATATTGAAGTTTATGGAATGGAAGGATTGCCGCCTGATGCGTTTGTTGATTTTTTAGAAATTTTTAATCATCAAAAACCCCTTTTCAGAAAGCCTAATGAAACAACTCCACCACCTTCTAAAATCCCCCGTCCTGCAATGCCGCCTTTACCTCCTGTCGCTCCACCCATGTTAATGCCTGGGATGGCTGCAATGCAACAATTCCAGGCGGCTGGTGGTTTGTTACGAATGCCTGCGATGGGGATGAGGCCTTTTATGCCACCTTTCGGTTTGTTTAAAGTTTATGTTATTTTTTTGCCACTGGTACAGTCGGACACAGCAATCTACTACCTTTCTTGTAAATGTCTGTGTCAATAGGTCTTGTTATCCGATAGCGAAGCCCGATCTCCTTTCGAAACGAAAATAATCTCCGATCCGGGAAAGTTTCGAGTGCCAGACTCGGAAAGATTCTTTCTCTTAATCTCACAACCCTCGCCTCCGGTGCTGTTTCGACGTGGGATTCGGACTTTTCTACCCGAAACTCTAATCCGAAAAAATTTTGAAACCCAATCCTACCCCCGACCTGACATTTCTCGCCCCAGCGCTCCCTTCTGTATGTAACTCCAATTTATCCCTTTTCAATTCTTTAGGCCCCAACGGCTCTTTTCCAATGATGCGACCACCAATTCACGGCATGCCAGCACAAATAATGTCAAATATGATCCCTACAAGTTCGTCGTCAGCTCCAAATTTTTTACAAATGGAAGATGCCCCGCCATTGCCGCCAACACCGGCTGCTGCTTTTGCTGCTTATCAAGGTTTTTTTAAATTTGTTTTTTCAAAAAAACTTTTAAGGTGGAGAATCAAAAGATACGAGGGGCGAAAGTAAAAATGATGAAGGAGGAGAACCGTCAACTTCAAAGAAACCTGAAGGAGGGGTGTGTATTGGCGCCAAAACGAGGATAATTTGCCCGGATGAGTATGAATCACTGGTATATTTTTTGTATTTTTGAGTTAAATTTGGAGGGGTATGAGAGTTTGTTTCCTCGGGACAAATTTGGAGTGATCCAACAACTAGATCCTAATTTAATTTCCCTCAATTTTCAGAAGGAATTGAAAACGGGCCCATCTTTTTTGGATTTCCTTTTCAGGCCTTATTTTGTACCAACGAATAGTCATCCCGCGGTTGAAGCCCCTGTGCATTCTAAAACGTTAATCTTTTTGTTGGGAACTTTTAAGCTCATCCAAGTGATACCTTTATTTTTGTTGTTTATTAAGGTTTTGATAAACAGTCTCCCCAATTTTTTTCTCTTTCCCATTTCGGAAAAATGGAAGGGGACCCCCATCCTCCTCTTAGTTATGGGCTTGTTGCCGCTATAATTATCCTATTTCTACTTTCTTCAATTTCTAGGAAGAATTAATGGCAATACGTATCGTTCCACAATTTGCTCGCAGTTTAGCAGCTCATTTTCGACCTTAAAAAATATTGGACAAGTCTCATATTTGGAAGGGTATCTATATTTTTTGTAAGTTTATAGCGTTAAAATTTCAAAAATATTTCTGACCTCCTCCCAGTTTTCACGGAAAAAAATTAATTTTCTGTCAATTTGTTTTTGTTGTTTTCTCTTTGCAACGAAGAGGTTAGCGAAAAAATTTCCTAAAAAATTTTCTAGAAAAATTTGTAAATTTATTTAAGTAAAAGGAGAGAGAAAAACACGATTTTTTAAATGGGAAAAAATTATTCGTCAAGGTTTGAATTATAAAAACCAAAAAAAAGATTTTGGCATTTAGCTATGTCGCTTCAAGAGCTGGAAAAGAGTTTAGCAAGGGGTCTTTAAAATTTTTTAATTTTCTGAAAAAATTTTTGGGAGACCTTATTTTGGCAATTGAGGGTGGAGTGACACTTATTGAACGAAATTTTTCGAGACTTAAAATTTTAACAAGTCCGCAAAAATATTTGCAGAAAATCCGCAAATATTTGCAGAAAGTCCGCAAAAAGTGGATATCCCATTTTTAATTATTTTGATTTTTAAATCAGAAATTTTATAATTTTTTGGACCTTTCCCCCCACTCACATCAGTATAGATCAAAAATTATTTTCAAATTTATTTTTCAGTTGAATCCTCTTTGAACAAAGAATGTGGTCCTCTCCACCAATAATTCTTTTTTTTTACCATTTAAAAAAGTAAATTTGTTTTTTGAAAAAAGGATATTGATAATTTTGTATTTTTTTTATCTGATAAATATTTTAAATCATTTCTATTTTCGAATTCTAATTTAATTTTAAAATTGAATTTTATATTTTTCAAAAATTATCTGTGACTTGTTTTTTTTCGTATTTATTAATTTAATGCAGCCGAATCTTTCTTTGTTTTATGACCTTTTCCCATTTATTCAGAGGGACAAAAAAGCTAAGAAGCTCAAAATGGTCAGAAAATATTTTTACAATACGGTTGTCCACTGTAGGGCTTGAGGAGCTAAGCGCTACCCCTTATTTTACATCTGATTGTGTGTTAGCCTCTATTTAAGATCACTAGGTCTGGACCAAGCCTTGGTTTTTTTCTGTATCCAGAGTCCAGGCCCAGTCATTTTTCGACCTTCCTGGGGCCCCCTGGGCTTGGGTTTTTTCCTGGATACAGGCTCAAGTCATTAAATCAAGTCATTAATCTAGGGACAGGCCCAGGCTTTTCAAAAACCTCGATCTTTAATACACTTCAACATAAAATGAGACTTATTTGTCCACCAAAAATGTGAGATTTGACTGTTTAATTTTCAAATTTTTTTAAGAAAATAAAAATTCTAAATTCTTTTAATGACTTCAATAAAACATCCATCAATTTTGTGGGCTCAACGTGTCAATCAAATCTTTTTGACAATTGAGGATGGAAATTTAAAAATAAATGAATTGGTGTGTGAAGAAGACAAATTCAAAATAGTGGGAGAAAAGGGTGGAGAAAAGTATGAGGCTGATCTCGTCTTGTATGGCAAATTGAAAGGAGCGGAAAGGAAGAAGGTTGACACTAGTCGAAGGTTTATATTTTTTAAATTAAATTTTTAGGGGAATTCTGGGGGTTCCTTTTCCCGAAGGGAAGTGGTTTGGGTTCTTTATTCTCCTAATTATGTCCGCAGGTTTCCACTGGACTTGCGTATAAAACTTGCGGACTTCTGGGAGAGGGGGAAAATCCCCCCTCAATCCTTGCACCTTTTCTCCTTTCTCACTGCTCACATTCTCAATTCCGAGAGGTTCTCTTTATTCTCCTAAAAGTCCGCAAAATTTGCCCGCAAGTTTATACTATTTATTTACTTTAAGAAATTTTAGGAGAAAATAAGAGGTAAATGATGACCGGTTAATTTTTGCTTGTGGCGGCTCAAATAGAGAATTTTAAGACATTTAACCGCTGCAGGTGAAAATTAACTGCGAGATGCTCTAGAAGAAATCATTTACCGCTCAACAAGTTCTCTCTGCCTTTTTAATAAAACCTCAACAACTCGCGGAGCTCACATTCTTAAATCCTGTAGGGCTTTTCTGTCCCAATCCACCCCTTCGAAAAGTTTATAGGGAGCATTGAGAAAATAAGAGACGAGAAGAGGAAAGTGGAGTGTTTAGTTTAGAGTTCGTCACGGTTCAGTACTCCCACGAACACTAGTCTAGTTTATGGGTCCAATAAAAATTTTATGTGTGCTGAAAGTAGAGTAGTCCGGCAGGGCAAAATAACACATAAAAATTCATTTTCCCTTTTCAAAGGTTGGAACTCATCATTCCAAAAGAAAAGGAAGAATGGTGGCCTCGACTTTTAAAAATGCCAGGAAAAGTTCCATGGATCAAAGTTGACTTTAATAAATGGAAAGATGAAGATGAGGTTTCTGATTATGAAGATGAGGGTATTACTGCTCCAATGGATTTTTCTAAATTTATGCCAGTCAATGGAGGAGGAGGAAGAGGTTTTGGAATGCCTGGGGGAGAAGGTTTTGATGAGTTGGAAGGGATGGGGGGAGAGGAAGAAGAAGAAGACTATTTTGAGAATAATGAAGGGGAGGAATTGCCTAACTTGAAAGAGGATGAAGTTGATGAGGAGAAGAATTGTGGGGAAGGCTCTAGTGAAGAGAAGAAAATGGAGGAAACTTCAAAAGAATAAAGAAGTTTTTGGAGGTTTTTTTAAATTAAATTGATCTTGACTTATTTGATTTGTTTTTTCAATACTCGTAATGAAAATCTCTCTCTTTTGTAAAAGGCCTTGAAAATGTTGGAATGACCTTTCTCGAAATTTGCGGACAAAACTTGCGGACTTTTAACAAAAAAATTATTTGGAAAAGTCTTGCGGACTTTTCTTTCAAGTAATCGATAAAATATCCGCAAATTTGGTAATTTCAATTTATGTCAGAAAATTTGCGGACAAAACTTGCGGACTTTTTTACGAGTAATCAGTATTTCAAATATTTCAATTTCAAATAACTGATTACTCGTAAAAAAGTCCGCAAGTTTTGTCCGCAAGTTTTCTGACATAAATTGAAATTACCAAATTTGCGGATGTTATTCCAAATAACTTTTTGGAATAATATCCGCAAATTTGATATTCGGAATAATGTTCGCAAATTTGGTAAAAATTTGCGGACTTTTTTACAAGCTATCGATTGTTTCGAAAAATGTCCGCAAATATTGTCCGCAAACATATTTTAACTTTTTCGAAATTTTTTTCTGAAAAAAGTCTTTTCTGGTTCTATACCCCTTTTCAAAGGCACACTTAAAAATACATACAATCACTTTATTGTTACTTTAAAACACGTTTTGATTTTATATAAAAATAAATTTAAAAAATAAACTATCGTTCAGCAGCCCTTCTTTTTTCTGTCAACATTTTCCTCTTTTGTTCAAACTCCTTTCTGTCAAGTTCAACAGATTGTAACGTTCTTGCCAGAAAACGCTTATTTGTAGTTAAAGCGCGAGGTTTTAACCTGAAAAAAGAATTGAGAAAAATACAAAGGAGAGGGGAAAGTGTGGGGTTTTTGCAGAAAACCAGTTTTTGCGGACATATTTATGCGGGCTCATAATGGTCAGATTGTAAGGTTGACTCACCTAAAGCATTTAAAACGCTTAGGCGTGTGTTAAACGATCTAAAAGGATAAAAGAGAAAGCATTCGATGCCCCGGTAGCTCAGTTGTAGAGCTCATGTATATAGTAAGCACTAGCGCCTAGCAATAACTGTCAGGAGGTCGCAAGCTCGAATCCTGCCCGGTGACGCTAAACTTTTGCTAGATATAAAACTCTTTATATATATAAAAAGAAAAACCATTCCAACCCACAAATATTTCCTTCAAACAACCTTCACTTCCTCGAACACATCCGAAAAAAAGGAGAATGTATAGATATCTGACCATTATGAGACCATTGTGATTGTGAGTCCGCGTATTCTGGAATTTCCGGAAACTTTAAGGACTTTTCCGGAGAAGATTTAAGTGTGATCTGGACCCAGGCCTGGGGGTTTTTCCTATACCTAGAGTCCAGGCCCAGGCATTTTTTGGCCTTCGTGGGTTTTTCCTGGGCCTGGGGGTTTTCCTGGACTATAGGCCCAGGATCCGGCCCAGGTCAATAAATCAAACCCAGGAACAGGCCGAGGCTTTTCAAAAATCTCGATCTTTATTGTAAATTTTGTGTGTTTTTTCAGAAAATTTCCGAAAAAAAAATTTTTAAATTTAGTTCCTTACCATCCTTGAGGCCCATATTCTTTCGCCCTCAGTGCAGAACGATTAGCTTCCCGTAACAATGCTTGTGTTGCCATTCCTCTCAACAAAACCTCCTCTTCTCCCTTTACTTTTTCAATTTTATTTTCTCCAATAAACACAACCTCTTCTTCTTCCTTCTTTTTAACGTCTTTTTTTGTGTGGTAAACAACACAAATTTCGTCGTCTTTCGAAGAGGTTGAGGAGGACTGAAAAAGACGAATGGTAATATTGAGCCTGACAGATCTCCCTTTTCTTCCCCCCAAGTTTTCCTCCCAAGTTTTTCCCATATATCTACAGAATGGTCAGACTTTTCCCTTCTTCCGTCCCAGTTGCCCTTCTATATTTTGCCTACAATCGAAAGGAATTAATTTTTATTCTTGTCACAACCCGAGGTGTATCCGAGATTTAACTAATGTCGACGATAATAACAGTTTATCCAATGTAGAAATAAACAATGAAGGCGAAAGGAATGGGACAGACGAAGGAGATATCAGTGACTAGCCCCGCTAGACTTCAACTAGACTGACGCTTTCACTTGCTTATATATTATCCTAACACCACTACACAACAATTCTCCCTTGGGTAGAAATAAGGAAACTTGGAAGGAAGAAGTTCTGAATATACTGAAATTATATAGAAACTTGGAAGGAAGAAATGGGGTCTGTCAGGTTCAATATTACCAGACGAATTTTTAAAACTTAAAAAAATTCTTTAAGAAAACCTGTTGATTTGTTTCATTTTCATTAACCATACGACGCTTTTTTGCTTTACTTAGAAGCATATTTTGCATTTTGCGGCGCTTTTCGTTGTCCAAATCGGTTGAAGTTGCCATTCTTCTGCTTTAAAATTTGTAAAAGATCAGGGGATAACTTTTCTCTATTTTATCTTTTAAATTAATTTATTTTTGGCAAAATGTTTAATTTTAGACTTTTTGTACCTTCTCCGTTCCTCACATTTTGTCAATTACACATTTTGCCAATGAGGCTTAAAATTTGCATTTTGTCAACAAGCAAATTTTCTGTTTGTGACAAAATGTAGATTTCTAGCCTTGTTGGCAAAATGTGTTTTGGCAATTTTTCCGTGGGAGTCTTTTTCTCAATTTTTCTCTTTTTCACTCTCCTGTTTTAACACACTATTTTCTTATATTTATCAAATTTTGTTTTTCAAGAATTTTCTTAGATTTTTTTCTAAAAATTTTCTGTCTAATATTTTTAGATTTTTTAGGTATTATAATCTTTTTTTTTATTCAACTTTTCATCTTTAAATAGAAATTATGAACAATTTTAATGCTTTTTCTGTTGCTTCAAGCAGTGGTAAATTCTTTTTTTGTTTAAAATAGTAAGTGGTGTCTCTTGGGCTTAGGCTTGTTTATGCAAATTTATTAGTTGAAATCTAGACTAATTTTCGAATCCGTTGACCTGTCAGTATCCTGGTTCCGGATGCTGGAAAGCCTAGGCCTATTTCCATCTTCTATCTGATCCACTATTTTCTTATATAACAGAAAATAGCTGGCTGAGCAGATCTGGATCTAAAGTCTAAAGACCCTGGTTGGCCCTTGAAAACTCAAATTTTGGGAAGATTCGGTTTAAATTCGATTTTGAACAATTTTTCTATCTCTGCAATTTTGCAATTAGAAATTGGTTTTGTATCAGACTTTAGGGTCAACCTCACAAATTGAACCTCCTTTTCCCAAACTCCGTCCATTTTTCCTCCCATTTCTTTACTCATCGTTGCTAGGTTGAGCAGATTTTTAAGTTCATTCAGACCTATTTTCTAAATTTATTTTTCTTCTTAATTCTGTTTTTAGTTGATCATCCTCCTCCACCTTTAGCCGAATCTAAACGGGAAGAATATCTGGCCAAAATTCTTCACACTGAAAGGCGCTTTAATGATTTGAGATTAAAATTGCATAAAGCTAAAATGTCGCAGGTTTTTCTTTAAATTTTAATTTTTTTAAATTTTTAAAATTCAGTTCGAAAAACTTCAAGACGATATTTTAAATAGGCGTTGTAGTATTTTCTTGAGGCGGAAGGCTCAATTGGATTCTGAATTTGATACAAGGAGAAAGGTTTTCTTTTAAATAAAATTTGTTTGGACTTAATGAAGCATGAGAAAGCGATCGTTTCTTTTCTTCTTGTCGAATTGGACCAAAAAATGGCCGAATTTTTTGTTTCTGTTGTTCAAAAGTTTTTTCCCTCATCGCCCCCTATTTGTTCCCTTGTCAGTCTTATCTAAAAATTTTTATTAACCGGGCAACATGGGATAATTACAACTCTTTTTCAGCCTTTAAAAACACTATCTGTTCTCTTCATTTGTCAGGCTGATCTGTTCCTTGTTTGTCTGTTCACTGGAATAAATAGGACAGATAATTTTGGGGGACAAGCAATTGGCGTTCTAAACGCCAAAATGTTGGCGCATTTTCCATTTTTAGCCCCGCTGGCTACGCCCTTGGGGACAAGTCTGGAAACTGGGACCACAGACTTGACTGCCATTTTTTTCAGATCAGACTTGTCTGTTTCGGTTGTTGTTCCCTTCTCAAGTTTTACCAAAAAATTTTATTAACCTAAAAATACTGGATAATCACAAATCTTTTTTATCCATTAAACCCCCCCCCACATTTTACCTTTTTGTTTAAACTTTTTAGAATCTTCAAATAATCAAAACTCTTCGACTCGATGCCCTCACAAGAAAACTAAATTTTCAACGAGAATTTGCTTTAAACAATTTTGAACATGACAAGGAATATACAAAACAACAAATATCTAAAAGGATTGATGAAAAACTGGAACAAGTTGAAAATGAAATGAAACAAATTGAAGGTTTTTTTTGAAATTTTTTTGAGTTTTGTAAATATTGGAAAAAATAAATATAGTTGTAAGGGTATGAAAAAAATTTTTTTTGAATAAGTAAGTCTGTGGCAGATATTCAGAATTTATCAGAAATTTTTTTTGAGAATTTCGGATGAATTCTGAACTGAATTTTTTTCATCCGAAATTTTTTTTTGCACAATTCATTTTTTTTAACAACCTTTTTTGAATAAGGAAGCAATGAAATGGGGCCTCTAAAGTACAAAATAATAGTTTAAAATCCCTCCCCCGACTAATTTTTAGGCAAAAACCCCGACCCGAATTTCGAAGGCTCTACCCCGGCAACCCCCGAAACCCGAAACTCTCGCCCTCGAAGATTTTTGGCCTCTAAACGAAAATTACTTGAAAAATTATTTTTAGTTGTTGGACACTTCTAAAATAATTCCTTTACTATAAATTTTAATTTTCTTTCCAATTTTTTTTTCAGATAATTTCTACAAAGAAATACTTTCTTCCTTTAATAATAATAATAATTCAACAACAAAATCATCAAAACAACATTTAGGAAAATTAAAATGGGGAATTAATCGGTATATAATTGAAAATAATGAAAATTCTAAAAATAAAAGAGAAGATTTGAGAAGTAAAAGAAGTAAATATTCAAATTTACCTTTAATGATTGCACAATTGTCTAAAAATAAAATTATGGAAGATTTGGAATTAATATTATAGTATTTTTTTAAAAAATTTAATTTTTATATAACTGTTTTTTTTTAAATTTTTTTGACTGAAAATTCTTTTTTTGGAAAATTGAAAAAAATATTTTGGATTTTTTAAAATTTTTTTTTCAAAAATTTTTGAAAATTCTTCTGAATTTTATTTAAAAATCCCAAAAAATTCAATAAAATTTTTATTGGGTTTCTCAAATTTTTTTAGATTTTTTTTGGAAATTAATTTTATAGGTTTTTTTTCTTGAAAAATTTTCGAATTTTTAAAAAATTTTTACAAAAATTTTTTTTAATTAAAAAAATTTTTTTTTCGAATAATACCAGAAAAATAGCCAGCTATTCCTTTTAAAATATTTTTTTAAATTTTTTCCGAAATTCAGTCAAAAAAAAATTGGAATAAAAATTTAATTTTTTATGTACAATATAAAAGAGACGTTTTGTGTGTGTATTGTAAATTAAATGAAATAAAAAAATTAAATTTTAATAAAGATTAATTTTTTTAAATAATTAATTAGCTTATGTAGCTTTTAAAAATATTTTTTTATTATTTCTTCATGAAAAAAATTTTTTTTTGAATTTTTAGATTGTTTTTCTAATTGAGATATGGCCTCCGTTGACCTTGATCAAGAAGTAAGTTTTATTTTTAAAAATTAAAATAAAATCAAAATTTTGTTGCAAGCTTAATTAAATTTGTAATTAAACTTGCTTCAAATTTGTTGGGGGAGATAAATTTCAGAATTAAAAGTTTGAAAAAATCAGAATTATTTAAAAACAAGTTTTATATTATTCTGGTTTAAATTTAAATAATTCTGGTTCAAGTTTTTAATAATTTTAAAACGAAACCAGAATTTTTGTTAAAACTTCAGAATTTAAAGTTTAAAAGAACCAGAATTAGTTTAAAACTTGATCAGAATTATTCAAAAACAAACCAGAATTTTTGTTAAAAACTTTTTCAGAATTTAAAGTTCAATAAAAATCAGAATTAATTTAAAACTTGACCAGAATTATTATAAAAATCAGAATTTTTATTAAAAACTTTTTCAGAATTAAATGTTTTTAAAAAATCAGAATTATTTAAAAACAAGTTTAATTAATTTAATAGGTTCGCCTATTCGATAACAATTCTGAACGTGACCGTATAGACAACATGTCAGAATTGTATGCAATGATAAACGCTTTGGAATGTTTAGAAAAAGTTTATTCAAGAGATTATGTGCCTTCTAAAGGTTTAAAAAATAAAAAAATTCCCCCAATTTTTTAAATTTCCCTAGAATACACAGCAGAATGTTCAAAATTATTAGTCCAAATAAAAGTTGCGCTTCGCCTAGTTCCGGGTATGAGCATTGAAGAATTTGTTCGTCAACACAGAATTCAATGCCCGGCTGCGTTGGAGCGTATTAGAGAAGATAGACCGATTACTGTTAGAGACGATAAGGTAGTGGATGTTTTATAAAACTTGAAGTAGAAATATTAAAAATCAGAATTATTTAGAAACTTGACCAGAATTGAAAAAAAACTTAGACCAGAATTATTATTAAAACCTGAAACAGAATTATCAGAATTATTCAAAATTTGGAGTATTAAAACTTGAATCAGAATTATTAGATTTTAACCAGAATTAAAACTTGAAACTTATAAATTATTAAAACTTGAAGCAGAAATATTAAAAATCAGAATTATCTTAAACCTGACCAGAATTTTAACTAAAACTTGAAACAGAATTATTTTTTTAAATCAGAATTATCTTAAACCTGACCAGAATTTTAACTAAAACTTGAAACAGAATTATTTTTTTAAATCAGAATTATTTTAAAAATTAAACCAGAATTTTTTAAAACTTGAATCAGAATATGATTTAAAACATCAGAATTATTTAGAAACTTGAAACAGAATTATTTTTGAAAACTTGAAGCAGAAATTGGAGCAAACTTAAATTTGCTTCTAATAGACTCAAACTTGAGAATTAATTTTAAAACTTGCTTCAGAATTAATTTAAAAAACTTTTTTTAAGGGAAATCAACTTAAATGTATTGCTGACATTGTTGAATTATTTATTACTTCACTTGACCAACTTAAATTAAATATTCGTGCTGTAGATGAACTCTTTCCGAATTTAACTGAATTGTATGCTTCAATAAATGCAATGAGTACTCTTCCTGATGATTTTGATGCTAAAGTAAAGGTTAAATCTTGGTAAGTTTTTGAGGTTATAAGGGCAGCACGCTTCTGAAAATCTGAAGCACGCTTTTGAAAATATGAAGCATTGCTTCAAAAACCTGAAACATGCTTCTAAAATTTGAAGCATGTTTTCTAAAAACCTGAAACTATGAAGCATGCTTCTAAAATTTGAAGCATGTTTTCTAAAAACCTGAAACATGTTTCTAAAGACCAAAGAATATTTTTCTAAAACTGAAGCATGTTTCTAAAAAACCGGAAGCATGTTTCAATAAGCTGAAACACTTCTAAAAGCCTGACATTTTTTAAGAACTTGGTTTAAAAATATGAAACAAGCTTCAAAAATTCTGAAACATGTTTCCAAAAATTCTGAAACATGCTTCTAAAAACCTGAAGCACTCCTCAAAAAATATTTAAAAATTAAAGGTATGATAAACTGCATGGAATGGCTGCACACGAAGAACTTTCTGACGAAACAGCTCGTCAAATGATTTTTGAACTTGAAGCAGGCTATAATGCTTTTCAACGTTTTTTGCGAAGCTCTTAAAGATGGAAAAAAAAATTTTTTTTATTAATTTTAAAAATTTTGTGTTTTTTAATAAATATTTTTGGATGTATTTTAATTTATAAAATTTTAGAGGTTTTTTGCCCTGTGCAATTTTTTGAATTTAATTTCTTTTCTTTTTTCAGCACTCTTTTTAGCTTGGAATTTGTATGCCTTATCTTTTTTTTAATTGAGAAAATATGGGAATGTCGAGTGTTGAGGATTAAGGTTGGTGGATCCAGAATCCGGCCCCGAAAAAAGGCCGGATACCCGGAAATTTTCGGTCCGGATATTCGAAGATTTCCAGCTATCCGTTAACCTTATTGAAGGTGAGTTTTCAGTGGATACTTCACAGATTTTTTTACCAAATTCGAATTTCCGTAATTTTTGGCAAAACGTTTTTTTTAGTTTAATTTTTTGTCTAACCCTCATTTTTAATGCTTACACATTTTGCCAATACCACATTTTGCCAATTAGGCAAAAAAGTGGCAAAACGTCTTTTTTAAGCTTTATTGGCAAGATATGGGTTTGGCAAAGTGTGGGGAATAACTCTCATGTTTAAGTTGTCTTTCTTATTTTATTTTTTCTCTTCTCTTTTTTTTTCACGTGCTTTTCATCATAAAAAAGCATTTTTCTAAAATTTTTTTTTGCTAGTTTCTAATTCTGTAAAGCTTTCGAATCTTTTCTCTTTGATAATTTCTTTATTTTAATTTTACAAACTCTTTAAAGACCCTCTCCCATATTTAACTGGAAATAGTTCATTCTCATTTTTTATTTCACCAATTTCCAGTTTTTGCTGTGCGCCAAAAAAATTTTTTTTCAAAACGCCAAAATTTGAAAAAAAATTTTTTTTCCTGTTCCCCAGTTCCTCAATGCTTTCTTTTATTTTTTAAAAATCGCAAAAAATTTTTACAAAAAATATTTCAATTAAAATTATAAATTTTGGCGCACATTTTTCCCTTCTCTCTCACGTCTTTTTTATGAGGGTCATTTCGGCGCAGAAATTGTGTTGCATTTTGTTTAATTAATCCTTTTTGTTTTAATCGAAAATCATTTTTCTTTGTAAATTATAAACAAACAAGTTTTTGATTAATCTGATGATTCATGCTGAATAACCCCTTGCTTTTAAATACCCCCTAAGAGAGGGAAAATTAAATTTTATAAGTAAGTGAATTTTAAATTGGGGGTATCTAGCAACCCAACCAGGGGCCAATGGGTCTATCTTAAATTGAGTTGTCTCTAATATTGGGAGTACTTTATAGAGAGGTTCGTCTGTATTTAGAAACGGAAGGTTACCTAATCGACGCCCATTTAGCCTTTGCGCCGAAACAACCTCGGACCTCCTCTTCTGCGCCATCCAGTACCCATCAGGCTATCTTAAAACTGAGTTGTCTCTGATATTGGGAGTATTCTATAGAGAGGTTCAACCGTATATAGAAACGGAAGGTTCCCAAAACGACGCACATTTAGCGTTAGCGTCTAAACGAACTATGTTTTCCACTTGGCGCCCAAACAAAACTTTTTTTGTACTCTGCGCCCAAACATCCCCTTTCCCACAACTAGTGTCACTTCACTATTTAACTTTCATCCAATTCTTTTTTTATTAACTAACACAAATTCTCTGCTGTTTGCTGCTCTTTTTTTCATCCAATTTTTTTTTCATTTCATTTTTGAAGAGCAACCAATACTTTGCATAAATTTAAAAAATATATGTTTTGATTTAATTGATTTTATTAATTTTTTTCTCTTGTTTACAAGGCTTATTTTTAAATTTTTTTTCAAAATTTTTTTTTTCTTTCTGAAATTTTTTTTCAGAAAATTTTTGCCCCGAAAATCCAGATTTTAATAAATCAATGTATTTTTTCTCAAAATGCCACTTGCCTAGAAATTCTCAAAATGTCCAAATTTCAAAATGCCACACGCCTTAGAAAATTCTCAAAATGTCCAATTCCCCAAAAATAGAGACCGGCTCGGGACGGAACCCCGAACGGGATTTTACGAGATCTTTACGGGATCCCGTCCCGGAATCCCGGGTTTTTCGCGAAAAATGGGATTACCGGGATTTACGGGATTAATCCCGCGGGATCCCGTCCCGTGCAAAATTTTGAAAAAAATCCCGTTCCGGGATCCCGGGAATGCGATTTTGCCGGACTCTACCCAAAAAATTGTCTTTATTCCCCTTAAAAATTAAATACGCGAATGACTCACTTGTTTTATTTATTTTAATGTCATATATGCCTTTATCCGTGACCCTGTACTTGTCTTTATTTCGATTTAACTGGTATTAACCTCCCTCTTATTAATTTCTTTTTCAGTTTTTTTCTTAATTAAAAAAAATTATTTTTACAAATTTTAATTAATTTGGGGCTTATTTTTCCTTTTCTTCTGACTTAAATATTGCCCAAATTATTTGACACAAAATGGCAAATAAAGGAAGCAGTAGCGGTGGTAGCAGCACTCCTCGTCCAGGCAATAATGGAGGTGGGGGTAGTGGTGGACCTACAAAGACATGTCAATTTAAGGTTTCTTTTAAAGGCTTTGGGGATGACTTTTAAGGGGTTTTGGTGGAGTGGTTAAGTCTGTGTGGCTCGTTTTGGTTTAACTGGCCTAGAATTGAAATGGTGACATTTCGTCCCAATATTTTTTTTTCGACTGTTTTCCGCTTGTTGATTCATGAATATTAGTGTAGGGATTGGACGAACTTTGGGGATGACTTAAGGTACATTGGGGTGATGGGTTAAGTCTGTGTGGCCTATTACCCGAAAATCAAAATGATGACATTTTGTCCCAAAATTTTTTTCGGCTGTTTTCCGCTTGGGTGACTCATGAACGGTTGGGATGGGAGGCTTCAGGTTCCAAAGCCGATTCTGCTTTTTTCTTCTTATTGTTAGTCTTCCCTAAAGTTGAAACGCCTTTCTTTTTAATTCCAAACCGTTTTTGCTTTTCGAAACCAGACAAAGCACTGCTTGTGTTTCTGTAAATGATTCGCGTTCCATTTACTTTCCTTCTCAATATAATGTTCAACTAGGGTTTGAGAAAGGACATGAAACCTTCTTGAACCTTCTGACACGAGTTTCAATCCATTTCACTTAAGTCCCACCCGATTAAGTCTGAGGGGATCAAATGTCATCATTCTTAAATTTTTGGGGAATCCATTTATTTTTTCTTCTTCGCTCAGTTGGTTTTGCTTGGCGAATCTGCTGTTGGCAAATCCTCCCTCGTTTTGCGTTTCGTCAAAGGCCAATTTCATGAATACCAAGAGTCGACAATTGGAGCTGCTTTTTTAACTCAAACAATTTGTTTGGACGAAGCAACGGTCAAATTTGAGATTTGGGACACTGCTGGCCAGGAGCGATACCATTCTTTGGCACCAATGTATTATCGCGGGGCTCAAGCGGCGATTGTTGTTTATGACATTACTAATCAGGTTTATTTTCTGTTTTGGGGGGTTGGGGAAATTTTAGGGGTTTAAGTTGGGTTTGTGCTCCCTTGAGGTCCTTTAGAACATAGTGAAGGATAATCTACTGCGAGCCCAACCTACCGCCGAGCTATAACTTTGTTCAGAATTGTCGAATCCGGGACGCCCTGGTATGGTTTGATTCAGCTCGTCGAGGCGCATCGAGCCATACCAGGGTGTCCCGGATTTGACAATTCTGACCGAAATTATAGCTCGGCAGTAGGTTGGCCTCGCGGTGTACCCCTTTCAGGACATAGTGAAAGTCTAGTTTGAACTAGAGATCTCTTGTTGCCCCTTTAGAAGTTAGTGAAGAGTTATATGAGCATATGTCCGCAAATGTTGTCCGCAAAAATAAGTTGGGGAGGACCACTACTCATTCGGTTTCATGATTTTCGTCTTATTGTTAGTGAAGTGTCTTTAGAGCGACTCATTGTATTACATCAATCTCCCCACGTACTTTTTGTGCCTTATCGGCTTTTGGGTTTTGTGAATATCAAAACAATATATAGCTTAAAAAACTTGCCCGCAAAAGTTGTCTGTAAGACACACGTGTTAGGGAGAGTAAATTCGCCATTTCTAGTGGTTTCAGCCCAGAAGCCCCCCCCCTTTTGGCTTCCTTCTCGAGTTCCTTTGAGACTTACTATTCCTTCAATACCAATAACTTGGGGCAAATTTAAAAAATTTTTTGTCTTTAAAGGAATCCTTTGCCAAAGCAAAAAATTGGGTTCGTGAACTTCAACGGCAAGCATCTCCAAATATTGTGATTGCCCTTTCTGGGAATAAAGCAGATTTGGCAGCCAAACGTGTTGTTGAATATGAAGAAGCGCAGGCATATGCTGAAGATAATGGACTTTTATTTTTGGAAACTTCTGCAAAATCGTCAATGAATGTCAACGAAATATTTTTAGCTATAGGTTTATTTTCAAATTTTTTGAAAAAAAAATTTTTTTTGGGAGTTTTTAAAGCTTAATTGGGTCTAAAAGTGTTTTTGTTTTTACGTCTATACCACTTAACCAAAAAAAATTGCACCTTCATTGAAACTTTTTCCGGAAATATTTAAATAATTCTGTGTTTTCCGGAAATTATGTATTTTTTCTATTTTTCTGATTGTTGTATTTCTCTTCCGGAAAGTTTTGTGTTTTATTCTGACTTATCCGGAATTTTATTAGGAAGAGAAATGCTCTATGCATCCCCCAGAGTTTTCCGGAAAACACTAATTTTTGCAACTTTTTTCCGGAAACATTTAAATAATTCTGATTTTCCGGAAGGTTGTATTTTTCTCTCCTTGGATGTTTTATTCTGACTTATCCGGAATTTTACCAAGAGAAAAATGCTCTCTACGTTCCCCACGTTATTTTCATGTTTTCCGGAACGATTAATGATATACTATTTAAATTGTTCTTTCTTTTATTTTAAATACTCTCTTTCCGGAAACGTAAAAAAGTAATTTTTGTTTTTCCGGAACTTGACTCTTCCATTAAACCACTTAACCACGAAATTTTGAGTTCATTTTTGCCTATAGATTCTTTGAAAAAAATTTTTTTTTTTGAAAAATTTTGGGGTTTATGGAAATTTTGATTTTTTCGGAATTTAGCAAGAGGGATTTTTTTCTTCATTTTAAACCACTTAACCACAAATTTAGACTGCATAAATAGGTGCAATTTTTTCCTGAATTTTTCGACAAACTTTGGATTACTTATCCTTCCTCTGGAATTAACTTTATTAAGGGGTATATTTTTCCGTTTCCTCTAAAAAGCTCCTCTTAACATCTTTTCGAATTATATTTTTCTAATTTTTTCAATTTCAGCCAAAAGATTGCCCAAAAATGAGGGAGCTGGTGGTGGCGGTCCAGCAGGTCGAGGCCGAGAAGGTGTCAACATTGGAGAGGGTGAAGGTCAAAACCAGGCTCGACGTTCGTGCTGTGGTGGTGGAAGTGGAAATTGACAAAGAAAAGAATAAAATCAAAAAAAGAAAGGAGAAATTTGTGGTTTGAAAGTGATTCTTAAAGGTTTATTGTGTGATGATTTTATTTTTCCTCTTCAAAAGTATTTTTTGAAAATTTTAAGATTTTTTTAAAAAATTTTTGGAAATGTTTTCGGAGGGGTAGGACCACGTTTTGAAAATTTTTTTTTTATTTTTGGGGTGTGGGACCTGGATTTTTTTTTAGAAAATTTTTTTTTCATAGGGTTGGGACCGGGATTTTTTTTAAGAATTTTTTTTGAATTTCCTCCCAGTTTTTTTTTTCAAATTTTGAATCAATTATCATCACACACATCTTTTTTCATACTTATATACATTTATCTTTTTTGCTTATAAGCACTCCTTTTATTATTTTACATTATTCTACTTTTGGGGAGGTGGTTAATTTTTACATTATATAAATTTTACAACTTTTTTTTAATTTTGTTTACCTGAATGGATTAAAACCCATTTTAAATATTCTTAAAAACTTTTACCAATTACCTGTTTTTAATTTTTGTTTAGGGTTTTTAAAAAATGCGTGGGGATAACACGACCTGGGATGCAATAGATCAATTTAATTTGGATCAATACAATCCGCGAAGGCGACAAAGTCTGAGCGAAAACGTTTCTGATTTGGCACCCCCACGTGGAGCAGCAACTAGTGCACGTGCACGACGTCATGTAGGAAGAGGAGCAAGTATTCAAACTTCTCCTCAACATTTTAATGGTTTGTTTTTCTTATAGTATTTATTATTTAATGGTTCTTGGGTATTTTTGTAGGGGTTTAAATTGTACGTATGTTCCATTACTTTTAAAGATTCAGTATGTATAAACGGTGTGAATTATAGGTTTCCTTTAGGATCAATTTTTAGTTTGCTTGCCTCGATTCTTATTTTTAATGTACAAATTTATATTTTGTTCTTAATTCAGATTTTGTTTCAACCGCTGTGGTAGAGGAAACGATGTGGTTAAAGGTTAACTTACAATTTAAACTTGATATTTAATTAAATGTAGGGCATTAACAAAAAATTTTTAATTAAATTAAGAATTTTGATTAAATTAAAAAAATCTAATTTATTAAAATTTTTTTATTTTTTCAAAATTTAGGTGTGGAAATTTTGCAAAAAATATTGTCATATAATCTTGGGTTTACTTACTCTAGTTGCGAGCGTTCTTGGCATTGTGCATGAAATTAGAGAAGGTTATAAATTGTTGGAAGAATCTTTTGACAAAAAAATTATGGAAGAGTTCAAAGCATTCAATATTTCTTTTGAAAATCGGGTATTTTTTTTTTATTATTTTCGCGTACCTATTGATTTTTTATCAATCAAAGGAAAAAAAGTTAATTTTGAGACAAAAATGGGCCTAGGATATAAAAATAACAAAATTTTTAATTAAAGTTTATTGGACTTGAAAAGAATATGAATGATAAATTCTTAAAAATTGAGGAGGAATTAGTTCAAATTGGTAACAAATTTAACTCTATCGATGCTAGATTTTTGAAGATAGAACATGACTTGTTCACATTAAACGAGACGGTTTCATGGATTATTAAGAATACAGGTATGGGACTTCCACCTCCATACTCATTTAATCAATTGCCTTACCACCCTCCAATTGTATAGATTTTTTTGTTTTACAAAATAGATCTCCTAGACTTTCTTATTTATTCATATATACGGTTATATGTTCAATTGCAATGCTCAGTAAAAAATTTAAATATATAATTAAATAAATCTCTATTTGACCCATATATTTCCAGACTTAAAATATACCCATAAATATATTCTCTCCTTTATAAAACCTCGGACTTTTATATATACTTTCTATGGACATGAATATACAGTCGAATCTCGATAAAACATCACCCCGGGACCAAATTGAGCAGATATCTTGGTACAGCTCGATTAGGCGCGACCGACTATGCGCCAAGCTTTTTAATATAAGTGTATAAAATACTATCTGATTGATTCTTTTTAAAATGTTATTAAACAATTCAATATGCTATTTTTTAGCTTCTATTATGCTTCATGCTTCAGAAAGCAATTGCGAAAAATATTCTCATAACGGCTTCTGTTATGTGAAGGATAAAGGAAGTGCGGATGATGAGCGTATATTTTGGCGATGTGATGAGAAAGGTAATGGCTCTAAGGTTTATTCGGCTTGTCACGCAGCATAGCTATTCATCAACTGGTAGACAATTGTGTTTTCGCAATTCTGGTCGTTTTAATATTTCGTTTTGAATATTGTTAATTTTTTGCTATATCTATTAAAATTTGAGTCTGTTTTATTTTTTGCTAATTGATTATAATCAAATTAAATAACTTGTGTATTTAATTAAAAAGCCTGGCGCCTAATCGGACCGCGCCTAATCGGGCGTGTCCCGATATCTTAATGAAAAGACGTGTCGGGACTCTTTTTTTTCTCTACGACACATTTTTCGGAGCCGAATTTACTGACGTAATAGGGAAAGTGCTAGTGAGGGAGTCGTTCTACCGAGCTTCGACTATACTTATTATGTTGTGTTAAGAAATTATAACTCAACCTTGTTCCAATAACAATTTTTTGGAACGAGAAATTTCTTCTTTTGAAATTTCTATAATTTTTTATTCGATTAATTTTCTTCCAACCTTTTTCCAAACAATCTTTATTCAAAAAATAATTTATTTATTAAAGCCAATTTTTATTATAAAAAATAGAAGAATCAATTTAGAAAAAGGAAAAAATCTTTTTAGAAAAAAAAAAGAGTGATTGGTAAAAAGAACGCCTATGAGCGCCGATTACTACATTTTATATGTGAACGAAGGTCAAAAGTATTTAGAGAAAAGAGAAGGAAATTTTAGTGTAACAAATATATTATTGTGGAAATCTTAAGGGAACGGCAATAATTAATGGAAGAATAATAAAAAAAAGAAATAAAATCTTAAACTTGGGAATTTTATGATTAATGGAATTTTTTAATATTTTTAGATTTTATCTCTTTGTACTTCCGTTTCATCGTTTTTTCGTCTTTGGACCTTCTTTCGTACTGAGGCTGCCAAAGTCGAAACACTCCCAAAGCGCGCAAGATTTGACTCTGTGGGCTGCTGTTGCTGTGTTGACGACGAGACGGCTTCTTCCTCAAATTTATTTTTTAAAAATATTTTTTGAATATTTTTTAAGGATTTGTCTGGCCTATTTACCACCAACCAAAGTTTATAGATAAAATATATGATCTTGTAGGTCCAAATCACTACCCAGATTATGCATACTGTCGTAATTATTTTTTGTTTTAAATCTTCCCAAATTTCTCGGAAAGGCCAAAAGCTCAAGGTTGGTGTGCCTATTTTTGCATCGAATTCATTGTTTGTGGCTAATTCAGTTGTCTTGCTATCGCGGCTCAGACTAAATTCTTTAAAAGCCTCCAGCATTAATTTTTCAGGGTTACTTAATTTTGTAAGAATATGCCCTTTAAATGTTTTTGCATCCAGTTTTGGCGGCTTTTGGGACCATTCCAACCCTTTTGGGGTGGTTATTATATTTTCTTCAGGAATTCTTTCTAATGTTCCCGTTTTTTGGTCCACTATGTATATTGCCTCTCTTATCTTAATTTTTTGCTTGCCATATTTTGAGCAGGCTCCCTTTTCAGACTCGGCTCTAATGATTAATTTTAAAGGGTCCAAGAACATCATTTCACTCTTCCCCACGTCTAGTGTTACATTTATTGGAATGTTTTTTGAACATTCTTTCCCAGTAGGCCTAATCTTTATTTTTAGCCAATCTATGGGGTAACAAGACCAAACTTCCAACCATACCTGGTTGTTTTCTTCTGCTACCCAATTTGCTTCGACGTAAGGATTTGACAGTCGTTGTCGAGCAATCATGGTGGGGTCTAATGAAGAGAGAAAAGTTATTTCGGATTGTTGACGGCACATGAATCTAGCCAAATGATTATACGCCTGTTTGAGTTGCATTTCAGTTGTCAGTCGTTGTGCCGTTTCGCCCGCTGAAAATTGTGAGACGTGTATTTGCCCATCTAATCCCAAATTTTTTATTTTTTCTTTATTACCGCTAAATTCTGTAGCAGGTAAGGAACGTTTCGGTTGACTTTTGGTCACCGCAAAATGTGCCTGATAATCCACCATAGTAATAGCATACAGTTGGTCTGTCTTCACCATTGTTTTACCACAATCCATGAACTGTTCTGGACTTGTAACACTTAAAGAAAAAGTTTGGTCATTAGCCATGAACCATTTATCATACATTGAGCCTTTGAAGGTTTCCATTCTTCTGAAGTTACACCTTTGCTCTTCTTTTGGAGCATTCCACAGTAACATCGATTGGTCGTCAAGGAGGCAAGCTCTGTCGATCAGTCGACAGTGTCCCAATTCCAGCAAAGGTGATTCAATCCTTTCCTGGTTAGGTGAAAAATATATATGTATTTTTGTCAAAAAACAATTAATGACTGAAACCTCTTTGCCACCCGAAAAATAAGAGAATTCAGGGTTGAGTGAATTTCTTGTACGTTTATTTTCTTCTTCCCCTTCCATTATTTGATCTGTGCCAGTGTTACACTTTGAGGTGTAAATCATTTTCAAGCACTCTTCCCGGGTGGTGCTAAGTTGAATCTTTAAAATGGGGGAAATTATTTTATATCCCAGCCAATTTAAATAATATGTCATTTTTTCCATTACTTTTAGGCAATGGAATCCACTTACTTCTTGTGTGACGTCATTAGGGCGGAAGACTGTCAGTTCAATATTTTTGATTATTTGCCTTTCTGAGACGAATAATTCTTCACAATGAGAAGGGTGTTGATCTATTTTATAAATTTTGCTAGTTATTCCATGAGGGCATATCATTGGCTCACCTGTTTGGACGCCAGGTAAGCAGGATAGAAGTGCGAGTCCAAGCATAACCAAATTCATTGAAACATACGAGAGCCGATTAATTATATTCGGTCTTCCTCCATTTCTGATGGGGCTCATATTTCTAATGTAATGTCCTCGCCTAGGCGTACGACGTCCTCTTTGTTGATTATCCGACCGACGTACGTAAACGGTTCTTCTTGGATTATAATTATTTTCGACTCTTTCTTCTTGCATTTCCGAGTCAGATTCTTCTTCTTCGACAACCGGAGGAGCATTTTGTTGTCGTTCTAATCTAGTATCAGCTGCCCTTAATTTTCGTACAACTTCTTCTATCCCTTCTTTAGTTATTCTTCCTTCTTCATCTACTAAATTCTTTCTTAAGGCTTCTGAACTGCCCGTTTCTATTTCCAGGTATTTTGTACCTCTTTTTTCTTTTCTCTCTTTTTTGAGATTTTCAACAATTTTTTGCCAATAATCAACTTCTCTTGGTTTATATGGGGGTGGCAAAATATAGACTGTTCCGCTGAAGCATTCAAGTTTTTTCCAAAGCGGCTCTAATTGAGCTTTGAGAGCTTCAGGGTGTCCTCCTTCATCAATAACTTCTCCCCCTATCCAAATTATTGTTGTGAAATAGGGAGCTGGTGTGAGTGGTAAGTAGTCATTAAATAAATATTTAACTTCATTCGCTGCTATTGGTGCGGCGCAAAAACTTTGAGGGAAGAATTCAGTTAATATTTTCGCGTTGTGGTCCCCCACAATCATAACCTCTTCGTATATGGGAGTAGCTCGTGGATAATATTCAACAAATCGCATAAATGTTAGCGCTTTTTCAGCATGCTCAGCTATTTTTAAAAACAATTCATATCCTTCCTCTTCTGTTGGATTTCCTTGTCCTCTTAAGCTAACAGGAAGCCAAGGTTTGTTTGAAAATGCTTCCTCCGCTAACTCACAAGCAGCCTTCCAGAGAGCTAATGCTGGCTTTAAATCTCTTGGATGCCAACCTCTTTCTAAATTTCTAGTTCTTTTCTTTTCTATAGCAGTAATTATCTGCGCGGGCTTCTTTGCATTCAATACTTCATCAATAAACTCAATTCCCGCTTCAAAAGACGTTGTTTTATTATTTTTCTTCTTCCACCAGTCTTTTCTCATTTTCATTAGTGTCCAGAAACACAGAAGTAATTGGATTAAAGACTGAATTGGCTTACTCTGAAGACGTGGATAATCCCTTTTTATAGCTTCAGAATCCTTTCTAGCGATGTCGACAACGTTACGGAGAGTTAGTTGCGAGCATCGCTTGTGACTATTCGCTCCAGGTAGGCAACCATTAATTAAAGCCCAGCCGAAATTCAAAACGAGCTTTCCATTTTTGACCTCTCTTTTGGAGGGGTCTTTTTCTTTAAGTTCGGCCTTCTTTCCTTCTTTTTTAGGTTCCGAACCATTCTGTTGTTGAAACTTCATTAACCTAGAAGTGCTAGTACATTCTTCCTTTTTACCTTCAAAACAGTTTTGCTGTCTTGTTTTATTTAATTTGATTGAACCTGAACCTGGCTGTTTGCGAACCACTTTCTCTTCAGCTTCCTTTTGTTTCTGTATTTTCTTTACAAAAGATTGTAGTCGATCATCAAAATTTTGTTTAACTTGCTTTTTTGGTGGCTCTTCGTTTTTATCAATACTTCCATTACTTTGATTTTTCAATTTTTCTTCTTCATAATCCAAAGAGAGATCAGAGACATGTTCGTCTTCCATTTCCCTGAAAATGATCAAATTACATTGACAAATTTCTTTATTAGTAATTTTTCTATTTTTATTTTTCAATTTTAAAGAATTATTTTTATTTTCATTCTTCATTTCCTCAGCTTTTTCTGGGATTATTTTTTCGCTTTCATCAACTTCGAAGGGAAAGAGATCGTTGACTGCGCGGCGCATAGTTCCTCTACTCGTTTTTACTACCGCAGTGCGTTCACCCGGAAATAATTTTTCGATTTTTCCGAGCTTCCAAACTCCACGATTTTTTATTTCATCATCTCGGATGATGACAACATCCCCCGCCTTAGGGGAATTTTCTGCGGAAGGGCACTTTTTTATATTATTTTTTCTCTCTCTCAGTGCCAGCAAATATTCGGCTGTCCAAATTTCCCAGAATTTGTTTATTCTGTCGGACGCCTTCCTTATTTCCTCGACTAATTCTTCTTTATTAGTCATTTTTTGAGGTCTATAATCTGGGTCCTCCAAATCTGCTTTTGGCAAATGAGGAAGTTCAGAATTACCTTCTTCATATGGAATTAGAAAATCCACTGGTCGGAGGGGAATTATGTGCTCTGAGTCAGGGATAAAATTGAGTGGCCTGGAATTTACCACATTTTGTACTTCGCTTATTAATGTACGAAGTTCTTCCTCTTCCAACAGCCTTTTTCCAACTGTTCTTTTTAGAGAATATTTTACCAGTCCTACCATCCTTTCTACAAGTCCATTTTTCCATGGAGCTCTTTCCGTCACGAAAATCCATTTAATTTCGTGATCAGGGCCCTATTTCAATTGTCCACAGATTCTGCGGTCTGCGTTCTGTGCACAGACCACAGAACCACAGAAATTCTGTTTCAATTATTCCACGGATTCTGCGGAAAAAGGAGTCCGCAGATTCTGTGGAAACATGCACAGATTCTGTGGAAACATCCACAGATTCTGCAAAACATCCAAAAACATGCAAAAACCACAGAATTCTATTTCAATTATTTTTCTGTGCACAGAAAAAAATCCACAGATCTGTGGCTTTTTTAGTCGATTCTGTGCATTTCTGTTTCAATTATTTCTGTGGTCTGCGGAAAATACACAGAATTCATTAAAAAATCCACCCTAAAATTTTTTCTGCGAATTTTCTGTGGAAAAACTTTAAAAATTTTTTTCTAGGCCTAGGCTTAACCAAATTTTAAAATTTTTAGATAACATTGAAGCTTGATTCATTCTCTATTTTTTGATATAAAAATTATAATTTTATTACTTAAAATTATTGCTTAAAATTAATTTTGAAAAAGGTACATCATTTTTTGTAATATTTTTTACTAAAATAAAAAAATTTAAGGAAAATGTTCTTCGATTTTGAAATATTTTACGATGGAGAAGACGAGCAAACGATTAAGCAGAACAAAATTTATAGGCCTAGAAAATATTTTGAAGAAGAAAATTTTAGAGAAAGATTCAGGCTTGATAGAGAACAATTTGAAGATTTTTTAAGTCAAATTTCAGCTTCATTAAAGCCAATTAATTCAACAAATCACGCAATGTCAGCTAAAGATAAACTTTTAACTGCACTTAGATTTTATGCAACTGGAAGTATATATGCTGTTATTGGTGATTCACATGGACCATCCAAATCATCAGTATGTAGATCCATAAGACAAGTTACAAGAGCAATAAATTTATACATGTTTCAAAGAAATGTTGGATATCCTGACAATTTTGGTAGTAAATTTAATAGTTTGCAAATTATTTAAAATTTAGCCAATACAACAACTGGTTTTTATGAAAAAGGAAAAATACCATCAATTTTTGGTTGTATAGATGGAACATTAATAAAAATATTAGCCCCTTCAAAATATGAGGAACAGTTTGTGGATCGTAAGAATGAACATTCTATTAACGTAATGCTTGTTTGTGGCCCAACTTTGAAATTTTATGATGCATCCGTTCGGTGGCCCGGGTCTACTCATGATTCCAGAGTTTTTAAAAACTCTCGCCTTTTCGAAAGATTATCAAGTGGTTGGAGGCCTTTTCATGGAGCATTTCTGTTAGGGGATTCTGGTATTTTAATTCTAAATGAGATATTAATATCCCTTTTTATTTTTAGGTTACCCCCTTCGTCAAATACCAATTGAAGAAACTCAAGATGATTTAGAAGGAAGAGAAAAAGGACTTGAAAAATTGAATCAAATTGTCGCAATATTTAATTAAGTTTTTCAAAAAATCAAAAAACAAACAAAATTTTGAAAAATCGAATAAATTTTGATAAATAAATTAAAGTTTAAAATATGTAGGCTCATCATAAATATTTGAAGGTTTTGATTTTTCTTCCAATTGAGCAATTTCAAGTTGAAGTTTTCTCTCCTTCAATTTTGCAACACGAGTCAAAACTTCCAAATATTCTTCTTTTTTCTTTTTATAAGTGTCAGTCTCATCTAAATTTAAAAGTTGAGAATATATAATTTTAGAATTTGTTTACCTTCAAACATTGCCTTTCTTTTGATGGATAATTTTGGAGTCAAAGTTGAAATATCATCAATAATTAAATCTTCATTTTCATCTTTTTTTTTATTATAAAACTCAAATTCATCAGTATTACTGCAATTGGCATCAGGTATTGTTAATCCAGCAACCACAGGAGAATCGACTCCAAGAATATCACCCATTATCATATCTAATTCATTTAAGCGAGTTTCACCACCGCTGCCAGTTGCTTTGTTTCTGTCAATTTTTGTCTAAAATATATATTTAAAAGATTTATTAAAGATAACAGCAAACTTTATACTCCTTAACAAGAGACGGCCATTTTGTGCCGCTCAGCCATTTGGCTTCGCGCCCTTTAGTCCACTCAGCACCCTTTGATTCACAAATTCTGAAAATTTTTTCCCAAGCATTCCTTTTTTCCTCATAAGTAATCTTGGTTGAAAATTTGCTAGATATTGTGGAGTAATTTTCTTTAATTAATAACAGCAATTCCTTCTTTTCTTGATTTTTTTTATCAGTCATTTCTAAAATTTATTTTAAAAATTAAATTAAAGATAAATAAAGGCTAATATAAACTGTTATTTTCAAAAACGCGGAAATAAAAAATTTGAATTTAGAAGGAAAAATACACAGAACCACAGAAAAATAATTGAAATAGAAATTCTGTGGATCAGTGGAAAAAATCCACAGATTTTTATATTTTCCACAGAAATTTTCATCCACAGAATCTGCGGAATGTTTCCACAGAATCAGTAGATGTTTCCGCAGAATCTGCGGGCACCACAGATTCTGTGCACACAGAATTTAATTGAAACAGAATTTCCACAGAATCTGTGTTCTGTGCACAGAATGCAGAATCTGCGGACAATTGAAATAGGCCCCAGAAGAGAATTTTTGAATTTTTACTTCCTTCCAAATTATTTGTAGAGTTTTTTCCGCGGCTTTAAAATTTGTGCCGTTGTCGGAAATCATCAGAACTGGCTTTTTTCTTTGAGCCATAAATCTTCTGAAAGTTTGTAAAAAGGCTTGGGCGGATAGGTCTTCAGCAATTTCTAGGTGAATAGCTCTAGTACTAGTGCACGTATAGACAGCTATCCATCTTTTTATTTTATCGCCACTTGTTTGTTTCACGGTTAGAGGTCCAAAATAATCAACCGCAGTGTGCATAAAGGGTCGAAATTGGTTAACTCTAATCGCAGGCAGTGTCGGAAACGCTGGTTGTTTGTATGGCTTTATCCAAAATTTCTTACATATTTGACACTTTTTGGTGACATCCTGGACTTTTTTCCGAGATATCCAATATTTTAATCTCAAACAGGCCAATACCGTATTGGTTCCTGCATGGGCCATTTTTTCGTGGACCTCCATTATTATTAATTCAGTTAAAATGGCATTCTTAGGCAACCAAATAGGAAATTTTGTTTCCTCATCGAGATTGCCTAATTCAATTCTTCCTTTACTCCTCCATAATTTTTCTGAATCTTTAAATAATAATAAATTTTGTTTTGTATCTTCAGAGGGAGGGTATAGATTTTGAGCTTCTTTTAATAAAAATATTTCAGCCAATTTCATTTCTTCTGGTTTAATTGTTCCTGGTGAATTGGCCATAGTTTCTTTTAATTTTAAGAAGAATTCATTTTTTATATTTATATTTTCTTTTTTCAGGCAAATTTGTTTTAACGCTCGGAAGACAAAAATTAATGTTGTTTTTAATTTATTTATTTTAGAAAATCGATGGTGCTCTATTAATGGTGCTTTTTCTATTGTCGAAAGGCACATTTCATGGAAAGGTTGAGGATTAAATTTTTCTATCCTCTCCCCTGGCACATATTCGATCTCAGTTTTAGGCCAATTTGCTTCTTCTTCATGAAGGAATTCTGGGCCTTTAAACCATAGAGCATTATTGGCCAATTCGCTTGGAGTAATTCCCCTACTAGTCATATCCGCCGGATTTTCTTCGGTTCGGATGTATTTGACAATATTTTTTCGAATAGGCCTTAAACGTCTTTCAATGAATGGTTCTTGCTCCGATGGGCTTTTTAGCCAGTGGATGACTGTTTGAGAGTCAGTCCACAACATCTTTTTATTAATTTTTAGGTCGAGCATATTTTCAACATATTCCAACGCTTTAGTAGCTATTAAGGCTGCATGGAGTTCCATTCTGGGAATAGTTAATTTTGCTTCGCATTTGCCAATTTGCGCTTTAGGCTTTACTCTGCTTTTAGCAAAAATTAGAGTCGATTCTATTTTCGCATCTTTTTGAGAGCGAAGATAGATCGTGAATCCTAAAGCTTTGTCTGAAGCATCAGAAAAGGCGCATAGTTGGAAATTTGGTACTTTCGTTAATTTCCACGAGATAACTCTTCTGGGTATTTTAATAATGCTACAATTTAGATATTCTGTTGCAATTTCTTCCCATTCAATTTTTAAATCCTCGGGTAAATCATTGTCCCAAGGAAGTTTCGCTTCCCATAATTTTTGCAATAGCCATTTCCCTTTTAGAAGAGCGGGTGAAATAAGGCCGCAAGGGTCAAAACATTCAGCTATAGTTGCTAGGACTTTTCTTTTTGTCCATTGCTTTTCTTCAGTTATTTTTGGTATAGGGAGTTTTAAAGATAGAGCATCATAGAATGTATCCCATGTTATACCTAATATTTTTTGTTTAGCGCTAGAATGCAAATTAGTCGTCCTTGCTTCTATTGGAAGCTTATCAACAGGTATGGCATTCAATTGTTTGGTCGCGTTTGTAAATATTTCACGAAAGTTCCATCCGGCTTCTTGAAATATTTTCCGCGCTTCCAAAATATCTTTTTCAACTTCCGATTCTTCTTCTGCTCCGATTAAGAAATTGTCGACGTAGCCTGCCTTTTTCAATTTATTAGCAGTGGAACTATCATATTTGGCTAAATGATAGTCTACAGTCATTCCTAAAATAGAGGGAGAACAATTTACGCCAAACGTTACTCTGGCGTAACGGAATATTTTTAAATCATCGTCATTTTGTGACGAGGCTGGTTTTTTAACGTCCTTAACCCACAGAAATCGTACGCAATTCCTATCTTCTGGTCGCAAGCTTATTTGTAAAAAAGCTGCCTGTAAATCTCCAGCTATCAAATACGTGGGTAGACGACATCGCATAAGTAACCCGCATAAATCTTGTATTGTGACGGGGCCTTGGTGAAGACAATCATTTAGAGAAGGATTGTCCTTCCGGCTTTTTCCGCTTGCATTAAAAACGATTCGGAATTTTGTGAAAGTTTTATCTTCTCTCACAACCGGGAAATGTGTCAGATAGTGAATTTGTCCACCATCATCTTGATTTCTGGGTATTTCTTCGATAATACCTTTTTCCACTTGGTCAGCAAATGTTTGTTCATAAAGCGCTAAATGGTGCGGATTTTTCTTCTGTTTTTCCTCTATTTGATTTAAAAGCATTGCTTTGGCCATACGGTAATTGCTTGGTAATTTTGGGCACGGGTCTTTCCACAACCAGCCTGCTTCATAACGTCCATTTTGGAACGTTAATTTAGCTTCAAATTCATTTCTTATTTTTTCGTCCAATTTTTGATTGGTTGCGTCGCCTATGCCAATTCCGTCAAGCGAATACATTTTATCTATTTTATCTTCTAATGTTTCGTTTCCATAGTCATTTTCTTCAGTAATTACTACATTAGAACGATCAATAGGAGGGAAAGATTTACTATTGGTAATTTGTCCTTTCCCTCCTATTACTGGGCCAAGCGCACTGTCTGCAAGCCAAAGTCCGCAATTTAATTTTTTCTTTCGAATTATATTTAATTCGAAGAAATATTCAATTCCCAATAGGACGTCCGGTTCGACTACGGAATGCGGTATTTTGTTGGATTTTAGATCCAATTCGCGCTCGTCTTCGGGAGCCAAAACCACAGGCATCTGGGTGATCAAGCTATGTAAATTATCCAGCTGCCCTACTTCTACAAACATTTGCCCGTTTCTGCATTTTTCGATCCCTAATCTGAATATTTCTGCCTGAAATTCAATTATTGGGGATCTGTTTGCCGGAAAAGGTTGGATCCTTTGTACCTCTTTTTGAGAAGTACGCAGGCCTAATTTTTGCGCTATTCCTTTTCGAATGTAAGATCTTTGGGACCCACAATCAATAAATACCATTCCAGTTGTCCTTTTTTCGGGACTAGACGGATTGAATATAACGGCTTCCCGGCATAGCAAAATTCTTTTTTGCCGCGGTTTCTGTAAAAGAGCCAAGTTTTGCAAAACGTTGCCTTCAATTTTTATCTTATTTTCCTTATAAGTTTTTTCGCAAAGAGCCGTGTTGTGTCTTTCTTGACAATGGAAGCATCTGATGGGTCTTCTACAATTCCCCATGTGCTCTGGCTTAATGCAAAAAACACATCTTTTTAGTTCTATCAATTTTTGCCGTCGATCCTTCGCGGTGCTAGTTTGTCTGCATTCATCCCCCCAATGTCCCTTTTTTCCACAAAATATACAAGGGTATATTGGGGCTCTCCTCCCACCTTCAGGCTTATTTTGGTTTTGGTTGTTGTTGTTTTTATTATATTTTGCGCGTGTGTTAAAATTTTTATTTTTTGCTTCAGTATTTGCGAATGTTCTTGTTACTTCCTTTTCATTATTTCTTCTTACATTTTGGAAGTTTCTTTGGCTTTTTATGGTATTTTGCTCAACTTTTTCGTTTGATTTTGCGTGAATGGAGAGGACAAGTTCCTCTTTCTCTATTACTTCACGCAAAGCTTTTCTGAAAGCTGTTGTGTCCCATAAAGCTTCATTACTTTTAACAATCGCCTTCTTTGACTGAATTTCGCGCAAAATGGGAATTGTGAGCTTTTTTTCTAAGCTCATCCAAATTCCTTGGCCTGAGATGTTTTGGTCGTTATTTTCCAAAAGGCGGCATATTCTTTCAACATCTAACGAGAATTTCTTACAATCTTGAAAATTTTGGCAAATTTTTAAACTTTCTAATTGTGTGTGTAAATGCCGTGTATATTCTTCCTCATTTCCATATCTTTGTTTGAGTAAATCGATGGCTACTTCATAATCACTTAATTTTAATCCCTCTATAAGTGATTTTGCTTCTCCCAGTACACATTGTTTGAGAACCGCGTGTTTTACTTCTTCACTTCCGTCGGTCTCGTGTACTGTAGCGTTGAAGATTTGCCACCACTCGGGCCAGTCTATCTGCCTACCCGAGAATTTTCCAATTTCTTGCCTCGGTGGCTTAAAACTAAATCCAAGAGCTTGTTGTACTTGTGTTGTAGAATTAATTATCGATTTCTCTTTTCTTTCTTCCTTTCTTTTTTCAGTTTTTAACTTCCTTTCTAAATCTTTTAGACTTCTTAATTTTATTTCCGCTTCATTTAGACGCTCTTCGATATTATAGTCTTCTGCTACTTCTTCATACGCTTTTTCGAGCGTTTGTTTTTCTGCTTGCGACCCTCTTTGAATTAGCGAAATCCATTTCGCGTTTGCTTCTTTTAAATCGTTGTAGGCCTCCGCTAATTCTTCAATTTCTATATTTAGCTGGTCGAGTGTTTCGCAAACATCAAGGAAGAATTCTGAATTTTGTTCAGAAATTTCAGGTTCTTTTGGAACCTCTCGCTCAAGTAGCGTTTGTACCGTTTCCGAAGCTCTTTTTGTGAAAAGCTTCAGCGGTTTACTCATTTTTATTTATTTTAAATTTCTTTTAATTTTTCAAAATAAATTTAAATAAAAATTTTATTTTATTTATTTTTTTTTTTTTTTGAAAGGACACTAAACTACCTTTTTGTTGTTGCTCAATCAATCCACTAATTATTTTAAGGAGAATTTTAGTATTTTTGTTGTTTCCAAATAAATTTGCAGGTCGTTATTATTTTTTGTTGTCAGTGCTCGCCACTTGTTCCAATAACAATTTTTTGGAACGAGAAATTTCTTCTTTTGAAATTTCTATAATTTTTTATTCGATTAATTTTCTTCCAACCTTTTTCCAAACAATCTTTATTCAAAAAATAATTTATTTATTAAAGCCAATTTTTATTATAAAAAATAGAAGAATCAATTTAGAAAAAGGAAAAAATCTTTTTAGAAAAAAAAAGAGTGATTGGTAAAAAGAACGCCTATGAGCGCCGATTACTACATTTTATATGTGAACGAAGGTCAAAAGTATTTAGAGAAAAGAGAAGGAAATTTTAGTGTAACAAATATATTATTGTGGAAATCTTAAGGGAACGGCAATAATTAATGGAAGAATAATAAAAAAAAGAAATAAAATCTTAAACTTGGGAATTTTATGATTAATGGAATTTTTTAATATTTTTAGATTTTATCTCTTTGTACTTCCGTTTCATCGTTTTTTCGTCTTTGGACCTTCTTTCGTACTGAGGCTGCCAAAGTCGAAACAACCTATTTTTTTCCGTTTTCCGTGGTTCCTATTGTTAAATAAATCCTAAATTCTTATAGGATATTTATGAACACCATTAGATAAAAATTAAGATTTATTGGACATTAGGAACAATGAAAAACAGAAAAAATAGGTTGTGTCATAATTTCTTAACACACCCTACTTATTTATCTCAAAATTTTCACTTGAAAATTTTTTAATTTAATTTATTGAATAAACCTCAGATTTTTTATAAATTGCATTTATGGAAAATTTTAAAGACTCCTTGATTCTCATAATCTATTTTTTTTAATTTTTACTAAAAAAAAGTTTTTTCTCTCAATTTTTTAACTATATTAATCTAAGAAATTACAAGGCAAGAAAAAGAAAATGGTGTCAATTTATGACAATTGGGTTTTGGAAATGCAAAAACTTGTTGAAGTTAGGGAAAAGAATGTTAAGGTTTCTTTTTATTATGTTTTTTGGGCAATTTCTAACTTCATTTTTTTTTCTAGTTTCTCGAAGAATCACAACCTTTTGATGACCAACGTTTACGTTCTTTAGACGCTACATTAAAAAAAGTGACAGCATTTACCAAAAAATTAAAAAATGTATCGTCAACGACAATTAGTCAATTATTACCAGATTTGGAAAAATTAAATTTGAGGTATTGTGTAGTCCCCCCCCCTCCTCCTATAAGTGCCCTTTATTTATTTCCCTTTTTTCTCGTCCCCTTATCAATATTGGCCCAAATGTCATGCCTTAAGAAAAGGAAGAGGAAAGAAAAAGGGGCGGTGTTTATGGGGAGGGGCGGGGCTTATGGCAGAGGGGGGGGGGGAAACTACACAAATTCCAATTTAAGTAAATATTTGGATGAAATTGCTTTTAACATTTGTGAAGCAAAAATTAAAATTGCTGATTTGACAAATCTAGTTGATTTTATTGTCAAAATTTCGTCATTATATAATCAATTTTCAACGCATTTATTGAATGAATTTAAAAAGCAAATGCCTTCAAAGAAGACGGATAAAGTGGAGAATCCGTCAAAATTGAGAGTTGATTTGAGGTTTTTTTATTTTTCATTTTTTTAAGACTGGGGGATAGTTAAGGGATTTTTTTTAATTTGTGTAGGGGGGGGGGTATGGGGGGGTAAGGTAAAGTAGGGGGGTAAAGTGGGGGTTTTAATAGGGTTGGGCCCCGACTCCTTGAGGGCACGTTTGTTGGGGTGTGCTGGAGTATGACTGAAAGAAAGCACTAACAATTTGTTGTCTATCATACTCCAGCACACCCCAACAAACGTGCCCTCAAGGAGTTGGGGGCCCAACCTTACTTTTTAATGTAAAATCGTTTTTTAGGAGGGGGATGCTCTTAAGGACATTTTTAAAGAACCGTTGGTTAAAAATCAAAAAAAATCCCAACCAAATTTCAGTATTATAACTTTTTTAAAATTAATACTTGAGATCAATCCCTAGTTAGTTTAGACAAGCAACAACATTTATAAGGCTCTATTATTTTTAGGGGTAAATTTAAAATCGTTTTTGGGAGGGGGGGGATAAGAACTAAAAAAGATCAAAACCCCATATATTGAGTTTTGATCTTTTTTAGTTCTTACGAGAGGTGGTCAAGATTGCTCGATATCTAAAACCTGAACTTTTTTCGACCCGAAATTTGAAACCCAATCCTTAGAAAAAATATGGAAATTTGAACCTATCTTCTAATTATTCTAAAAAAATTCTAAAAAAATTTTCCAGATTTTTCACAGAACTTTTACTTAATGGAATATTTGGACGTGAAGGACTTCAATTACTTGGGGCTGTTTTAGCTTTTTTGGTCAACACAGATAAACAAGAACATTTAAATACAAGTGTGTTGATGCCTTTTTGTAAGGCTCATTTTTTTCCAATTACTGGGATTTTGCCGTATTCTATACAAAAGGAAATTGGTGAATTAGAAGAGAAGGGAAAAGAACATGCTAAATTAATTTCAACGGTAATATTTTAAAATTCCGGAAAATACAACACATTCAATTTATTTGTCTCCGGAATGCATAAAAGAATTCCTGAAATATTTAAATCCTTTCCGGAAAAATATAAAGAGACTTTCCGGAAAAAATACAAAAAGTATTCTGGAAAACACAATTTAAATGTTTTCCGGAAAAATAAATTAAAGTATTTTCCGTAAAGAGAAAATAAAATTCCGGAAAACACAATTTATTATTAGACCTTCCGGAAAAGTCAAAAAGTATTCCGGAATAATAAATTCTAATGTTTCCGGTAATGAAAAATAAAATTCCGGAAAACACAAACACATCCGGAAAAAATTGCAAAAAGTATTCCGGAAAACACAACAAATAAATTAAAGTGTTTTCCGGAAAGGGAAACACACAATTTATTATTAAACTTTCCGGAAAAGTCAAAGAATATAATTCTAATGTTCCCAGTAATGAAAAATAAAATTCCGGAAAACACAAGCATTTAAAAACAATTCTTTTTTTAACCAGAATTTTTTCAGTTATTTACTGCAGAGCAAAGAAGCATTCTTTCAAAAACACTTGATGATTATTGGCAATCTTTGGTAGAACATACAAATAAAAAATATCTGGAAATGAATAAATTGAAAAAGTCGATAAGACGACAGGAGAGGACTAGAGGTTTTTTTTTTGAATTTTTTAAGGAAAAAATTTTTTGAAATTTTTTCTTGATTTTTTTTAGAATTTTCGAAATTTTTTTTCTTTGAAGTTATTTTTCTGAATTTTTTTTTCTGATTTGTTTATTTTGAAAATTTCTTCCAAAATTATTTCTGAAATTTAAAAAAAAATTTTTTTGTGATTTTTGAAAATTTTTCTGAATATTTTTCGAATTTTCTTACTTGAAAATTATTTTTCTTTAATTCTTTTCAGATTAAAAAAAAATTTTTTTTCGAAAATTTCTTCCAAAAATTTTTTCTGAAATTTTTGAAAGAAATTTTCTTTTTTAAATTTTTTAAAGAATTTTTATTTTGAACTTTTTTCCATTTTTAGGAAAAAAATATTCTGGAATTTTTTCTGAAATTTTTGAAAGAAATTTTCTGAAATTTTTGAAAGAAAAATTTTTTTAAAAAATTTTTCTCTGAAAAAAAATATTTTTTGAGGTGATGCTTCCGCTGATGACCGTCAACGTTTTGAACAAACCAAACAACATTTTGAACGTCTCCAAACTTCTTTGGAAGAATTAACCGAGTGTTTAGGCCATCCACCTATTCAACTCCCTCCAGAAGAAACTAGTGAAGATGAAAGAGAGGCCGATGCAGCTGTAAATCGTTTAACTGAAGAATTGAGTGAAGGAAGAATTTTAATTTGGCCTGATCGTGATACTCAATTATTTTATGAATCTTTAATTGACGTGACTGCTTACACACCTACTATTGCTGCACAGACGCCAGATACGGGAATTGAACAGCAACAGACTAAAGAGGTTTTTTAATTTTGATTTTTTTAGTTTTTCGGTCCGGGACCCTATATCTATGACTTTTTTCGACTCGAAATCTGATCCGAAAAAATCCGAAACCCCGACCAGAAATCTGACTTTTTCTCAACCCAAAACACACTCCTGATTTGAATTGTTTTTAGATACCCATCGAAAAAATTTTGGGTTTGGTTGGCCTCTTTAAGATCGTTTTTTAATGAGGTTAGACGTAGGATTTGCCTAGTCACTGCCTAATGTATACTAGGAGATACCTTTTTACAAAATTTCATCGCTTATGGGTATTTGCTAATAAGTTTTGGTTTAATTTTTATTTTTAAGCATATTGTAACTGAATCTATTGAAAATGTTGATTTAAGCTGTTTGGAAGAAGTACAGCCTACAGATGAGATGGAAACAACTGCTGCTGCAACATCAAATTTACTGGAAGTTCCTGAGGAAGAGGAAATTTCACAATCAACAGAACTTATAGAGGAGCAAGAAAGTATATATAAAAATTATTTTTTTAAAGTTTTCTCATTATAACCGACTAGAAAAGTTTCTACAAAAAATTTTTCTATCGAAATCATTTTGGAGACTCTCGAAGCCCTACTCCATTGGCGGAATTCTGCGCGCATTTGGTGCGCGCAGAATTTCACTTTTTTGCTCAATCTCCTCCTGAAATTTCTCTTTTAGCCCTAGAAGCCCTACTCCATTGGCGGACACCCACTTTTATATGGGGTATCAATTGGAGACTCTTTCCGGTGATTACCCAGATTACACATCTAATTCAGGAAATATTCTGTCTTATATCGAGAGGTTTAATCATTCCGCAATTTTTTCCTTTATCAAATTTAAACAATCTTTTCAATTTTATCCGAAAATCAAGGAAAATCGCGACTTTTAAGGGATTTTTTTTAATTTGGGGAATTTTTTTAGCCCCAATTAAATCATAATTTATTCAAAAAATTCGATCAGAAATTTTAACCAGAATTAATTTAAAAAATTAAAATAAATTGGAATAATTAATCTATGTATTTTTAGCAATTTATCAGCAACCACCAGACTCAACAACAATTACCCCCACAACTACCAGCAACTTTTCTGAATTACTTGGACGTCTCCCCCAATCAATAAACAAAGAATTAATTGATTCAATTTCAATAGATTTTTTAAAAAATTATTCCAGAATTAAAAGTAATCGAAAACGTTTAATTCAACATTTGCAACAACCGCCGGAAGGACGTTTAGATTTGTTACCTTTTTATGGGAGGTTTATGGCTACAATTAAACCTGCTTATCCAGAAATTACTACACAGGTTTTTTTTTAATTTAAAAATCAGAATTAATTTTTGGAAAAATCAGAATTTAACCAGAATTTAATCAGAATTTAGTCAGAATTAATTTCTAGTTATCAGAATTTGACCAGAATTTAAATAGAATTACTTTTTTAAAATCAGAATTTGATCAGAATTTAACCAGAATAATTTTTTAAAAATCAGAATTTAATCAGAATTAATTTTATAGAAATCAGAAATTGACCAGAATTTAACCAGAATAATTTTTTAAAAATCAGAATTTAATCAGAATTAATTTTTAGAAATCAGAATTATACCAAAATTAAACCAGAATTTATATTTAAAAATTAGAATTAATTTTTGGAAAAATCAGAATTTGGTCAGAATTAATTTTTAGAAATCAGAATTTAATTTGAATTGATTTTTGAAAATCAGAATTTAAAAATAATTAATTATTTAAGGTATTGCATGAATTGTTAGCTCGTTTCCGTTCAATCACCACCCCAAAAAGTGTTAAATTTCCAAAGAAGGCAGAAATGCAGCAGGCACTTGCTCGAATTGAAGCGAAGCTTCAACTATGTTCTTACCTTTCTGAATTGGTAATTTTATATTTTTTGAAGGTTTATTAAACCAGAATAAGGTTAAAAATGAATCAGAATATAAATTTAGAAATCAGAATTAGATCAGAACTTGTCCAGAATTCATCAGAATTATTGAAAATTAAGTCAGAATTTAATCAGAACTCACCAGATAAAATCAGAAATTTTATCAGAATATAATTTTTGAAACCAGAACCAAATCAGAATTTACCAGAATTCACCAAAAATAATTAGAAAATTATCAGGGTTAATGAAAATTAAGTCAGAATTCAATCAAAACTTGGCCAGAATTAAGTCAGATTTCATCAAAAAGCTGACCAAATTAAATCAGAAATTTTATCAGAACTTATCAGAATTCGTTACTAAATTAATTTTTCAAGACCAGAATTAATATTATTTTAAATTTTTTCTAAAAAATTTTTTTCCAGTGTAAATTTGGAATTCTTCCAAAAGCTGAAGCATTAACATGTTTACGTTCTTTATTAGTACATATGCATGTTTACAAAGTTGATATGCTTTGTATTATGATTGAACAAATGGGTTCATTTTTATATCGTTCACCTGATGCTCATTCAAAAATGGCTGTAATAATGCAAGTTTTGAAGGATAAATCGGCAAATGTTAAAGATCCAAGGCATAAGGTTTTTTATTTTTTTATTTTCTATTTTTTTATTTAAGTAAGAAGGGAGACTAGTATATTTAAAATATTTAATAGGTTGTGGTTTTAAGATTTATTAAAGAAGGGGAATTTTAATCTAAATTTTTTTCTGAATGTCAGTGGCCTTTTTATAAGGTCATTTTCAGTGAATAAAAAATTTTAAATTTATGTGGTGAGCGAAAAAACCTAGCAATAGCTGCCAAAGTGTCGCAGGACAATGCCTGCCCAGAGCTAAACTTTACCTTTCCTTTTTTTATATTCTGATTCTTTTTTTTCTTGCCTATTAAGAGATTTCCTTAAAAAATTTTTTCCCGCACCTATTCAATGGACCCGTAACCAGGATTTTTTTCGTGGTGGGGGGGGGGGGGGGGGGGGGGGGCAAGGGGAAAAATTTTCTCCGCCGAATTTTTTTCTCACCTTCCTTAATTTGATTAGGTAATTAATTTAATCTAAATTTTTACAATTTTAAAATCAAAATTTTTTTTCTTAAGATTCTCCTCGAAAATGCCTATTTTGCTGTTATTCCTCCAGATGATCTAACAATTAGTTCAACAACAACAGCAGCTCGACAACCACCAATGCATGAATTTATTCTTCACAAGCTTTCAACAGACATTAGAATTGGTATTTTTCGACGTATAGATTGGGATGATGATGAGATTAAAGGTTTGAGAATTTTTTTAATTTTTTGGAGTTTTTTGGAAATTTTTTCTGAAAATTTTGTAAATTTTTTTTGGAAATTTTCTGAAAAATTTTTTTTCCGAAAAGTTTTTATTATTTTTTTTATTAATTTTATTTCATAATAAGCTTAATTTTGACGGCTTTTTTGAATTTTTTCGGAAGATTTTTTGAAAATTTTTCCGAGGATTTTTGAAAAATTTTCGGAATTTTTTAAAAAAATTTTTTAGGATTTTCTAATTTTTTTGAAATTTTTGAAAATTTTTTTGAAATGCGGTTTAATTTTTATAAATTTTTAAGAAAATTTATTTTTTATTTATTCAGATTTCACCTTAAAATTGCTTTCTTGTCCATGGCGTGTTCATTTTGCTGATATGGCTTCTATGGCTTCCCTTGTTTCTGCACTTTCTGATCATCATGAGTATTTTTATTTTTTAAAATAAAAATTAATTTTAAATTTTATTTTTTAAAGTTGGATTGGTGTTTATGTGTTAGACTCTGTTCTTGAATTTTTGCGTCTTTCGTTAGAATTAAATGCTCCAGCATTGCAACAACGTGCACTCACAACTGTTGCTTATCTTGGACAATTATTTAATTATAATGTTACAAATACTGCTACTTTATTTAAGGTTTTTTGATGTTTTTTAATATTAATTAAATGGGGGTTTCTGACGTTAGAGTTAGTTTTGATATTTTAAGCATTAATACATAAAGTTTTTTTATTGCGATTTGTTTAAGCAAGGGCTTGGCTGTTAATTCTTTGGATATGTTTGGACACTTTTTTTCCTTTTAAAATGCCCCACATGATAAATTCATGTAGATAAGGAAAAGTATAAGATTATGGTGCCGTGATGTGAAATAATGTTGAAATGACAAACCCAAACTTCCAAAAGCCGACGAAATACCAAACTGGAAATAACTAGTGTTGGATATGACAGGTTAATTCTTGCCTGAAACGGCTCAAATGGAGAATAATAAGAGAATTTGAGCCGCCACAGATTTTGTCCATTCCTAGAAATAGGACCACGGTTTGGTCTTTCGACTTTTTGGCATCAAATCGCACTACATTATAGTATAAGAATTAATACCCTAATATTAGAAAATTTAAGAGAATTTGGAATAGTATTTTTTTACTCATCCTTTTCAGGTTTTGTATCAATTAATTTCTCTTGGTATTCACCCAATTAACTCTACTGTCTCCCCCGATTTACCTCAACAAGAAGGAAACAATGAATCATCAGGTCCAGAACAATTAATTATTCGATTACAACGAATCCGACTTGTTACCCAATTAGTGGATACAGTCTGTGAATTTTTCTGTGCTCCAAAAAGTAAAAGTACTAGAAGGATGGATCAATTTTTGTTCTTCTTTTTAAAATTTTGTTTGTTTTTTTAATTATTTTTTAAAATTTTTTCTAATATTTTTAATTCAAAAAAATTTCCGAAAAAAATTTTTCTGAAAAAAGTCCGCAAGAATTTTGCGGACAAAAATTTCGAGTCCGCAAAAAATTTGCGGACAAAATTTTATAATCTACAAAAATTTTGCGGACTTTTCTAATAACCTTTAAGAATTTTTTTAAATAATTTAATTTTTCTAAAAATCAGACTATGAAACACGTGATGGTTGGTCTCTTTTTATCGACGAAATTGGTGAATTCCCTGATGATGTTATTCAATTAGTTATCGAATTATTGCGTACTTGGAGAAAAAATGAAAAATTTCCTGAAAACCTTAATGAGGCGCAAATGAAGGTAGCAGAGATTGAAGCGACTTATAAGGCAAAAGTTGATGAAATTTTGGCTGGAATGCGTAATGCTCTTGAAGCGGCGACTAGAGATGAGGAAGGGCAAAGACGTCTTAATAGAATTAATGAAGAAAACGAGGAGGAGGAAGAAGATGATTATGATAGTGAGGAGGAGGAGGAAGATGAAGAGGACCATTCTTTGGATGGAGAATTGGACCATTCTTGGTAAGAAAAATTGGAATTTCCAAAATTAGTAAAATTCGCAAAAATGATGTCCGCAAAAAATTTGCGGATTTTACTACTAAACTTAAACTTAAGTTTATTTAAATAAATTAAACTTGGAAAAATACAAAAAATACAACTTGAAAAGAATTAAAGTTTTCCGGAAAAATACAAAATTAATGTACTAAAATACAAATTAATTAAACTTAAATACAACTTGAATAATTAAAAGAAAATAAACTTGGATTAATTAAACTTTTTTTGTATTTTTCCTGTCCTTTTTAAAACTTGGAAAAATACAAAAAAAGTGTTAAATAAACCAGCAAAATACAAGAAAAAGTTTAATTAATCCAAGTTTATTTTTCTTTTAATTATTCATGTTGTATTTTTCTTTGTTGCATGAATTATTGTATTTTCCGGAATTTTGTGTTTTTCGGAATTAATTAAAAATGTATTTTTCCGAATTAAACTTGAAATTATTCAAACTTTTTTTGTATTTTTTAAAACTTAAGTATTCAAGTTTTATTTAGTCTAAACTTAAATTCTCAAGTTTAAACTTAAAAACATGTTTTTAAGTGATAATAATGAAGAAGATGCTGAACATGAAGGGAGGCCCCATTCAAATCGAAAACAACACAAAAAGAATAGTTTAAATAATAATGAAGAACAACAAAATATTTCTTCATTACAAACACAACATTTATTAGAAAATCCTGAAAAATCGCCAACTTGTTATTTTGATGGAGATGAATCTGAGCTTAGAATACATACACAACAAAAACAGTTACTTCCAGAAGATGAAGATTTTATGAGAGATTTTGATAAAACCATGAATGAGTCTTTACAGGTAAATAAAAAAATTTTTTGAAAAATAAAAAAATTGCGGACAAAACTCTGTCCGCAAGTTTTTCTGCGGACGTCCGCAAATTTTATCCAGAAATTTGAAAGGAAATTGACTTTTTTTGGCAAAAAAAAATTTTTTGGAAAAAATTTTAGTTTTATTATTTAATTTTTAATTTAATTTTTACAGTCAGCTCCAGTAATGCTTCAAGGTCCTATTAGCGATTTGGTTGTTCCACCCCAAGCAAAACAAAAATTTGAAAGGAAATTGACTTTTGGTAAGGATTGGAGAATTAATAAATAAATATCAAAAAAAAATTTTTTTTAGCAATGTCAGAAACTCATTCAGTTGATAAAAGTTCTCCACATGATCTTTTGCCACCTGAAGATATTGGGGGAAATAATTATTATGGAAGGAGCTCTCAACAGCAACATAGACAGAAAGGTTTTAAATAAATTTTTAATTATTAGGTTGAAAACCTAAAAAAAGTTACGTTTTGTGTTCTGAATTTTATCAGAATATAATTTTAGAAAAATTCAGAATTTTACCCGAATAGAATCAGAATTTTATCAGAATGACCAGAATTTAATCAGAAACTAAAAAAATAAAATCAGAATTTTTCAGAATTATATTATTGAAATCAGAATTAAGTCAGAACTTTATCAGAATCTGACCAGAATTTGATCAAAATTGGGTCAGACTTTAATCACAATTCCCAGAATTAAATCAGAATTTAACCAGAATCCGATCAGGATGAAACCAGAATTTGTCCAGAATTAAGTCAGAACCTGACTAGAATTTGATCAGAATTTAATCAGAATTTTTTTTAAATTTAATTTCAAGGTTCAGCATCTTCCCCCCAATCTAGAATGGCTTTAATGCTTCGTGCTAACAAAGGTGTTGGTGGTAGTAGTGGTGGCGGTGGCGGCTTAGGAACAAGCGGTGGAGGAATCGGAGCTAAAGGCAATGTTTTGTTGAAAGCAGTAAATATAGAAGATATTGATGATAATTTGGCGGAAAAATGGCGAATGGCACAGGAGGAACAAGAGAAAAATAGAAGGGAAATGAAAAAGGTGAATGAATGGAAAAATTGAGTTTTTTGCAGTTAGACCTAACTTACCACCTTGGGGCCAACCTTACCACTTTTGGGTCAAGAGAGAAATTGTCGCTTAAAATGAGGGATAAACCTCCCCTCCCACCCAGTGACCAACCAAGTTTTTTTAAAGCCTATCTTAAATTGAGGGACAATTGGGACCCTAACGGGACCCCGATTCGAAAATTATGGACCCCGACGGGACCCCAATTTTCGCCACCATTGCCACTTGAGGTGCCCTATTTTGGTGGTAACTTATATAGGAGGCTTTTGTATTTGATACAAAAAATTAATTTTCAGGTAACTTTGGCTCTAAATGAACGTATGGCACAAGAAGCTGATGAAGCAAACAGGCAAGAACAAATTGCGGAAATGGAAAAACGTTTTATATTTACTAGTGGGGGTGGGTCAACGACAACACCGACATCAAATTTTGTGGGAGGGAATGAGTAATTAAAATGCGTTTAATTTTATTTGTTATGATTATAAAAATTATCTTTCCGGTTAAAATACGTATTTATTAAAAAAAGTCTTGTAATTCATTCAATAAATTCAGTGATGGCTTAGTGGTTCAGGACGCTTCATCTTTTCCAATTGTTTACGGGCATGTCTGTGAAAAAAAAAATTTTTTCTAATTTTTTTTCAAAAAATTTCTCATGCCATTAGGTTCCTAAAATACCTGGTCCGAAACCCGATCCGAAGAAAATTTTTTGATATCCAGACCCAATGTTTTTTTCAACCCAGTTACCCTCTTTGTTTGGGAGATGGGCTCTGGAGTTGAGATGGACCATCCCTCCCCTCCCATTCCCCATCCTCCCATCCATCTGTTTTACTTACGCTCCAAAAAGTTGATCATTCGAAACAAGAATTTCAGTTTTCTTGGCATTTACAAATAGCAATTGTGCCATTAAAGCAAATAGAGCTAAGAAAAATAAGAGACGCATCTTGATTTTTTTTTTAAAAATTAAAAAATCTTTAATTAAAAAGGCAAAAATGGGGGCTTTTTTTAATTATTAATTTCAAAAATGAGTAGAAAAGATATTTAATTTTACTTTTTTTTTGTTTTTATTTTCGTCAAAATTTACACATTTTGGAACAAAAACTGGTTTTTGTTAATAAAAATAAACAAAAAAATTTTTAAATTATTTTTACGAATTTTTGAAAAATTTACTGTACATATTTCCCTTCTTGATGACATTTTGTCAATATTTGCTCGTTTTGGCAATTTGTCCTGTGCCGTTTTTGTCAGTTTGGTTAAATGAAATTTATGGGAATTTGTTAGACATTTTTGTCTCTTCATATTGCACACTATTTTCATTTTTTATCTTTATTTTCTTTTGTTTTCGATGTTCGCTAATTTTGGTTAAATGAAAAATTTGCCTTTTACATCTTTCATTCTGTCACTTTGTTGTTTTTCCTACAAGTGGGAGAAATTTTTTTCTTTTGTTGTAGGGCACGCCCAAAACGGCGCAAATCCATAACTTGCTTCAAGATTCTTTAATCTTAACAAATTTAGTATCAAATGATTCCTCTCATCGAGCTAAAGAAATTGGTACCAAAATTGTTAAGTTTCAGACACTTTCCAGCAAGTTATGGCTTTGCGCCGTTATGGCCGCGCGCCGTTTTGGGCTGTACCATTTGTCTTGTTTTTTACTTTTTTAATTTTATTTTTTTTAATTTTTAAGAAATGTTCTGGTATTGCTGTGATTCTTTAAAATTTGGATCTGCTAAACGCGAAATTAAACAAATAATAAAAAGCAATTCAATAGAAAATGATGAACGGTTTGCTAGCATTTTTACTTACAATTCAGAAAGGAATTATGGAGGGAATCGTTACAATACTGCTTTTGGTATTTATTTTTATTTATTTTTACTGGGAAATTTTGGTATTCCTCTACTTTATTGGTTTTTGTAAAAATGGGCAAATAAGCGTTCTTTCGATTTTTGGGGTTATAGCTCGATTACCCACTGGTAAACCTCAAAAAACATCGAAAGAGCACTTCTTGCCTTTTTTTTTCTAGGGACCACTTAACTAGAGGATTACCGAAATTTCAAGTTTTTGGAGAGTATTGACTCGAGGTTTTATAGGTCTAATAACTGATTTTTCAGTCTCATGACTGGACTTTTTACCTATTTATTTTTCGGCCAGTTTCTCTTTTTTGCCTGTTAAAATGTTTTTATTTGTAAGTCCTTGATTTGTAAAGAGCGTGGGTTTGGGTTACCTAGAAGAGATTCTGGACCTTTATTTTAAAAGAACTCACAGAGCTTTAATTTGATTGGGATTGAATTTTTAGGAACAATCCTGGACTTTGGAAATTCCCAGCTATATTTCTAATTTTTAATTAAACCAATGCAGTCTTTTTTTAATCCCATAACCTTCCCCCCTTTTCCAGTTAGTTTATAAAATACTAGTTTTTAATTTTTTCAGATTGGGGAGGCAACAATCAATTTTCGCAGCTTCCAACAACCTTAGAAGAACAATTTCCAAACAACCAAAATGTTTCTAATAAATTTGGAGAATTTATTTGTACATTACTTTCTTTACTCTTTTTTATAATTACCTTGCCATTTTCTCTGTTTTTTACTTTAAAGGTTTCTTTTAACTTAAAAAATGGTACGTGTGTAGTTTACCCCCCATAATCCCGCCCCTATTTTCATTTAATTTTTTTTCGTTTAAAATTCACCACAAGCACCAATCTTTTGACCCAAGTGGTATATTGACCCAAATGGTCATTTTATAGGAAAAGAAACTTTTCTTAAGAAAAGGAAGAGAGGAAAAGGGGCGTGGCTTATAGGGTGTAAACTACACAAGTATCAAATATTTTTCAAATTTTAGTTTATCAATCCATTCCAAAAAGCTGTTGTAATGCGACTTGGAAAATGTCAAAATAAAGTTTATGGGCAAGGAATGATTTTACTTTTACCTTTTATTGATGAAGTAACGATTGTTGATTTGAGGTTTTTTTATTTGAGATTTTTTTTGGGGATTTTTTTGACAAGCTTAACTAGACACTTAAGTCGTCTGGTTCTTTCATTACATTTTAAAATTAAAATTTTATGGGTCTTTTTCATGCTCGCGATTTTTAGTAGGATTAAGAGGGATCTTGTCTGTCACGTTTTAGTTCAAAAATAACCGAATGCAGAAACCTTAAAGCTCTTTAATTTTTTAATTTTGGGGTCATGATTTAAAAAAGCCTGAGTTTGGCAAAAATGATATTGATTGGCTATCACAAAAAATTTTTTGGGGGGTTTTTGGTCACATAGAATTATAGGCCCTTCCAAACGTCAGCTTTCTTTTTTTATTTTTTTGTACAAAAATTATTTTTATTCATTTGCTCAATTTTTTAGGGTCTCCACCATAGAACTACCAACAATTTATTTGTTTACCACAGACCGTGGAATAGTTGAATTATCTTGTGTTGTGCTTATTCAAATTATTGACCCAATTATTGCTTGTTGTACTGTCCAGAATGTTAAACAGGTTTTCCCTAAAAATTTTTTTAAATTAAAAAAAATTTTTTTCCGATGTTAAATTTGCTCGTCTATACAGCATTACATAGACATTTGGGAAAACGAATGTTGAGCGATATTACAAATCCGAATTGTCTTGCAAAACATGTTGCTAGTTGTAAGGTAAGAAACTTGTTGTTTTAAATATTTAATATTATGTATAATGTGTTTTCTTCTTTTCCGGAAAATGTCCTGTTTTTTGCTTGTATTTTTTATAATTTTATTCTATGGAATGTATTTTCCGGAACGGTTTTATTCTCTAAAATGTATTTTTTAATCTATAAATAGTCTATAAGTATTTTCCGGAATATATTTTCCTGAAGAACCTTTCGGGATTGTATTTTTTTCCGGAAAATTTTAACATTTTTTTTGTATTTTCCGGAAGTTTTCAACCTTTTCGGATTGTATTTTCTTGTATTTCTTTTTCCTTTTTTAATTCCGTAATTATTTCTGGATGTATTTTCTTTGGGACACGCCCAAGTAGGCGCGCGGCCATAACTGCGCAAAGCCATAACCTGCTGGAAAATTTCTGAATCTTATCAATTTTGGTACCAATCTCTTCAGCTCGATGAGAGGAATCGTTTAATACTAAATTTCAAAAGATTCGAAAATTTTGAAGCAAGCTATGGCTTTGCGCCGTTATGGCCGCGCGCCTACTTGGGCTGTACCCATTTTCTTTCCGGAAATGTATTTTACTTCCCATAAATGTATTTTTTAAATATTTTTTTTCTTCCCAGAATGAATTGGACCAATTTATTCACAAATATGGAGTCAAAATAGATGCAATAAACATCACAAAAATTAATGTAATTAAACCTGGAGAGAACGGGGCTGTTTCAATTTTTAAAACTTTAATTCGTTCTGATGTTGGTAAACAATTTTTGGATGTTTTTGGATGTCCTGTTAATAATTTAAATAATTTTGTGAGTGAAGGAGGAGGAAAAAATAAAGAGAAGAATTTAATAAAATTGTCAAATGATGAATTCAAGGTTTTATTTTTATTAAAATTTTGGGATTAGAAAAACGGGTTTTTTTGGATATGCTTTCCTCACCTAAATTTCCCTTAACGATTTTTGGGGTTGAAAACAGGCCCTTGGCCAGAATTTTTTTCCGTAGGGGGCTAAGAGGGGAAAATTTTCTGCTCCGAATTTTTGGCGCCAAATTTGTCAAAAATTTTATTTTTAGAAGACCGTGGGCCAAAACATTCACCTTTTCAACGCTGCGAGCGAAAATTTTGTGAAATTTGGAAGGTTATAGGAAAGCCGTCACCCTGAAAAGTTGTTGGGCTTTAATAATTTTTATATTTCTGGGTTTTTTAGTTAGAAAATTATTTTTTAGTTTTCTTGATTTTTGGGCGCAGAAAAAATTTTTTTAACCCAGTGTAAATGACATCGTTTCGTTTTTTCATATATTTTTATTCCGATTTGGCTCTTTCCTTTAATTTTTCATTTTTATTTGGCTTATAAGAAGTCTGGAACCCATGTCTAATTTTTCATGCCTTTTCTAGTTAATTTAAAAATACATATATTTTTTTTTTCAATTTTTTAAAAGAAAATAGCCTATCAGAAAACTTTCCCATTTTTGAAAATTTTTTGGAAAAATTGTAAAATTTTTTAACCCATTGTAAGTACATTAAGTCGTTTTTTCACGCCCTTTGTCCTGATTTGGATTTTCTTTTACTTGATCTATTCCAATTAGCTTATAAGAAGTCTGATAACTCCCTGCCTTTTTTAAAATTTAGAATACTAAAAATAATTTTCTTTTAAAGAAAATAGCTGATACCTTCTCTACAGCTTCAACTGAAAAACAAAATTCCCCTTCAATTTTAAATTCAATATCAGAAGAAAAAATTGTTGAAGAAGAAGATAATGATGAATTGGAACAACTTTTACAACGTATTCGCCTCGTATTATTTCAAAATTGTGGTGGAGGGAATTTATTGAAACGAGTAAATAAATGCTTTCGTGTAAAATGTACTGATTGCTTGAATAATAATGAATTCGATATTGATTTGAGAGAATCTTGTGGAGGATGGTGTGGGTGGACATGGCAGAGAGGAGGAGGTTCTTTTAGTTTTTTTTTTATATTTTAAGCCCCAATTTATTTTGTTTTGTAGGTTTTTCTTTTAGGGTTCCTAAAGTCCGCAAATTTTGTCCGCAAGTCATTTATCCTGTTCTTTCAGTAATATCACCCCCCAACTTTCGATGGGTGAGGGGCAACTCAAGGAATTTCGAATCACGGGACAGACAAGCCAAGAACGAAAGGTCTTACCAGATCACGAAACGACCAAATCATGGAACGCCAAAATCACGGAATATTTAAAAATATTCAGATTTTTCAAAAAATTTCGATTTTTGAAATATTCCGTGTTTTGGTAATTCCTTGAGTTGGTCGTTCCCTTACTTGTCTTTCTGTGTCTTGTCCGTTCATTGAGTTAGCCCGACACATCCCTCGATATTTTCTTTCTAACCCCTTCAAATCATCCGTTTTGTGTTAATCATTAAGGGCAGTAGGCATTCGAGCTCATTAAACCTACTTTTTATCTTGCGGATAAAATTTGCGGATTTTAGGCCAAATTAAGGAATATATCGCAAAATATCTTTGATATTCCCTTTGATTTTAACTTTTTAAAGAATTATCACCATTACCTGATGTCCATTTTACCTTGTCAAAAACAACAATTATATCCCTCATCAACAATCAATTATCTCCAATGTCTGCTTATATTAATGGACTTGTTCAAATTCAAGGTTCTATTCAGGATGCAATTTTATTGAAGAATTTGGCTGATTGTTTGGCTGTTTAATTGAGAATATAATTTTTTAAGAGTTTGATTTTTTATTTTCTTTTTTTCCCAACTAATTTTTTTTGCCCCCTTCGCTTCTCCTCATTCCTCTTAGTTACCCTAGTTTATTTTTTCTTTGTAGACCATGGTGGGGTTTTATGGCTTTGAAGTAAAAATATTTTTTACTCATTTCCTGACCCTTCTCCCCCTCTTAACAGGGGTATTTTGCCTCTTTCCTTTAAGACATCCATCCCAAAACGTTCCCTAGGCCAAACGTTCTATTTTATTTTTTGCGGTCTTCCAAGCTTTTAAGTTTACAATTCCTGCTGACTTTCTGTCTTTTTCCTTCTCATTAAGCTTTGTTACCTTTGTTTTTCCTTGTTGACCCACGTTGTGGTTGTGGCTTTGAACTAAAAAAATTTTTCCCCATTTCTAACCATTTTTAAGAGGTTATCCCTCTTTAATAGGTTCTCCTATTTCTAATACTTCCATCTAATTATGGGAAAATTGCGTATTAAAATGTTAGTGTCCAACCGATCATTTTATTTATGCGGTCCTTGTAAAAGTATAGAAGGGTACAATAATAGTCACAAGCATTTTCTGGCGTCATATAAAAATTCCCCTTCCTTTTCTCCTTCCATTTTTATTCTAGTCATTCATTTATGTTATTTACAAAATTCATGATAATTGAATAAATCTCAAGAATATTTTTTATTTTTTTTAATTTGTACATTTTTACAATTTTATATTTTTTTAAATTTTTTTCCTAAGTTTTTTCTAAAAATTTTTCAAAAATTAACAAAAAAAATGTGTTCAAATTTTGGCAATTTTACTCCAGAAGATTTGGCAAGCGATACAAGCCTAATTTCAACAGAAGACGAATTTGTTTGTGTAAAACGACCAAAAATGAAGGAAATTGGCACAATGACTGTTAAAATGGATGTTCCTAAAGTTGAACAGAATGAAGGTTTATTTATCAATTCTTTAAAATGGGGGGTGAGCCCCTTTCAATTAAAAAATTTTCTTTTGGGTTTAGCATTTTATTGATTTTTCGATTTCTTGGTTGATAAGGTTTTTTTGAAGAGTTTAGTAACAGTTTAGAGCCACCGAGCATGATCCGAATCCGATAGTTATTGCAAGGCGCTTACGTTCACCGCTTGAAGTAGCTCTACCACAGCTGCCTGAGCATTGACTAATACTTCCTCTTTTCCTCTTAGATCGTTTAACCCATGCCTAAGCGTTTTAAATTTTTATATTTTTTCAGTTCATAACTATCGTCAGTTGGCCAGTGATCTCCTCGTGTTCTCAAAGATTATTTTTGAATTAATCAAAGTGTTATTTGACAAAACAAAAACTGGAGCCACCATTGCAATGGATTGGGTATTTTAAATATTTTTATTTCTCCAAAAGGGTTCTGGGTTTAATTTTCTGTTAAAACGAAGCCGAAATACACTCCTCCACAAAAGTATAAGGGCACCTGTATTTTCGCAATTTTTTTACTTCCAATGATCCAAATTTTCTGAAAATTTAGATACACACCTTTTAGTGAATAACTAATAAGATGTGCATCGATTTTTGGCTGATTTTTTATTTTAAAATTTTTAGACAAAAATTTGCATTTTCGGCCTCCACAAAAGTATAGGGGCACTTACAAAAAAGATATTTCCAAGATTAGAAAAAATCTACAAAAATTCTAGCAAACATACATAATGATATTATGAAAAAATAAAAAAGAACTAGACCCATATCTTTACCCGGAGCCGAGATCCTGAGACCCCGAAAATCAACGTAAATCAGGGGTAAGGTTCTTTGAAAAAATTTTTCGACCCCTTATGGATTGTTTTGAATTTTGATTTTGGGCTCATTCGAAAGCCCTTGAAATTTGCTACAAGATAGTAATACTCATATATCTCAGAATCAATTCAATAGAGATATGCAGGACGTTAATCTTCCGTAGCTAATTTTATGGGGCATTAGGGCGTTTTTTGTGCCTTAGAAATTTAAACCTTAGGAACTTACTGAGATAATTTTTCTAGAAAATAAAACTTTTGCTATCTTGTAGCAAATTTCAAGGGCTTTCGAATGAGCCCAAAATCAAAATTCAAAACAATCCATAAGGGGTCGAAAAATTTTTTCAAAGAACCTTACCCCTGATTTACGTTGATTTTCGGGGTCTCAGGATCTCGGCTCCGGGTAAAGATATGGGTCTAGTTCTTTTTTATTTTTTCATAATATCATTATGTATGTTTGCTAGAATTTTTGTAGATTTTTTCTAATCTTGGAAATATCTTTTTTGTAAGTGCCCCTATACTTTTGTGGAGGCCGAAAATGCAAATTTTTGTCTAAAAATTTTAAAATAAAAAATCAGCCAAAAATCGATGCACATCTTATTAGTTATTCACTAAAAGGTGTGTATCTAAATTTTCAGAAAATTTGGATAATTGGAAGTAAAAAATTGCGAAAATACAGGTGCCCTTATACTTTTGTGGAGGAGTGTATGTAGTCCGCAATTTTAATTTTAAAATCCGCAAGTCTCCACACTTGCGGACAATCCTGATACCAGCTCCTTTAATTTAAATAATTTTTAGATGTTCAACCACGGCACGTTTGCTCTTTGTTGTTTTGCATTAATTAATGGTATTGCTCTATTATATTTTGATTGCTTCCCTAATTTCAATTCTTTACCCGAATTCAACAAAGCCACAATCTCTTCAATCCACAACAAATTAAATTTATTTTTTATGGTATTATTATTTCTTCTATTCTTCATACTTATTGGATATCTGCTTTGGATCAGTCTTTCAATAATTATTTCTTCAGAAAATCATGTGGGGAAAGGCTTTTTTGTAATTGTTACTTTAATTTGTTTTGTTGTCGTTCTGTGGATTTATTTTAGTGTTGTGAGTTTAATTTTGATGGATTATTTCAAAAAGAATGAGGTTGATGTGAAAAAGGAGGAGGAAAAGTTTATTGTTAGGCATGTTTGCACTAATGGTGGAAGAGATTGTCATTATGTTTATCTTTAATCTGTTGAGGTTGTTTTTAATTTTAAAAACTTGGGGAAATTCAAGTTTGTCCAAAAATGGCACGCAGTCATAAAAGGCTCAAAGCTGTAATTTGCTGGAAAATATCTAGCCGCTCTCAATTTCGGTACCAATCTCCTTAGCTCGACAAGAGGAGTCGTTTAATACCAAATTTGATAAAATTTTTATATTTTGAAGCAAGTTATGGCTTTGCGCCTGCGCGCCGTTTTGGGCGTGTCCCAGTAGTAAAGAATGCTTAAAAGGTTTAATTTTAATTTTATAGGGATCAGTGTGGATTTTTTTACAATTTGATATTTTTTCTCTTTTGAATAAAGAATTTTCTTTCAATATTGACTTTATTTATTTAAATAAATCTCATTAATTAATTGAATAAATCTCTCAAGAATATTTTATAATTTTATTTTTATACTTTAAATTGTACATTTAAACAATTTATTTTTTTTGTTCATGATTTTTTAAATTTATTTTTTCAAGTAAATTTAATTTAAAAAATTTTTTGATTTTGTAAAAGTGCCTATTTTGGCCTATGTTTCAATCTATTGATTTTTTAAATTTTTGTATTGAAGTCGGCCTAAAATTTAAATAAATTTTTTTGGGTTCCTTCCGATTCCAGTAGTCAAACAAAATTTTAAAGATCATCTTAAATTTTGGGGGTTAAATTATTGTCTAAATTGAATTTGGACGGTGATATATTTAAATTAGAGGTGTCCGACAAAATTTTTCTTTTCAATATTCACGTATTTTTTTGCATCTCATAATTCATTGAATAAATACTTTTCAAGGATATTTTTTATTTTTTTTTTTTAAATTTTATTTTAAATTGTTTATATTACAATTTTATTTATTTTTTTTTTATTTTTAATTTAATTTTTTAAAGAAATTTCATTAAAAAAATTTTTTTTTAATTTAAAAATGGATTCAAAAGACAACTTATCTCAAGAAAATATGTCAAATGATACAAGCCTAACATTGGAAAGTGGATTTGTTAGTTTAAATGGACTTGGAACAAAAGAACAAATGGCTGTTGAAATTGATTTAATTCCCAAAATGGAAAAAGAGAAAGGTTTCAATTTATTTAAAAATAAATTTGGGAAAAGTAGGCTTTGTATGCCCACTCGATTTTTTTTTCCTTTGAAAAAGAGGAACATTTTCGTTATTTTTGAGCCTTCCGGTAGGTAATTGAGTGTGATCTGTTTGAATTTGGGTTTAAATTTTCAAATCCCGGACCCAAATCTAGCTTCATGTTTTAAATAGAAATTTAAATTTTATGGGAAACTGATACGTCTGTTCATGCTTGAAATTGAGTCTGGGATTTGAAATAAATAAGATTTTAACTTATATCCGGACAGCACCAGTGTTTAAAAGCTCGTACCAAGATTCGTACTCGTACTAATACCTGTTTACGAGTACGAGAAAAAATTGGCATGTACGAAGTATAAGAAAGGCCTGTATGAAAGTACGAATATGAGCAATTTCCAAAATTCCAAACACTTTTCAGACACTTAATTACCGCCTTGAAAACCTCAAAATCATGAAAAAGGACTTCTTCCTCGTTTTTTGTAAAGGGGGGGGGGCATACAAAAACCAACTTATTTAATAATTTATTTTAAAAGATGACAGCATTTTTGCAAAAATTGGAAAGGTTGCCAATTTTTTCAAGGAATTTGTGGAGAAGACAGCTTGCCGTGTTAAGGTTTTTCTATTAATTTTATATAAAAGTAGGGCTCCAATCGGTTTAAAAATTGGAAAAATTTGCGGACAACTTTTTATTGCTTTTTGTCCGCAAATTTTGATTATTTAAATGATTTCCCAAAAAAATCTAGAAATCTTGGGGATCTATTACAAATTGGTTTTCATCAATCAACTATAACCGTCTTGCTTCTTTACTCAACAAATTTTTGGCTGCAACATTTTTGCTTCTCATTTTTGTGCTTGTAACAGCTTTCTTTTCCTATTATTTTATCTATTTCATCTCCTATTCCATAAATTCTAAAAAATCTTTGGATTCTACAATTTTTTTTGGTTCTTTAATATTATCAGCATTTTTGTTAATAATCTGCTTTTGTTTTATTTGTATCTACAAAACGATGAGAAACCTCCACCCTTCCTTAACTTCCTCAAAATGCTTCTCTACTCTTTTCAAAATTCTTCCAAATATTTTTGTATTCATTTTAGCTCTTCTGTTATTGATATTTATGTTTTCTACTTTTCATTTAATTATTACAGAGGTAACTGGTGAAGATAAGTTTGGTGCTGAAGAAAAAATTGGTATGATTTCTATCGTGTCGCTTTCCCTCGTTTTGTTGCTTTACATTTATTTTGCTCGTTTAAAAGCTGTAATGGATAATTACCCTTTTACAATGGATTCTATTGAGAAATTTTTCTTTAAAGATTGAGAGATTGGCTAAAATTTTTGGGAAAAAAATTTTTTGGATTTGCGAAACCGAGAATCGAAAAATCAATTTTTTAGTTCCGAGAACCGAAGAACTGGTACTTTTCCGTTATGCCACTTCCCCCTAAATTAATGCTCAGAATGTGATATATAGGGTAATATAAGGTGCTGAAAGACCACTCTTTTTCTTGCTTGGGTCGAGATGAGGGCTCGAATACGAATGAGCTTTTAACTGTATATTTGAATTTCTTACCCCAAAAATGAGATTACTCCCCCTATGGTTTTTGACCATTTTGAGCCCTAATCTCGACCCACAGCAATCTCCGGAGAAAAAGAGTGGTACTGTCACATTCTGAGCATTAATTTAGGGGGAGGTGGCATAACGGAAAAGTATTTTTTTAGAATCTGGGCAGATTTGAATTTTATTTAAAATTTTTAGAAGGACCAAGAAAATTATTTAGCCAATGTTCGATCTCTCTAAATCTACTGATATATTTTTTCCTTAATTTTGTATTGAAGTCGGCCTCAAATTTAAATAATTTAATAATGCTCCTTTTCGACTCCCATACAGGGTGAATTTTTTTACTTAGGGCATTTGCCCTAGTTTTGAACTTTTCTCCCTATTTTTCCCTATTTTTGGGTGTTCCCACCCTACTTTAATGGGTTGGAGAAGTTCACTTTGCTTCCATATTGACCCAATATTTAACCTAAATTTAAAAATCATTTACAAAAGGAGTATCATGGGTGTGTGCCTAAACAGATTTTAAAAAGCGAAACATGGAAGGCGAAATTCCAAAAAATGCGAAATTTCACGAAACGCGAAACTAGTACACTCCTGGTATTTATTATAAATTGGAGGTCCAACAAAAATTTTTCTTTGAATATTGACTATATTTTTACAGGCATAATTAATCTCATGATAGTCTTAATAATAATCTCATGATAACTGAATAAAAACCTGGACAATATTTTATTTTAAATTTATTTAAAAAAATTGAAGATTAATTTCAATTTTTATTTTTTTTTAATTTTTAAATTTATTTTTAAAGAAATTTAGATTTAAATGTTTAACAACAAAATGAATTCAAACTCGTATAATTTGACTCAAAATATGTCAAAAAATACAAATCTGGCTTCTTTAGAAGATGGATTTATTAATTTAAATGGGCTAAAAATGAAAGAACAAATGGCTGTTGAAATTGGTTTAATTTGTAATAAAATTATGGAGAAAAAGACAGGTTTTTGGTTTACTTAATATTATTTTTTTTAAATAAAAATTAATTTTTTAAAGATGCCAAAATTTTTATAAAAAGAGGAAAAGGAGCCTACTCTTTCAAAGAGATGGACGAGAAGACAAATGACTTTGTTAAGGTTTCGGTTAATTTTATATAAGAGTAGGGGTCCATAGCTTTAGAATTTGGAGAAATTTGCAGACAGTTTTTTTGGATAAATAGTTTAATTAATTTTTGTCCGCAATTGTTGTCCGCAAAAATTTTTGTCCGCAATTGTTGTCCGCAAAAATTTTTTTGTCCGCAAGTGTTGTCCGCAAAAATTTTTGTCCGCAATTGTTGTCCGCAAAAATTTTTTTGTCCGCAAGTGTTGTCCGCAAAAATTTTTGTCCGCAAGTGTTGTCCGCAAAAATTTTTTGTCCGCAATTTTTAAATAAGAGCTAGCTAAAAAAGTATTAGCTCAATGCCTCGATCTCTATATAATGATACTTTTGTTGTAGTCGGCCTCAAATTTAAGAAACCTTTCTTGGATCTGTAAAATCATATTCAAAAAGCACTTTCCAGTAGGAAACCCCATCCAGTGGGCAACCAAAATTTTTTTTTAATTTTAAAAAATTGGGGGAATATAAATTAGAGGTCCGACAGAAAATTTTCTTTTATTATTTATTAAAAAAAATTTTTTTACATACATACTTAAATCTCATGATTTGATTGAATAAAAACATCTCAAGGATATTTTTTTATTTTTTTTATTAGTTTAAAATTGTATATCTAATTACAATTTTATTTATTTTTTTTTCTTCAAAGAAAAAAAAATTTTTTTTTCTTCAAAAAATTTAATAAATTAATTTTTTTAGAGGAAATTTAAATTTAAAAAAATTTTTTTATTAAAAAATGGATTCAAACTCAGACAAATTGACTCGAAATATGACAATGAATACAAATCTGACTTTGTTAGAAAATGGACTTTTAAATGGGCCGAAGACACAAAAAATGGATTTAATTGCTAATAAAATGGAGAAAAATGAAGGTTTTTTTAATTTGATTTTTTTCCTTAAATTGATTAAAAAGGTGCCGAAATTCATGCAAAATATGGGAAGGCTGCCGGTCTTTTTAAGAAATTGGGCGGGAAGACTTACGACTTTGTTGAGGTTATTTTCTATTTATTTTTAAATGTAAGGCTTCTTCATTGAGTTAAAATAGGAGAAATCTTTCGAGGAAAAGTTTTGCGGATAATAATTTTTTTGCGGAAGAATTTTGCGGACAACTTGCTGAGAAAGATTGGGCGTAGTGACAGAAGACCCACAAGGACAGAATACCCACAGACAAAAGACCCACAGACAGAAGACCCACAAGGACAGAATACCCACAGACAAAAGACCCACAGACAGAAGACCCACAAGGACAGAATACCCACAGACAAAAGACCCACAGACAGAAGACCCACAAGGACAGAATACCCACAGACAAAAGACCCACAAGAAAAATTTTTTAACTAAAACTTTAGAAGAAATTTTCTGAAATTTCTGAAAAAGATTTCCAATTTCTCAAGGCACAAAATTAATAAATTTTAAAATATAAAAAATCATTATAAGGTTAATCAAAAGAATTTTTAGCGTTAAATTTTATGGATGAGTGCGATTTAGATCACTTATTTAGAAAGCGATTTGAAAAGTCGGGTGATTAATTAGGATATGTAGGAATAGCATGGGATATAGAGAATATAGGGGTAAAATCTCGAATCCGCCGATATCTATTCTTATCCGTGAATTATGTATAACAGGAACCAGGAGAAGGAAATTAACAGTAAATCGGGTATGCCAGGGAATTTCAAAGGATGTAAACCTTTTAAGCTTTTACCACTAATCCGCTTTTATCCACAGATATCCCTCCATGTTACTCAGAAATATAAGTAATCTCTACTATCCCAAAGATCCCCGATATTATTGCATATCTCCAATGCCCTTGATCGCTTCTAATCCTTCTATATCCCTCCATGTGGACTTAACTGACTCTCGCTATAATTCAGTTAATCCTAAATACCCCTTGATTCTAAATATCCCTTTGATATACTTTTCCCTTTCATCGTTACTGACAGGAATTTTGGAAATTTTGGAAGGCCAATTAGCTATTTTTATACTATTTTTTATATCTGAACCTGATCGGATCCAGATTTTTTGACACGACATGTACCGGATTTTCCGGATAAAAATCCCGATAATCCGGGAATTCAAGATCCCTCTTCGTTAAACAACAACTTCACCCGTTGTTGCAACATTTCCCATTGTTAAAATAACATGCCCGTGGTTGAAACAAACTTCCCTGTTATTGGAACAACGTCCCACACTGCTTGAACAACCCTCCAGATTGATGGAACAACCTTCCCTAACATTGAAACAACTTTCCCGCTGTTAGATCAACCCCTTATCAACCCCTTATTGTGTAAAACATTTAGAACTAACAAGATTCCCCCGCCAAAATTTATGCATAATAAAAGGGAAATAAAAAATAGTTGTGGGTCTTTTGTCTGTGGGTATTCTGTCCTTGGGTCTTCTGTCTGTGGGTCTTTTGTCTGTGGGTCTTCTGTCCTTGGGTCTTCTGTCTGTGGGTCTTCTGCGTCGACACGGAAAGATTGTAATGCACCCAGAGACACAGAATCATGCCAAATTTTGTTTTTTTCATTTGTCCGCAAAAAATTTTTTTGTCCGCAAATGTTGTCCGCAAAAAAATTTTTTGTCCGCAAATTTTTTTTAATAAAAATAATTTCCTCAAAAATTTAGAAATCTTGGCAGTGTACCAAAAATTGTTTTTCATTAATCAATTACAACTATCTTATTTCTCTTTTCAACACCTTCATGGTAGCAACATTTCTCCTTATGGTCCCAGTGTTGTTTACAACTTTCTACTTCCACGTCTTTATCGGCTCCGTTAATTTTCTTTTAAAAATAACTTTGCGCCAAACAATTTTCCTTGGTTCTCTACAATTATTTGGATATTTTGGATTGCTTTGCTACTATTCTATTTTTGTTTACAAAATGTTGCTAAGCCTTAAACCTTCCTTGGTCGACTCAAAATGGTTCTCTCTTCTCTTTAAAATTATCCCAAACTTTTTTATGGGCATTTTCTCTATTCTTTTATTCATAATTATTTTCTCGGCAAATTATTGCAATATTATGACGTTTGCTACGGAATTTAATTTTTATCCAACTGTAAGAATTGTTATGACAACCTTTTGCTTTTTTTGTGTCCTGTGTGGCGTAAAAACTTATTCTGATTTTTTAAACAATGTGATAGCTAAATACCCTTTTACAATGAATTCTTTTGTTATTTTTTAGTTAGAGATTGAGAGACTGGCTAAATTTTAATTTTATTTTTTTTTCTGCCTACATATATAAAGCATATAGCGGTACTTTTCCGTCTGTCACACTCCCTAAATTAATGTTCAAAATGTCACATTAGGGTAAAAAATGTGTCGAGTCGGACTCTACAACTTTTTTATACCTAAATGACTGTACCGGGATATAGGGCTCGAAATGGTCAAAAATCATAGGGAGGAGTAAGCTCATTTTTGGAGATGCGTAGGTGCAAAGGTATGTCCAAAGCCATAACTAGCTGAAAAATTTTTGAACCTTCTCAATCTTAGTACCAATTTTTTAACTCGATGAGAGGAATCGTTTAATACTAAATTTGGTGTAAAATTCGGAAATCTTGAAGCAAGTTATGGCTTTGCGCCTACTCGACCGCGCGCCTAGCTGTACTCGCCCCCAATTCAGATATATTATGTAAACTATAATCTGGGATAATAGAAAGATTTTTTTAATTTTTTAGAAGGTCAGGGAGGTGCGCTAATGTCTCGATCTCTAATTTACGGTTATGTAACGATGCCTTTTTTTTAAATTTTACATGTATGTATTGAAGTCGGCCTCAAATTTAAATAAATATTTTTTGGGCTCCTCAATCCTTCCTCAATCCCCAACTCTCTCAATCAAATTTAAAATGCCTCTTAAAGGCAGGGGCGTATATAAATTAGAGGCTCGACAATTCTTCAATAGCCTTTATTGTTTTTACATACTTAATCTCACGATAATTGAATAAATCTCAAGGATTTTTTTAAAAATTTATTTTTTTTAATTTGTTTATTTAATCAAAATTATTTTTCTATTTAAAATTTTTTTTTAAAAAAATCTTTTTTAATTTGACAAAAAATGGATTCAAACTCAGACATTTTGACTCAAAAGAAAATTACAAGTTTGGCTTTAATAGAAAATGGAATTATTAATTTAAATGGATTTGAAATATCTAAAGTATCGGTGACTGTTAATATTAATTTGATTCCTAAAAGGAAGAAAAATAGAGGTTTTAACACTACACTTGTCTTTTAAATAAATAAATATATAATTTAAAAGATACCAAAATTTGTGCAAAAACTATCGAGGCAACTGTAGGTGTTTGTTTTTTGTTAATTTTTATTTAAATTAGAGGCGCTTTCTATTTAAAATTGAAAAATTTGTAGACAAACAAGTAATCCCACAGGCAACCTACAGCGCGGCAATTTTTCCTAAAACATGGGAAAATCATGGGTGAAATGTTTCAACAATGAGGGAAGTTGCCAGCAGTTATGACTGACCGAGGATTTTTAGGCAAATGCCTGTTTTTTTCACAAATAGGCCTATTTTGGCAGTTTTTTAGTGCGTGCCTATTTTTAACTTTATCGTGCCTAAAAATCCTGGCTCTAGTTATGACCTGCGGTAGCGAATTTTTCATTTTGCATTTAACATATTTGTCCGCAAGTGATGTCCGCAAAAAATTTATGTCCGCAAAACTAAAAATTATTTCCCTCCAAAAATATTTAGAAGTCTTGTCGATGTACTAAAAATTGTATTTCATCAACCAACAACCATTCTGCTTCTCAATTCAAAATTATTTTGGCAGCAACATTACTAAATTTAATTTTTGTGTTATTTATGGCGTTCTGTTTATTTCTTTTAATTAAATTTTTTTCCTTTTCCCTAACCTCTAAATATGCAATTTGTAAGGTTACATTATTTTGTGGGTCTTTTTTCATGTTACTTTATGTTCTACTTCTCAGTCTTTATTTTTTTGCTCTCTACAAAGGGTTAAAAAGCCTCCACCCTTCTTTAACTAGTTCAAAATGCTTCTCTACTCTTTCTAAAATTATTCCAAACATTTTTGTGTTCTTTATAGCTCTTCTCATCTTTATGCTTATCTGTTCCTCTTTCTACGTCAATATTACAACTTTTACTATTGAAAATATTTTTAGTATAGGAGTAAGAATTGTTATGGCATTTTTTAGTTTATTCTGTTTCTTTTGTTCTCTAGCTACTTATTTTTATTTTTTAAACAAATTTGTAGCTAAATTCCCTTTTACAATGGATTCTATTGAGAAAATTTTTTAGTTAGTTAGAGATTTAAATTGATATCTTTCGATCCAGTTCGAAGAGCTCTTTTAAATGATATTTTGAAAAAAAATAAATATATTTTTCAAACAAAAAAAAGGCCGAAATGGTCAGGTAAACATAAAACCTTAAGAAAATCATACTTTTAATAATCTCATAATAACTGAATAAATACCTCAAGGATTTTTTTTATTAATTATTTTAAAATGTATATATTTAATAATTACAATTTTATTTTTAATTTATTTTTTTAATTTTTTTAATGAAAATTTTTTTAAAAGAAGTTTATTTCTTTTAAAATTAAAAAATGAATTCAAGCTCAGACAAGTTGACTCAAACAAATATGACAAAAAATAGAAGCCTGACTTCATTGGAAAGTGGATTTGTTAGTTTAAATGAACTTAAAACAAAAGAACAAATGGCTGTTGAAATTGATTTAATTTCTAATAAAAATGAGAAAAAGAAAGGTTTTTCTTTGATTATTCGATTTTTAAATAAATTTTTTAAAGATGCCGTAATTTTTACAAAATTTGGAAAGGTAGTCAATTCTTTCAAGGAGATGGGGGAAAAGATAAATCTCATGGCTAAGGTTTATTTTTTTGTTAATTTTTGCCTAGTATTAGGGTTTTCTCGGTCGATTTAAGATTGGAAACTTGCGGACAGTTTTTGCGGACAACTTGAATAAATACAGTGTATAGAATAGTTTAGTTGGGGACCTGCGTAGAATCGGGTCAAAACAATGTCAATCGATTAGCTGGGTGTTACCACTAAGAGAGTGCCAAAATGCCTGGGCCGACCCTTTGCGGACATAAATTTTTTGCGGACAAATATATTGAAATTAAAAAAAACCATCCGAAAATAAAAAAACCATAGGGGGGACCAAGCACTTTTTTGTTGTGAAAAATCGAATATGCAAATAATAGCTTATTCGAAAGATAATAGCTTATTCCTCAGCTAAACAACGGACAATATATATGCCCATAAAATGGAATCATGCCTTGTCTGCTCTTTCAATATATTTTTCGCAATAATTTTTTGTCCGCAAATATGTCCGCATTTATCCGCATTTATTGTCCGCATTTATTTTAAAAATTGTATTAATTTCAATTTTTTTTCTTTTTTTGAATTTTTAAATTTATTTTTAAAGAAATTTAGATTTAAATGTTTAACAACAAAATGAATTCAAACTCGTATAATTTGACTCAAAATATGTCAAAAAATACAAATCTGGCTTCTTTAGAAGATGGATTTATTAATTTAAATGGGCTAAAAACAAAAGAACAAATGGCTGTTGAAATTGGTTTAATTCCTAAATTGGAGGAAGAAAAAGGTTTAAATTTCATTTAATTTTTTAAAAATAAATTATTTAAAGATGCCATTACAAAAATTGGAAAGGTCAATTTTTTCAAGGAGTTGGTGGAGAAGACAACTCACCGTGTTAAGGTTTTTTGTTGATTTTATATCAGTAGGGCTCCATAGCTTTAAAATTGAGAGACATTTGCGGACAGTTTTTATTGCGGCTAAATTGTTTAATTTTTGTCCGCAAATTTTTTTTGTCCGCAAATGTTGTCCGCAAAATTTAAATTCCTCAAAATTCTTTGAATAATTCCCACAAAAATTTAGGCGTCTTGGGGATCTACTACAAATTGCTTTTCATCAATCAACCGTCTTGCTTCTTTAGTTAAAAAATTTATGGTAGCAATATTTCTAATTTTGGTCTTTGTGTTTGTAACAGCTTTCTTCTCCTATATTTTTATCGATGTTGTTTCACATTCTATAAATTGTAAAAAAGATTCTTTGGACTCTACAATTTTCTCTGGTTCCTTAATTTTATCAATCTCCTTTGCAGGTCTCCTATTTTATTTTATTGCTCTTCACAAAACGTTAATAAACCTCCAACCTTCTTTAACTAACTCAAAATGCTTCTCTACTCTTTTTAAAATTATTCCAAACATTTTGGTATTTATCATAGCTTTTCTTTCCTTGATAGTTATTTTTTCTTCATTTCATGTCAATATTACAAGTTTAACTATTGAAAATACTTATAATTTTGAAGTAAGGGTTTTTGGTGCATTTTTCTTTTCATGTTGCTTCTTTTGTTCGCTATACCTTTATTTTTCTTGTTTAAACAAAATTGTTGCTAAATTCCCTCTTACAATTGATTCTATTGTGGAATTTTTTGTTTAGAGATTGAGATACTGGCTAAATTTTGAAAGTTTTTTTTGTCAAAATTTGGACTACTAAATCAAAGAAATTTTTGCGGACTACTTTTTGCGGACAAATTTTTGCGCATAAATTATGTAAATGTAATGTTCCTTATGACGTGAATCGTATCAAATTTTGTTTTTTTGATTTGTCCGCAAATGTTGTCCGCAAAAAATTTTTGTCCGCAATTTTTTAGATAAGAACTAGCCAAGAAATTGTTAGCTCAATGTCTCGATCTCTATAAAATGGTACTTTTTTTTACTTCATAAAATTGTTGTAGTCGGCCTCGAATTTAAATATCCTCACTTATGGCAGTAAAATAATATTCAAAAAGGATTTTTCATTGGGAAACCCCATCCAGTGGGCAACCTAATTTTTTTTAATTTTAAAATTAGGGGGATTATAAATTAGAGGCTTGATAGAAATTTTTCTTTTATTATTTATTAAAAAAATTTTTTTACATATGTACTTAAATCTCATGATAATTGAATAAAAACATCTCAGGGATTTTTTTTAATTTTTTAATTTTTTTATTAATTTTAAACTGTATATTTAATTAATTACAATTTTATTTTTTTTCTTCAAAGAATTTAATAAATTAATTTTTTAGAGGAAATTTAAATTAAAAAAAAATTTTTTATTAAAAAATGGATTCAAACTCAGACAATTTGACTCAACTTATGACAAAAGATACAAGTCTGACTTTATTAGAAAATGGATTTTTAAATGCACCGAAGACACAAAAAATGGATTTGATGCCTAAAATGGAGAAAAATGAAGGTTTTTTTGAAGTTAATTTTTTAAATAAATTAATTAAAAAGGTGCCGAGATGTCCACAAAATCTGAGAAGGCTGCCAATCTTTTTAAGAAACTGGGCGAGAAGACAAACGACCTTGTTGAGGTTTATTTTGTGTTTTATTTAAAAGAAGGGCTTATCCGTAGGCATGAAATAGGGCAAATTGTTCGTATAAAATTTTGCGGACAATAAAATTTTTGCGGAGGAATTTTGCGGACGACTTACTGAGGAAGATTGTAATGCACCCACTACATGGAATCATGCCAAATTTTGTTTTTTAAATTTGTCCGCAAATGTTGTCCGCAAAATTTTTTTTGTCCGCAAATTTGTTTAATATAAAAATTTCCCCCTAAAATTTAGAAATCTTGGGAACGTACCAAAAATTGTTTTTCATCAATAAATTACAACTATCTTATTTCATTATTCAACAACTTTATGGTAGCAACATTTCTACTTTTGGTCCCAGTGTTGTTTACAACTTTCTTCTTCTACATCTTTACCGGCTCCGTTAATTTTCTTTTAAAACTAACTTTGCGCCAGACAATTTTCCTTGGTTCTCTACAATTATTTGGATATTTTGGATTGCTTTGCTACTATTCTATTTTTGTTTACAAAATGTTGCTAAGCCTTAAACCTTCCTTGGTCGACTCAAAATGGTTCTCTCTTCTCTTTAAAATCATTCCAAACCTTTTTATGGGCATTTTCTCTATTCTTTTATTCATAATTATTTTTTCTGCAAATTATTGCAATATTATGACTTTTGCTACGGAATTTAATTTTTATCCAACTGTAAGAATTGTTATGACAACCTTTTGCTTTTTTTGTGTCCTGTGTGGCGTAAAAACTTATTCTGATTTTTTAAACAATGTGGTAGCTAAATACCCTTTTACAATGAATTATTTTGTTAAATTTTTTTAGTTAGAGATTGAGAGACTGGCTAAATTTTATTTATTTTTTTTTCTGCCTACATATTATAAAGCATATAGCGGTACACTTCCGTTCTGTCACACACCTCCTAAATTAACGTTCAAAATGTCACATTAGGGTAAAATAGGCGCTGAGTCGAACGGTACCACTTTTTTACCTAACATGACTGTGGACCTGGATATAGGGGAGAGGGGTAAGCTCATTTTTGGGGTAAAAAAATTCCAATATGGAGTTAAGAAAGGCTATTTCGTAAAGGAGAAATAGCTATAGCCCCCCCCCCCCCCCTCCCCAGTGACACGTCCAAATAGGCACGCTGCCGAGTAGGCGCAAAGCCATAACTTGCTGGAAAATTCCTGATTCTCATCATTCTGAAATACCTAGAAAGATTTTTTAAATTTTGTAGAAAGTGGGTGGTTAGGAAAGTGCGCGCTAATGTCTCGATCTCTAATTTACGGTTATGTAACGATACTTTTTTTTTAATTTTTACAATTTATTGCAGTCGGCCTCAAATTAAATTTAAATATTTTTTGGGCTCCTCAATCTTTCCTCAATCCCCAACTCAATCAAAATTTATAATGCCTCATAAAGGCAGGGGCGTATATATAAATTAGAGGCTCGACAATTCTTCAATAGCCTTTATTGTTTTTACATACTTAATCTCACGATAATTGAATAAATCTCAAGGATATTTTCTAAAAATTTATTTTTAATTTTGTTTATTTAATCAAAATTATTTTTTTCTATTTAAAATTTCTTTTTTAAAAAATCTTTTTTAATTTTACAAAAAAATGGATTCAAACTCAGACATTTTGACTCAAAAGAAAATTACAAGTCTGGCTTTAATAGAAAATGGAATTATTAATTTAAATGGATTTGAAATATCAAAAGTATCGGTGACTGTTAATATTAATTTGATTTCTAAAAGGAAGAAAAATAGAGGTTTTAACACTACACTTGTCTTTTAAATAAATAAATATATAATTTAAAAGATACCAAAATTTGTGCAAAAACTATCGAGGCAACTGTAGGTGTTTGTTTTTTGTTAATTTTTATTTAAATTAGAGGCGCTTTCTATTTAAAATTGAAAAACTTGTAGACAAACAAGTAATCCCACAGGCAACACTACAGCGGGGGAATGTCGTGTTGGGCTAACTCAAGGAATACCAACTCAAGGAACAGACAACTCAAGGAATATTTTAAAAATTGGAATTTTTCAGAATTTTTTTTTTTTAATTCTGTTTTTAAAGTATTCTAATTTGTTTTAAATTCTTATTTTCTAAAAATATTTAGATTTTTCAAAAAAATAAAGGTTTAAAAAAAATTTCAAATTTTCCGCAAAAAATTTCCAATTTTTAAAATATTCCATGGTCATTCCTTGACCTGTCTTTTCCTTGTCTGTTCATTGAGTTGGTATTCCTTGAGTTAGCCCCCACCCGGGGAAAGTTTCCTGCAGCAGGGGAATGGGTGAAATGTTTTAACGACGAGGGATGATGCCAGTAGTTATTACCTGCGGTAGCGAATTTTTCATGCGAATTTTACATTTAAATATTTGTCCGCAAGTGTTGTCCGCAAAAAATTTATGTCCGCAAAACTAAAAATAATTCCTTCTCCAAAAATATTTAGAAGTCTTGTCGATGTACTAAAAATTGTATTTCATCAACCAACAACCATTCTGCTTCTCAATTCAAAATTATTTTGGCAGCAACATTACTAAATTTAATTTTTGTGTTATTTATGGCGTTCTGCTCATTTCTTTTAATTAAATTTTTTTCCTTTTCCCTAACCTCAAAATATGCAATTTTTAAGTTTACATTATTTTGTGGGTCTTTTTTCATGTTACTTTATGTTCTACTTCTCAGTTTTTATTTTTTTGCTCTCTACAAAGGGTTAAAAAACCTCCACCCTTCTTTAACTACCTCAAAATGCTTCTCTACTCTTTCTAAAATTATTCCAAACATTTTTGTGTTTATCATAGCTCTTCTCATATTTATGCTTATCTGTTCCTCTTTCTACGTCAATATTACAACTTTTACTATTGAAAATATTTTTAGTATAGGAGTAAGAATTGTTATGGCATTTTTCAGTTTATTCTGTTTCTTTTGTTCGCTAACTACTTATTTTTATTTTTTAAACAAAGTTGTAGCTAAATTCCCTCTTACAATGGATTCTATTGAGAAAATTTTTTAGTTAGTTAGAGATTGAAATTGATTGTTAATATTTATTTTGTTTCTAGAGTCTTTTCAATAATTCCAAGGCTGGTCCCCCCTTTTTTCTGTTCGCCTGACCATTTTGAGCTTTTTTGCTTGACATATAATTTACAATATATCATTCAAAAGAACTGTTCGAGCTGAGTAGAATGATACTATGATCGGTTCGATTTGGAGATTTTGAACCAAATTATGAAGCTAAATCCTCGATGAACACGCTTTTTGTGATGTTGAAAGGGATTAAAACAAATGGTCATAACTATGTTTATTTAAGTCGGATTTCGATTAATTTAGTACCGTTCGACTCAGCTTGAAGAGCTCTTTCGAAAAATATATAATTTGCCATAAAAAGTTTAAAAAATCGAAAAAAATCGAAAGGAAAAAAAAGGGGGGACTATCCTTGGAATTACCGTCTTGACTGCTTTAATAACTACAATTTTATATTTAAAATGTAGATTTTAAAAATTTAAACAAATAAAAAATGGATTAAAACTCGGACAAGTTGACTCAAAAAAATATGACAGAAAATACAAGCCTAACTTCAATAGAAAGTGGATTTGTTAGTTTAACTGAACTTAAAATAAAAGAAACGGCGACTGTTGAAATTGATTTAATTTGTAATAAAATGGAGGAGAAAAATAAAGGTTTTTTTGATTATTCAGTTTTTAAGAAATTTTTTAAAGATGCCGTAATTTTTAAAAAATTTGGAAAGGCCGTCAATTCATTCAAGGAGATGGGGAAAAAGACAAATCTCATGGCTAAGGTTTTTTTGTTAATTTCTTAAGTTGAGATTTATACTTAAGATTTGTGAGGTTTTTTGCGGACAATGTTTCCCGTATAGAGGTTAAAAAACTTTTCAACATTTGTCCGCAAGTTTTGTCCGCAAAAAATTTTTATGTCCGCAAGAATTCTAGAATATAAAAATAATATTTCTCTTTCCAAAAAATCTTTTTTTAAGAAGTCTTGGCGATGTGCTACAAATTGTTTTTCATCAATCAGCAACAAAAACCTCAATACTTTTGTAACCAACAACTGTCTGTTAATAACATTTTTATTATTGCTTGTTGTTTTAATTGAGATTCTATTTGCCTACTTTTCTGTTAACTACAAGTATATTAAATCTGATAAGAAGCCAGATTTGTTTTTAATAATTTTACACGCTTCATTTTCATTTTATTTGTTTTTTCTACCAGTTTTCTATGCTTATATTATTGTTTTCAAGGTGATACCATCTGTTCGACCTTCTTTGACTAGCTCAAAATGGTTTTTGATTATTTCTAAAATTGTTCCAAATCTCTTCGTTTCAATCTTACTAAGTCTTCTCTTTATAATTATTGTGACGTTATGTTTCTATTTTGGTTTTTCAAGTCATACTTTTAATGATAAGCATATGGATTACATAATTTTAATTAAAATTGGGCTGCTAATTTTTTATATTTCTTTGTTAACCTATTTAATCAACTTCCTTCCTAAAATGCTAGTTAATACTTTAATCGTTTAGACACACTTTTTATGTTCCTCTGACCATTTTGAGCCTTTTTTCGAAAGAAAAAAGAAAACGAAAGAAAGAAGGCTTTCTCTAAAGAGCTCTTCAAGTTGGGTCAAATGATACAGAGATCGGTTAGATTTGGTGATTCTGAACAAAAGAGTTAAGCTGAATCCTCGCTGGAAAAACTTTTTGTATCACAGCAAAGGACTAAAAAATGGTCATAATTTAGTTTACTCAAGTCAGCTTTTCGTTTATTTTAGTACCATACTAATCAGCGCGAGAGCTGACAAGGGACTCTCGCAAACTGGATGCGAAAATTTTGTATTTTTTTGCACCATATTGTTGTTATGTCCTAGGGTGCGGTTAACCTAGTAACTAACAGAATAACACGAGAAAAGAATAACAGATTTATCCGAATAATAAATACATGAATAGAGAAAGTAGCAAAAGCAAGAATGACTAAGGACAAAGCTCAGTGGCCTAATTTTGTACAGAATTATCAAATCTAACCATTCTTGATATCTTTTGATCCTGCTCGAAGAGCTCTTTCAAATGATATATAAATTATATATAAAAAAGCCTGAAATGGTCAGGTAAGCATAAAACCTTAAAAATTCATACTTTTAATAATCTTATAATAACTGAATAAATACCTCAGGGATTTTTTTATTAATTGTTTTAAAATTGTGGATATTCAATAATTACAATTTTATTTTTAATTTTTTATAATCTTTTTAATGAAAAAGTATTTTAAAGAAATTTAGTTCTTTTAAAAATTTAACAAAAAATGGATTCAAACTCGGACAAGTTGACTCAAACAAATATGACAGAAAATACAAGCCTAACTTCACTGGAAAGTGGATTTGTTAGTTTAAATGACCTTAAAACAAAAGAAAAAGTGACTGTTGAAATTGATTTAATTTCGAATAAAAATGAGGAGAAAAAGAAAGGTTTTTTTTGGTTACTTCGATTTTTAAATAATTTTTAAAGATGCCGTAATTTTTGCAAAAATTGGAAAGATCGTCAATTATTTCAAGGAGATGGGTGAAAAGATAAATCTCATGGCTAAGGTTTATTTTTTTGTTAATTTTTGCCTAGTATTAGGGTTTTCTCGGTCGATTTAAGATTGGAAACTTGCGGACAGTTTTTGCGGACAACTTGAATAAATACAGTGTATAGAATAGTTTAGTTGGGGACCTGCGTAGAATCGGGTCAAAACAATGTCAATCGATTAGCTGGGTGTTACCACTAAGAGAGTGCCAAAATGCCTGGGCCGACCCTTTGCGGACATAAATTTTTTGCGGACAAATATATTGAAATTAAAAAAAACCATCCGAAAATAAAAAAACCATAGGGGGGACCAAGCACTTTTTTGTTGTGAAAAATCGAATATGCAAATAATAGCTTATTCGAAAGATAATAGCTTATTCCTCAGCTAAACAACGGACAATATATATGCCCATAAAATGGAATCATGCCTTGTCTGCTCTTTCAATATATTTTTCGCAATAATTTTTTGTCCGCAAAATTTTTGAATATAAAAATAAAATCCCTACTCAAAAATTTTTTTAGCAGTCTTGGCAAGGCACTACAACTTGCCTTTCATCAGTCTGCAACAAAAATTGGCTAACCAACAACTATCTGTTAATAATGTTTGTATTATTGCTTGTTACTTTATTTGCGGATCTATCTACCTACTCTATTATTAACTACATGTATATCAAATCTGATAAGGAGCCAGATTTGTTTCTAGTAATTTTACACGCTTCAATGTCATTTTATTTGGTATTTTTGCCAGTCTTCCTTATTTATAGTTTTGTTTTCAAATTGATTTCATCTATTCGACCTTCGATTGACTCAAAATGGTTTTTGATTATTTCTAAAATAATTCCAAATCTCTTTGTTTCAATCTTACTAAGTTTTCTATTTATAATTATGATCTGTTTCTATTATGGTTTTTTAAGTCATATTTTTGATGATATGGATGCTATAATTATCTTGAAAATTTATTTATTCTCTTTACATTGGATACTATTTTTTTCTTTTTACTTTTCTACTTATCTAATCAACTTTCCTTTAAGGCAGGGTAATACTTTGGAGGTTTAGACCTCCCATTTTTTATACTATTCTGACTATTTCGAGCTTTCTTGACCATTTTGAGCCCACTGACCATTTCGAGCTTTTGCTTGATCTGTAGTTAATTATATAGCACTCTAAAGAGCTCTTCAAGTTTATTCGATGATACCAAGATAGGTTGGATTTGATAATTTTAACAAAAAAATTATCAGGCTGTTCTCGTTGGATAAGCTTATTCTGTCGATGCAAGGGATTAAAAAGGTCATAACCTTGTCTATTTAAGTGAGATTTTGTTCATTTAGTACCATACTACTCAGCTCGAAGAGCACTATGAAATTAGGCTTAAAAAGAGGATAGATGACACAAAGGAAATCCGGAAAAAAATAAGGGGAGGGGTGTCTAAAGTATTACCAAATGCCAAGGTTTAATTGATATCTCCTATTGGAGATCGAAAATGGATTTTGTGTTATGTTTAGATATGTTTTGCTATTTGCTGACTATTTTCTTTTTTACATATGCATATTTAATAATCTCATGATATAATTGGGCCATAATGTTGCAAAGCCATAACTAGCGGGAAAACTTCTGGCCCTCATGGGACCAATCTCTTCAACTCGATGAGAGGAATCGTTTAATAAAAAATTGGAAAGATTCGGAAATCTTGAAGCAGTTTATGTCTTTGCGCCCTTTTGGGCTGTACGCGATATAAATCGATAAATACCTCAGAAATATTTTTTTAATTTTTTTGAAAATTGCATATTTAATAATTACAATTTTATTTAATTTTTAAATTTATTTTTTTTCTTTATTTTTTTCTATATTTTTCTGTATAGGATTTTCTTTAAAATTTAACAAAAAATGGATTCAAACTCGGACAAGTTGACTCAAACAAATATGACAAGAAATACAAGCCTAACTTCAATAGAAAGTGGATTTGTCTCTTTAAATGAACCTAAAACAAAAGAAGCAATGACTGTTGATATTGATTTAATTTGTAATAAAATGGAGGAAAAAAAGAAAGGCAAAAGTTATTTAAATTATTTTTTTTATTAAAAATAAATTTTTAAAGATGTCGAAATTTGTACAAAAATTGGGAAAATACTCGATCTTTTCAAGGAGTTGGCAGAGAAAGCAAGACTCAATGTTAAGGTTATTTTCTGTTAATTTTAAAATAGGGTTCCTCTATTGATTTAAAATTAGGGAAATTTTTGCGGTTTTTTCGGACTTATGGACAAATATTTGTCCGCAGGTGTTGTCCGCAAAAGTTTTCCTCGATATTTTTTAAATATACTTAAAAGTAATTTCTCTTCCCTTCCAGAAAATTTGAAGTCCTGGACTAATTATTTTTTTATTTGCTTTTCGTTTTGTCCGCAAATGATGTCCGCAAAACTATTTTTGTCCGCAAAATTTTTTTTAATATAAAAGAATTCTTCATTAAAATTTAGAAGTCTTGGAGTTATAATGATTACACTTTCAGTTATAATGATTACACTTTCCTTCTATTTAGCTAACTATTTTATTATATTTGGTTTTTGTTTTGCTTTTTCATTAAGCTTTAATTATCATCTGGTTTCTTCTGGCTCTAATTGATAAAATATTTTTTGTTGAATTTTCTAGCGCTTCCATACTTTTTTCCACGATTGTATATAAACATTAGTGGTCCATTTGTATTGTAATTTGAATCTTTTATCATTAAAAATGCATATTTAAATAATCTCAATGATATTTTTGAATAAATACCTCAGAAATATTTTTTAATTTATTTCAAATTGTATATTTAATAATCACCTATATTTTTTTTATTTTTTTTTTGAATTCTTAAATTTATTTTTAAAAAATATTTTTGTCAAAAAATGGATTCAAGCTCTGACAAGTTGACAAATTTTACTTGTAATACAAGCCTAACTTCAACAGAAAGTGGATTTGTTTCTCTAAATGGACTTAAAACAAAGGGAGTTGGCAAATTTCCTGTTGATACTGATTTAATTTGTAAAATTGAAGAGAGTAAAGGTTGGATTTCTTAAGTGAAAAAAAAGGAAAAGTTATGGGGGCTTGTCTGCTGTTATTTTAGATTTTCAAGAAAATCTTACTTTATAGACATGTTTGGGACAATCACTTTTTCATACTGGGTTTACCTATCTGTAAGACTAACCTCGATTTTTCATTAAACCAGTCAAGGATTCCTCGACGGGAAGAATTTTATAATTTTTTTTAAACTTCCTATCTCTTTTTAAATAAATAAACTAACAAGGATTTCGAATCAAATCCAAAATTGAAAGAAGAAAAAATTTAAATAAGATTTTATGCTTAAAATTGAATCTAAATTAAATTTAAAACGAATGATTTTCAGGAATGGATGTCACCGTCAAGAATGGAATATATCGTTTTAAAAATGTTAAAGAAAGTACAAATAAAGCGCAGGTTAATTTAAAAAATTTTAATTAAAAAAACTTTGAATTTAAACTTAACTCAAAAGTTTGACCATTTTGAGCCCCTGTAGCCTATGTTTTCTAAGATTTTTGAAACCCTGTAATTCGGCTTAGAAATTTTCCTGTTGACCATTTCTAGTGTTATTCGACTTATGTTAGCTCGACGGGCTCAAACTATCTATTGACTGACTGACCATTAGGTACATCGTAAAAATAGATTCGGGGGGGGGGGGGATGACATAAGGACCAATTTAATTTTTTTATTTTAAATTATAAAAATATTTTCCATTTAGAGCTTTACTAATCGGCTTTATGAATGTCTTTCTTCAATAAACTTTACTTCTATCAATTCATTTTATAATCAAATATTGACATTTTTGGCAGCAACTGCCTTCATTCTTGTATTTTTGCTAATCTGGGTTGTTTTCTGGAGTGTGTTTAAAGACTTTGCTTTTGGAACCCTTCAAGAAAAATATTGGATGTTTCATGTATTTTGTGCTATTTTTGTCCTTTCCGTTGTTCTCTTTTTTTATTTTAGTATTCTACTAAACCTTCCATTTTTTCGCCCTACCAATTCATCCAATAAGCCTTTAATAACCTCAATTCACACAATAATCACAATTTTTTGGTTAATTTTATCGACTATATTAGCCCTCGTTTTACTCTCAATTTCGTTCTATTTAATTTTTAAATTTATTATTTTTGACAATTATTTTTCTGAAAACAAATTTACTCAAAATAAATTTGTTAATTCTCTTTTTGCTTTTCTTGGGGTAGCCCTGCTTCTTTTATTTTATTTTTCTTTGTTGCGTATAATGCTTATTAATTTGAACTTGGATAGAGGTCTGTATTGATATGATGCTTATTACTGTAAATGGTCGAATAGAACCACTTTCGGAGTATACCGAAACATTAAAAAACCGAAAGACGAAACGCCAAAATTCGAAATTTCGCCGACACACCCCTTGTGTGTCTCTATTAGAGAGTGTACTTATGTTGGAAGGTGTGATTCTATTAGAGCATTTACGGTATGTTTATTGCGGTAATAAGTACCGTTTATTGCTGTCAGCCTCAAATTTAAATATCCTTGGGATCCAATTATTAATTGCTGTCTGACTCAAATTTAAATATTGCCTTGGGGCTAAAAAACTGTATTTAAGGCGTATTTTTTATATGGAGCATCGATTAGGAGGCTTCTCTCCATCCCACTGGCCAACCAAATCATAAAAACAATTTAAATTGAGGTCAACAGAATTTTTCTGTTTAATATTGAATACTCTTTATTTTTGCATGCATATTTAATAATCTCATAATAATTGAATAAATATGTACCTCTCAATGATATTTTCTTAATTTTTTAAATTAATTTAAAATATGAATATTTAATAATTAGAATTTTAATTTATTCATTTTTAAATTCTATTTTTTCCAAGAAAATTTCAAAAAAATTTTTTTAATAATGGATTCAAACTCAGACAAGTTGACTAGAGCGACAAGTAATACAAGCCTAACTTCAACAGACGATGAATTTATTTATTTAAATGGACCAAAAACAAGAGAAGTTGGCACAATGACTGTTGAAATTGATTCAATTTCTAAAATTGAAGAAAGTAAAGGTGTTTACTCGTCTAAAAATTAGTTTCAGAAAGAATCATAATTTTTATAGTTGACAAGGATGAAAAATCGGATAACAATGTAGTCAATGTGGGAACCAATACAACTAGTGCTGGGGTCAGTATTTTTTCAATAAATTTAGTCAGGGCATTGCAGGCAAAGTTGGGGCGGTTTTCTTCTCACTCGCGACGTGCCGCCTGTTTACGTGCCATCCAGTAACCACACCAAAGCAGACTTCACCAAATGCCACTAATCGAACCCGAGTCTCTCTTTAAGTTTAAGCCACTGGTGTGGGTAAGTGTCGTTTTCAGGCTTCATTTTTTCCTCCTCAAGTTTTTACTTATGTTTAACGGAATGGTCAGGCTTTTTCCCTTCTTCCATCCCATGCCTTTCTATACTTTGCCTTCAGACAAGGATTAATTTTTGGCATTTAAAAATATTAGTACGAAAGTTGGAAGAAGGTAAACAGTCTGACCATTTTGTTTAAGGCTGCTGAACTATTTAATTTAGCCAATTAAAATTTAGGGTTCCGATCAACAAGATTATACCTCTTCAAATAATGAAGATATTATTGGCTTTTATTTTTTCGGCAAGTTAATGCCAATAATGATCCTATCTTTCCTTCTCTTGTTTTCAATTCTCCATTCAATTGTTTTCTTTTCGAAAACTAATAAGCCTTTAATTGAATCAATTTATGCAACATTCGCAATTTTTTCTATGATTATATTGTTAATATCATTATTTATTTATATTTTTGTTGTATTTTGTAGAATTTTTAAATCTGTCATCGTTGATAACTCTACTACAAACAAATTTGTTGATTTTATTTTTGCCTTATTTTTCTTTCTATATTCTATTTTCTGGTACTTTTTTTTATTGTTTAACTTAATTAGTGCTTTTCTTTCTAAAAGGAGTTGAGATCTTTAAGGATAACTTCAATGATACCTTCAATAATTCATTAATACCTTCGATACCCTCAATGAATTTTAAGTAATCTCGTATTTATTAAACACATTCCGGAAAGTGTTTTCCAGAATGTGTTTTTAATCTTTTTTTCTTTCCCAGAATGTGTTTTACTAAATTATTTATAAATTTTGGAAAATACTTTCCGGAATGTAATGACCTCATTATATTTATTAAACTTTCCGGAAAGTGTTTCTTAATTTGCTAGGTATTTTAGATTTTTTCCGGAATGTCTTTTTCTAAACTATATATTTTCTTTTTATTTCCGGAAAGTGTTTCTGAATTTTATTTTTTATCTTTTCCTAAGTATTTTTATATTTTTATAATTTCCGGAAAAATACTTTCCGGAAAATGTTTAGTTTTATTTTTGCCTCTTCCGGAATGTGTTTTTCTAGTTTCTACATCTGTGTAATTTCCGGAAAATTACGGAAAGTATGTATTTTACGGAAAATTCTGCAATGTTGACCATTAAAATAAATCTCATAATAATTGAATAAAATCTCAAGGATATTTAATTATAAACTTTAATTTTAATTACTTTTTTTATTTTTTAATTTACCTATTTTTGTTTATAATTTTTTAATTTTATTTTTTCAAGGAAATTTAATTTTTAAAAAATGAATTCAAAATCAAACAAGGTGACTTGGCAAACTATGTCAAATGAACCAAGTCTGTCTTCAATAGAAAGTGGATTTGTTTCTTTAACTGGATCGAAAGCAAAAGAAACAGTGAACGGTAGAAATGATCTTAATATGGAGAAAAATAAAGGTGACTTGATTGATAAATTGAAGAAATATTTTTTTTATAATTTTAAGATATCAAAATTTTCGTTGAAAATGCAAGAAATGCTATGAAGGACGCTCAGAAGGAAAAGAAAAGTAATTTTCAGGTATTTTTTTCGAATTATAGGTATAAAATTGTTGATTAGAGTTAAAGGTCTCAATACTCGGCCTTTTAGATTTCTATATTTTCAAACCGAGGCCAGTAAGTCCAAGGTACCAGAGTTGTGGGCGCTCCTCCACATCCCAGCTTTTAAATGTAAATCCCCCTTAATCCTTCTAAATCCTTCAATATTTCCTTTTAGAGGTTGTAGGCTTTAAATAGTTCTTCAAAGGCTTCGGGTTGGCCATAATAAAATTTTGTCCAATTTTAGAAGTTTACTTCCTGGCTCTATAACTGTTTTGCTTCAATCAACAAAAATTGTCTCACTTCAATTTTGCATGGAATATTGGCATTTTTAATAACAACAGCTTGTATTCTCTTCTTTTTACTAATTTTCACTGTTTTCTGGATTATTTTAAAAAATATTTATAATTATCCATTTTTTGCCAAGGATGACACGCCATTTCTTCGAAATTTTTGGATTATTGTGGCACAACTTTTAATGTTTATTTTCTTGGGTGTTATATATTTATTAATTACATTTATATATAAAATTGTAATTTATTCCAAAATAGATTCAAAAATTAAGGAATTTGTTACTCTGATTTACACTAAATTCTCCTTTTTTTGCTCTATAATATATTTTCTTTTATTATTTATTTTTACTTTAATTTTTTTCTATTTATATCTTGAAGATATTATTACTACATGTACTGAATATAGATTTGTTTGGGCAATTTTTACTTTATTTATGTTTGTTGTTATCCTTATTGGCTATTTTCTTCATTTACGTTCTGCATGTTTTGTGTAATTTTAGTAATTAATATTTGTATTTTTGTAAAACACATTCCGGAAAAAGTGTGTTTTACGGAATGTGTTTTTCTGTATTTTAATTTATTTTTATTTTCCGGAATGTGTTTTTTCTTTTAAATTATTTTTTCCGGAAAATACTTTCCGGAATATTTCTTTAATTTATTTTGGACTCTTCCGGAATGTGTTTTATTATTTTGTTAAATTGTCGTTCGATTCTTTTCCGGAATGTGTTTTTCTGTATTTTACTATTTTTCTTTTCCGGAAATGTGTTGTTTTTCTTTTAAATTATTTTTTCCAGAAAATACATACTTTCCGGAATATTTCTTTAATTTATTTTGGACACTTTTCCGGAATGTGTTTTTCTGTATTTTTCTGTATTTCACTATTTTTTTTCCGGAAAGTGTTTTTTCTTTTAATTTATTTTTTGCGGAAAATACATACTTTCCGGAATATTTCCTTAATTTATTTTGGACTCTTCCGGAATGTGTTTTTATGTGTTTTAATTTATTCTATTTTCTTTCCGGAATGTGTTTTTCCGTTTTATTTATTTTTGTAATCTATATTTGCGTCTTAACCAATTTTTAAGGGTATTTTAGAAATTTTTCCAATATTGATTATTTAAATAAATCTCATTAATAATTGAATAAATCTCAAGGATATTTTATAAATTTTACTTTTAAAAATTGTAAATTCAAGAACTACGATTATTTAAATTTTTGTTCTTCTAATTTTTTTATTTTTAAAATTTTTAAGTAAATTTAATTCAAAAATCTTTTTAACAAAAATTGATTCAAGCTCATGCAAGCTGACTGAGGAAGATATGATGTACAGTCGTGGAAAAAAGTATGGAAGCGCTAGAAAATTTTTTCTTAATTCTTAATTTTTCATTCAAAAAATACGTTCTATATATCAATCGAAAGCTCTATTCGTATCTCAGTTGACATGTTTCTGCATTTTTCATGAAAATGAAAATTGGCCGAGATGATCCGGATCTACCGGATATACCAAATCCCACTTTTTCGGAAAAATTTTTCGGAACAAATTTAACAAACCCAAATGATAAAGCATATTTTTCTGAGCATTTACCACAAAACGCTTAGAAATATCTTTTTCCGATCCAGAGATATGATTTTTTGAAAATCGCATTTTTCCCTTAAAAATTGAATTTTTTGCAAAAATAGACGAAAAATGCAATTTTCAAAAAATCATATCTCTGCTCCGGAAAAAGATATTTCAAAGCGGTTTTGTGATAAATGCTCAGAAAAATATGCTTTATCATTTGGGTTTGTTAAATTTGTTCCGAAAAATTTTTCCGAAAAAGTGGGATTTGGTATATCCGGTAGATCCGGATCATCTCGGCCAATTTTCATTTTCATGAAAAATGCAGAAACATGTCAACTGAGATACGAATAGAGCTTTCGATTGGTATATAGAACGTATTTTTTGAATGAAAAATTAAGAATTAAGAAAAAATTTTCTAGCGCTTCCATACTTTTTTCCACGACTGTATATAAAATTTTATACTAGAATGTCAGCAAGTGGATTAGTTTCTTTAAATGAACCACAAGCAAAAGAATCGGGGAATGGGGGAAATGAAATTAAAGTGGAGAAAAATAAAGGTTTCTTGATTGCTAAATTAAAAAATTTATTTTTTCCAATTTTTAAGATGCCAAGCTGCTGATTGAAAATGGAAATGCTGTCAAAGAGGTTAAACAAAGTCAAAAGCTGATGATTAAATTTCAATTTCAGGTGTTTTATTAAAATTAGTAGTGTAAAAATTTACGGGTTAAAGCTTAAAAGGTGATAATAAGAAGAATAGTTTTTAGCTATCTAAGCTTGCCCTTTAAGAAGGTTGTGTAAGGAAGATTCACATAGCAGTATTTAATCTAAATTATTTATGGTTGCTCCCAGTAGTTCAGGTAGAGCACCTACATAGGTAATATAAGCGAAGCCATGCGAGCACTATCAACATTTTCGCAGGTTTCTACCCGGTGGCCAAACCTTTGCTTAACTCATACCGTTGAATTTAAATTTGACAAATTGGTATTTTATTTACAATACCGCACCACATTTTAAAATACAAAAATGGGTATCCCCTTAATCCTTCCAAATCCCTCAATATTCTCCTTTTAAAAGTTGTAGGTCTTTAAATAATTCTTGAGAGGCTTCAGGGTTGGCCACAATATAAAATTTTTGCCCAATTTTAGAAGTTTATTTCCTGGCTTCGTAACTGTTTTGCTTCAATCAACAAAAATTGTCTCAATTCAATTTTGTATGGAATATTGGCATTTTTAACAGCCTCACTCTTTTTTGTCTTCTTTTTGCTAATTTTGTCAGGTTTCTGGATTGCTTTCACAACTATAGTTTCTGATCCAGATTTGGGCAAATCTGGGCCCGTTTTGGCACTTCTCTCAACAATTTTTTTATTATCTTTTGTCCATTTAGCTTTTCTATTTTTGTATAAAATTATACGCTCATGCCGAATATTCTCGGCAAAAAAAGATTTAATCAAGTCAATTTTTAATAAATACTGTCTTTGCTGGAATGTTATATTCTTTCTTATAATTTTTGTTTTTATAGTGGTTCTATTCTTTCTCATTTTTGAATATATTATTTTTGGAAATTTTAGTAAAAATTATTTTTTTACGAACAGATTTATTACTGCAATTCTTGCTTTACTTGGATTACTTGCCTCTCTTATAGCCTATTTTTCTGTTTTGTATTTGTTATTAAATAAATGTCGTAGATTTGGGCATTAATATTATAATTGGATTGTATTTTAGTTGATAAAAAATTAAAAAAAAATTTTTTTTGAATAAAATCCACGTCCTCTAACCTTGCCTCAATCTATAATTACTCTACCTCACTTTTTACTTATTTCTTTCACTTAAGTAAATCTCATTTTATTTATTAATAAATACATTCCGGAAAATACTTTTACAGAAATGTGTTTTTAAAATTATTTTTACAATTTCCGGAAAATACTTTCCGGAATGTTTTTTAGTTTGTGTTTTACTATTTTCCGGAATGTGTTTCTCTATTTATTTAATTCCTTTCCGGAATGTGTTTTTAAATTATTTTTATTTCCGGAAAATACTTTCCGGAATATTTCTTAAATTTAATTATGTTGGACTCTTTTCCGGAATGTGTTTTCGAATTTTATATTTCCGTAATTTCCGGAAAAATACGGAAGGTGTTTTCGATACATTTACTGAATTTTATATTTAAAAAGTTTCCGGAAAATATTTTTCTACGAGTTAAACATATATTTATTAAACTTCTGGAAAACATGGGAAATATTTTTTGGAAAATCCCCTTAATAATTGAATAAATCTCAAAAATATTTTATACATTTTAATTTTAAATTGTTTATTTAATAATTACAATTTTGTATTTTTTAAAATTTATTTTCGTTTATAATTTTATAAAAAAATTTATTTTTTAAGGGAATTTAATTTTTAAAAAATTTTAACAAAAATGGATTCAAACTCAGACAAGTTAACTAATAAGGAGAATATGTCAGGTGAACCAAGCCTGGCTTCAATAGAAAGTGGATTTGTTTCTTTAACTGGATCGAAAGCAAAAGAAACAGTGAATGGTGGAAATGATCTTGAAATAGAGAAAAATAAAGGTGTTTTGATTAATAAATTAAAAAAAAATTAATTTTATAATTTTTAAGATGCCAAAATTCTCGTCGAAAATGGAGGAAATGATATCAAAAATGACAAAAAGGAGAAGACAAACAAACTTCAGGTGTTTTTTTTAATTATCTTCGGCTAGTCAAATAGGCAGAATTTTCAAGTTTTTTGCCGAGTCTTGTCTATATTTCGGGGCATACTACCAAACTTTAAATTTCTCACAATTTGTAAGGAAGAGAAAGGTCCGTCTAGCTATCATTTAAAACGCCTATACGAGGTTTAAGACAGGGTTCGGATCGAGAAAATGTCAAGTGTAAGTACAAAAAGTTCAAATTGAAAGTACACAGGGGAAAAATTTTCAAAATGTAAGTACGCTACAAAAAAATTTTTCAAAAACCTTTTTTAGTGCCGACGCTGCTAAAAGTCTTCCATTTTTTTCGCCGCAGGCGAAAATTTTGGAATTTTTAATGTTAAATTTAATTTTTTAACCAAAAAGTCTATTTGTAAGTACGTACTTACAAATAAGTACATTTTTAATTTCGGAAGTACGAAGGTCGATTTGTAAGTACTGTACTTACAAAAATAAGTACGAATCCGAACCCTGGTTTAAGATTTATTAAAGGAGAAGGGGAAGGCATCGCCCGATGACTATTTTGGGAGGGCAAATTTGTGTAGTGAGTAGCAATAACCGCTAGGAGAGCGAGTATCATTGCTTGCTCTGGGCTAAGCTTTTGCCTCTCCTTTACTGGCACGGAAGTTTCGATACTTTTTTTTCTATTTTTTAAAAATAAAATTTACCTTTTATTTTTCAAGTTTATTTTGTGGCTTTTTAACTGTTTTGCTTCGATTATCAAAATTTGCTTTACATCAATTTTACGTGGAATTATGGTATTTTTAACATAAACAGTCTTTATTCGTTTTACTAATTTTTTTTCAATTTTTTTGGAATGTTTTTAACAACGGTTCCTTACATTTGGGCAAATTTTTTGTTACTTTTGCACTTGTTTATATACTAACATTTATATTTTAATATAATTTTCATATAAAATTATAACCAGTAGCTCATCTGTAAAGTTATAAGCCAGACCAAGCGTGCACGGTTTAGGAGGGTTGTCGTAGGTTCGAATCCTGCACGGTGGCTAAACTTTCTCTAAACATAAAATTTGATAAATTGGATGCTCAAAGCCATTCGTCTTTCACTTTTTTTTAAATGCATCCCTGTTCGATATACCTAAAAACTAGTAGGGTTTAAAAAAATAAAAAAATTGTCCAATTTTAGAATTTTATTTCCTGCCTTTGTAATTGTTTTGCTTCAATCAACAAAGACTGTCTCACTTCGTTTTTGTCTGGGTTAGTGGCTTTTTTGGTAACAACAGTCGTCATTCTTTTTGTTTTTCTGATTTTTGGTGGTTTTTGGGTTGTTTTCAATAATATAGTTAATGATCCATTTTTCGGTGAATATTGGTTTATCCCTGCAACTCTATTAATAATTGCTTTATTATGTATCATCTGTTTATTGCTATGGCATTTATATGATGCAATAACTTCATGCCCGTTAGATTCAGAAACTAAGGAGTTAATTAATATAATTTTTAATATTTTATTTTCCTTTTTGTTTTTAATGTTTTTTATTATAACTTTTGTCCTTATTATGGTTATATTTTATCTTATTTTTGAATATATTATTTATGCCGATCTCAGTAAAAATCGTGTTTTTACAAATAGATTTATTTCTGCAATTCTTGCTTTACTTGGGTTTTTTGGTTCACTTGCATTGTATTTTTCTGGTTTGTTTGCATTGTTAATTAATTGTCATGAGTAAGGGCATTAATATAATTAATTATATTTTGATTGGTCAAAAAAAAATTTTTTTTAATTTTCAAATAAATTTTGTCCTCAAACTTGCCTTAAACTACATATAACACATCTACCTCACTTCTTACTTATTTCTTTCACTTAAGTAAATCTCATTTTATTTATTAATAAATACATTCCGGAAAAACTTTTAAAGAATGTGTTTTTTTTTTATTTTTACAATTTCCGGAAAATACTTTCCGGAATGTTTCTTAGATTTATATTGGACACTTTTCCGGAATGTGTTTTCGAATTTTATTTTAATTCCTTTACGGAAAGTATTTTCCGGAATGTTTACTGAATTTTATATTTCCTTTCCGGAATGTGTTTTTAAAATTATTTTTATAATTTCCGGAAAATACTTTCCGGAATGTTTTTTAGTTTGTTTTACTATTTTCCGGAATGTGTTTTTGAATTTTATATTGCCGTATTTTCCGGAAAAATACGGAAAGTGTTTCCGGAATGTGTTTTCACTATAAAATAGAAAATACTTTTCCGGAATGTATTTTTCTTTATTTATTTTTAATTCCTTTCCGGAATGTGTTTTCCCTAATTTTATTTATTTTTATTATTTCCACGTTGCATTTATTTAAATCTTATCAAATAAAAATTACTGCCACGTTTAACGAACAAATAAAACGTTTTTAAATATTTTATTTTTACCCTAAAATAATGCTTTATTCATAAATTATTTTTATAAAAATTTTCTAAATTTCTTAAAATATTTTTGTTTTTTTTCTTAAAAAATGCCAGCAGAAGCAACAAATAATGGGAGTAATACAACAACAGAAAAATCAGAACAACTTAATGTAACACAACAAACTAAAAAGGCTCCAGCAATTTTTCTTTTTGATGTTGATGGAACGCTTACAATGCCTAGACAGGTGGGTAACATTTGATTTAATTTTGAAGCAAGTTTATGGAAGTAATCTTTTCCTGAAGCAATTTATGTATTTATTTGCTTCCGGAATGTATTTTTCAGAATTTAAATATGTTCTAAAATGTGTGTATTTCACAATTTGTTTGCCTGAATTTTATTCTGCCATGTGTTTTGTGTTTTCCGGAATTTGTATTGAAATGTGTTTTCTTTTACGTATTTTACAGATTCTGTTCCGGAATGTATTTTTTTTTCCTTTTTCACAGTTTTATTAGTTTCCGAAATTTCATATTTAATTATTTTCCGAAATTTTCCTGAATTTTATTTTTGACTCTTCCGGATTCTGTTTTCTGAAACAAAAAAGTGAAGCAAAAATTAGTAAATAAAAAATTTGTTTTCAGAAGATTACGGATGAGATGCTTCAATTTATGCGTAATCTAAGCCAACGAGTACCCATTGCTGTAGTTGGGGGTTCTGATTTGTGCAAAATTTTTGAACAATTGCCGAATGAAGACAATGAATTGCTCAAACTTTTTTCGTTTATTTTTGCTGAGAATGGATTAATGGGATTTGAAGGGGTTGAGAAGCTACCGAAAGCGGTATTTTTTCTATTTTTAAATTAGAGTTTTCTGAATGTGTTTTCCTAAATTTTATGGTTTCCGGAATGTGTTTCCTCGGTTTTACAATATTTTTCCGGAATATATTTTCCGGAAGAGAATATACTAATATTTCTTTTTCAGAATGTGTTTTCCGGAATTTTAGCATTTAATCCCTTTTCAGTATAGTTTCCGGAAACGAATTTTCTAAGGATTTATTTTCCGGAAAAGTATATTTCTTTGATAGAATATATTTTCCGGAAAGGAATATACTATTCCGGATTTCCGTAAAATAATACTATTAATTTTCCGGAAATTAATATATTTCTTTGACAGGATATACATATTTTCCGGAAGAGAATAAATATACTTTTTTTTAAAAAGTGTATTTTCTGGAAAGGAATATTTCTTTTAAGATTGTATTTTCCTGAGTTTTAAACACCTTTTCTTACCGGACATTTTTAGTTAATTCACTTCCGTAACTATTTTCCGGAATTTTATATTCTTGAATTTATTTTTTTTATTTTTCTCTAGTCAATAACTAAAGAACTTGGTGAAAAGCGCCTGCAAGACTTGACAAATTTTTGTCTTCGTTATATGTCAGAAATTGATTTGCCGCTTAAACGAGGGACTTTTATTGAACTTCGGAATGGAATGGTATTTTTAAAAATTTTTTTAATTTTGAGAATTTTTAATTAGATGAATGTCTGCCCAATCGGTCGTAGTTGTACCCAAGAAGAACGAATGTCCTTTGTCGAATACGAAAATAAATTTCCTGTTCGTCAAGACTTTGTAAAGGCATTAGAACAACGCTTTCCAGTAAACGAACATTCACTCAAATTTTCAATTGGTGGACAAATAAGTATTGATATATTCCCCTCTGGGTGGGATAAAACATTCTGTTTGCGATATTTGGAACCCAAATATGAGGCTATACACTTTTTTGGTGATAAAACGATGCCGGTGAGTTTAAATAAATTTTTAAAAAATTTTTTGATGACTAACGAGTAAACGGAGGCGATATATAGATTTTTAAAAAATATGACCGCCAACCGGGTTCGAACCTCCACCCTCCCTTCTGCTAAAACTAAGCACTAACCGAATAAGCTAAGATGCCGTAAACTATTGGTAAAGCTTGCTGAAGCAAAGCTTCTATTCTATAACGGATTTTTAATTTACAAAATTTAAGGGAGGAAACGACTACGAGATTTTTATTCATCCTGGCACTGTTGGACATAGCGTTAGTGATCCTATTGATTGCTGCAAACAAGTGACTGAAACATTGGGTCAATTGGGACTTTAAATAAAGGCTTTATAATCTATGATAACTACATTCCCTAAATTGTTGTTCAAATTTGGAAAATTATCAAATTTCTTTTAAAAATTAAAAAAAAATTTTACTTTGACATTTTTAACTTGGACATTCTGATTTTTGTTATTTTGAAAATTTCACTTGTTTATTTATTTTCTGTCATTTCCTAACTTAATTTTTTCTAGACTTCTTTTTTGACTTTACAAATGTGATGATTGTTTACTTATTTGTATCCAACTTTTTTTTTAAATTTTTCTGCTTTGTTATTTTTTGCATAATTTATTAAATAAAGCTTTCCTAAAAAATTTGTTTAAGACAATCTAATTTTTATGAAATATTTCAATTTGCTTTTATATTTAATTTTGTTTTTTTTTTGTTTTTAAATAATTTTTAGAATTAATTGTTTAATCAAACTAGAACTTGACCCTAATGTCTCTTACATCTAGTGAACTTAAGCAAGCTTTTTTGTCTGGAAAAAACAGTAATGAGGACAAAGTAGAAGAGATTGAAATGAACACGATGGTTTTTGTATTTTTTGTCAACAAATATTTATATTTAGGGTGCTGGACCTAGTGGAAATGTTGCGGGTAGTAGTTCAATTCCGGAACAAGAAAGTGCAAAGAGGCAGTCCGTGACTTCTCAGAATGTTGCTTTGCAAGTTGTGAGCACTTGTCGCTGCGAGACTCGTGTACTGGTTTAACTTTTTTCAATCTAATTTTATTACTTTAAATGTTGTTTAGTTGACCAGATTGAAAAAAAACAACAAAAAGAAATATGTATGTTCTCTAGTTTTTTTTTCGCCTTCTCAATACTTGATTTAGTGTTGTAACCTTTGTGTGTCAACAAGGGCAAAATGTATAATCTTATGGGTACTGGTGATAATTGGATTGATTTTGTGCTTTTTGTTTGGTGGCTTGTTTTATTTTGCAAGCAAATTGGATGCCAACACATCATCCTTGATGGCTCAGAAATCTGAGATTGATGGTTTGAAGGAAGCAATAAATAAATTGACTAAAAAGGATTAATTATTGGTTTGTTTAGAATGCCAAAATTTTAATTTTTCTATAAAATTCTAAATAATCTTCGATATTAAAATTTTTCTATTTATTTCTTTAATATACTTATTGTTAGCATTTAAAGATCTTTGGGGCGAACCAAGTTTTAGGGTTCCCATTTTTTCATACTCAAGTTGTCCCTTATTATGTGCGAAATGGTCTTCTTGTTATAAACAAGGATTTGCAGTGTGATTTGATTGTCAAAAAATATGGTTATACTCATTTAAGGTTTTCTTTTATTTTTGGGGTAACTTTGATATTTGTTTTTAAAATAATTTTTTTATTTTCAAGTTCTGGCGATTTACTACGTGCAGAAGTTAATTCAGGCTTTCTTCTAGGCTTGCAATTCTCTGAAACCATCAAAGCTGGCAAACTTGTAGAATTGGATTTGGTGCTTGATTTGGTTGAGAAGGCAATGCTTAAAGCCGTTGAAGGAGGAGCGAAGGGATTTTTGATTGATGGATATCCTAGAGATGTTGAACAAGGAAAGCGGTTTGAAGAAAAGGTTTTTTTATATTTGTTTCTAAATTCTGATGACTAGGCTAAAGTATTAGTTTTTTACAACGCTTAAACACATCATCTAGAAATACTTTTTTAGAAAACGATATTGTTGTTCTTATCCTTACTTTCGGATGTTATGGGTCCCCCAACTAATAATAGACTTATTTTTGCATGTTTGGGCCAGAATCTATTTTCTGTAAACCTTTCTGTTTCTTTCCTATTTTCCGGTTAACCTCTATTTAATTTGAATTAATTTTCCAAATTTTTCGGAATTTTATTAAAAATTTTTTCAGTTATCTCCAAGCCAAAAGTTTAATGTTTTGAGGACAAACTAGTGGTAGAGAAGAGATGATTTGCGTACTTTTTAGGAGGCAACCAAACCTGTTGTGGAATATTATGAAGGAAAGGGGAAATTGGCAAAGGTTTTTTTTAACTTTTACATAACTCATTAGTGCCTTAAAAGTTTCAAAAATGTTTTGAGATTCCCGGCCCCGGGAATTGGTTCCAGATATGGGTTTGCGTTACTCAAAATTTTATAGTTCAACGCAAAGGTTCCATTCTTCAATTCTAGGACATGGGTTCCAGATATTGTCGGGTTACTAGATTCATTTAAAAAATGACCACCAACAGGATTCGAACCTTGACCCTTCTTTTCATTAAGACTAGGCACTAACTGAATGCATTGTTAATGCCTTCTGGGGCAGACGTCCATTCCAATAAGGAAATTAATTTCAAAATTTAAGGGAGAAAATGATTACAAAACTATTCATCCTGGAACTGTTGGTCATTGTGTTACTGATCCTGTTGATTGTTGTAAACAAATGACTGAAAATTGATTCAATCTGGCCGGCTCCGGTCACTATTTATTTTCTATCATTTTTTAACTTTATTTTTTCTAGGCTTTAGATTTTTTGCTTTCCAATAGTGTGATGATTGTTTACTTATTTTATCGATTTTTTGCTATTCAACTTTTGATTTTTCTTATTTTTTGAATAAAGCTTACAAAAAAATTTGGCTAACTTTTGTTTTTATGCAATATTTCAATTTGCTTATATATTTAATATTGTTTTTTTTGTCTTTAAATATTTTTAGAATTAATTGTTTAATCAAACTTGAACTTGACCTTAATGGTTAATAAGGTTAGTCAACTTAAGGAAGCTTTTTTGTCTGGAAAAAACAAAAAAACGACCTCGGAGGTTATTATTTTTTAAAACAAATATTTGTTTATATTTAGGATGCTGGAAATAGTGGCAATAATAATGAAGGAGGTTGTTCAACTTTAGGACAACAAACTAAGAAGCACTCAGTGACTTCTCAGACTTTTGCTTTGCAAGTTGAGACTTGTTGCTGTGAAGATCGGGTACTGATTTTTTTCTAAACTTTATTACTTTAAATGTTTTTGTTTAGTTGGCTAAATTGGAAAGAAAAAGCAAAAAGAAGGAATGTGTATGTTTTTAGTTTTTTTGGTAATAGTTGGGAGGTCGCCCCTTTCTTCCCACTTCCCTGACCATTATGAGATTTGCTTGAATATAATTTATTATATGTCAAGCGAAAGAGCTCTTCGAACTGGGTCAATGTTACCATAATAGGTTAGACCGGGAACATATGTATGATACAAATTTCAAAAAAATCTCACGGGGACGAAGGTAAGACAATTTTTAGTTATTATTTTTGGAGTATTTTAAATAGGAGCTTTTTAGACATTTTAATGTGAAAGTGGATGTATGTCGAACAACTTTTTTTAGAATAATTGACTTGAAATTTTACGTGCCTTCAAATGAGCCTAAAAGAATTTTTATATAAGCTCCAGGGCATTAATTTTTTGAAGTACAATAATCCCGTTTCCCGTTGATTTTCAAGATGTGAGATCTCGATGAAAAAAAAGCATTTATAGACTTCTTTTGTTTTCTACCCAGTGTTTATGGAAAATTCCAATTAGAAATTTTGTCCAAGTTAATGTAGGCAAAACCAAAGATTTCTTAAACATATTTCCCCTCAAAGTAGGACCGTCCTCGATAAAATTGTTATAATCTTTGGATAAAATGTTGATCCATAAAAGTAACGGTATCGATTGATAGACCTATAAAATACTTTAGAAAAATTAAAGCTAGTTATAATCGCTTTTATTTTGCCAATTTGCTTTGATATTTATCAACGCTAGTGTTTTAAGCTTTTGTAAAGCTAATATGATTAAATCTCAGACTTTATTAAATTATGAACTTTATGACTTTCCTTTCTCCTTACCCCAATATGCTAATTCCAGCTCTCTCGATTTACTCATATTTTGAAATTGGAGAATATACTTATGACAAATTTGAAAAATAGAGTCATAAAGTTCAAAATTAGTCAAATTTTTATTTGATCTCGCAAGTTGACCTTATTTATTATACATAATTTATTAAATATTTTAATCTACTATTAATTTGCTTCCAATTATTTCTAAAAAATATTTAAATATTTTTTTTTGTAATTATTTCCACTCATTAACCGATTTATTTTATTAATTTCTAGAAATTTTCTTTGAAAAATTTAAATAAAAATGCCTCCAGTTCTAAACAAAGATTTGCCTATAATTTTCATTGTTGGTGGTCCAGGAAGTGGAAAGGGAACGCAATGTGATTTGATTGTCAAAAAATATGGTTATACTCATTTAAGGTTTTCATTTTTTTGGGGAGGGGGGGGGGTGCTTATTGTTAGTGAGGAATTAACCTAGAAAGCCAAGACTTAGGAGGTCAAATCCAAATATTTGGGAAATAAAGTTTTATGGGCATTAAGGTTGATATCGCTTGGTTACAATTATCCGCCCAAACATTTGGATTTGACCTCCTGGGTTTTGACTTTTTGGGGTGGACTTATTGGTAAGGATTCGCTTTTTGGTATATTTGGGGCTTTGGTCGATTCTGGCGACTTGAGAACCTTTGAGATTTCCCTCTAAATTTTTCTGTTTTTTCAAGTTCTGGTGATTTACTACGTGCAGAAGTTTCTTCAGGCTCTCCTCTAGGCTTGCAATTCTCTGAAACCATCAAAGCTGGAAAACTTGTAGAATTGGATTTGGTGCTTGATTTGGTTGAGAAGGCGATGCTTAAAGCTGTTGAAGCTGGGGCGAAGGGATTTTTGATTGATGGATACCCTAGAGATGTTGAACAAGGAAAGCGTTTTGAAGAAAAGGTTTTTTTAATTTTATTTTTTAATTGGTGTGTTTCGTCAGGGTATATTTTGGGTGTTTTAAAGTTCGGAATTTTTCAAGAGAAGTATTTTCTTTCCCTTACTATTAATTCCTTCCCTTGTAATTTCCTTCCCTTACTTTTTTTGAGCTTGGGAAGCATCCAAAGACATAACAGCATTTCTCTAGCTATTTCTGTCAGATCTGGGCCAGAATCTTTATTGGTACGTGGGAAGCTTCCAACGTGGGTAGCCAGGGGGCTTCTCTGGCTATAGCCTCCTCCCCAAATGGGGAAAGCGAAAAAATTTTAGGAGGTAAATGATCAGAAAAGTGAATTTTCAAACACTGGAAGTTTGCTACCCGATGTTTGTCCCAGGAATTATATTTGTAGATCCTTCTTGTTCCTGATTATTTTTTGGGCAACCTGTTTATTCTTGGCCTCCCAATTAGCTAAATTTTGAATTTTCAGAAACATTTCATTTAAAAAATTTTTCCCTAGTTATCTCCAAGCCATTTGGTCATTTTCTTTGATGTTGTAGAAGAAACTTTGGTTAAACGCCTAATGTTTCGTGGACAAACTAGTGGCAGAGAAGATGATAATGAGGAAACAATTCGTAATCGTTTGCGTACTTTTTATGATGCAACCAAGCCTGTTGTGGAATATTACGAAGGAAAGGGGAAATTGGCAAAGGTTTCTTTTTAATTTTTTGAAGAATTTAAGGAATAAAATTTTGCATTGCTCATTCAAAGCCTTTCCGTCCCTTTTTTGTTTTTAAAATCCAAAAATGTTTTGCTATTAAAGACTCATGTTTAAAAGAGAATTCGGAGATTCTTCTTGTTAAGGCCATGGGTGGTCGGGTTCCAAGGATGGTCGGGTTACCCGATACAGTTGACTTTTCTCTTGACCCGAAACTTCGATCCGAAGAAAATTTTGAAAACTTAACCCGAACCCTGTCGACTTTTTTTTCACAACCTATCCTGCTGGGAAACTTCTTTTGGAGGAGAGGGGGGTGGGTTGACATTTCAACAGCTTTTGGTGAGCGGGTTCTGTCATTCTCCAGGGAAGCACTTTTCTTCTCAAAAACATTTTTTAATTTTTAGATAAATGCTGAGGGAACCATTGAGGATATTTTTGCTGAGGTTTGCAAACATTTGGACAAATTGGAGAAGAAATAGAGGAGAGATTATAAATTTAGAGAGGTTTAAATATAAAAATCATAATATTGAATAGGGAAAGGTTTTTTTTTGAATTTAAAAATATTTTGGTGTAGTGATAGGCGTTAATGGAGTGATTTTTTTTAATTTTTGGGATTTGAAAAAGAGGATATTTTTTTCGGATATTTTTTGGCCAGTATTTTTGACTAGTAGTTTCCAATTTCGCCTTACTTTTAAAAAGTGCTTTTGTTCAACATATTGTATGAGATGCCGTAAATACCAATCATCGAAATACTTAAACTCCCTAGGCATCGAAGTATTAAGAAACACAAATTGTTGATTGTTGGCAATAGAGATCGAGCTGGACCTGGATCTAGGCTTGGGTTTTTCCTGTACCCGAGTCGAGGTCCAGGCATTTTTTGATCTTACTGATGTTTTCCTGGGCCTGGGTTTTTCCTGGACTACAGGCCCAGGATCCTGTCTAGGTCAATAAATCAAACTCCAGAGTCCAGGACAACCCCAGGCTTTTCAAAAATCTTGATCTCTAGTTGACAAACCTTCCACATGTTTTGTGGGATGTTCGTTACTCTTCCACAGTTTGGTAGTCTATTAGATTTTGAGGGTGTTTGATATTTCTGTGACTGGTATTACGACATGCTCCGTATATTATTTTTTGATATTTTTTGGTGTAAATTTTAAATATTAAAAAATTTTTTTTTGAAAAATTTAATTTTTATTTGTTTTTTCAATTTTAAAAATATTTTTTCTTTTTTGAATTTAAAAATTTTTTTCTTAATTTTAAATTTAGAATGGAATATTCTCTTTTAAAAATTTATTCTCGCCTTTTATTCCCCAATATTAAATTATTTGGAATTATTGTTTCAACTAGAACTTTTGCTGCTAAACCAGCCGTTAAAGGAAGAGGATCGACAGCACTTCCACCGGACCAAGAAGAAAGTTATGTTGAAGAAGATGCTGAAAAATTGTGCAAATATGTTAATGTAAATTATAAAAATGAAGGTTTGGTTTTTTTAGGTTTTCTTTAATTTTTCTGTTGAGATTTTTGAAAAGATTTTTTGGGAATTGTGAAGAAATTTCGTTTTTTAATTAAAAAATTTTTTTGGGGTGTTTTCTGTCCTTAAAAATTTTTTTCCTTACATTAAAAACGGTTAAAAATATTCTAGAATAATATTTTAAGCATTTTGAGACCGGAAAAAATTTAAATTCCCTGGGCGGGTTCGAACCCGCATCCTTAGAAGGGCTAAATCTTGTTCCAACCAACTTAACCAAACTTCCAATAAATAATGTTTTTTCTCCTTAATCCTTTCACATTTTTCTTTTTAAATTTTTTATATTTTTCTTTTTAGATGAGTCTCCAGGTCCAGAAATTCGGCCAAATTCTGAATACCCTTCTTGGATATTTAAATTGGATATTGAACCAAACAAAGTATTTCTTAATAAAAAAATTTTTTAAAGTTTGCTTAATTGGGAGAGAGACATATCGGGACGGGCATTTCGGGACTGCTATGTCAAAAAAACCTCTTGCGTGTTTTTGCATTGGTTCTAAAACATGTAAACTCTTCAATAGAGCAATCTGCTATCCAAGACCCACTGGATGTAGGTCCCAAAATCCAATAGGTCTAATATAGGAGGTCCAATCCACTTTCCTGAAATGTCCGTCCCGATATGTCCTCCTCCCCTTTAATCATTTTTAAAAATTTTAGGAGTTGGAGGATATGGATCCAGAAATTGATGGTTGGAAATATTGGGAAAAATGGGAACAACGTCGGCTTGATCAATTACATTTACACAATAAATTGAGGTTTTTATGTTAAAATAAAATTATTTTTTGGTTAAAGAATGAACCAAATATTTAAATTAGTGTTTAAAATTGTTTTTTGACTGATAATAAATTAATAATCCCTGAAAGGGTTCGAACCCTTGACCCTAAAAATGAAAAAAATTTTATTTACCCAACTTAACCAAACTAGACAATTTCAATTTTTGGAGATTTTTGGCTCTAAATTAAATTTTTTTTATTTTTCAGAACCCAATTCTTTTGGTTACAAAATTCTCCTTCAGTTGACATGGTTTTGGCTTATAGCAAATTTAGAGGGAAATTTGCAAAATTCCATGTTATACCAAACACAACGTCTGTTTACATGAAAAGTACAAGGAAACGGAGGCTCAATGTAAATTTCTTAATTTTTTGTAATAAAAGAATTCTTTCCACCAAACGGGTTCGAACCCTTACCCCTTCCCCCTTTAAAAACTAAAATGGTATTAAGAACTAGAGAACAGGGAGAGAGAAAGAGAGAGAGAGAGAGACAGGATTTCTAACACATATATGAATGGATATTTTTTCGAGATATCCTCATCTCTCTCTCATTTTTGTTGGTCATTATATTAGAGAACAGGGAGAGAGAGAGATTCATTCATTATAACCACATAATAGTCGTTGAAAAAATTCTTTTTGAATTTTTTTCTTCAATGTTTTTGCATTTTTTTAATTTTACAAAGATTTTTGATTGCCTTCTTCTTTTTCTAATTAATTTTAAATTTTTTTGTCTCTAAAATTTTTAATCAGTTTTTACTTTTATTTTTTAGACTATTAATTGGACAAGTATAGAAGAACCGGAAAGTTTGTATGAGAATAATGGCTAAAATTGGAATTATTTTTTTTGTTTTATTTTTAAATTTATTTGCTTCTTTTATTGTTAGTAGGAAATATTTAAATTTTTTTTTGAAAAAAAATATTTTTTTAATTTTTTAAATTGATTTTTAAATCAATTTTAATATTTCTATTTTTAATTTTCTTTTCTTTTTTCAACTAGTTTTCTTCAAAAATTCAATTAAAACTAAATTGTTTGACGAACACAAAAATAAATTAAATTTTAAAAGAAATGTTGGGGGAACAGTCAAATTCTTCTATATTTAATCAAAAATTGAAGCAATCACAGTCGTCTTCAAAGAATTCTGGAAAATTGACTGACAAAGAAGTTGAGGTTTGTTTTAAATTTTTTTGTTGGGAATTTCAGGGCAATTTTTATAAAATCCTTTCTGGTTTCTGTCATGATTGAAAAGTTTTTTTATGTTTCTGTTGTGGTTCTTTTTCGTCGTGGGGCAATAAAAGGGGCAATAAAAAGATTTTTAAAACAGAAATTAAACAGTTTCTGGCTTCTACTATTATTTGAAAATTTAAAATTTTTGTTCTTATTTTCATACAACCCTTGTTTTTTCCTTGTACTTGCCTAATTTTTTTCTCATATTTTATTCGAATACGTGAACAGTTACGAATTTTAGTAAGAGTTTTCGAACACTTGGTTCCCATAATTTTCTAATTTTTTTGTTAATTTTTAGTACAAACCTCCCCAGAAATTTTATTTTATTTTTAGAAAATGTTCCCCGACGAATTAAAAGAAACTCAGGAAAAACTTCAACAATTTCAACAACAATTAGAATTAATTAAAATTGTGCCAACTGACAAAAATTCTACAAATTTGGATGATATGATTATTTCTTTGCTTAAAAATAGTCATAAATCTTTAGGTAATTTTTAAATAAAAATTTTTTTGGTAATTTTATGATGTTTTACACGTTTTCTATGTTTTGGGTTAAAAATAAATTTAAATACCCTGAGCGGGTTCGAACCTGGGACCTAAGTTTGACAATTTTTTAGTTACCCAACTTAACCAAAAAATTTAATTTTCAGCATTTTTGGTTTAAAATCTATTTTTTAATTTTTAAATAGCTTAGAAATTTTTAAAAATTAAAAAATACCCCGAGCGGGTTCGAACCCGCGACCTAATATTTTGCAAATTCTAAAATTATCCAACTTAACCAAACTTTTCAAAAATTTTGTTTTTTGTTCATAATTTTTTTCAATTTAGACAAATCCCCCGTCTTTATTGAATTATTAATTAATTATTTAAATGGTTCCCACACAAGTTTAATTTCTTCAAATTTACGTTTACAATTTACTATGGCTCTAGTACGTTTAACGATGCATAAAAGAATTAAATTGGGTGTTTGTATGGATTTGTTGGTTAAATTATTGAAATATAAAGATAAGGCGTTGAGGTTTGGAAGTTTTTTTTAAATTTTTAAAAATTCTTTAGAAAATTTATTATCAACTCGATATGTTTGTTTATCCGTTCGTGCTGTACTCGAGGAAAAACTGGAAAGAAAATAAAACGGTTGTTTAGTGGAAAGGTTTTTTTAATATTTTTAAAGGAGAAATTGTCTTCTGGGCCCGCTAGCCTTAAACTAATTTAACACTAATTTTTTGGGTTATATTTTTTTTCTAAAAGGACCAACTTGATTGAAGCAATTCACTCAAAGAGGCTAAAATTTAAAGAAAATCGTGATTTTTGTTAGTTTTTTGGCTACAACTTTTTGTGGAATTTTCGGAAATGATTGGTCCTTTTAAGAGAAATAATCTAAATATTCAGGGCTTTAAAATGATATATAATTTGAGTTTGGGAAATAAAAAAAAGTTATGGCCAAAAAAGTGGTGTATGGGGTAGGGAGGAGGGACACCAACAATAAAAAAATCTTTAGATAATTTTAAAAAAATTTTCTAAAATATTTTTTTGCTAGTTTTATAATGTTTTGCACTTCTTTTTTATTTTTGAGTTAAAATTACGTTAAAATATCTTTGACGGGTTCGAACCCACGACCTTATTTTTCTACAATTTTTTGATTACCTCCACTTAACCAAAGTTGTTAAAAAATTATTTTTCAATTTTTCAAAAGGATTCTTCTCTTCTCAAACAAAAACTTTTTGGTCTACTTTTAAATGCTGAAAATGAAATAATATTAGCTAGAGTAGCTCAATTAGTGCTTATCCACGCTTATCTCAAACAATTTTGGCAAGACGAAAAAGTAGCCAATGCTTTGGCTGAAAGTGTGTTTTTAAATAAATTACAGAGAATTCAGGTTTTTTTTTAAATTTCTGAAATTTTTTCGAAAATTTGTTTAAAGATATCTGCAATGCGCTTCTTCTTGGGTTCTAGTAAAAATGAGCAAGGGGAGGAAGAGGAAAGTGACAGCAGTGATGATAGTGAAATTGACAACAAAAACAAGTTTGGATAAATTTTTTATTTTTGTGTTTTGTTCTGGGGTTGTTTTCTGATTTTTTTCTGGGTTCGTTATGATTTTTTTCTGGGTTTCTGATTTCTGTTTTGAATTTTCTTGTTTTATTCTGACATGTTCTTCTTTTTTCTGGTTTTGTTTCTGATATGTTTTGGATGTTTTTTCTGATCCGGTTTCTTTCTAATTTTTGTTCTAACATACTCTGACCTATTCTGGCATTTTCTGATTTCATTTCTGATTTTGTCTATTTTCCGGTTTTTCTGATTTTTGTTCTGTCATTTTCTGATTTTTCCTGATTTTAGCATTATGGTCTGTTCTGGTTTTATTTTCTGATTTTATTGCTGATTTATTCTTGTTTCGTTATTACATGTTCTGATTTTATTTCTGATTTTGTTATGATTTTCTGATTTCTTTCTGGTTTTCTGATTCGTTCTAGATTTCTTCTGGTTTTATTCCGACGTGTTCTTATTTTATTTCTGATTCTGTTCTGGGTTTCTGATTTTTTTCTTATTTTTCTGGTTTGTTTCTGATTTTATTCTGATTTTATTTCAATTTTTAATACATATTCTGACTTTTTATTCTAATTTTTTTTCATTTTCAGACCCCTTAAAGAATTAATGCAGCAACACAAATACACAAAGAAAACAAGAAAACGAAAAAAACAATTAGAAGAAGCAAAAAAGAAAATTCAAAAAGAGAAGAAAGCAACCAAAAGAGGGGATAAATTAACACGTTCCCAATGCAATTTGGAAGCAATTAGATCAATTTATGACCCCCAAAAATTTGCTGATAAATTGTTTGGATTGTTGGTTGGACATAAAAGGAACGAGAAATATGTTGTTAGGTTGGTTTGTTTTTGTTTTTAAAAGTTTTCTTTTAATTTTTGATGTTTATTTGTTTTATTTAAACAAAAAATTGAGAAAAAATAATAAAAATTATAATTAATTTTATTTAAAAAATAACCAAACAGTTTCGGAATGTGCATCAGCTATTGCTTGTGCAGTAACCCATTCATCTCCATTAAAAATATAGAAACGAATTGAACAATCATAACCACCGGAAGCTAGTATCTAAAGATAGAACATTGCTTTAATTTACAATTAAAATTAAAATTTTAATTGAACATTTTCCGGAATATCCAGAATTTTAATAAAACATTCTTTGGAATAATCAGAATCTTAATAAAACATTCCCAGAAAAAATCAGAATTTTAATTAAACAATTTTCAGATCAGAATTCTAAATAAACACAATTTAATCATTTTTCAATCTAGTACTTAGCAACTTTTTTAATTTTCCCTCACATGTGCCGCTATAGCTCAGCCGGTTAGAGCGTGGGTCTAATAAGCCCAAGGTCACAGGTTCGATCCCTGTTAGCGGCATTTAATTTTTCCTTCGATTCTTTTAACTTTTTAAGGTTTTTAATTTTATTTTTTGAAGTTTAAAATTCATTATGAATTTTTAAATGTGTGTTAAAGAAATTTCCTTTAAAATTATAATTTTTAAATTTTATTGAAGGGGTGATCTAACAACATAAACAATTCTATCAGTATTCTCGGGGAAAATAATTATTTTAAAATTTATTTTTTTTCAGACTTTTACAAATTTCTCTCTGTGCAAGAGTTATTGGAATACATAAATTACAAACTTTAGGCTTTTATTCATATTTGCATCGTTATTTACAACCCAAACAAAATCAAGTTACTCGATTATTATTATATGCAGCACAAGCATGTCATGAATTTGTGCCTTCAGATATTATTGAACAATTGGTTTTTTTGAAATTTTTTTTGAAAAATTAATTTTTCTATATAGGTTAGAGTTATTGCCCAAAATTTTGTTTCTGATCGAAATTCTGAAGAGGCTATAACTGTTGGACTAAACACTATAAGAGAAATTTATGCAAATTGTCCGGATGCTGCAAATGAGGGGATGGTTAGAGATTTGGCTGAGGTTTTCTTTTTAATTTTTTGAGTAAATTCGAGGGGTGTTCCTAGTGCTCTACCTTCCGCCCTCCTACGTTTTTTGGCTCATAACTTTTTTTAGTTTTCAAATTTTTATGTCAAGTTATATATCATTTGAAAGCCCTGAATTTGTAGATTATTGTTTCTTAAAAGGACTAATCTATTTTAAACATTCCCAAAAAAGTTGTAGCCAAATAAACACCAAAAATACCGATTTTCTTTACTTTTTTGGCTCCAACTTTGAGGGAAGTAGTTGAATCGAGTTGATCCTTTTAGAAAAAATAATTTACATATTCAGAGCTTTAAAATGATATATGATTTGTATAGTTTTGGATAAAGTTTGAAAAAGTTATGGTCTGAAAACTAGTGGATAGATCGAATAGGGATGAGTCGTGTTAACTTAAATCCGATAGTCGATCCGAAATTTTTTTGGAAACCCCGGAACCTGACCCTACTTTTTGGTCAACCTGGCCCTTTCCCTGAAACCGAAGGACTGAAAAAAATTTTTTTATTTAAATTTAATAATTAATTCTCTAGTACAAACATATCCACAATAAAAATGTTTCAATGGCTGCTCATTCATTAATTGTACTTTTGCGAACTAAAAAGCCTCATTTATTGCATCATAAAGACAGAGGAAGACCTCCTAAAAAACAAAAACGGTTGGATGAAGAGGAGGAGGAGGGGGAAGAAAATGAAGATGAATCTGAGGATAATGAATCAATGGAGGACGATGACGAGACGGTTTGTTTTTTAATTTTTTAAAATATTTGAGTTTTAAGTTTGTTTTAAGTTTAGATATCTGGGGCTTTCTTTAGGGATTTTTGCGAGTTAATAAAAATTCCTGTAGTTAAAAGCTACTCCTCACTATTTTTTGTTTGGGGATTAAAAAATTTTTTTCCTAACATTCCTTAGATCCGAGGGATAGTTTAGTGGTCTTGAATTGACAGAAAACTTTAATTTTTTATTTTTTTGTAAGTTGTTTCTTGAATTTTACGTTTATCCCGAGTTTCCTTAAATCTACTAGTTTTAGGCTAAGGCTTTCTTTAGGGATTTGCGAATTACTAAAATTTTCCTGAAATTAAAATTTACTTCTCGCTTTTTTTTGTTTCCTAAACTTTCCTGATTTTTAGTTTATAAGGACCTCAAAAAGGATTTTTCTTATAACTAGAAGGTTGTCGGTTTTTAAGAAATTTTTTTGAATACCCAGAACTGAACTGAAAATTCCCTTTAGATTCTTCAATTCTAGACCGACAACCCCTCATAATTGTGTCTATTTTTCTAATTTTAATTTTTAAATCTTAAATCTATTAAATTTTTCAATAAATTTCTAGGAAGAAGAAGAAATAGAAGAAGAGGAAACAACAGAAAATAAAACCAACAACGAAGAAGAAGAATCTTCAGCATTAGACGGTTTACCACGCCTTAAAAACATTGAACATTTTAGTAAAAAACGAAAACAAACAAAAGAAGAAAGAATGGAACAAGTTAGATTAGGCAGGGAGGATAGAGCAACAACTTATGCTAAACCTAAAAAGAAGGTAAAATCAAGTTTATTTAATAGAGTTTTATTTAGATCTGAGTAGATAGATTGGTGGTGTAATGGTAGTGTGTCTGATTTTGTGGGTGAGGGTCGTGAGTTCGAGTCCGATTGGTGTATTTTATTTTTTTATTTCAGCTTCTAACATGTTTAAAAATTAAAAAAAAATTTCCAAAAATTTTCCTAGGTCAGAAAAATTTTTTGAAATTTTTTAATACCATTCCAAGCCTATTTTAAAATTTATTTAAGGTCGGGGGTTCGAGTCCGCTAGGAATAAAATGTCCGATTGGTATTTTATTCTTCCTTTTGTTTCTAAAATATTTTTAAAAATTTTAAAAAATTTTCCATGTTCAAAAAAACTTAAAATTTATTTTTTAAAGGGAGCACATGTTGGCAGAACCAATAGAGAATTGGCAAAACGCAAAAACTTTAAAATGGTGCAACACAAAATGCGTGGCAAAAATCGTCAGAGATCTTTCCGTGATCGACAATTAAGTTTAAGAAATTATTTGTTGAGACAACAAGGAAAAAAAGTTTAGAGAATATATTTTGTTTTTTGTTGTTTTAATTGTTGAGTAAATATCGATTTATTGATTTTTTATCGATTTTTTGGAAAATAATAATTTTTTAAAATTTTTAAAAAATCGATATATTGATTTTATCGATTTATTGATTTTTTATCGATTTTTTGGAAAATAATAATTTTTTAAAATTTTTAAAAAATCGATATATTGATTTTATCGATTTATTGATTTTTTATCGATTTTTTTTTCACAAGGGAAGCTCATTTTGTCTAAAGATGTAAGGGACAAATGGTCGCAGAGATGAAAAGGGACAAATGGTCGCAGAGTTGAAAAGGGACAGATGGTCGCAGAGTCGTAAAGCGACAAATGGTCGCAGAATTGAAAAGGGACAAATGGTCGCAGAGTTGAAAAGGGACAAATGGTCGCAGAGTTGAAAAGGGACAAATGGTCGCAGAATTGAAAAGGGACAAATGGTCGCAGAATTGAAAAGGGACAAATGGTCGCAGAATTGAAAAGGGACAAATGGTCGCAGAGTTGAAAAGGGACAAATGGTCGCAGAGTTGAAAAGGGACAAATGGTCGCAGAGTTGAAAAGGGACAAATGGCCTATGTCTTTTTACATACAATAAAAATAAATTTTCGACTAGAATACAAAATTATTTTGGAATGTTTTTATTAAAAATCTCTAAAATTCTTTTAATCATTAAACTCGATGTTCGCCACCAACTATAGAACCTCCACTTGCTGTATTTGTTACATAATATTGTTGTCTAATTAATTTTTCTTCTCGTAGACGAACAACTTGCATAAAATTGTTAACCTGAAATAAACAAGCTTTAGATTGGTACAAAAATTATTCAAAATGGTTGAAAATTTAAAAGGTTATGAGACAAAAAGGAGTTTGTAGACTTGATCCCCTTGGAGCTCCCTTAGACCCCACCCCCCTCTAATAATCTTCTTATTGGTCAACCAAATAAGATTGATTTTTATATCAATCGAAAGCTAACGAGTAGTTCTATCTAAACTTGGCAAAAAAAATCTTGTCAAAAAATAATTTTTTACCAACCAATATAGCAATAGGCAAAGCAAGTACCAAAACACCACAAATTATAGCACCTCCACCAACTATCTTGCCGGCTAAAAAATTTTTTTATAAAGTTATTTTTTAAATAAAAAATATTTTACATGCAGTTTGTGGCACCCATTTGGTTTGTGAAAAAAGGCACCTAAAAATAATAGAATTAAAATAAATTTAAAAAATATTAAACGTACCACCAAAAAGCAGCAGGAATAGACGTGAATGTTGTGTTTGGTTCGTCTTTTTCCATAAAATAGACGAGAGTAGAGAAGAAAATAATAACTATAGAAAATGATTTTTAATTAAAAAATATTTAAATAATTTTTAAATTTGATTCTATTTAAGTTAAAAAACATGAAAAATCGAAAACTATAAACAGATATCGAACCGATATTAATTTCATTGAAAACCTAACACAAAACCACTAAATCACAAAGATATTATTGTTGAGTTATTTAAAATTGTTTAAACGTTAATAATTATAAATGTTCGAATTCAGGTTTATTTAAATGTTCAGATCCAAGTTTATTTAAATGTTCGGATTCAATTTTATTTAAATGTTCAAATCCAAGTTTATTTAAATGTTCAGATTCAAGTTTATTTAAATGTTCAAATTCAAGTTTAGTTAGATGTTTAAATCAAAGTTTAATTAGATGTTCAGATTAAAGTTTATTTAAATGTTCAGATCCAAGTTTATTTAAATGTTCAGATTCAAGTTTATTTAAATGTTCAGATCCAAGTTTATTTAAATGTTCAGATCCAAGTTTATTTAAATGTTCAGATCCAAGTTTATTTAAATGTTCAGATTCAAGTTTATTTAAATGTTCAGATCCAAGTTTATTTAAATGTTCAGATTCAAGTTTATTTAAATGTCCAGATCCAAGTTTATTTAAATGTTCAGATCCAAGTTTATTTAAATGTTCAGATCCAAGTTTATTTAAATGTTCAGATTCAAGTTTATTTAAATGTCCAGATCCAAGTTTATTTAAATGTTCAGATTCAAGTTTATTTAAATGTTCAGATTCAAGTTTATTTAAATGTTCAGATTCAAGTTTATTTAAATGTTTTTAGTTTAAGTTTAGATATTTTACAATATTATGTATTTTACCCACCAGTAAGCAAAACAATTGCTACCATTTGCATTTGTTTCTTACTTCGTTGTAAAGTTAAGGCAAAGTTGGCAAGACCTATTTAAATTTAAAACAAATTAAAATGTTCAGATCCAAGTTTATTTATTTACCAGGACTGAAACGACCAAGTTTTGCAATTCTAACAACTCTGAGTACCCGTAAAAGGCGAACTGTGAGGAATGCCCAACTAAAAATTAAATTTTTTTGACAGAATTTTCTTGAAAAACATACCGAACTTTTCGAATATTATCCCCTCTAATGCCTATCTGAAGAAAAAATTTTTTAATTAATTAAAAAAAATTATTTTTCTCTTACAAAAATAAGCAAAAGTTCAAAGAGAAAAGGAGCAATAGCAAGGAGATCAATTATATTTAAAAATTCTTTTACAAATTGTGACTAAAAAATAAAAATATCCTTGTCAATTAAAAAAATATTTTTGTTTACTTTTATAGGTGCCACCCAAAAACGCAATAAATATTCCAATGTAAAATATATAACTATAAAAAATAAAAACTTTGTTTTGAATTTAATTTAAATAAATAAACTTGAATCTAAACATCTAAATAAACTTGCTTGTTTAGATGCGTAATTTTCAAGTTAATTTTATTTAATTAAAGTTTGAGTATTTTTATATGTTTTATGTATGCTTGAACAAGTTTATTTAGATGTTCATATTCAAGTTTATTTTATTTGTTTTAATTCAAGTTTAATTATTTGTTTAGAATCAAGTTTATTTATATTAAATAAGTTTATTTAAATGTTTAGTTTCAAGTTTAATTAAATGTTCAAATTCAAGTTTAGTTAGATGTTTAAATCTAGGTTTATTTAGATGTTCCGATTCAAGTTTATGTTTAATAAACTTACCACATATATTCTCAACATAATTAAACACAGGATGTTCAATCATTTCAATACGGTGTTCTTCCCCGTCTTTTACAACCTTAAAAAACAATTAATTGTTTTCAAGTTTATTTTTAATTAATTTTACCGTTGTTGTTGGAATTGTAAATCCACTGACTTTTGGGTATGTTGGGTTTGTTGAGTGTTTTCCGAGAGACATTGTATTTAATTGATTCGAATTATCTGGCACTTGAAATTCAGGCATACTGGCCAAAATGAGCGCTGTTATTGAAAGGACTACGAAGGAGGTTGAAGTTATTTCAAAAAATTTCCACCATTTTGAGTTTGAATGGCCTATAAATTAAAACTTAAAGTTTATTTATTTTAAAACTTGAATCTGAACAAGTTTATAATTTCAATTTTAAATAAACTTGGATCTGAACATTATAATTATGTTTATCAAAAATCAGAATAAACATTTTCTAAAAACTTGGATTTGAACATCTAAATAAACTTGAATTATAAATTAAATAAACTTTGATGTTTTATACATTTAAATAAATTCAAGTTTATTTAAATGTTTAAATTAAATTTAAATTTTATTCTGATCTTTAATAAAAATATAACTGTCATGTTCAGATCCAAGTTTATTTAAAATTAAAGTTGTAAACATGTTTAGATTCAAGTTCTAAAAAGATCGATTTACCTTCAAGTATCAACCACAAACGTCTACGTACTTTAGCACAACGGAGACCAATAAAATGGTCTTTCTCCTGAAAAAAATTTTTTCAATTATAATTTAAAATTAAGACACACCCAAAAATTGTTAGAATTATTTACATTTTAGTAAAAAAATAGTTAAGGGAAAAAATGAAGGTTTTTAAGGGTTTTTAGGGGTATAAATAAGAGTAACAACATTAAAAATTAAAAAAAATAAAGGGAAAATTGTTAGGAATATGTTTTGGGGGGGGAGAAAAAGTTAGTTAATTTTTAATATAAAAATCAGAAGAAAAATCAGAAGAAAAAAAACTTTCTGGGTCAAAAGTTTTGCGTTTTAAAAATCCTGGAAGATCATCCTTAAGAGAGAATTTTTGAATTTAATTTTAAAAAATAATTTTTACAAATTAAAAAATAAATTTAAAAAGAAAAACCCACAGGAGTATCCAAATTTTTAGTCTTTTTGTACAAATAATATTGGGCGAAAGGACTACAACATTGATCAACTTTTGCTTTTGAAACAGACCAAAAACGAAGCTGAAAAACATAAAGGATTTTAGAGAGAAACATTATAAGGGTTTAAAAAGAAAAATCAGAATTTAATTCGAACATTAAAATAAACTTGTTTGTCCTAACAAGTTTTTAACAAAACTTGTTTTAAAACATGTTTTGTTTCTCTTAATGTTCGAATTAAATTCTGATTTTCTTAAAACTTGATAATGTTTTTCTAAGTTTAATTCAATAGAAACAAATAAAATAAACTTGAATATGAACATTTAAATGTTTAGATTCAAGTTTTATTTTTCAATTTTGTATTCAAGTTTGTTTTACAAGTTTTATTACAACAAAAGAAAAATCAGAATTTAATTCGAACATTAAAATAAACTTGTTTGTTTTAAAACAAGTTTATTTTTTTAACAAAACTTGTTTTAAAACATGTTTTATTTCCAACATTAATTTTGAAATGTTCAGATTCAAGCTTATTTTATAATTTATTTCCAAGTTTTAATTTTAAAAAGTTTAAAACACCTCCGCCATAAACTTGTCAAAACACAAATCTTTAGGTACATGCAATTTTCCAGAAGCATAAAAATCATAAACAGGATCAAAATATCTCGGGACACGTTCAAAAAAATATTCACTTTCCTCTTCAAAATAAGCATCAGCCCAAGCCCTTCTATGTTGTTCGTCCATTCGAATAAAACTTTAAAATAAATAAAAATAAAATAAAAAAATATTTTCTCACCGGCCAAGCAAAGTATCAGCTCCATGTTTCAAAATGCTTCTAGTTCTAATTCGATAAGAACTTCCTCCAATATTTAATCGAAGTATAGTATCCTTAAAAAATATTTCAATTAATTTGAATGTTTAGATCCAAGTTTATTTATTTAATTTTGTTGAAACAAAAATTCTTATTTCTTTTTAAAACATAAAAATGTTGGTGTACTTGTTTTATAAAAACCTAAGCTTTAAAAACAAATCAGAAGCTAATTCGAACATCAAGAGAAATAAAAGTTTTAATAATTAATGTTTAAATCCAAGTTTTAATATTCAAGTTTGTTTAAATGTTGAAATTCAAGTTTATTTATTTAATTTCGTGTTTTAAAGAGACTAATTTGTTTAAGGTGAAAAATCAGAATTTTTTTTCAGAATTAAAAAATAAACTTGAATCTGAACATTCAAATAAAAATAAAAACTACCTCAATTTTTAGACTGCTTTTTAGTGACGCCTTCTCTTGTAACTGATTATGTTGTGAAACACTTCTTCTATCAATAGCAGATGAAGCTGTTCCTGTAGTACTAGTTGAACGAACTAAAAAAATAGAAAGAAAAATCAAAATATTTAAAAACAAAAACAAGTTTTGATAAAACCTGAATCTGAACATTAATAAGTTTTAAAATTTTTAAACTTGTTCAGATTCAAGTTTTAATTAAAACAAAGAAAAACAAGTTTAGAAACAAGTTTCAAGTTTTGAAAAAAGTTGCAAAACAAGTATTAAAATTATTTCTATTTTTAAATATTTATAAGAAATCATAATTATTTTGTATTTTCAAGTTTTATATAAAATCAGAATTTTATATGTGTTTCATTAAAATTAACAACAAAAATACAAAATTCTGATTTTGTATTTTGATTTCATTATTTAATTAAGTTTTTGTATTTTCTTTGTATTTTTTTGTATTTATTTATTAAAACTTGCTTCTGGGATGCCCCACTTCAACATCCAACGAATTAGATACTTGTCTTTTTACAATTTCGTGTTGTTGACCTCCAGCACAACTTGTACTTTCTTTAAGGCTACAATTAATTAAATTTGTTGTTGTTGTATTTTCATCTTCTTCGTCTCTTTCGTCTTTTTTAAACATTTTTAAATTTAATTGTTTTTCTTCTTCTTTTTGTTGTTGTTGAGAGGCTGAAGGAGGAGAGGAAATTGTTGTTGTTATAGGTGTAGTTGATGTTGAAAATTGTCGCCTTAAAATTTTTTTAATATTTAAAATTTTTTTTGAATTTTTTTAAACTTTTTGAATTTTTAAATATTAAAATTTATGGAATTTATACAACAAAAAAATTCAAAATTAAATTAAAAATTATTTTAAAAAAAGAAAATTAAAAGATTAAAAATATAAGTCTGTCTGTATGAAAAAAGATTTTTTAATAAAATTGAAAAAAAAATTTTTTAGAATGCTTCTAGAATAATTAAATGTATGAATTTAGACATTTTAAAAGCGCTTCAATTTTTTCCTTAATTTTAGGATAAGGAAGAAAAAATTTAAAAAAAATCCTTTAAATGGCTTCTTTAATCTTTTAAAATTAATCTGTAATTATTAAAAAAATTTTTTGAAAAAGAATTTTGCTGAAAAAAAATTCTTTAAAATTTTTTTGTAAAAAGAGAGAGGTGTATTTAAAAAATATGGGGAGCATTGTTTAGACCAGACTTGTGCACAAATGCAGATAATATCCGGATACTCGCGGATATATCCGGATACCAAAATCCGTCTTAAATTGAAGGTAGGTATATATAAGATTTAAAAAAAAATTTTTTTTTCCTTCGGAAAAATCCTCAAAATTTGTTCTCAAAAAATATTCATAGAATAAATAAAATTAAAACACCGTTCATAAAGCTATAAATGAATATATTTAAATATAATATTTATTTTTAAAAAGCCGTGCCAATCTTCCCCTCCTCCTCCTTTTTATATAATTGAAAATTAAAAAATAAAAATGAGAGAGAATAAAAGCGGGAGTGCCTGTTAAAGTAGGATATATTGATGGTGGTGGTGGTCTGTTGGTCTTGGTTTCTTCCCCCTCCATTTTTGTCTGTTTTTAATGTAAATGATATGGGGCTTTAAAGGCAAAAATGGCATAATAATGGAGGGAAATTGAGAAAATAATAAAAAAAACTTTTAGAGGGCTTCCTATATTAATTTAGGGAGAAAATTGTTTTCACTAAAAAAGGATTCAAAAATTAAATAAAAAATAAAAAAATTTTTTTGAATTTTTTAAATCCTAAAATAATCCAAAAATTAAATTGATAAATCATTAAATGAAAAAAAATATTATTTTAAAGAAACCCCCCAAAAATTTTACAATTTTTGGTGTTTCTGACTCAAAAAAATCTATTTTAAAAAATTATTCAAAGTTATTCAGATTTTGTAAATAAATATTTGAATATATCCAAACTAGGAAAACCAAAAAAAATTTTCTAAATTTTTTTGGCTTTGTTAAAAGACCCCAAAAATTATAACTAAAGCTTTAGAGGTCTCTCCTCTTCTCTACAAGTACATTTCATTTTTGCCCTTTTCCCTCTCTAAAAATAAACATAAAAAAATATATACTAGCTTATTACTAAATACACTACTAGAGCTTTTCTATTTTTTCCCCGTCCAAGTTGAAAAAAAAAACCGAAAATTAGATTAGGACAGGGAAAGTCAGGGGTAGAGGGGGAGTGAGGGATTAGTGCGCGTGTTGATGTGGAAAAAAAATAATAAACATCACAAAATGAAAAGTGAAAAAAAAAATACTAAAAAATTATATAAATGGAACTTTTCGGGATAAACTTTTTTTTGAAAAATGGATGAGATAAAATGGATAAAAATGAATAATAAATATGCATGAAAAATAATAAATTTAATTTAATGAAATGTATTTTAATTAAATTTTGTATTTCAGGATAATTCTGGTTTTTGTATTTTTAAGAATTCTGGTGTGTTTTTAAATTAATTCTGATTTTTTGTATTTTCTTGTATTTTTGTTTCTGATTCTGATTTTATATTTTATTTTTGTATTTTTTTTGTATTTTTGTGTTTCCTCGAAAATTCTGATTTTTCTGTATTTTCAAAAATTCTGGTAAGTGTATTTTACTTTTAATTCTGATTTTTTTCTGATTTTTTAAATTTTGTTTGTTTCAGATTATGATTTTATATTTATTTTTGTATTTTTTGTATTTTTGTGTTTTCTCAAAAATTCTGATTTTTTTATTTTTCGATTCTGATTTTGTATTTCAAGACACTTCTGGTTTATATATTTAAATAATTCGGGTTTTTGTATTTTTAAAAATTCTGGTCTTGTATTTCACATCAGAATAACATATTGTATTTCTGTGTTTTTCCAAAAAATAATTTTTAGGGAAATATTCAGCTGCTAAAAAAAAATAAAAAATTATTTTTAATAACTAAAAATAAACAGCTGTTTTGTGTTATTATTTCTTATTTAAAAAAGAATAACTAAGAAATATTATGAGAAATAAAAAAAATTATTTAAAAAGCAAATAAACAAAAAATCATCTTTAAAAATGATGAGCTAATTTTTAAAGGTTTTAGTAAAGTGTAAAAATGATCAATTAATTTTAAAAACATTTAGGGTAATTAATAAAGAAAAAATACAAAAACCAGAATTTTCGAAAATACAAAAACCAAAATTTTCGAAAATACAAAAACCAAAATTTTCGAAAATACAAAAACCAGAATTTTCGAAAATACAAAAACCAAAATTTTCGAAAATACAAAAACCAGAATTTTCGAAAATACAAAAACCAGAATTTTCGAAAATACAAAAACCAGAATTTTCGAAAATACAAAAAATCAGAATTAAAGAAAATTTAAGAAAATACAAAAATAATTACTTTTAAAAATACAAAACTCACATTGGGGCATGACGCACAACAGAAATAGCATCGACGTTGCTTCCACTAACCGAGGAAGGACGACGCCTTTGGTTTTGCTTTTTCTGGTAATGTTGCTGTTTTTGAATAGATTGAGAAGAAGGCGATGATGATGATTTAGAGGAATCCTTCAAGTCACAAGGTAGAAGGGGTGGAGAGGCGCTCATGTAATTTACAAATTTGTCACTGTTGATGCATAATAATGGTGGAAGTGCTAAATTATAATTAAATTATTAATTATTGAAATTTGAATTGTAAAACCCAATTTAAATTAAAAAACTTTAAATTTAAAAAAAGTTTAATTTTTAAGAATGTTTTAAAATTACAAATCATGTAAAACAGCAAGTTTTACAATTTGTAAAATTAAATTAAACTTGATTACAAATTGTAAAAAAAGTTTTAATTCTTAAAAAAGTTTTTACGAATCATATAAAACACAAAAAAAAATAACGTTTTTGCAAATTACACAAATTGTAAAAATTTTACAAATTGTCAAAACTAATTATAAAAAAAACAAGAGAAAGAAGGGAAAACAAACAAACAAAAAAAAAGAAAATTATGTTTATGGGCCTAAAATACAATAATGACAACAATTCCCCCTTCCATTTCTTATTATTACATTAACACTTTTTTAATTAAAAAAAAGAACTAATGACCAATAGGAAATATTAGAAACAAACAAAAGAAAATATTTAAAAGTACATTCTTAAACAACAAAAAAAGTAAAAGAGATAATGTCATGACAACCCAAAAACTTTTTATGTTTTTTTTGCCTTTCCATTTCCGGTTAAATAATTAATCTATATACACCCCAATATTATTAAAAAATAAAAATAAAAAAATTAATTCACCATTTTGTTCAATTCTTGAAGGAGGAGGAAGTAAATTAACAAAACTACGGCCTCGATAAACAATTGGATGTTGTTGGTTGTTTGTATTATTATTAAAGGATTGAGGAAACAACAAACCAAGAGAAGAAATTCGTCCAAGTTGTTTTTGTCGTTTGTTGGAGTTGTTAATGTTTTTGTTTTGATTACTGGTCATTTGAAATTGTAAAAGAAAAGTCCATTAAAATTAATTTGTAAAATTAAATTAAACTTGATACAAATTGTAAAAAGTTTAAATTTTTAAAAAAATTTTACAAATCATTAAAATATTAAAAATTGTAGATTTGTAAAAATAAAAATCCAAAAAGGTTTTACGAATGCAGGATTTTTTACAAATTGTAAAAAGTTTAAATTAAGAAACAGGTCTTTTACAAATCATATAAATTTAGTGTTATTCACGGTACCGTATTACGGCGGTATTTTTCGGTATTACGGCGGTATTTTTCGGTATTACGGCGGTATTTTTACCGAAATACCGATACCGAATACGGTACCGAACAATTTTTAAAAAATCGGTATTTTTTCGGTATCGGTATTTTACCGAAAATACCGATACCGATACCGAAAAAACGCGTTTGAATAACACTAATATAAATAGAAAACTTCTTCAAATTGTAAAAAGTTTAACCTAAATTGTTTACAAATTGTAAAAAAGTTTTTAGAATTTGCAAAATGTTTTACAAATTATATAAATGAAAGGTATAAAATTTTTACAATTTGTAAAACTTTAAAAACTACAACAAGTTGCAAACTGTTTAGGTATTTTACGATTTTCTTCAAGTTTGACCAACACTATTATAAACTCAATTTATAAGCAAACTAATTTAAAAACTAGTCAGTTAATAAATCTACCTTAATGGAAAAAAATGTTAAAGCAACAATCAGGTGAAATTTAAAAATAGAAGCATTTGTTGTTGTTTTTGTGTGGTCCTTTAATGAGCCATTGAAAAATGAGTGATTGACCGTTGTAAAAAATCAAAATGTTTTGATAATTATCGATCTAAAAAATTAAAAATTAATTTAAATTTATAAACTAAAAAAACTTAATTTTCATTAATTCTCCATCAAATTAAATTAATTAATTTTTTTATTATTTAATTTCCCCTATAAGTAATTTAAAAAAATTTTTTTTTAATTTAGAATAATTTATTTAAAATTTGTAAAAAATAACTAAATAATTTTTGGTTGATAAAATAAAAAAAAATTTTTAAAAACTAAATATAGCAGAAAAAAGTTAAATTTAAAAAATAATGTATGTATGAGGCAATTACACGTTTAAAGTAAAAAAATAATTGTAAGGCATTAATACAAAAAAATTAGATATTTAATAGAGAATGATGATAGATATAAATTCCGGAAATAATAATAGAAAAAAATACAGAACAAAATATATATAATTCTGATTTTTCCAGAAAGCTTTCTGTGTGAATAACTCTGATTATTAATGTAAATACATAACGAAAACACATTCGGAAAAAATAATTCTGATTTTTCCGGAAATGTTTCCTATAGTGTTCCCTTGAAATTTTCCGGAAAGATTTACTGAAGAGAAAACTTGAAAAATAATTCTGATTGTTCCGGAAATATTTTCCGGAAAATAATTGTCATTCTTATTTTTAAAGACTATCCGGAAAAATAAACATATTCGAAAAAATAAATTCTGATCTTCCCGGAAAGTTTTACTAAAGAGTTAACATAAAAACATAATTCTGATTGTTCCGGAAATATTTTCCGGAAAAATTAATTCTGATTTTTATATATAGATTAAACGAAAACACATCCGGAAAAAATTTAATTCTGATCTTTCCGGAAAGTTCTTACTAAAAAATTTGCTTAAAAACATAGTTCTGATATTTCCGGAAAAACATATAAAACAAACATTAAAGTTTTAAGTTTTTAAAACAATTTACAATTAAAACACAAACAAATATACGACAAAAACATTTAAGAGACATAAACATGTTTAGATTATTATTTAAAAAATGTGTTTTTTAAAAACATACATTTGAAGGCAAACATGAATATTTTGTAAAATAAACAGATAAATACATTTTTATATATTTTTGGTTTAAGTTTTTACTGATTGCATTCCCAAGAGGAATAAAGTGAATTTAAATAAAAACATGTCTTTTCTACCAAAATAAATGTTGGTTGTTGTTGTTGATATGAGTTTGATTTTATACAAATATGTATTTGAAAAAATTTTTTGGATGGTAAATAAACACATTAAACGAAACATGAAGTTAAGAAAAATCTAGAAGAAAATTTCTAAAAATAAATGGTTTATAGGTATTTTAAAAACAAGTTTTTCTGAAACAAGTTTTGAAGTTTATTCATAAAAATAAACTTGTTTTCCGGAAAAAACACTTCTTTTCCGGAAAAGTAATTTTATAAAGTTTTCCGGAAAAACATATATAAATTTTCCTGAAAACAAGTTTATTTATTCATTTAAACAAATAGAAAAAGATTAATCCAAATTAAAAACTTGTTTTCCGGAAAACTTGTTTTTAAAGAAAAATACTCACTTCATTAATTATTTGGAAATGTTTTAATAGGAGAAGAAGCTGTTGATGTATTTGTACTGCAAGAAGGCGATTGTTGTTGCTGATTTAATAGGAATAAGGGATATTTTCCTTCAAAAAATGTTGCAAGAGAAGGTTGAGCCAAAACTGTAGCTATAATTTGCTGAAGTGATAAACGCCATTCACCGTCTTTAATACTAGAAAAAAATTATTTTTAAATTAATTAAAAATTTAAAAAAAAATTAGAAGCCACCAAGAATCTAAATCCCCAGGTTTCTTTCCCTTTTCGTTGTTGTCATCCTCGTTTTCAGCCAAATTCATTGCAACAGACATTGTTGCCTTAGCATCTTCACCTAGAGCTTCGACTATTTGGCGTTCTACTTGTTCTCTAAAATGAAATATTTTTTTCTGAATTTTTTTTCATAATTTTAATAAAAAAAAATTAAAAAAATTTTTCCTCTTCTAACCGATGATTTTTATTAGCATCTCCCAATTGTAACAATAAAGTACCCGCAAAAGCTAAAGAATTAAACAAATTTGCATCCTCTTCTTGAGAAGGTAAATGAGGAGGAGGTAATAAAAATGCTCCTTCGGTTTGTGTAGATGTTGAGGGAGAAGAATATAAATTATTATTGTTTAATATATTCATGCTTCCAATCATATCATAAATTGTTTTCCAAAATTGAATAAATTGAATCTGAAACAAACACAAGTTTTGTCGATGTTAGAAATTTAAATTTATTCTTTCCGGAAAACATTTTTATATATTTTATAAAAATAAACTTGTTTTCCGGAAAAAATATTAACTTTTCCGAAAAACAAGTTATAAACGGCGCGCCGAAATTTGCGGATTTTAATTTGCGGACCCGAAATTTGCGGACCCGAACTTTGCGGACCCGAATTTTGCGGACCCGAACTATGCGGACCCGAATTTTGCGGATCTGAGATTTGCGGACCAAAAATTTGCGGACTGACAATAGAGTCTACTGAACCTCGGAAATTTCAAAAATTTTAGCCTGAGGCGTTAATTAGGATAAATTCAGGCATCACGACCTTATGAAATGGCAATATAAATTATTTTTTTATCGATTATTTAAATTATGAAATAATTTTAGGATAAAAAATTGATAAAAATTTTGAAAAATCAAGAGAAAATCTTGATCTGGTACGGATCATGGTAAACTCTGCCGGGATCATCGAAAAATAAAATTTTTAATTTTTTCTTTTTACTCAAGTGTCTGTCCTAAAATCTTGGTTCCGCAAAAATCAGGTCCGCAAACTTCGTGTCCGCAACCTTCGGGTCCGCAACTTTCGTTCCGCAAATTTCGGGTCCGCAAAGTTCGGGTCCGCAAAATTCGGGTCCGCAAAGTTCGCGCCACGACAAGTTTATTTATTCATTTAATCAAAAACAGAAAGATTCCTAAAAACTTGTTTTCCGGAATTTTCTATCAAGAAAACACCCACTTGATTAATATGTTCAAGTTGTGTTTGTAAAGGCCTTCGTTCCGGCCTAACTTTTGCGTTGCAAACATTTGTTGTTTTGCTATCATTTTCGTCTAAAAGTTTCTGTCGTTGAAGAAGACGGTTATCCGTGTTTAATAAAGAAAATTCTGAAAACAAAATTGTATTTTCCGGAAAACACAAAAGAAAATACAAAATTTACCACTAAATTCGCTACGACTTTCTTCTTCAGTAAAAGTTTCATCTGTTGTAGTCATAGAACGTAAAAGAGCACTATTATCTTCATTTATTGTTAACGCTGTAGCAGTAGTAGTAGAAATTGAGGGAGACGAACAACTAGTTATTATAATTTGTTTTTTTAATTTTTTATTATTAATTTTTTGATTTTCTTCTTGTTCCGTTTTGCTCGACGGAAACCATTTATTTACATTTTCTTCTTCTGGTAATTTTGTTTTAGTGTTACAGTTTACATTTGTACTAGCCTAATTAAATTAAAAAAATATTTTTTTAATTTAAAAACAAATTAATTTACAATAGATAAAGTTGTTCCAAGTGAAAATGATGAAGATGATGAGGATAATCGTTGTTGTTGATTATCTAATATTGGGAGGGAAGAACTAACACTCATTTTAATAATTGAATTATCGACAATTTTTTCAATTAAATTGTTTTCTTCTTTAATTTTATTTGTTTCATCTTTTGTTGCTTCATCATCAGTTTTTGCAGGTGTTGCATAATTATCGCTGCCTAAAACATCGCCTGCTTCAAAACATGATTCTTCTTGTTTATCTAAAATTGAAAAATTGTTTATTAAAAAATGCTTGACTAAAAGTTAAACAGGTAAAAACAAGTTGGTAATAAATTTGAAACATACCAGAAAAAGTGATTTACTAGTTTAGAAGAACAAAACTTAAATAAGTTTTCCGGAAACAACAAAACATGTTTTCTATGAAACAAACAAAACAATAAAAACAAGTTTTCGGGAAACCAGATAAAACATGTTTTCGACAAAACAAATAAATCAATAAAAATAAGTTATCCGGAAAAACAACAAAACATGTTTTCCATAAAACAAATTAAGAAAAATAAGTTTCCGGAAAACACAAAAACATTTTAACAATAACAAAACACATTTCTCTGAAAAACAAACTAAACAACTTTTCCGGAAAACAATTAAAACATTAAAGAAACAAAACATGTTTCTCAGGAAAACAACTTTAAAACAAAAAAAAAAGAAAAACAATTTAAACAAACATACCATCAGTCGAATTAACATCAACAAAATTTGGAATAATCTCATCCAAATCAGACATGTTAAATGCTGGAGGAATGTGACATCTAAAAATTAAATTCATTTGAATATTCTTAGAATCAAAAATACCTATAAAGCAAGGTCAATTTTTCAGTAGGATCATCTCGAAGTAACGTACTCAAAAAACAAGCCAAATCCCGAAATGTTAGAATACCCGTCATATTTACATCCAAAAGCTAAAATTTTGAATAAAAAATGAAAAATAACATAAGTTGAAAAAAAATTAAAATTGAAAATTAGAAAAATAAACTACCAACTCGGAATGCACGAACAAAGAAAATATCGGCAGGCTGCCATGGTAATGATTTTCCCAAAATTAGTGAAAATAATTCAAAATCTAATCGGTATTGTGAGTGCATATATTGAAATTGACGAGGACTAAAAATATAATGTTTGTAAATAACAAAAGAAAAATTTAAGTTTTTGAGGATTAAAAATAAAAATAGCTCCGGAAAATAAAATGCAAAACTTAAGTTTACGGAAAATTAAAAATTAAATGTTTCCGGAAAACAAAAACACAAAACTTAAGTTTTCCATAAATTAAAAATAAATGTTTCCGGAAAACAAAAACACAAAACTTAAGTTTTCCATAAATTAAAAATAAATGTTTCCGGAAAACAAAAACACAAAACTTAAGTTTACGGAAAATTAAAAATTAAATGTTTCCGGAAAACAAAAACACAAAACTTAAGTTTTCCATAAATTAAAAATAAATGTTTAAAACAAAAACACAAAACTTAAGTTTTCCATAAATTAAAAATAAATGTTTAAAACAAAAACACAAAACTTAAGTTTTCCATAAATTAAAAATAAATGTTTAAAACAAAAACACAAAACTTAAGTTTACGGAAAATTAAAAATTAAATGTTTCCGGAAAACAAAAACACAAAACTTAAGTTTTCCAGAGAATTAAAAATAAATGTTTAAAACAAAAACACAAAACTTAAGTTTTCCAGAGAATTAAAAATAAATGTTTCCGGAAAACAAAAACACAGAACTTAAGTTTTCCATAAAATTAAATGTTTCTGGAAAACAAAAACACAAAACTTAAGAGTCTTCCAATTAAAAATTAATTACCGTTCCACTATTCCACGAGTTGTTCGTAAATAGCTTGTAGTTGAAAGACGAGCGCGCCATGAAAGCAAATGTTCTTCCTAAAAAGAAATTTTTTCCTGAAACAAAAATAATAAAAACACACCTTAACAGCATTATATAATGTTCGAAGCTCTTGTTCAGTTAATCTACAATCACAACCAACACTTCTCACAATTGACCTCATTTGACATTCTTCAAGTTTTTGCACAACCTTGAGGCGATTCTTAAAACGTAGCTGTTCAATGTTTTCATTTGTAAAAACGGTAGAAAAATGGGTGTAGGAAGAAGCTAATAAATCGCCAATAAATATCTGAAAATTAAAAGATTGAAAAATAAATTTTAAATTTATTCATTAACTACCTCAGTACTATTCCTCACGTTTGAATCTGTAATTTTATCGGTGAATGCATTCAGGGCTTGAAACGCCTAAAATTTGAAACAAATGAAGCAAAACTTAAGTTTATAAATTTTCCGGAAAATTAAATTTGTTTAATAATAAAATGTTGAAGTTTTCCTGAAACAAACAAAACTTCCGGAAAAACAAGTCAATTTTCATGTTAGAGAAAATACAAGAATTACTTAAATTTAAAGTTCCGGAAAACACTAGTGAAAAAACAAGAGTTAATAACAGAAAAAAAGCAAGTTTTCCGGAAAGTTAATTTTAGAATGTTTAGGAAAACACAACAATTTATTTGCAAGTTTCCGGAAAACTTAAACAACAGAAAAAAAATATTTAAAGTTTTCCGAAAAAACACAAGTGAAAAATATTATTTCTTTCCGGAATGTTTTACAATGTTTTATTTCTTTTCCGGAATGTTTAATTAAAGCAAAACACAAATCAAAATGTTTTCCGGAAAATACAAAAGAAAAACATTAGAAACAAACAACCTACCTCCCCTTCATCTTTAGCATCAAAAATAGCCTTTTTATTTTGACGAAGCATTTCCAAAGCTAATTGAAAAATAAGTTTGGACCCTTCAAAGAAGAATAAATCGATGATACGAAGAGCTGCTTCAAATTTAATTGCAGAAAGAAAAATTGTTAAAAACCAGCCAAGTGCTACCATATCGTCTAATTGTAATTTAAGCATATGACAGTGAAGTTCAGGTAAAGATTGTGAAACCAAATCAGAAAAAACACCTTTTTTGAATTGTGAAATTAAAAAAAAATATAATAGCTCTAGGACAGTTCACAAAACAGACAATTCACCGTAGAGCAATTTGTCGGTGAATTGTCAAGACAAAAAAATTCGGTGAAATGTCTTGGCATAAAAACACACCTTGATCAACAAGAGCACCAACAACTTTATTATTGTAATAATCTGGCAAAAGTCTTTCACAAACTGCTACCAATAACCAAAAGGCTAATTCTTCTGGTGCATAAAGCAAAAATACGGCAGCGACAATATTCATTGCTTGACAGTAACCGATAGTTGGGTTACGAACAGCATAAGCAGACAAAATGCGGCGAAGAGCGTCGATTCCTATACTTCCACATTGAAATGCTGGATGTTCGGGAAGTGAGCTTTAAAAAATTTTTTGGTAATCTACCTCAAATATTATTTTAAATAGGCGTTAGGCAATTCACCGTTACGATTTGTCAGTGAATTGTCCTAATAAAAAATTCGGTGAACTGTCCTAACATAAAATTTGATTGTTTAATCCCCTCAAAAAATTAACGCACCCACCGATGCAAGTCACGTTCAATTTCTTCCATTGTAAACTCAGCAAATGCTTGAGAACGACGACTTTTGCGTACTTGTATTTTTTTGTGTTTTTCTGATTCTGATTTATTCCGATTTGATTTTTTCTGACTTTTTTGTTCTGATTTAAAATTCTGATATTCTATTCTGATTTTTTAATTATAACTTATATTCACGTTATCATAGGCACTGTATGTATCGGAATATGTATAAAAAAATATTTTATTTTTTTATATTTTTACTTGTATACTACGTACTCACGCGTCCAAAAAACAGGAACCAAGAGGGAAAAATACATGGCTGACACGAATGTTTTTTTCTCTTCTCTCTCTTTCTTTTCTCTCTTCTCTCTTTTTATCTTTTCTCTCCTATAATTTTTTTCTTTTCTTTTGTAGTTTCGTAATTTCAAAAATTATTTTCTTATTTTTGATTTTATTTTCTTATTTTCTGGTTTTTTAGGTTCTGGTTTTTGTTTAAATTAAATTCTGGTGCAACTCTTTTCTGATTTGTTTCAAGTTTATTTTACAATTCAAGTTTATTTTCTTAGTTTGTTTCCAGGTTTTAAGGTTAGTTTAAAATTTTAGTTAGATTTTTTGAAAATTCATATTTCGAGTTTGGTGTGTCAGATCGAGATTCTGTGTGTCATAAATTTAGAGTTACAAATATAGTATAACTAAACAAAAAATTGGAAATTTTTTCTTTATTTTGACTTTTTTTTCTTTAGATGCGTGATAACGCGGTTATATGCCAGAAATGTCGAGAAGGAAAGCAGAGGAAAAAAGAATCAAATACAAAAAGGACTGCAAGTGCAAGAATGGCTTCATTAGATTCAAGAAAAAAACAAAAACAACTCTCCGCTTCCACCTCACAGCATGGACCCAACCCTCCCCAGCAGAATCCAGTTGCATCTATTGAAGAACAGGAAGAAGAAATTGTGGAAGATGGAGATTTTGGAGAATTAAATTTAGGTAGATTTTTTTGAATGCTCACTTTTTCTCGAACGGAGTGTAGGGGGAAATTGGGTGGCATTACTTGTATTAATTAGAATTTTTGTTAATTTTCAGCTGATGATTCAATGGAGCAAAGTTCTTCTAACCTCAACTTGGATAATTACAATAATGAAAATAGAATAGATGATTTAATGGAGGGCTGTTCGTCTACTTTTGGTATTAGATAGGGTTTATATAGGGAGAAAAAATTAACAATTTTTAAGAAATTCCATTTGAAATTCCATTCCAAATTCCATCATTAGCAGATTCACAACAGATGTTATTACAGCGACTTAAAGAATCACAAAAATTGTTGAAACAAAACTCGATTTCTCTTCCCGATTTCTCTAGTATGTTTACCTTTGCTGAGACCACAGGTAGACCTATTCATACAAACTTTCTATTCTCTAACATTTTTAGTTCAAAATATTTTCTCAAAAAAATGCTTCTTCTGTGAACACGAGTTTTTTGATTTTGTCCGAACCAGGCATTATAAAACCAAAAATTGCAAAATCCACAACTTTTATACAAACGGGTGGTCCCTTCAATTTGAGGAAGTATTAAAAAATGATGATTTACCTAATACAGACACATTGTTTGATTTTTCTGAGGAAGGCCCTTATAAAGTAATACCCCTTTCTTTCTTTTTATACAAATATTTTAGGTTTACTTGGTGCGCAATGGAACTGAAATTTATAACATCAAATACTTCGGGGTCACATCACAGACAGTAACAAGGCGGGTTTTGGATCACAAACACACCGGGACTTTCAAAGAATTATCAAATTCAACAAATATAGAATACGGCTGCTTTTTGACAAATTTAAATAAAAAGACAGCATTGTTTTTGGGTAAATTAAATAATATACTAAATAATATACCTAACTTATTTTTGCAGAAGGGTTACTTATATTATCGTCCAAATTAGGCACAAATTTAATCAACAAACAATATGAATTTCAAAATATAATTAATGGCTTAAAGGAAGAAGAAATTAAAGACGAAGAAGAAATGAAAAACGCTATTCTTGTTCATCACAAATCAACAATTATATTACTGAAAGCAAAATGGTCTCAAATTAGATGGTTAAATTTTTTGTAAGAACTACTGATTTAATAATAATACTTTTTGTTTTGACTTTTTTCCCGATTAAAAATTTTTATTTGTTTTATATTGTTCTACTGACATTCTAGAAAATTACGTAGTGAATCCCTTTCATGGGGACAAAAAAGTCAGAAAAAATCAAATCGGAATAAATCAGAATCAGAAAAACACAAAAAAATACAAACAAAGTGCACGGTATTCCCCTGGGTTCAAACGCATTTCACAATAAGCGCCAGAGCAAATACCCCACATGCGGGCTTTGTGTTCGGGTGGAACGCCTAAGAAATTAAAATAAAAAATTAAATAAAAACATGTAAAAACAAGAAACATTGCATAAAAAACTATAAACACAAAAACAGTAAAAGATATAAAAACATTTTTAAAAACACGAAACAAAACATAAGGAAATAAAACATAAACATGCAAAAACATAACAGACAAGACAAACAAAATTTAAATAAATAAAACAAACTTAAGATCAAACTTAAAACAAAGAATAAAACATTAAGGTTAAAAGACAAAAACATTCAAAAACACAAACATTTTGATAAACTCAAAACATAACACATTTTAATGCAAAACATGTTTTGGAAAAAATAAAACTTAAGATTAAACGTAAAAACATGTTTATGTTTTAAATGTTTTGTTATCTACATGTTTTATAAAACTTAAGATTAAACTTAAAAACATTAAAAACAAAACAGAAACAAAACTCTACCATCAAGCAACAAACGATGCATATCAACAGTTCTATAAATTGAATAATCTTTTCCAAAATCATGAAAAAGTTTTTCCCATGCTTTAGATGTTTTTAAACTTGAGCAAGTTGTAATTGACTTCACATTATTGAAAGTTTTATATAAAGGTTCAGATAGTGGTTGACGAGGGCTATAATGACGGCGATTTTGTTTTGATTTTTTCTGAAAAATTAATTTAAATAAAATTAAAAAAATTTCTCTCCCAAACTCGAATTTGTTCATTATTTTTGCAATATTCCCATAATTCTATAATTCGTTGCAAAACTTTAGGTAATTCATGCAATCCAGAAAAATAAAATTCTCTATTGTTTGTATCATTGTTAATTTGTTCTTCTTGTAAACTAAACAAGGGAGAAGGATTTAAACATATTTTTATTCCACCAGACAACCAATCAGTAAATGTTCTTTGTTTTTCGATAGAAATAATATCACACAATAACAACTAAAATTAAATAAATAATAAATTTTAAGTTCAATCCTTATTTTTTCAAGTTTTACACAACTCTAAAATTCGCAATCTCAAGTTTCAAGTTTTTATTTAATTTTCAAGTTTATTTAAAATTAAAACTTTTTTTTTCAATTATAATTTGTACAAATCAAGTTTAAAGTTTTACAAATGTTTTTACAACCTGAGAGTTGTCACAAACTTAAGTTCTTAAAATTCTAAGTTTATTTAATTTTCAAGTTTATTTAGAAAATAAACTTTTTTCCTTTATTTTTACAAATCAAGTTTAAAGTTTTAAAGATGTTTTTACAATATTAGAGTTGTAAACTTAAGTTGTTACAAATCTTAAGTTTATAAGTTTTCAAGTTTTACACAAGTTTTAATTTATGGCTGTACTTTAGCCGGTGGCCCACTCAGAAACGGGTCAAATTATATACCATTCGATTCGTCTCGGCGAGCTGAGTCTAATGGTACCACTCTTTTTTTGCGGAAATTCCTACGAGCCGAGATATAGGGCCTTAAAAATCGAAAAACCATAGGGGGGACCAAGCACTTTTTTGGTGTAAAAAATTCAAATATACAAATAATAGCTCATTCGAAAGAGCTGCTCAAGCTGAGTCGATTGACACCAAAATCAACGAAATCCGACTTGATTTGACAAAGTTATGAGCATTTGTTTTAGCTCCTTACCTTTGGTCTACGTGCAGGTTTTTCTTGCTGGAGAGGAAGTCAGACAAGCCAACCGCAGCTAAAATAGGCATAAGTTTATGTTACGAGCCCAGACCCAGCGCCCGTAGACTCCCCGCGAGGCGCGTGCCGCAAAACCCCGCGCGAAGCGCGGGGTTTTGCACAAGCGCCTCGCCGATGCCCCATAGGTTTATGTTGCTTGTATTTTGATTTGTAACTTTGTCCAACTTTATTTAATCAATGTGACTTTGGTGTCATTCGACTCAGCTCATCGAGCTCTTTCGAATGAGCTATAATATGTTAAAAAAATTTTTAATTCTAATAATCACCCCTTTGGATCTTCGGTTTTTATGGGTCTATATCTCGGTCCAATCAAGTCGGATTTCGTTGATTTTGGTGTCATTCGACTCAGCTTGAGGAGCTCTTTCAAATGAGCTATCATTCAAAAAATCGAATTTTTCACCCCAAAATTGAGCTTACTCCTCCCTATGGTTTTTCGATTTTCAGGGACCTATATCTCGGCTTGTAGGCATTTCCGCAAAAAAAGAATGGTACCATTCGACTCAGCTCGCCGAGCCGAATCGAATGGTATACATATCGAGGGGTTTCTGAGTGGGCCACCGGCTAAAGTATATCCTTAATTTATAATTTTCAAGCTTATTAAAAATATTACAACTTTAAAAGAAAAACTCACAACTAGAGAAACTTGTCTTTCAATCCTTGAAGTAAAACAAATAAAATTTGGTGATAAATAGAGACGACCACGTACAGAACGGCGATCATAAGGAGTATATAGAGTACATGGAAGATCACCGTCTAATCGTTCGGAATGTGGGAGGGAGAAAAGGCATCTAAAAAATAATAGTATTTTTAGTAAAAAAATAAACAAAAAAAGGTGAGAAAAAATTCAATAAATTTGGTAGAAAAAAAATGATCAAATATTTAGATAAAGAAGTATGTATATAAACAGGTATGTAACAAAAACAATAACAAAATTTTAAGGAAAACTATATATCAGTCTTAAAAGAGTCTTATTTTTCCAAATTTCAAGTTTTACAATCTCAAGTGTGAATTTAAATTATAAAGCTATTACAAATTAAATTCCAAGTTTTACAATTTGATATTTTCACTTGCAATAATCTCAAGTTTTACAATCTCAAGTTTTATTTCGTTTCAAGTTTATTTAAACTTTTACAAATTATTTCACTTATAATTTCTATAACTCAAAATTCCAAGTTTTTTTGCACTTTGACGTCACAATTACAAATCAAACTTGATTATTTTACAATTCTGAACTTTAAAGTTTTACAAGTAAATAATCTCAATTCCTAATTGTAAAATGTTTCCACATTTTCAATTAAAATAAAAAAAGGATTGTAAAACTACAAACACCTTAATTTTTAATTTGTGCATTGTTAAAAGAAAAAATTTCTGATAATATTACAAAAGTAATTATTAAAAATAATTTTTTTATCATTCCAAAAAAAATTTTTTCTAAAAAAAATATTTTCCTTATAATCTTAATTCGTCATTATATACGAACAAAAATTTAATTTTTCTTTTTTTATTAATTTTAAAAATGATTTTTTGTAGCATTTCTCAATCACCTTTTTTCCCTCTCCTCCCACACACATAACATTTTCTTCAGAAAAATATTTTTTTCAATAAATTTATGATTTTTTAAAATATTTTTTAATGTGCAAATAACCATTAAAAAAATATTTTATTATGATAAGCACAAAGATCACGCATACCTAATTATATCAGAAAAAATTTAAAAATTAATTAAATAAAATGCAGATTTTTAAGAAAAATTCAAGAATAATTTTTACTTTTTAGCAAAAAAAAAATAATAATTTTTTTCAAAATTAATTATGAAAGCTAATAAAACAAATGAATGATATTGTTGTAGCATCAACACCTATTCATCAACAACAAAATAAAAATCAAAATAAATTAACAAAATTACCTTCAATTAGATTAAGAAGAGAAACTGAAAGTGAAGAAAGTAGAGCAAGAAAAAAAGAATTGAAAATTTTTGCCCAAAAAATAAGAAGAGCTGGGCTTATACGAGAACACCAAACATGGACACTTTCACAAGGAATAATAATCTATAAGGAGGCTTTTAAAGGAGAAGATTTTGTAACGTGGCTTATGCGAGATCAGAAAATATGTAAAAAAATTTTTTTAATTAATAGAAAAAAAATAAAGAAAAAATTTAAAAAGCCTCTTAGGCCTTAAAAAATAAAACCTGAATTTTAGAGAAAAAATAATTTAAAAAATTAAAATAAAATTTCTTCCTTAACAAAAAACACATTTACACACACAAACAAACGTATTTTATATATTTTACAATTTTAAGTATACAGGAAATACATGCGTCATTATAAAAAAACATTTTTAAAAAGTAATACATATAAAAATTACAAAAGTTTTCTTAACAAAAAATTTAAAAAAATAGAAAAAATTAGAGTTTTTTATTAAAAATGAGAGAGAAGAATGTTGACTAATAAATAAAATAGAAAAAAATATTTTTATTTATAAGAAAAAAATTCCCAACTTGTCCAATAAAAGACATTAATATTATCAATATAAAACGAGATTCTTTATTTTATTTAACGAGAAAATACAAATGCTATAACAAACACACCCAACTTGTTTCACAAAACCTTATTATTCGCATTGCGACGCCGCGCAAGTTTTTTTTAAAGTCGATATTTTTACAATTTTAAAATTTAATTAAAACTTGTGTCCTATAAAATTAAGAACAAAAACACAATTAAACTTTTACACTCTTAAAAATTAAATAAACTTTACGGAAAATACAAATAAACTTTTCGGAAAAACACTCAAAATCTTCTTACATTCTGGAAACTTAAAATAAACATTTCTAAAACACAAAACATTTCTTTTCCGGAAAACACAATATAATTAAATGTTTCTCCAAGTTTATATTGTAATGTTTCCGGAAAATATATATAATTCAAACATTTCCGTAAATGAATATTCCCCCCTTTCCGGAAAATACACAAAAACATTAAAAAACACAAAAAATACAATAATTAATGCTTCAGAAAATATATTCAATTTTAATTTAATATTTACTAATAAACAAACATTTCAAAACAAAAACATGTCAAAGACTAATCGTGAACAAAAAACACAACAAGAAAGAGCACAGCGATTTAAAAATCAAGTAAAATGTATGGAAAAAAATTTTTTTTGAAAAAATTTTTTAATAAAAAAATATTTTATAAAATTAATTTTCTAAAGACAGAAGTGAAGCAATACAAAAAGGGCAATACTTACTGGATGAAAATGTTATAGAATTAATGGAACAAAAAAGAAGCGGGTCCATCGACAATACAAGCCCTGTACCAATGATAGATGAACAACAGATAAAAGAAAATAATAGTAAAGAAACAATGACATCAAGACGTTCAATGACAACATTACCAGAAATGGGGAGATCGTTTAGTACAGAACGGTAAAATAAAATAAATTATTTTAAAGTTTCCGGTTAAACAAAAAAAGTTTTCCGGAAAAACACATAACGGTTTAAACAAACAAAACAATGTTGAGATTATTTCTATAACTGAAAAATGTTTTAAAACATGTTTCAAAACAGGTTACAAGAGATGTTGTAAAGGATGTTTCTGTTAAATAAACTTTCCGGAAAACACAAGTGTGAGCATAAAAACAAACAAAGTTGAGAATATTAAAAAATGTTTAAAACATGTTTTAAAACATGTTTGTAAGAGATGTTTCTTGTTAAACAAAAACTTTTCCGAAAAACATGTAACAACTAAAAAACATGTTCAGAACAAGTTTATAAGCGAAAAATGTTTTAAAAACATAAACAAATAAGCAAAGCAACATAAACAATAATTAAGTTACTACAAACTTGTGGATGGAGAAAGTGATCAAAAATTGCCTTTAAATATGATACATGATGAAAATGAAGACATAAATAATTTTGAAGTAGAAGACAAGCCAAAAATAAACGTGAAAGAATTTAACAAGAGATTCATTTCAGTTATTGATAAAATTTATGAAAGAATTTTATCAGAAAATAAAAGGGTAAGAGCCCCAAAAAAACAACAAAATTATAAAAACAACAAAATTTTACAGACAGTCCATCTGGATTTATTAGACGATTTCGAACCATTTCAAACAGAATATGCTTCATTAGCTCAAGAAATAGCTTATTTGAACTTAATTGAAGCTAACGAACAAGAAAGATTGGCAATATTTATAAATATATACAATATAATGTTGATACATATAAGCTATAAATATGGATTGCCCGGAACTATATGGCAGAGGAGAAAGGTAACAAAAAATTTTTTTTTAAATTTCAAAAAAATTTTTCGAAATTTAAAGTATTTATATTTTACTTATTACAATGTTGGAGGGCATCTATACTCATTACAATCAATTTTTAATGGGATTTTGCGTGGTAATCATACAGGTTTGGGGATGTTGTGGAAGCCCTTTGGTGAACAAGATTATAGAAATAAGGTAAAAAAATAAATATAAAACAAGAAAATACGAAAAACACAAAACGAAACACAACAAACACAAAAACAAAATACAAAAAAGCAAAAAGAAACACAAAACAAAACACAAAAAATACAAAACAAAATCATTCCGGAAAAACATTTTTAAAGAGATCCCACTGGGAAACAAGTTTAAAACATAAACAAAACAAAATTCCGGAAAACATGGCAAAATATAAAACACATTCCGGAAAAACATTATTATTAAACACAAAAAACACACAAAAAATGCAAAAACACATTATTTCAAGTTCATTATACGCGGAGGTGAACCACTTGTTCACTTTGGCTTAAATAATTATACACGTTCAACCCCTCCAATCCGTACTTATTCTATTGAAGGAATTTATGATGAATTGAGTGATAATGCAAGGCAATGCTTAAAGAGTAGTGAATTTTTACAAGTTGATTTGAAGGGAGAAAAAGTTTTGGTTGCAAAATTGTTCAAACAATACAGTGAAGATTTTTGTAGTTTAGGCACAAAAAGGAGCACAGATGAGGTTAGTTTGGGGAGAGATTAAAAGGTAGAAGGGAGAAACATAAAACAAACATTCCGGAAAAGTTTGTGGTTTTAAATAAAATACAAAACATGAAACAAATGCAAAAAAAGAAACATTCCGGAAAACATAAGCTTTAAAACATGAATAAAATAAAATTCCGGAAAACATTTCAAAATACAAAAAACATTCCGGAAAAACATTTTTAAAGAGATTCCACCAAGAAACAAGTTTAAAACATGAACAAAACAAAATTCTGGAAAACATTTAGAATATAAAAAACATTCAGGAAAAGTTTGTGTTTTTAAATAAAATACAAAACAAGAAACAAATGTAGAAACCAGAAACATTACGGAAAACAAGTTTTAAAACATGAACAAAACACATTCCGGAAAACATTTCAGAATATCAAAAACATTCCGGAAAACATTTTAAAGGGGTTCCGGAAAACAAGTTTAAAATATAAACCAACAAATTCCGGAAAACATGACAATATTGAATACAATACGGAAAAATTTGTATTTAAATAAAATACAAAACATGAAACAAATGTAGAAACCAGAAACATTCCGGAAAACATAAGCTTTAAAACATGAACAACATAAAATTCCGGAAAATAGGTGTAAGAAATGAACAAAACAAAATTCCGAAAAACATTTCAAAATATAAAACACATTCCGGAAAACATTTAAAAAATCAAATATTTAATAAAGTTATTAAAATGGCTAGTCAATGTTTTGAAACCAAATGATGAACGTGCCCAACAATTAACAAAATTATTGAATACAAAAAACTATACAATTGGTTACTTAACTATGGATAATGATTTAAACATAAGTTATGGCATAACACAATATAAAAATAGACACGAACAATTTGATGATGAAAATGATGATTTGATATTATAAAATGAAAATAGAAAAAAGAAATGTTTAGATAAAAATTAAAACAAAACACTGTTTGTCATAAAAACAAAAAAAATGCAGAAGAAACATTCCGGAAAACACAAGCGCAAAGGCAGAAATCAAGTGTAATAAAAGTAGTGAAGAAACATTCCGGAAACATTAAAATATTAAATAAAATTCCGAAAAACACATTTGGAAATATAAAAACAAATCAAATAAACATTCCGGAAAACACAAGCGCAAAGAGAAGAAACAAGTTTCATAAATCTAATAAACATTCCGGAAACATTAAAATATTAGAAAAACATTCCGGAAAACACATCTAGAAATATAAAAACAAATAAAATAAACTTTCCGGAAAAGAAACACAAAAAAAACACAAACATGCTTGCATAAAATAAATAAAGGAAAAACATTGAAGAAAACATAAAAACATTAGAAAAACATTCCGGAAAACATTTTTAGATTATTAGAACAATGAGAGAAAAAGGCTTATTTTTAGACCAAATTTTCCCCGATAAATAAAAATATAAAAATATTAAAAAAAAATTCACCACACCTGTAAGCGTCTGTCCTTTGTTTAGCTTCCAAATCCTTTTTTACAAAAGTAACACCACTACATTTTTGAGAACGCTTCCTTGTTGGCGCTTGTAAATATTTGCTGCGAAGTGATGGATCTTCATAAAAACCTTCCTCCTCTATAAGTTGTTTCATTGCAAAGTTGGCAAGTTGTGAAGCATGTTTATAACTGAAAAAAGAATGTTTATAAAAATAATTTAAATAAAATACAAAACAAATTTTCCGGAAAACATTCTTGTTTTGTTTTTAAAACTTTTCCGGAAAAACATTTTGCATTTTATTAATAAAAATGTTCAGGAAAAACAAAATAAATGTTTGATTAAATAAAACAAAACACAAAACATTTCCGGAAAACACAAAACACTAACGATTAATAAAATACAAAACATTTTACGGAAAACACAAAACACTAACGATTAATAAAATACAAAACATTTCCGGAAAACACAAAACACTAACGATTAATAAAATACAAAACATTTTACGGAAAACACAAAACACTAACGATTAATAAAATACAAAACATTTTACGGAAAACACAAAACACTAACGATTAATAAAATACAAAACATTTCCGGAAAACACAAAACACTAACGATTAATAAAATACAAAACATTTTCCGGAAGCACTTATTTTGGCTACTTTATATGTTGCTAATAAACTTGTTTTCCGGAATTTTTTTGAAACTTTAAATCAGTCGAAAAACAAGTTGTAGTAATAATTTCAGACTAAAAACATTAAAACATACGCATCAGCAAAGTTCATAAACACAGAAAAAACATGTTTCCTCCCATCTTTGGTTACAACATTAAGGCTTCGAGAAAGCATAGAATTGTTGTGAGACATTTTCTAAAATTTTCGAAAATAAATTTAAAATTATTTTTTTTCAATTAAAATTACCAAAACATCTGTCCATCTCAATTTAACAATTAATTCATTTCCAACAATAAAAGAATAAAAACATAGAAAATTGACTGATAAATATAATTTGCCTTGAAATGGCTTGTTTCCTTTCCAATAACTACAGGAATAATCTGAAAAGGAAAAATTAATTTTGGAAAAAATTCTCTCGAAAACACAAAATTCCGGAAAATACAAAAATACAGTTCCATAAAATACAAAAATACGTTTCCGGAAAATTCAAATAAACTTTCCGGAAAATACAGAAAATACATTTCCAGAAAATACAAAAACACATTTCCGGAAAATACAAAAATTCCGGAAAACACAAAAAAATTCCAGAAAATACACAAAAAAATATACATTTTTAATTTCTTACAATTAACAAGCTTCTCATCCGCCGACATTTCAAAAAGTTTTTGAAATTTTCGAAGAATTGCTGCATTTGTAACTTGTTCCAATTCGTCTTCCTCCTCATCCTGTCCATCCAAAGAAGACATCAACAATTTACTTTCTTCCTTTTTTACTTCATTTTTATCCAAATTATTCTCCTCCTTTTTATTTTTCTCAACTTCTTCATTTTTAGAAGCCAATAAACCCTCAATTTTGCTTAAAACAAATTTACACAATTCTTCTTCATTGTCTTCAAGAGCGTTTAAAACAGGCATAATTGTTTGTTCCAAAACATCCCAATCTTTTATTATTTCCTCCCAATCAACAGCTACAGCAATAACTTAAATAATAAAAAATGAAACACAAAACATTTTCCGGAAAACAAAGTTTAGAGAAAGAGAGCTAAACACCTTCCGGAAAATGTTTTTAATCGTTTAAAACATGTTCCGATAAAATAAATTGTTTTTCCGGAAAACAATTTAAACTTAAAACAAAAAACATCGAAACAAACACAAACAAAACATTTTCCGGAAAACATTTAAATGAAAACAAATAAAACAACCTTTCCGGAAAATGTTTTTAATTGTTTGAAACATGTCCAAACAAAACAGAATAGCAATAAGAAATAAACATCCTTTCCGGAAAACAATTTAAACACATCCTTAAAACATATAAAAACATTTTCCGAAACATAACTTTCCGGAAAAACATTTAAAAACCACTTTTTGTGGAGAAAGAAAAACAAACTATAAGCAATCTGCCCATCTACCAAGTCCCGTTGATAAAGAATTCTATACGGAGGTGGACGCGTGTCAAATATTGCATCGAATGTAGAAACAAAAAGAGCCCCCAAACTTGATTGATTTCCATCAGAACTTGTTGAAGTATTTCTTGTAGATACTGAACCTGTCTTCTTTAAAAAAATTATTTTTCAAAATTTATTTAAAAAATTCTTTAAAAACATGTCGATCGTGTTGTCCATCAATTAATTCGGTTGTTGTACAAGGACTGCCAGTATCATGGCCTTTCCGTTTTTGTAAAATAAAATATTTATTTGAGCGTTCGTTCTGCCTTAAAAACAAAACATGAAACTTTTTAAAAATAAAAATGTTTTCCGGAAAACTTGTTTTCAATTATATGAACAAACATTCCGGAAAATGTTCGAAACAAATAAACAACCTTCAGGAAATGTTTTGTTGTGTTTATGAAGTTTATTTACCGGAAAGGTTTGTAAACATGTTTTAATGAAACTTATAGACTTCTTCCGGAAAGTTTATGAAAAATAAAAACAATGTTTGAATGTTTTCCGGAAAAACAATTTTACAAAACATTCCGGAAAATGTTGTAAAATGATAAACTTTCCGGAAAATGTTCGTCAACATGTTTTAATTAAACTTTTAAATGTTTGGCTAAACTACAGTTTCCGTACCAGGCTCAGAATTGGACGATTTATATGTCATTCGAGAGAGCTCGTCGAGCTGAGTCGAACGTCACCAAAATTATTCAGCGGAAAAAATTCTGAGCCGAGTTACAGACCCCTAAAGTTCAAAAAAACATAGGGGGACCAAGCTGTTTTCTGGGGGTGAAAAATTCGAATATGCAAATAATAGCTCATTCGAAAGAGCTCCTCGAGCTGAGTCGAATGACACCAAAATCAACGAAATCCGACTTGGTTTGACAAAGTTATGACCGTTTGTTTTAGCTCCTTACCTATGGCATCTTTGGAGGTTTTTGCTGCTACGGAGGCCCCAAATACTTCCAGAGCAAGGGAGTTGGGAATAGGTTTATGTAACGAGCCCAGACCCAGCGCCCGTAGACTCCCCGCGAGGCGCGTGCCGCAAAACCCCGCGCGAAGCGCGGGGTTTTGCACAAGCGCCTCGCCGTCGACCCATAGGTTTAGGTATTTTGTTTTTTGTGTCATAACTTTGTCTAATCTTATCCAATCACGGTGATTTTGGTGTCATTCGACTCAGCTCGTCGAGCTCTTTCGAATGAGGTATAATTTGCATTTTCGAATTTTTCACCCCAAAAAAGTGCTTGGTCCCCCCTTTGGTTTTTTGAACTTTAGGTGTCTGTAACTCGGCTCAGAATTTTTTCCGCTGAATAATTTTGGTGCCTTTCGACTCAGCTCGACGAGCTCTTTCGAATGACATATAAATCGTCCAATTATGAGCCTGGTACGGAAACTGTAGTTAGGCCAAATGTTTTACCGGAAAAACATTCCGTAAAGTTTATTTTTCCAGAATGTTTGTAACAATGTTTTTAATGTTTTATAAATTAAAAACAAAAACCAACCAAAATGTTTGACCAAACAATAAATATTCCGGTTTTATCCAAACCATGTTTTTCTTGTTGTTGTTTTTAGAATAAATTAAATAATAAAAGAATTAAAAAATAAACATTATGTAAAATCTGAAAAAAGTTTTTTTTAAGTTAAATTGAAAGTAATTAGTCAGTACTTGATATTTTATTGATTACTTAAAAAGTAAATGTGAACAGAGAATTCCCTTCTAATTTTTTTTGTTTTAATGTTTATTCAGCTGTTTGTGTTTTTAACATCTTAACACTCTGAATTATCTTTTTGCCAAAAAAATCGTTAAAAAAACTTTTTAAAAATTAAAAAAAAATTTTCTAAGATATGATTTTTAGAAAAAAAATATTTTTTAATGACCTTAACTTAAAAAATTATTTTTTTTTCTAAAGCATTCTAAAAATTAAAAAAAAAGAATAAATAAATTAAAAGTAAGGGAGAGGTTATTTAAGTAATCAATCTAAAATAAATTTTAAAAAAATTTTTTAAATAACCTTGAAAATTAAAAATATATAATTTGATAGTTTAAAAAATACAAACTCTTCAAAAATAAAATAAAAATTTTTTTAATATTTATTTTTTAAATAATTTTATGTAAATATATATAATATGCATATTTAATCATTTTTATATATAAGTAAAGAATCATACATATAAAAGGTCTCATCATTAAATTTTTTCCTTAAATTTTTAAAACATACAATTGAAACAAAAAAAATTTTTTTTTAATTTTGGGGTATTAAACTTTTTTTTTTTTAATTTTTAGAAAAAAAATTTTTTTTTTTGGAAATTCATACTCAAAATCAGAAATGTGTGTGTCATGGCGTTTGGCACGCCACGCGAAAATTTTGGCGCACATCCCTGCTAAAATTAAAAAAAATTTTTTTCTGAAAAAAATTTTTTTTTAAAGTTCAATTTCCCATTTAAATAAAATAATATTCAAATTTGTCAATTCGTACAAAAAAAAACAATAACAAAAAATGTATAATATTTATGGGCGGATTTTTTAGAGTAAAATTTTAAATTTGATTTTTTTGAAAGAGATTTTTTTTCATTTAAAAATGATTGCAAGAGCAGAGCAAATATATTTAAAATTCTAAAATTAGAGACAGAACCATTGAAAAGGCGTATTGAGAGAATTTCCTTTTTTTATTTCCTCATTGTTTTTTTTGTTTGAGTTTTTCCCCTCATTGTTCCCTCACGGGTCGAGGAAAAAAAAGTCGGGTTGATCGAAAAACGTCGGTTTGGGTTTCTGATCGAACAAAAAAAGTCCGGGGTTTCGGGTATCGGATAACAACCAGCAACATCCCTAATTGAGAATCTCGATCAGAGCTGGGCGCAATTGAAAAAAATTTCAACAGCCAAAATCCGCAATTGCGTCCAGCCTTGATCGAGATTTGACATTGCGAAAAATATTTTGAAAAAATTAATCTCGATAACCGAGAGATTTCTTTTGAAAATCCTCTCTCGCTTCTCTCTCGGTTGTCCAGTCTCTAATTTTAAAATATACATTCAAACGTTGATCCAATATATAAAATCCTACGTTTTTTTTTGTTCAAACGTTTGAATCTAAAAACCAGAAAAAAACTAAACAACAAAAAATATCAGTTAAAAAAAGAAAAATTAAAATCAAAACATATAGGAGAGAGAAAAGTGTTTTTCTTAAATAAAATATATAATTTTTATGAGTGATTTTTAAAATATATATTAAGTTCTTTTTTTCTAAATTTAATTTAAAATATATTTTTTGACTAAAACATAAAAAAATCAGTTAGGTATTTTGAATCTCATGCTTTTTATTTTAAATATAAGTAGAATATTTTTTGGACTACTAGTAACGACTAGTGATCAGCCTGGGTCTGAACCAAGGCCTGGGTTTTTTCCTGTACCCAGTGTCCAGGCATTTTTTGAACTTCCATAGTTTTTCCTGAACTACAGGCTCAGGATCCGACTCAGGTCAATAAATCAAAACTGGAACCCAAGCTTTTCAAAACTCAATCACGATCACTAGTAGCGACCTATATTACAGTTAAAATTCCAAAAAAAAATTTTTTTCTTGAAAATTAACAAAAAAATTTCTTCATTACTTCTTCCAAAAAAATTCTCCTTTTCCTTTATAATTTACCAAAAAAATGAAAGAAATAAAATTACTCAAAAAAGACTTTTGACAACAAAAAGAAAATAATTAAAAGATTTAACAAAAAAAATTATTTAAAAAAAACTTTAAGTGAAGTCAGCAGGTGATGGAGATATTGAAGTTGAGGATATTGTTGAATGGGAATGACCAACAGAAGATGAAGCATGACAATCCATATCAGGAAGACCAGAATCACGTTGAATGCTATCGACAGTTGTTGTGGTTACCACTAGAAAAAGAGAGAAAAATAATAAAAGAAGAGAGAAGTTAAAACCGGAAAAGGTTCTCTATAAATAATTCCGGAAAAATATTAATTAATATTGTGTTTCCGGAAAATTAATCATAGTTATAGAATATAACCGGAAAATATAAATAATTCCGGAAAATGTTCATTATATTTTTTTATATATTTTTTTTATTTTTTATATATTTTTTATATTTTTTATATATTTTTTTATATATTTTTATAAATTTTTATATATTTTTTTTCATTATATTTTCATTATATTTTTCATTATAGTTTCCGGAAAATAATTGTAAATGCTTTAATCAATTCCGGAAAAACATTTTTATTCTTATTTTGTTTCTGGAAAATTAAGAATAATTATAGAATATAACCGGAAAAGTATGATAATAATTACGGAAACCATTCATTATAATTTAGTTTCCGGAAAATACTTCTAAATGCTTTTAATCAATTCCGGAAAAAAATATTTATAAAAATTTCAATTAATGTTTCCGGAAAACATTTTTTAATTAATATTTATTTCCGGAAAATTAAAAATCATACTTCCGGAAAAACATTTGTAAAAGTTTCAGATTTCCGGAAATTGTAAATGCTTTTAATTATCTTCCGGAAAATGAATTTTATATTTCCGGAAAAGTTGTATATACTCATAGATATTTATCCGGAAACGTTGCAGATTCAAGAAGATTGTAAATGTTTGAAAATAATTTTCCGGAAAAGTTGAATATGCTTTCAAATACTTCCGGAAAGATATTCGTTAGTATTTATGTTTCCGGAAAATTAAAAATAATTTATTAACAATTCCGGAAAAAATAATTGAATATTTAAGACAGGTTATAAATACTCCCATATATTTTCCGGAAAAGTTTGTTTCATATTAATTAAATTATAAATTCTTACTTGTCATCGCCCCAGCCGAAGAATTGTTACAACTTCCAACACTTATACTATGTAAATTCTGCTTCTGACTTGTAGGTGTCGATGTTGGTGTTGTTGTTATTCCTCCCCTTTGTTGCTGCCCCCCAATTTGAAAATCATGTTCAGCCAAACGAGCACCAATTCCTGACAAATGATTGTTTTGATGTTGTTGTCGTTCCATTTCCAAGTGAATACGCCAATGTTCCATTTCAGTTGATTCAGCAATTGATTCCCGAATATCAGTCACAAAACAATACCTTTAAAAATGAAAATTTTTGGCTATGGTTTAGTTTATGCGTCCAATGGACTTTTAAGCGGCGAATGGAAAGCTTATGCGTCCAATGAAGGTTTATGCGTCCAATGCAAATTTGAGTTCAATGAAAAGTTTATGCGTCAGTGATGGATTGTCCACTTATGGGGGTATTAATAATCTTCAATTACAGTATCGTGAATACCTATGGGTTAATCACAAAGTTAATTTTGTGAATCCTCCAGATCATTTGATACATACTTGGGGAATTAAGACAACACGGGGAACCCTCAAGTTAGGCCTTGAGAAATGAAATTTTGATTGGACTCCTAAACTTTTTATTGGACGCATAAAAGTTCATCAGACGCATAAACATGACCAGCTATTTATTTCACGTGAAACTCGAGTTGGAAAGCAGTCAGGCATCTAATGTCATGCAGGCATGCTATGCGCGCGATTTTATTTACATTCTTAAAGGAAACGCTTGTGTGGGGGTATAAGGTAAAATAGGGTATAAGGTTAAATAAAAAGGGCAAAATAGGTAGCCATTAATTGTTATTGCCACATTTTCAAATTTAGAGGCCCTTTAATTTGAGTGAAATCCTAAGACATTGCACGCGCAACATACATTGAGCGTGCAACTCTAATTTATTTTATTTTAAATTTTTTTTTATTATTTTTTTTATTTTAAAATTTTTTGCCAATTTAAATTTTTAAGAAAATGAATGTGCCACTTTTGGCAACTTTTCTTTTTTGCATTATCGCTTCATTCTGTGTGATCGAATGTATGGAAAATAATGCTTATACTGGAGGAGGACATTATGGACGACCAAGTCCTGTTCCGCGGAATCCTGCTGGAAGACTTGACAATATTCAAGGAGGTATTCAACCCAGAAATCCAGCTGGAAGGCTTGATGTTCAAGGTTATCGGCCAAACTATGGAAGGAACCGTGGTGATGAAATTACTCAGGAGGAGATGAATAGATTCCACCGCTTTCGTAACTTCAATGAAGGTCCACATGGGAATCAACGTAAGTTTAGCTTAAGACTGGTCCCAACCAGAGGTTGATCGGAAATAACAAAGGCGCAGGAATCGGAAGGTGTCGGAAATCGAAAATCAGCTAAAATTTCCGGGAATCGGATGTCTCTGGTCCCAGCCTGACGAGCTTTACTTATAATTTCCAAAGCAGAAAAGTATATAAAAAAGCCTAGAATCCTTAACACTATCACCCCACATGTGAGTGCAAATTATCCTTTGTGGCCAATTAAACTACTCAAAAAATAACTTCCAACTTCCAGAAAATATACAAAATAATGCCAACGAAGGAGCAGAAGTGATTGATTTACAATACCCAACAAGTGATAATGAAAGTGAAAGTACCTCAAGTGCTAGCGCATATTCTGGTATTTTTTTAAAGTTTTATGTTAAATAATATTCTTGGAAAAAATTCGTTGAAAAATTATTCCAATCAACATGTTGAAAAATTTTAGAAAATCGAACATAACGCCAGAAAGTCTAGATTTCGCAACAAACTCAGGTCCCAATCTTCCAAAATCTACTAAAAGACCGTCAATAAGATATTTTTTTGATATTCTTTAAGAATGTAATTAAATATTTGAGGGTATGGCAACTATAATGATGGCGTTTATAGAGGATCTGTTTATGGCCAAGGTTTTGGACACCATGGAGAAGGATCAAGCCATGACGTTTATGGAGGATCAGTTGATGGCCAAGGTTATGAACAACATGGTGAAGGATCGAGCCATGACCACAGCACTCGTCGTAATCGACCAAACAATCGAAGTGGTCAACGAAGCAACAATCGTAATGCTGATCAACGTCGTCAAACTCAACGTGAACATCGCCGTAATGTTGAGGGGGACCATCCACACGGATATCCCGATTATTCGCATGCTTATCGTGGAAATCCATGAGTCTACAGCAAAAGAAAACATTCGTAGATTTAGACGGCCCGCATTAGATTTGTATATATTTGATTAGATTTGTAAATATCCTTCCCAAGAAAAAAAAGTGAGGTTGTGCAAAGACAACACACATCACAAAAAGAAGAGAGACAAATTGTCTCTCAACATTCAATTTTTATGAATGATACACAATTTTTTAATCACTGAAACATTTTATTTTTTACTTGTTTTTAGTGATTGTAACTTTTGAGACTATATTAGTCTAAAAATTTATTGTAGCAGATAAAATTGTAGTTTGATTTATTTGATAGATTTATTTTGTATATTCATGTTTTTAAAGCTGCGATCCAGAATTTCGACAGCTGATGTCAATGAGTAAGGAGCAGAGGTGGGTCGGAACAGTCAGGGGTGTCGGAAATCGGAAGAGCCGGAAATCGGAACTGGCTCAAAAGTCGGAACTAGGAAATCGAAAAACAAAATTTTTTTTTTCGGAACTCGGAAAACAAAATTTTTTTTCGGAAATCGGAATTCGGAAATCGGAATTCCGACCCACCTCTGGTAAGGAGCGCAATTATATAAAAATCCTAATTTTTTTTCTGAATTGCTTTTAGGGTCTGAAACACATGACCAAAAGTTGGTCTTTCCCGTAGACTTAATATTTGGTGATTAAATATACTTAAAAAGGCCTTCGTTTTAATTGGTGGATCGGCGCGCCCCAAGGGTAGAACACCGGGCCCAACGCCGACTAATTCTTGCTAAAGAACTAGACTACATATAATAAAGAATTTTTCACTCAAAAAAATTTTTTGAAAAAATTCAAAAAAATTCAAAAAAAAAAATTCCAAAAAAATTTTTTTCCTTGAATTTTTCCCTTCCCCCAAAAAATATAGGCATATTTATTACCTGTCCTCATTATTTTTAGCATTAAACATCATTGATTGTCCATCAGGAAAGGTAAGTAAAAAAGCATGTTGATAAATCGAATTTTGAAATTCTTGAACTTGTAAACCAATTAATAAACTAAAATATCTAAGTTGATATTGGTCCATTCGATTGCTTGAAGAAATTGAGCGCTTCCTAAAATAAAAATAAGAGAGCCTCAAAATTAAAGAATAACAGACAAAATAAATTAAAAGTGTTCATAAGGGAGGTTGTCCGAGTGGTTAAGGAGACAGGCTTAAGATCTGTTGGCGTTTATCGCCGCGTGGGTTCGAACCCCACACCTCCCAAATAATTTTTTTAAATATTTTTAATGATAAAAAATTTTTAAGAATATTTCCAGACCCTAGGCCTAGCGAAAAAATTTTTTTTGAAAATTTTTTTGAAAATTTTCAAAAATTTTTAAAAACTTATTAACCTTCCACCAATCAATTTACAAACAAGCATAATGTCATTAAAAAGAATAATTTCACGCATATGAGCTGAAGAAGATTGCTTCTTATTTTGGTCTATTATTTGATGGACAATACAATGGGAAATGAGTCTACGATGAGGTTCAGTGAGTTTCTGAAATGAAAAAAAAATTTTGAAAATTGGTTATAAAAAATTAAATTTGAATTTTTAATAAGACAAAAACAAAAAATAAATTTAATAAATTTTCTATTCAAATTTTTAATCAAAAATTATTTTTAAAAAATTTCATCTCATAAAAATAAAGCATTCGAAAAAATACAATATTAAATTCCCTTTCCTTTCTATTAACTAGTAAATGAATGAAAAGCTCTTTTTAGAAAATACTCAACAAGAGGGAGGTTGTCCGAGTGGTTAAGGAGACAGACTTAAGATCTGTTGGCGTTCATCGCCGCGTGGGTTCGAACCCCACACCTCCCAAATATTTTTAAAAAATTTTTGAATTAAATAAAAAAAATTTATGAACCACCACCAAGGTTTCTCCACATGAAAAAATTTTTTAAAAATTATTTTAGTCAATTTTAAAATAAAATAAAAAATATAAAATTTACCTGTTTCTCCTTAGAAACAATACACTGGTCAATTTTCAATACTTGTGACACATGGTCCTGATCAGTACGAAATTCAAATTCTTTTACCCTTTCATAAATACCAGCAAGCATTTTTCTAAAAAAATAAAAAAAAAATTTATTTTTTAATTATTAGAAAATGTAAGGCAAAAATTAATTTAAGATCTAAATGAACTTTGACACAAAAATATAAATTTAAAAGATTTTTTAACCCTCAATGTTCTTGAACCAACAAAAAAAAAATAAAAAATACATAAACTACCCCAAAAATATACTTTATGGACCAGTCCCTTATTATTTCTTTCTTATTTTCCTTCTTCTTAACTCCTCTGACAACTATTTAATATAAATTAATCAATCAAAAAAAAGATTAAATCAAAGTGGATGTTCGTGTTTAACCTCCAAATTATTTTTTTAGTTGTCAAAAGGTTAAAAAAGAAAATAGGAAAAGCATAAACCGAAGCCCCATACCCTATAAAATTCATAAAAAATACAAACTTGTCCAAGTTTTTGCCTTCTTCCACTCTACACAAATTTTTAATAAATTCATCCAATTTCATCCTTCTAGAGTCTTTTAATGAAGGTGTGTGTAAATCAGTGTTTAACATAATTACAGCAAATGCCAAAATATACATACTATCAGAACCATTTTTTGAAGAAAGATGAGGGTTATAAGCTACATAAATGTGAGCAAATGTCTGAAAAAAAAATGTTTAAATTTAATGATTTTGATAAATATAAAGTAAAATAAAGTCGAAATTCGCTATAAGCTTATCCGAAATCCAATACGCTAAAAAAATATTTATGATACAAAACAAATTTTAAAAATCCTTCCCGATATTTTTCTTACCCCGTAACATCCCTGAACTATATACTCGATTTGGTTTGATTAGAAAATTCAATTTTTCAAAGATTCTTTCTTAACAGTTCTAACTTCAAGTTAAAATTCTTTTTTAGAAAGTTTTTGTTTGAAAAGGGGGAGCTACTCGTAAACATATATCAGCTGCACCCCAGGATGAGTTAAAAAGTGAAACCCCAAGGAGATATTTAATATCAGTTATGTTAGAAAATAAAAAATTTTACAAGAAACCTGAATAATATGGTCAATTTTTTGTGCTTCTCCAGGCAGTCTAAAATGTTTGAGCAATTGACGTAAAGCTATATCAATCTCAACATTATGCATTGGAAGGTCAGAAATAAAGTGTCTAAAATAAAATTTAAATAAAAAATTATAAATTCACGCTTACTCCAAAACTTTTTTATGAAAAGGTGAACGAAGAGTACCCAAATATTCTCCAATCATTTGTCGTGAAAGACCTCGTCTCTCTCTAAAAAGTCGAGCAATTACTGGAGGACTTTCTTCAACAAAACCCCAACGAATAAGTAATTGAATACCGCGATCAGGTTTTCTTAAAAAATAAAATACAAAAATTAAAAGATTAATAAAAATTTTCCGGAAAACACAAGAAACTTTACAAATTCAAAAATACCAAATAATAAAGTTTTCAGGAATAAATAATGGAATTCCGGAAAATTACGGAAAAGTTGAAAAGGTTCTGAATTTAAAATAAAATACAAAGTTTCCGGAAGACTTTTTAAGATATTTCCGGAAAAACACAAATATTGTCGGCTTGAAAAAATAAAACACAACTTTTCCGGAAAAATATTTATTAAACATTTCCGGAAGTTTTTATGTATCCTGTAATGTTTCCGTAAAAGTTTATTTTAATTATTCTTTCCGGAAAACACACTCCGGAAAATACACACACAAACACTCACTTAAAAAATAAAATACATGTTTCCGGAACATGAAAAATACTCTACGTTTCCGAAAACACGTATATATTTCCGGATTTTTAATAAATAAGGAAAATACATATTTCTATTTCCGGAAAAAACACAAAAATGTTTAACTAGCTGAGAAAGGATTTCCGGAAATATTTCTCCCCTTAACTTACTTGTTAAAAAAATTTAAAGCAATTCGATAAAGACGTCGCCTTTGCTGTTCAGACCATTCAGTATGTAATTGCATTTCCGTAACACCAACAGCAGCAGCAGTAGTAGAAGAAGAGGAATGTGCACCTCCACCGCCAATACTAGGAGGTTGCTGTTTAAGTAGTAAATGTTTAGGTAATTCTCTGAAAGGAAAGAAAAAAAAATCATAAATTAAATTTTAAAAAAATGAAAGGAGGAAAGATAAAAATAGAAAAAAAAGTCACAAAAAATCGTAAAATAATAAAAAAAAATTGGTAAATGTCCGGTTGGTGTCCTACATGTCCGCAAAGAGAATGCGCATTTTTCCTTCCCTTTCTTGCATTTTTTTCCTTTGAGTGGCGCTCGCTGCTTTTTCCTTTTCTGTTATAAAATTCCTTATGGCACTTGGAAGAAAAGGGGAAAAATATTAAAAATTAATAAAATTCATAATGAACAATGTGAAAATCTATGGAAAGAAAGTAAAGAGATGAAGCTACGCAAGAGAGATGAAGCTACACTTAATCCTATTATTAAAATATATAATGATTTCCTTGCATCTTATTGGTCTTTATAGTTACATCATAGATGCTGATGTAAAGTAACATATAAAATATAACTGATATAACCCTTAAATCATAAAGGACGGATTGGATAGAACCTCCCATAAACTCCTATCTCCTAGATATTTTAGGAATCTATTTGAGAATGTTATCCCAAATTTTTCATCTGTTCATTTATAAAATCAAATATTTATTTGTACTTTATTATTAATTTTTAATATTTTTCCCCTTTTCTTCCAAGTGCCAAAAGGCATATTATAACAGAGAAGGAAAAATCAGCGAGCGCCACTCAAAGTAAAAAATGCAAGAAAGAGAAGGAAAAATGCGCATTCCCTTTGCGGACATGTAGGACACCAACCGGACATTTACCAAAAAAATTTAAAGAAATAAAAAATATAAAAATGATGACAAAAAAAGTTTTTTTCCCCCTTTTAAAATTTTATTAAATTTAAAGTAAAATTCAATTGAGTATTTTATAGTAACAAAACACAATCGAATATACACACTAAAGGTTAAAAATTGGGAATATTAAATAAAAAAAATCTTTTTTAATTTTTAAAAGTCACCCAAAATTAATTTTAAAGCTTAAGTCGACTCTTCATCAAAATTCCGGAAATCTGTTATAGTGGTTAAATTTTAAAACAGTTACCAAAATTAATTTTTTAAATTAACTCAAATCTTTTCTTTATAGTTCCGAAATTTAAAAATAAAAAAATACAAGTTTCCGGAAAAGTTTTAAAAGTTAATTCTGTTATGTAAAAACACTAAAGTATTTTCCGTAAATTTAATAAATAATTTTAATGGGTATTTTTCGAAAAAAAAACACAAAAATTTAAACAAGTTTAAAGATTTCCGGAAATTCATTGCCAAGAGCGCGCATATCTAACATAAATTTATTGTAGTTAAAAAATAATTTAAAAAATAAAATTTTTAACAAAAAAAATTTAAAAAGAAAAGCCCTAAACACTTTAAAAATTTTTTAAAGCAATTCACAAGAAAAGGATTATTTTTCAAAAAAAAAAGAAACAAAAATTTGTAAAAAAAAGTGTAAATGTGAGACAATTTTTGGAGAGAGTTCAAAGCCTTTGGGGAAACAAAAGAGAAGAAAAGAAAGGAAAAAATATTTTTACGTAAAAATTGTTACTACTTAAAATGGAGATAAGAATATTAAGCATCATTCAAAAAAAAAAGATATGTAGTAGAAAAAAAGAGAAAAGAGGACCCAAACATTTCAAAGAGAAATTGTGTGTTTTAAAAAAGTGCTAAAGATGAGGAAAAAAATATGAAAAAATTGTAAAACGGAAATAAATGAAAATAATATGTATTAATTAGATAAATATTTACTAATTAAATAAAAATAATAAAAAAGCCCAAAACAAAAAAAAAATAATTAAAAATAGCCAAATACAAAATTATTCCTTATAATTGTTTCATAAATATTCAACAAAAATTTTTTTTAAATTATAAAGTAAAAATTTAAAGAAATAATTCAGAAAAAAATCCAAATGAAAAGATAGAGGATAAATATACCAAAGCAGGTCAGAATATGTAGATGGGTAAAAATTATAAAAATGCTTTTTTTAACTAGAAAAAATCCAAAAACTCGTCTTATTAAAATTATAACACCAAAATTCAAAAAAAAATCCCCAAAAATTTTTTTATTCAAAAATATATAAAATATCATCTTTATTTTAGTTTTATATGGATTTAACGTGGGCGAAGACGTGTTTTGTGTTTGTTGTATAAAAATTTGGGGAAAAAAAGGAAATTTGGAAGAAAAGAAATAAAAAATATATATGCTAACACAACAAACAAATTTAGTTATATGTTAGCAGTAGTTTTGGTATAATGGAAGGGGGAGGTAGTTGATAGTGGTGTTTCGTGGTTTTTGGATCGTAAAAATAAAAAAAAATAAAAATTTTCTAAATAAGAATACATGAAAAGAGAGAACGGAGGAAAGAAGACGTCATTTTTTATCTACCTAACAAATAAATTAAAAATATTTTATAAATTTTAACATGCCGCAAACAAAAATCAAATTATAGTACATGTATTAAAAATGTTAAAAAATAGCTAAAAATATGCAAGAATAAAAATAGTAAAGTAAATTTAAAAAATCAGAATTAAAAGAAACACAAGAATTAAAAAAAATTTCTTTTAAATTAAGAAACATTTTTTTAAGGAAACATATTTAAAGATTAATAGATAGAATAAATAAATATATATCTATTTTAAATTTTTTTTTATTAATCTCCTTTACTATTTAAAAAAAAATTTTTTTTTGAGTGTCAAAAAAATAGTAGAGAGTAAGTAAAATATATTTTTTTTTTGATTAATAAAGATTTAATTTCTTCTATTTTTATTTAAACATATAACAGTTGTTTAAATTAAAAAAAAAGAGATTAAGCATGATAATAAAAAATAAATAAAACGCCAGAGAAAATTTTAAAAAATTAAAAAAATTATATTAAAATTAGAGACCAAACTGGGAGAGTCGTAAAAAAATCGAGATATAAAAAATATTAATCTCGATAACCGAGAATTTTTTTCGTGATAACGTCTTAGTCCAGTCTCTAATTAAAATACCAACAAAGAAAATGAATGAAAATAATGACATCAAAAATATCCAAATATTAAAAAATAAAATAAGGAAAAAAATTTTTTTCTAACAAACAAAAAATATAGTTAAAAAAGAACAGACAAAAAAACCGCTACATAAAAAAAAGAAAATGAAAAAAAGAAAAAAAAGAATTTGCTTAACCCCCTTTCCACTTCTACTTAATATTCCAAAATGTTTGCGAAAAGAAATAAAAAAACATACAAAAAACGATTGCTAATAGAATATTGAAAAATAATAATAATAAAAATATAAAGCAAATAAAAAATCTTTATTTTTAGAGAAATTTTTTGTTTGTAATAAAAAAATTTTTTTAAAGTGGATAAAGTTGAAAAAATTGACAAAACTTGAAAATTTTTTGTTTTTTAAACACAAAATTTAATGATTCGTTTCAGACTAGAATTTAAAAAATAAATAGCCTAAATTTAAAGAAATAAAAAAATACATATAAATTAAAATATAATTTCAAAAACTATCAAAAAAAAAATAATAAAAAATAAGGTAATTAAAAAATTCTTTTAAAATAATATAAATATAAAAATCACCGAAAAAACTAATTAATTAAACAAAAAAATAAACGAAATAGAATAAATCAATTTTAATTGTTCTAGCTTGCGCAGATCTTTTTTAGAAATGCTAAAAAAAGAAAGAAAATTAATACATTAATAATAGAAAAAGAAAAAATAATTATTCGGATATACATATATTTCAACTAAAAAAGCGATAACTTCCCAATAGAAAATACCCCTTCGAGTAGTATTTAAAAACTCAGGGGCCGACTGAAATAATCAACAAAAAATAATCAAAAAAATTTTTTAATAAAACTTCCCAGCCTTGTTGTTGTTGAAAAAAGGTAAAAAAGAACAACATCCAACTAGCTTATCCAAATAAACAAAAAGCTTAAAAATCTCTAATCCAGTCTCTTTACCAAGTCTGTGCGACCCATAACTCATCGAACCATGCAAAAATAAAGTGAACGGGAAAGGATTTTTGAAAAAAAATAAATAACCCAGTAGGCGGTAATAAAAGTATTTAAATAAAAAAAAAGGAAAAAAAAATTAAAAATAAATAAAATATAAAACGAACAAGCCAAGAAAGGAGGGAAAATTTGGAGGAGAAAGAAAATTAGTGGAGGGTAAAAGTGGTATTGTGTTAATTTCCTTGCACTTTTCGCTTTTTTTATTAAAAATTTATTATTTACAAGGAAAAAATGTTAGTAAAATCTCGTCATAGTAAACATAACCTTAAAGGCAAGGATAGCAGTGGGTTACTCGAAATCCAATACCCGGTGTTTTTTAGACACGAAACCCGACCCGAGAAAATTTTTTAAAACCAGACCCAAAACCTTGGCTCTTAATTAGCAAAATCCCTAAAACCATGGCATAACCCTCGGCAATTACTGATAGAAAAATCTCTCGTTTTATAGCTAAAATCTCCCCCCACATTTTCTTTATTCTTCTTCTAATCCAAAAACACCATTAGATAAATTAATGTCCTCAAATTTAAATACACTTTAAAATATTTTTCTAAAATTTTGGCACTAGAATAAACATAAAAGTGTATTTAATATTTTCATTTTAAGGAAAGAAAAAATTTATTCTGAAATTAAAATAAAAGCTATATTGAATGACCATTAGCCATGCAAGGCACCTTTTTCAAAGAATAAAAATAAAAAAGAAAGTGCAAACAAAAAGGTCAAATTCCAAAAATAATAATAATAAAAATGAATAATGTAAAAGATTAAAGAAAAATTATTTTGCAAAATTTTGAAAAAATAATAAAATTTAAAAATAAAAATAATCGCAAGACTTAAAACAAAAAGGAAGCATTTTCAGAAAGTTTCAGAAACAGCTTCAAAATAGAAAAGAAACAAAAAAATCAGAATTAAAAAAAAACAAAAAGGAAAATAAAAATATAAAAAAAATTCTGATTTGTATAAATTAAAATCAGAAATGAATTAAAAATAGAAAAAACACATTGTTCCGGATGTTAAATCATACATATAAAAACAGAAAAACAAATTATCAGAAATTGAAAAAATAGGTATAAAATTCTGATTTTTATAAATTAACAAACTAAAATCAGAATTAAAAATCAGAAACTTAAAATAAAAGAAAACACTTTTTTCCGGAACATCTTCTGATGTAATATACTAGAAAAACACAAAAATACATTATCAGAAATAGGAAAAATACAAAAAATAATTCTGATTTAGTATATTCCTTTGTAGAGTAAAAGAAAAATACTCAAAAACAAAATTTAGCGCAACAGGTTTATTATTATTTTTATTTAGGCCAAAAAAAGAAGCAAATAAGTGACAAGAGAATGGTCATTATTTATTTGTGTTTCTTATTTTTTTTGTTATTTTCTGTTCATATTTAATAAAAGGAAATTAGAATGAAAACAAAAAATAAAAGCAGCTGCTTATAAATAATTTTTAATCAAAGCTTTTTTAAGCAGTATATTTATTTATTGATGGTCAGTAGTAGTCTACTACTCTATATATTCTCAACAAAGAAAAAAATAAAAATAATTAAATATAGAGGTAAAATAAATTAAGCAAGATAAAAATAATGATAAAAAGCAAAAAAAAATTTTAATTAGAAAAGATTGAAAAAAAAATTTAAAAAAATCAGCAAAAATTTTTAAAAAATTCAAAAAAAGAATTAGAAATTTTATTTTCATTTTTAGAAAAATAGGGTAGCACATTATCCATCCCCGTTTTTTCAATCCCAATTTGAATCTAATTGACAATTTTTATTTTTTCCCAAGCCTTGCTTTTTTTTCTAAAATAAGCTTCCGATCTTGAAATTACAAAGTTTATACAATTAAATCCACAAGACATAAATCAAGAAAAAAATTTAAAATTGAGATTCAAATAAGGGAAAATGTTTGAAAAATCCCTCAAAACCCAAAAATATACAAAAAAATATTTTTAAAAATTTCCACCCACCTTCCAACAGAACCACCACCACTTCCAGTTACTCCTCCTCCTTGTTGAAAATTATGTTGTTGTCTTCCATCATCTTCATAATTATTTTTATTACAAATATTTAATCTTGGCAGACTTCCCGTATTATTATTGTCAAGTAAATTATTAAATGTTGTTTGAGGGAAGCTGTTGTTGTTGTTTGGATTATTACCATCCGTTCTTGCTATACTACTTGAACGAGTTACAGGTAAAGTTGGATGGTGGTGATATTGAAATTTTTGTTCATAATTCTGAAAAAAAAGAAATTTTATAATCGAAAAATTTTTCTTTATTAATTTCAAAGTTAACTTTAAAAATTAAAAAAAAATTTCTAAAAATTTTTTTTTGCGGACAGATATTTGCGGCTTGATTGTGAACCTATTAGTAAATATTAGAAGCTAGAATGGTGTATAAAACCGTGAAAATAAAGATCAAGTATTTTTTGACATTTATATATTTCAGGCATTTTTTAAAAATAGTCCGCAAATATTAATCCGCAAGTCCGAGTTCACAAATTTCAGAGAAAAATCCCTGAAAAATTTGGAAAAATTAGAGGAAACCCAGCAGAACGAATCATTGACTAAAAAAGAATTTTAATTTTAAAAATTGTTTAAAAAACAGGCTCATGAGAACGAAAGTCAATGCTTTGATCATCAATTTAAATCACAAGCGTTTTTAAATAAAGTCTAATCATTGCCTTTTTTAATGTAAAAAACCAAGGACCCTACCAACTTAACCACAGATTACACAGAGCAAACCGGTTTACCAACTAAATTAACCCAAGGGAAATTTTGGGGGAAAATAAGGGAAAAAATCGAAAAATTCGCAATATCCCTCAATAGTCGAAATATTCCACCCAAAAAACTTCAAAATAACCTCTCAAAAATTTTAACAAAAAATTTTTTCCCTCACATATTTTTGGTCATTTGAATGTTGCATCATCGCATTTGATAAAATTTGTCTTTGTTGTAAATGTCGTCGATGCATGGGCATAGAATTGGGACAGGCAAAAGCAAATTGACGCGGCACCCAAATACTTTGTCTTGACTGGGCTGGAATTGCTACAAAAAATTTTTTAAATTAAAAATTTGGACAGGAGGTGAAAATTGAGGGGAGACTTGTTTTTTAAGTAATCATTTGAAATCACTGCGTAATATTGTAAGGAAGAAAGACCCATTTAACACTTACTAGGATTTGTGTAAAGTTGGCCGTTCCCGGGAAATTTTCAGATATCCAATCTCTGAACGGACTTTCTCCTATTTCGAACCGTCAAATTTACTTTCGGAGAGAAAAGTTGCCGGTCAGGATTTCGAAATAGAAAAAAGTCCGTTCAAAGATAAAATACCCAAGAACCACAACCCCTAGACGAGTCTTTAAATCTATTAAAGGAGAGGGCAGAAGCAGCTCCCGGATAGCTCAGATCAGCGGGTAGAGCACCTTCACCGCGAGTGAACGAAAACTTTTAGCAAAAAGTGCTAGGCGGCTGCAGGATCAATGCCTGGCCCCCTTCTCCCAGAGCTAACCTTGAATTCTCTAAATCCACCCCAATAATGACCAACTTTTTGGTAACCCACACCAGACCGTAAAACATCAACAAAAAAGGGTTGGGGAATAACTACCCTATTCCAAAGTTTATAAAATGTAAAAACCTTTATTATTTTCTCCAGAATTGCACAAATGCAATGGCGGTGGAGGTTGTCTACGACGCAACGGAGAAGCTGTATTATTCGATGGTGATTGAGCAATACATTTAGTTGAACCAAAATTAAAGGCATTTTGTCGAGGTGAAGAATGTCCGCTTTGAATATGCATAACATGATGCTGAAAAAAATATATTTTTTAGTTGATTCGTTTTTGGTAACTTTTTCCCTAAATCCTAAACCCCTCTAAAGTGCAGACTTTCCCAAATATTGCTACAAATATGTGCTCCATTATTTTTCAATCTGACGGAGTAGGGGATGTTCTTATAGTTTAATATAAAATTGCAACTAATAGGTGCTGGATGGTGTAATGAAAATAGAAAAATAAGGGAAAAAAAGGAATTGGGAAAAGTCCACAAAAAGCACCAAAAAAAGGGTATTCCTCAAACATAAATTATGTTTGATTGATTAATCAAACTAAAGCGAAAACTAAGGGTCGAAAACCAGCCCTAACAGTAAATCGAGGTAACTGGTTAATGACCGCTTGATAACAATAATAGGCACTCTGAAGATGAGTGTGTTGGTGATAGACTGACCATTATTTACATATAAAAAAAGGCACCAGCACCCTCATCTTTAGCAGTGCCCAATCCTAGCCCACTAACTAATCCCTCAGATTGCTTGGGTTGTTCCCTACAGTTAAGTAACACGTACCCCAGGTTTTCGGCTATGGCCCGTTTTCTCCCTCCGGGAATTCGTTTTGGGGATTTCGCTCACGTAACGAAAACTACTCATGACCCATATTTCAATAATAAAAGAAAATGAACCTCTCTTCCACTGATCAATCCAGAAGTTGGAGTACCCAGCATTCCTGGCGATTGAGAGCGCAAATAACTGTTAGGAATTGACTCGTTTGATCCATTATTTTGAGTTTCCTCTTCTTCGTCTAATATAAGAATTTGTGTAGGTCGCATCTTTTATTCTATATATATAAAAGGCTGAAATAATTTTTAATTAACGAGAAGAATGGAGAATATGAGCAAGTCAAACTTGGCGAGGTTGGAAAGTTGAGGGAATCTTGAGTTTGTCCGGTAAATGTTGTGATTACAAAAATTGACTCGTTTGATTCTGTGTGCGAGAAAGAGCGGTAAGGGCAGGCCCGTAGCCAGGGGGGGCTCAAAATCCAAAAAGAATTTTAAATTATCTCTCGGAAAAACACTCCAAGAAACATCCTAGGAAAGCCCCCAAATTCCCCCAACAACTTTCCAAATCCCTCGGCAGGCCGAAACTTGCGGACCCGACGAATTTCTCAAAACATAGCTCATTCGAAAGAGCTCGACGAGCTGAGTCGAATGACATCAAAATCATCGTGATTGTACAAGCTAGGATAAAGTTAAGATAGAAAAACAAAAAACCTAAACCTATGGTCCGCAAAAGTCGGTCCGCAAGTTTCGCACTACCAATCCCTCAACTAAGAATCGCCAGAAAAAAAATTATAAGGAAAAAATCCAAAAATAAGCAATTGCAAACAAAATAATTAAAAAAATTTAAAGGCTTTCAAAACCTTTAGAAAATCAACCAAAAAAAGATTTTTTTCAAATATTTTTATTTTTAATCAAAGCAACAAAAATAACCCTCCTTTTCAAAATTCAACAGAAACAACAAAAAATGTGTTGAACTTTATTTAACTTTAACATTCCCTCTATTCATTCTCCTCAGTACGAAGACGAGCGTTGCCGTTGGTCAGAGTAATTCGCAATTGTTTTGCCTGAAAATAAAATTTCAAAAAAATTTAAAAGCAAAAAATATACCCGTTCAACAATATCCTTTCGCTTTTTGGAGCTAACAGCATGCCCAATCTCACCACAATATTGCTTGTTTTGCATTAGGAGAACATCCAAATCCTTAAAAACATGTTTTTATTGGTGTTAAAAATTCCCTTCCCTTCAGGTTTTTTCTTTTCATACATCTGTAAAGGGGGATCGACTTTGGTCTAGACCAAAGTCAAGATACCCCCATCTAACAGGATACACCCCGATGCACCGCGAGCCCAATGTACCGCCGAGCTATAACTTTGTTTAAAATTGCCGAATCCGCGGCGCCCTGATATGGTTCGATGCGTCTCGACCAGCTGAATCGAGCCATACCAGGGCGCCACGGATTCGATACTTTTGAACAAAGTTATAGCTCGGCGGTACACTGGCCTGCTCCCCATCAACTATAAGGACAGAACCAGACGTTTTCACATCCTATGGATTTCAAGTAGAGTTGGGCCCCGACCCCGAGAAACAATTGGAAAACCCCGTACCCGGGACATACCCGCCCTCGAGCGTTCGAAGCCCAACCCTAATTCCAAGCTCTGTTTACTTAACTGAACCGAGCCAAGACATTAATAAGGACCCCTTCCCTATACTTTACCTAAAGCATATATAAAGGAATCATGTACAGTCCTAATCTTATTTTAAAAACGTTTAAAAGATGCCTTTGAAAAATAAACAAGTGCCCCTCTCTAAAAAGATACCCAGTTTTTGTAATGCATGGGAAACTCAACCCGGTCAGCTTTAAAGAATAAAATCTATTAGATTTTCAGAGAACTCTCCCACCCTTAAAAATAAAATCAAAAAATAAAGAAAACCTTAACGTTGTGAACCAAAACTTTTCGAAAACCGCTAGGCAACATATGACGTGTCACTCGAGCATTTCGATAACCAATCTTTGGCATCTTCCGTTGGCCTTTGAAACGACGTCTCACACGGTTATCAATACCCTTAGGTTTGCGCCAATTTGGTTTGACACGAATGTAGCGGTCAGATTCATGTCGAGTGAAACGGCGAGTTCGCTTCTTGACAATCTTCACTTTTTTGCCGTTGACGGAGACCATTTTTTAGTTAAATAGACTAAATTCTTCTCTAAAAATGAGTCAAACTTATAAGGAAAACAGTTAAAAACACAATCCCGCAAGACAATGGGAAACATAAAACAGATAAATCGATAAAAGATTTTAATGGGATCAAATGTCATTTTTCTATAAATATTAAACAGAATGCCAATAATAAAATTTTTGTGGATGGAAGAAATTTAAACAAATTTACCAACAAATTAGAGGTCGGCAAAATCGTGTTTGCGAGATCCCGTGGGATAAAATTTAAAAAATTTTTGCGGGACGGGATCCCGCGGGATAAATCCCGCAAATAGAAAAAAGTGCGGGATTTCGGGAGCGGTATCCCGCAAAATTCCGCGCGGGATCCCGTCCCGCGCCGACCTCTACAACAAATACAAACGAACACTAAGCAACAATGAACAAAAAAACCAAAATTCAAGATATCTTATATTGTAGTCGGTGAGACGCTTTTGTAAAATCTTCAATTTTGGCAGGGGTTTTGTCTGTATCTCGGTCCAAAGTTAATAACGGGGGCTGATTTTGGTGTCATTCGATTCAGCTCGAAGAGTTACCTAAGACTGACTGACCATTTTTTAATACTTTTAGAACGGAAATGCTTTTCTTAAAATGACTCTTCTCCAATGCCTCTTCTCCAATGCCTCTTCTCTAATGCCTCTCTAATGCCACTTCAATGTCTCTCTTAAATGCATTTCTCTAATGCCTCTCTTACAAATTTTATTTTTAGCAGATTCATTGACTTCATCGATTTAAACCCATGATAGACAAATCCACGTCTTACTACCTTTTTGTATCTTAGGGGATCCAACGACCAAGATGCCGTTTGGGCGCCGCTAGTCTAAATTGCAAGAATATTTAAATAATTTATTTAATATATTCATTTTCTCAGGAGTTTCTAGATATCGTTCTTCCGTTAAAAATTGTAGAATAAAACCCGGTATTGAGCACCCTAAAGCTCTTCCTATGAAGTCCAATTGCACTCCCCTCCCAATATTCCTCTTTATTTTGGGAGGAAGGTCCTGAAGCCTGGTAGGTCTGAAGCCTGGACCGAAACTGGATCTCCAAATCCCGCTGCCATATCCTGACTCTATTAAACTCTTATCCTTCCTTCCACAATTGTAGCTACCAAGGAACAGTTTATGATTACTAGAGACCGGCATAAGGGGATCTTGCTAGTATAAGGGGGTCTTGGTAGGCCCTGAAATCGAACTACCCGTACAGATCGATATGTCCTACCGAAATCTCCACATGCAATCAGGATTCTGAAGATTCCCAGATGCGCCAACTTCAGTGTGCATGTCTCGGAAGGTCGAGGGAGTATGAGACCCTCCCCTCTTCCGGCAAATAAAATTTTGAAACTCTAAATGTTCGGCTTGTAAATTTCCGAACTATTTCATGATTTCACGCCCATGCCCGCGGCCAAACGTCATTTCAACATTTTACCTCTTCATAGTAAAGGGTAAGACGATGGCCCTCCCTACCTTTAATAAGGAGGCGTCCCTCTTACCTCCATCCTGCCTTTAATAAATATGAAGAGGAAAGAGAGAGAGAGACTCACTTTATTTTATAAATTTTTAAAAATCAAATACAGAAAAAAATTAAAAAAATTTTTTTAAAGAGGCAAGAATGCGTCTTTGGACATTTTTTCTCTTACTAATTATTTTATTGGCTATGGCCATTGGAATACTTGGAGGGAGAGGTCGAAAGTTAACGAAGAAAGATAAAGGGGAAAAAGGGCATGTTCAATTTTCTGCCGGGAATTCCTCTAAGGATGCTCTCGAGAAATTTGCTGAATCAACTTCAAAGGGTTTCAAAGATATTCGTGAAAAAGGAAGGAATATTTCAAAAAGAGTTAAAGAAACTGTCAAATTTTTCAAAAATAGGAAAGGTCAAAATAAATTTTAAATAATATAGGGTGATCGTCAAGCTTAAAAACTTTTATGGAAATTAATTTAATTAAGGTTGTTTCCCGACATGGTGGGGGAGGGCCACGGGAACAATTCTCGGAGAGGCAGCGCCACGGGAGGGGGGGGGGGTGGGGACGGGGAGGGGAGGGGAAAATTTTTTTATTTTTTACGGGGGAGGGACGGGAAATTTTCAAAAAATCTCTCAAATCCACCGACTTTCGGGACGGGGAACAACCCTAATGGAAATTCATATTTTTTTCTGAATCCCTATGACTATGAAATGTACGAAAAATATTTGCGGAAAATAGAATGCGAGCTGGACTTTTACTTGACAACCCTAATCCCGCCTTCAAAATTTTAGAGACTAACTGTATCTTCCTGCTTCCTTACAATATTTATTTCTTAATTTAAGAACATGTAGCCGACTATAAAGAAGCATTGAATAAACTAAAAACGCTTTCAAATTTGGATTATTACAAAGAGTTGGAAAATAAAAATAATCAGATAAAAAAAATTGTCGAAGAGCTAAAATCAGATTATTTAGCGGATTATGAAAATTTAAAGGAAATTATTGACATTGATCAATTAAACTTTAAAATATATGATTCCATAAAACGTCGATTTATGAGTAAAAGATTCAAATTTAAACCTGAAATACTTGATCAAATTAAAGGGGAAATTGAAGAGTACTCTGAACGTGAGAAAAAAATACTTGACAAGGTTGCTATAATTATTCAAAATTTTTGGGAAAATCCGACCCGGGACGGGAAAAATATTTAGAACGAGTCCAACCAATCTGGTTGTCGCGGACCCGAAGGGTCGAGCGACATTTTTTCCGTTATCCACCTTCGTTGCCGCCATAATTTACGTTGTCGGCCTTCGGGTCGGCAACACTGGTCATATCCCTGTAGGACAACTCCCTAGAGGTCAACCGACCCAGGAGATCAGCTCCAAAGGTGGCTCATTTAAACCAGAATTCGACTTGGTCGAATTCCGAATTCGACCAAGTCGAATTCGGATCCAACTATACTTAAAATCTTCTTTGCTAATACTTAAAGTAACTAATTTTATTCTAATTTAGATTATCAATCAACGGTAAGTAAAATTAACAAATTATAATATTTCATTTGAGGCCAATGTACCGCGACCCCAACGTACCGCCGAACTATAAATTCGTTCAAATTTGTCTAATCCGGGACGACCTGGTATTGTTATATTCAACTCTTCGAGTTGCATAGAATTATACCAGTGCGTCCCGGATTCGTTAATTTTTAACATGTTATACTTTGACCCACAAGTTACCTTGGGATGCGTGTACATACCCGATCCGAGTGTATTACATTTATTTAAGTTTTGATGTTCATCAAAGTCTTTCAATATTTGCATCAGAAGAATTTCAAAATTTTATGAAAGAAAAAAGGGAAATGTTGAAAGCGATACGCGAAAATTATTATAACACATATTACAAAATAGTATTAAAAGCAAAAAAATTAGCTGGAAAAGATTTGAAAATGCCTGAATTTGAAGAGAAAGGTAAAAAATATTTTTAAACATTCAAATCGTGGGAATGTAGCCAGTTTAGTACTGCCGGTTGAGTACCAGCCGAATTTGATCGTATATAACTTTTTTGTGCTTTATCCAATCCGAATGATCTTATGTCATTCGAAAGCCCTCGATAAGCAACATCTTTTTTTCAACTGGATGGATCAGATCTGATTGTCGATTAAAAAGTTACAAGTCGATAAGTGACCAAAATCGTTGTTTTTCCCCTATTTATAGGGCATTTTCCCTATTTTTGACCGATTTCGCCCTATTTTCTCCCTATTTTATATACAAATATAAGTTCAAAATCGTACCTGTGTTTTAATAAAATTTTAGTTAAAAAATCTGGCAAAGACGAACGGAAAAAAAGTAGCGGAATTATTAAGGCTGTAAAATCTTTAATCTTGCCCGTGAAAGATATAAAATCTAAATTGAATCTTGAAAAACTAAGTGAACTAAATTGGTACGAGATTGCTGATAACTATAAATACGTTGACAAGTTTTTTCAGGTTATTTTTGTTTCAATTAAATTAGCCGTAAAGTAGGGATGTGCCGAAACAGATTTCTTAAAAAGAGACACGCGAAAGTCCAAGAACACGAAAATCCGCTAAAGACGACACGCAAAACTGCGACACCCCTAGCGTAAAGGGGGTGGGATCATTGAATTTGGGCCATAATTCTTAGGGTTTCAATCAATCCGAATAAATCTTTTACCTTTTGAAAACCCGGAATGTAAGGATTATTTCCGCCAATGGGCATCATTTGACATCAATTCCTTATCTCTGTCTGTCGATGAGTTTAGGCTATTCCCCGAGCAGAATACTAGTGAAGCTCGGGTATCCCAATCCCGACTCCCGAGGTCATTTCCCACCCGACTCCCGTTTCCCGGGTTTTTCCTTCTCCCGAGCATCGCTACCCGATACCTACCATCCCCGGTTCTCCGAACAGATCTCTCGGTTCGGAGGGGGGGGGGACTAATTGTAAAATTGTAATTTAGCTGTTAAAATAATTAAATAAATTGTTTAATTTAAGAATGTCGATGAATTTGTTGGATCTACTAAATTAACAGATTTTCTTGAAAATAATAGTAGATATTTATATGAGATGAAAAAGCAACAAACAAGTGTGAAAGGGAAAGAGATAGCAAGTAGTAGCTCCAGTCAAAGTATATTATTCTCTATTTATGGGTAGGGAGGGGGTACACACTAAGAGGTATCGTCAAGTTTCAAAATCGTTCAAAATTATCGGATCCGGGATACCCTGGTATGTTTCACATCAGCTCGTCAACGGGAAGAAGCAGATCAGATCGTCTATTTTTTAATCATCTTCCAGCCACTCTATTATAAGGCTGGCGGATCCGGATCCGAAAAAAGGCCGGATATACGGAAATTTTCGGTTCGGATACCGGATCTGGATATCCGAAGGTTTCCAACTATTCGCCAACCTTACTTTATTAGAGGGGGCTATTCTAATAGAGGAAATACGGTATATTTTTTTCGATTTTTCTATTAATACCAAAATTTTGCCTCGTACCTTGTACCAAAGCATGAGTTGGTTTATACGAAAACTTGTATCAAAAAGTCGCCGTTTTTCGGTGGCGGTTTCTTCTATGGGACAATTTTTCTAATAGTTTCGGTATCAGAGTAGGTAAAGCCTATAACCATGAATAACTAACAAGAGGCCCATGCCCAAAGCCATGCAATAACTAACAAAAGGCCCTTAATATTTATTAAAATTAATTTTAAACCACTTTTAAGCTCTAGAAGCAGGAAAAATGAATTTTGCTTTACTTCAAATTACAGAAAAACCAGCAATTATTTATTTAATTTATTTACACGAAAAGCATAAAAATATAGAAAAATACGGGGAGTATTTTGAAAAATATGAGGAGGACAAAAAGATTCAAGTTAAGATTAAAATTGCAATGGAAATGTTAAAAAAGAATAAATATTTTGACAATACTCAAATTTCTAATTTCATTCGGGTTATTTTTAAAATTTGGAATTTTCAAAAAATATATACCTAAGTTGAAGGATATTTTTTTAACTTAAACTGGTACTTTATTAATTGGTATCATAATGGCGCAAATCCATAACTTGCTTCAAGATTTCCGAATCTTTCAAAATTGGTACCAAAATTTATAAGGACCAGAAATTTTCCAGCATGTTATGGCTTTACGCCGTTATCCACGAAAATCTACAAAACACGAAACGAAAAATTTTCGTCCATTTCTACTCGGAATGGTCAAATTACCTTCTTTATAAATTTTAATTTTTACCCTTATATTTAAATACAGTTCTACCTTCTATGTAGGCCATATATTATGAATATAAAATTTATTTTGCAAGGGGATGACCCTTTTACCTTATTTAGCCTCTTTTCTGACTTTCTTGCCCCTTTTTGATCTTTCATGAAAAAGGAAGAAATTTGGTTTCTTACCAGTCTGGCCGTCATAAAAATTTTTTATTTTGAATCGAAACGGCATCTAAAATATCATTTCTGTCCAAAAAATGAGCAAAAGTCCAAAAATTTTCCTTTAGTGTTGATAATTTAAAAATCGAAAAATTAAAAAAAATTTTTTAGATAAACTACTGTATAGATCGTGTAAAGCAGAAAGGAGATGATACGACAGATACTAAATTCTTCAATGAAATTCTAGGGATAAATTTTTATTTTAATTGGGAGAAGTTCCGTTTGAGTGGTGAAACAGAAACTCCGGCCGGTGCCGAACTGTCGATTGACCCAACTCCGCTACAAAGCCTAAAAAGAAGTGAAAATCAAAGTGAAATGGAAGAGTCAGAAATTGAGGGTGGGCATAATGAAGGAAATGATGATGATAGTGGTGATGAAGGCGGTGATGAGAAAGAATCTGATGAAGAATCTGATGAGGATGATCAAGATGGACACCATAACACTCCACCATGGCGTCATCCATATTCGAGCTTCCCGCGACCAGAAGGGGGTGAGACCGTTCTTACAGAGCTGTTACTCATTTTCTCGGATTCATGACTTAATCTCATAAAGATGAGTCGGGAGACTTTAATTTCGGGTCATCCAAAATTCTCTTTATCTCTCTTTATCTGTAGACTAAGGTTTGCGGATCTGGATATCCGGATTCAAAAAAGGATGGATATCCGAAATTTCCGGTTCGGATATCGGATCCGGATATTCAAAGATTTTCAAGTATCCGCCAGCCTTACTGTAGATTGTAAAAATATTAATTTAAGGTTATCAATACCACCCAGGACAACTAGACTTCTATCCTCCAGGCCAGTCTGGGTACTACGCACCAGGACAATCAGGCAGTTCAAGTTCTCCACAATATTAAAATGCAAAAGTTTGCAATTATCGGATGACTAAGTAAAAAACACGATTGTAAAGGAGTTTTTTTGCGATTTTTGGGGTAGTTTTTAGATGTTAAATGGCATTATAATTTTTGTTTATATTAAACACTAAAGTCAATTTTTATTTTTAAAAAGACTTTCTTTGATTTCGTCTCTTATATCGAGGATTAATTGGGCCCCCACTTTTTTCTTATCGGTTTATCCGTTAACAGAGGTGAGTCGGAACAGTCGGAGGTGTCGGAAATAGGAAGAGCCGGAAATCGGAACTGGCTCAAAAGTCGGAATTGGGAAATCAAAAATTTTTTTCGGAAATCGAAAGGAAAAAACGTCGAAAATCGGAATTCCGACCCACCTCTGCCCGTTAACACTTTATGTTTTGGGTAATTTTTATTTTATACTCCAGTATTTAGATTTTAGACATATTTTAAATTTGTTATGTTAGGTTATCTTTAAATTATTTTTTTCAATTTGGTCTTCAAATATCGTATTTATTCTAATAAAACCACCTCTCTATTATATAGAGACCAGAACGGAACCCGGTCTCATTTCCATGTCCTTTCCCAGCGAGATTTCCGAAGCAGGTTCTGGATTCTGGATCCCCCTGATTTCTGTCAAGTTCCCTTTCATGGATTCCCGGTCCTGTTTTTTCAAAATACAAGTCCCTAATTTTCATTTTAACCATATTCTTTAACAAAACCTCACAAAATGGAGGTGGGTTCTGTTGGAGTAAATGCGGTACTTTATTTTTTAAAATTATTTACAATTACGATTATGATATAATCATTAGATAAAAGTAGCATTTTTTTTTAAAAAATTTTTTTGTTATATTATTTTTTTAAATTTGGTGGGTTCTGTTAGAGTTCCATTCAACCAATGAAAGTTTGGTAGTCCATTCAAAGTCTATAAGTCCAATGAAGGTTTATGGGGTACTATCGCATATCCTGCATCATTTTATTTAATTTTCATCTCTCCAAATCTCCAAAAAAGTACACATAGGTCAAAGTGAGTTTATGCCCAGAATCACCAGTTTCGCAATTTAAACTAGGGTTGTACCCCGAACGCTCGGGGGCGGGTGTGTCGGGGTACGGGGTTTTCCAATTTTTTCGGGGCGGGGTTCGGGTCGGGGGAGCAAATTACGGTCGGGGTTCGGGTCGGGGTACGGGGATTTAAGGAAAAAATTTTTCAAAAATAAAATGTTCCAAAAATAATTTGTTCTCGTCAAATTTTCGTTAATTTATTCAAAAAAATAAAAATTCAAAAGATAAATTCAAAAATTAAAAAAATATTCAACAAATAATTACTTTTTATTGCCCAAAAAATTATTCATCCTCAGAATCAATTTCTTCCACGTCTTCCTCTTCATTATCAGTCAATGGGGCTAATTGGACCTTGTTTAAATTGCCTTTAATAATCAATATTTTCTGAACCATTTTCCCAGACAATCTAAATAGAATTATTTACACAAACAAAATAAAAATGAGCATATTTACCTATTGCGAAGATTGTTTGAATAAATAATACCAGCCTTAGAAAATAAACGTTCACTGCTTACAGATGTTGAGGGAATACAGTGGAGCATTTGAGCTAATCTTGTTAAAGTATTGAATTTGCATCCATTTAGGCGCCACCATAAAAAGATATCCCCGTTAATATCAATTCTTTTCTCTGCCTTGTACTGCGCCAATTCTACTTCAATTTTGGAAGTGAGATCGCTTTCAGTCTCCCCAGATATAGCCAACGGGACTGAAGGTGATTTAGGACCAGGTGACCAAATGTCATCTATTAATAATATTAACTATAGCCTATAAAATATATCAATAATTACATGTAATACTTTCACTTCCCCTTGATTCATCATCTTCAAATTCATTGTCTTGAAGTTCTGAAATAGCTAAGTCTGCCACTACTTCACGATTTGGTTCATTATCAAAAATAAATGCTATAATTTTATAAAAAATTTCCTTAAATATTTACAAACTTTTTGCAAGTGCAATTAATTGTTGCTCAACAATCTTCCAATTTTCTTGAGTAAACAAATTAGAGTCATAAGCGAATCGGGGGTCCAGGAGCATAGAAACACGCAATATTCGGTTAGAACATAATGTATGCACTCTATCAGTCATAGATCTAACTATAGCCTCTGCAATAGGTAGAATATTTTGCGGAAATTGATGTAAGTGCACAAAGTCTCTGAGTCGTTTTGTTGTAGAAATAACAGTCGATGCCGTTGATTTCTCTCTCGAAAACTTAAAAGAGTTAAATTAATCCGGTAGTAATTGATTAATATTTAACCTTCTCTGTCTCTCTATTAAAAATTTCAAGTAGTGGACATAAATTTTTCAAAAAATCAAAGTCGCTTTGGTCAATACTAGGTAACTCTTCGGGTATTAAATCAGTTCTTGATCTTTTTACATTACCAAAACCTCTTCTTGCTGCTTCAATTGCTAAAAGTACAGTTTTCTGTTCTTTAAACGCTTTGAACATTTTGTAAATGGAATTCCACCTTGTCGGTACCGACTAATTATTTACAATAATAGTTAGAATAAATTAAATCAGAGACATACCAATATTAACTGTTTGCTTGTTAAATTTTGTTCTGATTGCATGGATGCCAAAAGTTCGCGTCCCTTCCTTGTACGACAAAAAATAACCCAAGCTCGAACTTTAGCAGTTAGATCTTTTAATTCAGTCATTGAAACTACATCTCCCATAACCAAGTGTATAAAATGGGCAATACATTGAAAACTAGAATGTGAGGAAAAATTAAGGACTTATAAATTCAAACCTGTTTATTCCAAGAAGAGATGACGACCTTTTCATGTTACTAGCGTCGTCCCTTATCAAGCAAATTAATTTATTCATTTGTAGGCCATTAGACTTAAGTGATTCTTCTATATATTTAGCTATATCAATACCAGAGTGACTTTCTATTGGAATTGCATCAAGAACAAAATCACCACGTTCAAAATTTGCATTCACATGGTGTATCGTTATACTTAATAAAATTATCCTAATTAATTTTAATCATAAGAAAACCTCAAAAGCGCAGGGGACTTAGTAATCTGACTCCATCCATCTGAAGTGATAGCATAATAATCATCACCTACATGTTGGGTAATTTTCTTTCTTATATTTAATGCCATTTTTGGTATAACATTTTTACGGAAATGTTGACGACCACGAAGCTTAATTTTATTATATATAATAGTCTTTATTATAGAAAATAAACCTCAAGTCTTGGATAAGCTAATTTAAAGAGCTTCTTCAATTCAGGGCTTTCAATAAAAAGGAAAGAGCAATTCTGCCTAATCATTAAATTTGCTATTTGTATATCAGCATCATCCTGTGAATCGGATTCAATAAATTTACAGATTGATGACTGGTTCTTCTATAAAATAACGTTTATTTATAAATAAAATAGGAAAAATACCAAAGCAACATCTTCCTGATTCATAAATTGACAATATTCCTTTTCATGCATAGACTTGAAATGGTCCCATAAACCCTTTGTTGACCCCTTATTGCAAGCCAAGGTTTTATCGCATATTAAACATTTTGCAGAATTTTCTGAAGTGCTTTTTTCAAAAAATTTCCATATATCTGACGTCTTTGGCATTAGAATTTTTGTTGAAAATTTTTATTTTTAATAAGTTTATCTAAATATTTGTTTTACATATTTTTACGTTAAGAATATTTAGAAACATTAAAAATAGAAAGACTTATTTGAGTATGGGCAGAACGCCAACATCGAAATAAATAATTTTTGTAATTTAGGTGGAAATTTTTTAAATTTTCTTCATTAATTTCTACCAAAAATGGCATTTTTTGGGTATATAAAACCCCGAAAACCCCGAAACTTTTTCGGTCGGGGAACGGGGTTTTCACTTTTTTTCGGGGCGGGGTTCGGGTCGGGGAGAATCGTGAAAAAATCGTTCGGGAACGGGGTCGGGGTTCGGGGTACGGGGTCGGGGTACAACTCTAATTTAAACCTATGCCAACGTTGTTGTGTGCGTAACTCCGACTTAGTGTTTAATGGTGTAGAGAGCTCTACTCAACATAGTTACCGGACCATAGTCTCTAAATACAGATCCAGGTTCATGCTGCCATAGGACGCTATAATCCTTTAATAGTATTTATGTTTCTGTGATTTAGAGAGCCCATTTTTTCTCGAGGTCTATTATAGGACCATAAACTTTTATGTTATTAATTTTCTTAAATTTGGGGTTTGTCTTAAAATAATTTGGGAATAGGGTAATATAAGAGCTCAAAAATCAAAGTTGTTTAATAGACATTGCCCTCATTTTTGGCATCAAATTTATCACTTTTTGTATCAATTTGTACTATTTTTTAATTTCACCTTTGCATTAAACCAGCTTCTTGTCTTTGCCGGAAATCGTAGTTTATGTAAGCCCTCAAAGAAAGCGGCAAAATCGCGTGTGATTTTTTCTTCCCATTATATTTTTCGTTGTAGAGTGATTGAGTGCTTGAGATTTGCTCTAGCTTAAGCTCTGAGCTCTTGCTTGAGTCTTTGCTTGAGCCCTTGCTTGAGCTCTTAAACAAAAGAGAAAAGCAGCTTTTTAAATGCCTGCATAAACCTACGATTTCCAATACAAAATGATACAAAAAATTGCAAAAATAAATGTAAAATGGCCATAAATAAAGGTTAAAATAAATTACACTCGTCTATTTTTAATAAATCCCTCCCCTTTGCAAACAATTTGTTGGTTTATAAAGGAAGGGAAATTCGGCATAATCTCATTATTTTCCCACATTTTTATTTTCCTCATGAAATTACATCTCTCACAATAATAGCCTGTTTTAATAGGATCGACCCCTAATAGGGGGTTTAGGGGGTTTAATATTGGGTTTTAAGTCCCTGAACACTTTGAAGAAAACATGGTTTTCTAGGCTTTAGAGTAACCCAGCTTCGCTACACTTTGAAATAATAAAAATGTGCAGATCCTTCGAAGCACTCTTTATTATACGGTCGACTCTCGATATAAGAAACTGGTCTAGAGGTTCGTTAAATCGAGCTTACTTAAATATATCAACGTTCGACTGTAAAATGAATGGGCCATAAACCTTTTAGGTAACAGGAATGTCGGCTAAAAGGGATTTCGGGTAAAAGGATGTCGGGTAAAAGGGATGTCGGGGATCAGAGTTAAGATTATCTTTCTACGTTTAAATTTCTTTAGAAAAAAATTTCTTAAAAAATGCATCTCTGGACAATTTTCTCTTTAATTATTTTATTGGTTATGGCCAATTTAATCATTGGAGGAAAAAGGGATGATAAAATAGCAAGGGATTACCAATTTTCTACCGGACATTCATCTAAAGGCTCTTTTGAGCGAAAGGTGGATAAAGCAATTGAAGGAACTAAAAACCTTGCTAAAATTTTTCAAAGGGGGCAAAGATAAAGGCGGTTAGCACGCTAAAAGGATTTGGAAAGGCTGTAAAACAAGTAGTGATTAAAAGAGGAGGTTGGAATTATTTAAGAATCATCCCTAGAGGTCTTTAGAAGGTCCTTAGAAAAGGGCAAAACTGGATCTAAACAAATTAAAAAACGTAACTTAAATTATGAGCCGTGTCTAGTAATGTTAGAATGATTCACCCAGCAGCATTTAAAACGCTTAGGCGGGGTTAAACGATCTAAAAAGGAAAAAGAGAAAGCATTAGTCGATACCCCGGTAGCTCAGAGGTAGAGCTCCTGCATATGATGAGCGAAAGCGCCTAGCAACAACTAGCAGGTGGTCGCAGGTTAATCCTGCCCGGTGGCTAAACTTTTGCAAACTCTTTCTGTAATGAGTGTAGCAATGGCATAACTCGGCCTTAGGGGTGACATTATACAGAGATTTGACTTTATTTTAAGATTATAAGAAGAAATATAACGAGAATCTCGAAGAGTTGGAAAGTATCTCCTCAGATGTTTATTTTAACAAACTGAATGAAATGAGAGCCCAAACAGAGCGAATAATCGAAGGATTTGAAGGATATTCAACGCATTTTAAAAATATAAAAAGGGCAATTCGTAAATTGAAATCAAATAAAGAGGCTAAAGTTGAAATATACAAAAGCATAGAAAAACTGTTTTTGAATGAAAAATTGAAGGTTGATGAAACTGAGGATTTTAAATTAATCGTTGAAGCAATTTCGGAGTATCATAACGCCGAAGAAATTTCATATCGACAGGTCAACCTATTAATTCTATTTACTGGGCTAAGTAATGGTTGTTATGTGAATAGATAGATGGGAGTGCTGTTTCGACTTTTGATTTCAGCTTTGTATACGCTCAGCCTTATGCTCGATCAGGCGGTATACCGAAACCATTAACCTTACTTAGCGCTAGCACCTCTAGGATTTAAACATCTTCCACCTTCAATTCCGAATTCTTAAATAGGCAGGGCCCCTATTTAACCTTACATTAGTGTTTTGTCTTTTGCCTTTCATTCTTCTCCATTCCAGGCACACACCTGTTAAGGAGACTAAAAATAGTAAAATAGTGTTTACGTAGGCCAGACTTCGAATTCCGTCATAATATAAGGCTGAAAGGCTTATAAGCCGAAAGAAAATAAGGAGAAGCAGCTTAGTTGATGTTCATTCCAACTTTATAATCAATCACGGCTTAGTGTTCGGTCAGCTAAGAACCTGGCCAAGTGGTTAACCAATATCATTCACCCCGCTCGCTCGCGTTACCTTCAAAGTGAAAGAAGCATGCGACCCATCCACAATTTTTCCACAGCATGAATATCGTATACAATAATACCCCTATTTTGTTACTAAAAGAGTTTTGGATGATATACCGTTAGTAGTTCCCATTTGGATACTTTTACGAGTGTTGGGGGGGGGGGGGTAATTATTTTTTCAACCTCTCGATAGAGACGGGTTGCTTAATCGGGGAGGGGAATGATTTAAAGGGGCGGATGGGGCAATTGACGGAACGGGCCAGTTGAGCGTGGCCGGTTGAGCGTCAGCCAACTTTAATCGGCTATAACTTTTTTCCGTTTGATTAAATACTAATGAATCATATATCATTCGAAAGCCCTCGTTAAGCGCTATATTTGTTTCAATTGGATGGATCATGATTGATCGCTATTTAAAAAGTTACAAGTCAATAAGTGTGAAAAACAACGATTTTCTGCACTTATCGACTTATAACCTTTTAACCGGGATCAGACTTGATCCATCCAGTTGGGATAAAGATTGGACTCATCGAGGGCTTTCGAATGATATATGATTCATTCGTATTGGATCAAGCAGCAAAAAGTTATAGCCGTTCAAAGGTCGGCTCACGCTCAACCGGCCACGCTCAACTGACCCCAACCGGGCAATTGAGAACAACTGAGTCAAAGGGCAAGAATGCAGGGGATACTACAAAAAACTTGTATTAAAAAAATTAAAGGAATGGAATATTAATTTCTTGTGAAACTGTTAATCCACAAAGATTACCTCAAATGCAAGAAGATAGATTAAGCATGAGAAACATTCGAGAAGAATATAGAAAATATTATACAAGTGTATATTACGCAAGTAAAATTACTGGAAGTGGAATACAAAAACATATTTTTCTTCGTGGAATGGACTATCTAGACGAAGCTGGTAAGACATTGTAAAGCATATATGAGTACTAAGGCTGTTACTACTTACTTCCTAAGGCTGTGCAGTAGGCGGCGTGGTGTAATGGGTAAACACATCAGTCCGTTCTACTGAAGATGCTGGTTCGCTCCCAGTCGCCTAAAATCCTTTTGCACTAGCTGAAGGAGAGATGTAGCTATAGCCCAGCTGATTTACTAAAGTACCTCCCCGGCATATATAACTATTGTATACGATATTCATGCTGTGGAAAAATTGTTTGGATGGGAGATGGATTTGAACCATCATAGAATGAGCCCAGACCGAAGCACAACCGATTGTGTCACCATCCAACCCGATGATGGGTTATTTATTTTCATTTATGTTCTTTCTGCAAGTGCGGACACAACAATAACACGTACTCCCGTGTCAATTTGGTTCCGAGAATCATTTTAGGTTTTTACTGGATTGCAGCTAATAAAATTTTTTTAAATTGCGGACGGCCCTGGTTTAACCCGTTTTGACACCCTCATAATTAGAGTTGTTCTCCGTCCCCGAAAGTAATATATTTAACTCTAGATGACCATACAAGTTCAAGAGAAAGAAAACTTAGTGATACAGCGAGAAAGTTTATTCAAACTGTGAAGGGTGTACCCTCGAAAACAACTGTAGAACTAGAAAATATTAAAAGAAATATAGAGCCGATATGGAAGGATATAGCTGCAAAGCATAATAAAATTATTAAATTTTATAAGGTTATTTTATTAAATTATATATCCGCCCAGGAAATACCAGGAGTAAAAATGGGAATGATCCTCCTATCTTTCTATCCCCTTGACTCTCTTCTAGATCTTCTTGTGTTCCCCCTAATCCTTCCAGATACCTGATTAAACTTGAAAAGAAATAAAAATAAGAAACCGTTGATAAAATGGTTTAGGCCTTCAGGGTTGACCTAGGAACTTGGTTCGGAGATCTCTCCAATTTAAGCCACATATTTTGTAGGGATAAGGGAGTGCCGTCCCAACCCCTTCCTTTCCCTTACAAAGGGTTAGTCATGCCCTCTGACTTCCCGTTTGAAGTTTCACCATCTTCTTGCACTAGAACCTCGTTACTGAAATACTCCAAAACTAAAATACAAGATTCCGGTCCGTGTGGCCCCAGAAATTTGGCGGTTCTTTCGTTATGGTTATTTGGTATTACTGGCTACCCACCCAATAATACCCAATTACTGGCTTCCAAAGACTTTAAGCCAACAATTTAAAGATTAAATAAATAATTTTAGAGGGCCATAGCCACAACAGACAAGTCATGTAGAAAAATTAAAGAATTTGCTTCGGAGATTAACGAATATAGAGCAAATAAAGAAAGTGAAGCTGGTTTAGTTGGTCCAATTACGAGTAATTTTTTAAATAAATATTTTAAAAATAGCCCTAACCGAGCTAGCCCTAGCCTAGTTAAAATTCCCATTAATAGAAGATGGAGGTTAATTTGCGGGGTGGGGGCTAACTCAGCGAATACCAAGTCAAGGAACAGACAAGTCAAGGAAAAAACAGGTCAGGGAACGACCAACCCATGGAATATTTTAAAAATCGACGTCTGTTCCTTGAGTTAGCCCGACACGATTCTGCGATGATCTTTAGGATTTGGCTTGTCGGCTTGTTTGGGATAACGAAGCATGATCACTTTAATTCTGTTTCGAGATTGCTGGAATAGTCTTTTCCAGTTTCCCTTATTCACATTTAAATTCCTCCACTTTCCCTCTCCAATTCCAAAATTAAATAGGTTAAGGAAAAGGTACCTGGAGATCAATCTTAATAGAAAACGGTGTTGATCTTTACGAGGACCTCGGTTCTCTCCCAGAGGAGAGTGTGTGGGGGTGTTCGCGGGACTTTTAAATTTTTAATCAAATCTTTGAGTGAGAGGAAAAGAATTTTTAAAAATTTAATTTCAGCACCAGAAGTTGAAAAATTGAACAAAGCATTTAATCAAATTAAATTTAAACCAATGGTTATTTATTTAATTTATTTGTATGAGCAAAAAAGGAATGAGGTAGAGTCGGAAAAATATAAATGGAAAATTGACGAGCTGAGAGAATTGGCAAAAAATATTCAGAATATAGAGCTGGAATTCTATGAACAACAAAATTTGGGAGATTTGCAGGGATATATCAACGGATTTTGGGTTATTTTAATAATTTTATTATGTATTTTGCTGAACTCGAAATTTCGACTTTTTTTTCGAAATTTCGACTTTAGGTTCCGAAATTTCGACTTTAGGTTCCGAAATTTCGACTTTTTTTCGAAATTTCGACTTCTTTTCGAGTGGTACTTTGTCCATATCCAGCCCCAATCCTTATTTAAGTCTCAAAAATATGGTTGCCAGCTCGCGAACCGAAACTCGAAAGATCGAGCGAGCCTAGGCTTTTCAGTTCGAAAGAATAAATGGAAAATTAATCTAGGGCTCAAATAGGAGGAGGAGGTCAAAGGCAACAGCAAAAATAATTTTGGTTACATGTTGAGAGTCAAAGCTTGTATAGTGCCCACAAATAATTTCCCGCATCTACAAACTAAAATAAACAATTTTTTAGTCTATTAGCTTAGTCGAAGAAAAAAATGCACATTACTTTTATAATGAACTACTCAAAATAAACTTTCATTTCAATTGGCCTTCATTCACATTTAAACAAAGTGTTCACGATCCTTCGTATAAACCTACTCCGTTAGGAAGCGGAGTTCAAAGTGTTGCAGGATCGGGACGTTCAGGCTTAGCTAGTGGGCAAAGATCTGGGCAAGATAGTGGACATATCAAATTTGAAGATGAGGAAGAGGAGGAGGAAGGTGCTAAAGAGGATGAAGAGGAAGAAGATAGTGATGACGAAGAGGATGATCAGCCAGGACCTTCCACAACTGCAGTCCAACATGGTCAAGAGCATGGAGACGAGATAATCGAAGAAGGACAGCAGCCGGGCTGGCAAGTTGGATATCCTCCGCAATGGGCAGGTAACTCAATATATAACAGAATTAGGAGGGAACTAATCTAACCATCTAACCGATTTTCTCAAATTTGTCCTCCGTGGCAAATTTGTCCTCCTGACATAAATATTTGATGTCAAAAACGTTAAATTTTAGATTATTCATATCCTCTAGGCCAATATTTTTCTGGACAACCAAGCCAATACGATGCTTCTCAAAGTCATGCTCCGCAGTGGACAGGTTATATAATGAAAAATTAAATTCTATGTTTATTCAAATCCTCCAGGACAATATGATGATCATGGGCGACCAATCTATGCATATCCAGGAGAATCAAGTCACCATCATACGGGGCAGTCAAGCCATGATCCATGAGTCCTACACATTAAAACAAGACGAACAAATTTGCATAAATTTGAATGAGAAAGTCAAAAACTGACTGTGACATGAAACGTCTTTTTTGGGATTATTTTTTCTAGTATTTACCAAGGGATTATCGATATTAGTGTGGACCTCTTAAATTTAAAGACCTTTATAAGACCTTTACCTCTTTAAATCGGCTCTATATTTTGGTCATCTTAAACTCCTGCTTTATACGAATACAGTCAACTCGATTTACCAAACTCGAAGGGATGTTTAAGTAGAGTGAAAGTCAGGGGCTTGAGAATTTTATTTTGAGACTATCGTTAATTCGAAAGTGTTGATATAACGAGATTGACTGTATGTATTTTTACTAGTACCGCGTTTTTATCATAGAATGGCCGGGCATTCCATTTTACATTAACTATTAGAAGGGCTTACTATTGGGTGGGGCTTACTATTAGAAGGGCTTACTATTGGGTGGGGCTTACTATTAGAGGGGATTACTATTGGGTGGGGCTTACTATTAGAGGGGATTACTATGAACTGGGGGGGGGTCTATTAGAGTGGGTTTGCTATTAAAGGAGGGATTCTATTAGAGGGGCCTTCAATTATAGGGGCGTTCTATTCGTAAAATATGGCAGTTTTAAAATTATTTTACTAAAATTTGTATCATATTAAAGTTTAATTTTCAAATTACCATTTTGTGGTTATATTATAGCTAGTGTTGCACGAGGTCGATGTTTTTGTAAAAACCGAGACCGAGGATCACCGAGGCCGGAAAAGCCGAAATTGAGGAGTCGAGGGTATTTTTGAGACTGAGATTGCAAAAGCGGCGAGGATCTCGGTCTCGACGAGGCCTCGACCTCGTGCAACTCTAATTATAACGGTCATTTCTATTCATTTATATCAACATTTCTTAGCTATTTTTAGATAAAATTTAAATTTTCTTATTAGAAAATTCTTTAAAGTTACAAATTTTTTAATTAAAAAGAGAATATCCCTTTTTGAAAGCGAGTCAAAACTTAACCCAGAGACAACGAAAAAAAATAATTAAATTGCAAAAAAGTTTCTTTTTGGGACCAAATGTCATTTTTTAATAAATATTAAACAGAATGCCAAAAATAAAATTTCCGTGGAAAGAGGAATATTTAAATAATTGATTACAGGGTTGGGGTCTACCATCTGCTAAAATTCTATATTCTTTTCAAAACTTTCGAAATTCTCAACAAAATTTCAAAACACTTCTGGAGTTACCCTTTATATTTTTTTCCCAATTTCTTAACTTTGTATAGCATGCAAAAAGATGCAGTTAAAAATTTCTTTCGAAATTTTTCAATGCCTCTCTTAAAAAATTTTTTTAGCGGATTTATGTTATTGATTCTATCAATTTATTTAAAGGCATGATAGGGAATTCAACGTGGTCTTTCTTTTTTTATAGACGGAGGGCCCTATAAGACTACAAAAACGTTGTTTGGGCGTCAAAAAGTTTGGGCGCCCACTTGCTAATTTTTAAATTTTCTAAATAATTTTTATTTAAAATATTCATTCAAGAAGGCAAAGTATCGCAAAAACATTTTTATAGTTGTCAAAAGGGTTGGTGGATACTAGAGTTGTCCAAGACCTAGAATTTTCCGAAACTCAAGACCCCCGCCTCAAGACCAAAAATTAACAATGCTAAAAACAATCCTTAACTTGATTCAAACATCTCCATAACTTCTTTAGGGTGTACATATATTGTTGAGACCAAAACTTAACCCCAAGACCAAGAACAAACCCGAGAAAAGTCTTGAGTCATCTTTCAAGATTCAAGACCAAGAATCTTGGACGTCTCTAATGGGTAAATACACCATCTCAAAATTCCGCTGCCATACCCAGGCTCTATTTTGCTCTTATCTTCTTTCCCCAACTTTACCCAACCAAGGAGACATTTTGTGGTTACTATCCAAGACCTACTGGCCGGAGATTCTGAAATCAGTGGAGTAACTGCTCGTGCATTATAACATCCCGATATGTCCATACCGAAATGCCCGCATGCCATCTGGATTCTGAAGGTTTCTCAGATTCGCCAGCTTTAATGTGCAGTTTCTTAAGGCGAGGAATTTGAAACTTCCCCTGCATTGCCGTCGAATAAAATTTCGAAACTCTCAATGAATTTTCAAATTATTTCATAACTTCACGCCCATGCCCGCGGCCAAACGTCACACCACTACATCTTGCCTCTCAATAAAAGTGCCTCCTCCCACCTTTAATAAATATATACATAGGAGGGGAGAGGGGAGAAATTTATATTTAATTTTTAAATTTATTAACAAATTTTAAAAAAAATTGAAAAAATAGAGAAAAAATTTTTTTAATTAAAAAAAGAATTCAAAAAGAAAAATGCATCTTTGGACATTTTTTCTTTTATTAATTATTCTGTTGGCTATGGCCATTGAAATACTTGGAGGAGGAGGTCGAAAGATAACAAAGGAAGAGGAAAAAGGCCATGCTCAATTTTCTGCCGGGCATTCTTCTAAGGAAGGTTACGAGCAAAAATTTGATGAAGTGCTTGAATCAACTTCGAAGGGTTTCAAAAATATTGTTAAAAAAGGAAAGAACATTTCAAAAGGAGTTAAAGAAACTGTCAAACTGTTCACGAAGAAGAAAGGTCCAAATAAATTTAAATAATACACGGGATCGCTGACATAAAAAATCCTTATATATTAAACAGAATATTAGTTCCCCAAAAATTGAAAACCCATCCCTTTAAAAAGTTACAGGTATTTTGGGTTAAAGGTCTCTAGGATGTAGGTCTTCTGGGGATGGATGTAGGTCTTCTGGGATGGATTCGGGCAGAGCTTAATTTTGGAATCAAAAATTCCATATGTATAACAGAGCTCGTCGATCTGAGTCGGATGGCACTAAAATCAACTTGATTCAGTGATGTTGAATAAAATTATGTACCAAATACTACTGCCCGTATCAATTACTGCCCAAATAATTCACTGGCTAAATCACCAGGGTATCACGACTTTTGCGCCGAGAACATTTGCGCCGCCATTATTTAAAAAAAATAATAACTACAATAGGACCTTACCCCTTGGGTTTAAAAATGGTATCCAGGAACTGAGTAAGTTCAGGATCCTACAACCTTACAGCCAGTGAGGTCTGGCTGTAACTACAGCCCGTGAGGCCTGGCTGTAGTTATTCATATATTTTAAATGATAGTGACGGCACGAAAGTTGATCGGCGCAAAAGTCGCGGCACATAAGTCGCGGCGCAAAAGTCGCGGAGCCAATCACCAGACATGTTTTCACTTTTCTTTTAATAAAATGCAAAAACTGTATCTTTCTGCTTCCTTATAATATTTATTTTTTAATTTAAGAACATATAGCCGACTATAAAGAAGCATTGAAAGAACTAAAAACATTTTCGAACCCGGACTATTACAACGAGTTGGAAACTAAACAAAATCAAATAAAGGAAATTGTCGAAGAGATAAAAACATATTATAAAGAAGATTGTGAAAATTTAAAAGAAATTATTGACATTGATCGATTAAAATTTAAAATATATGATTCCATAAAACGTCATTTTATGAGTAAAAGATTTAAATTGAAACCTGAAACAATTGATAAAATTCAAAAGAATATTGAAAAGTACGCTGGACGCGAGAAAGGAATACTTGACAAGGTTGCTAAAATTATTTAAAGTTTTCGAAAAAAATCCAATCCGGGACGGAAAATGTTTTGATATTTATTTATTTATCAAAAATCCAACTAATACAATCTTAGTCGGTGCTAATATTTACGGACCCTAATTTCGAGGGGAGGTGGTACCTCAAAAGCAAATCAGGGAACGAGCCGTCTCGATTTCCCGAAATCGGGAACTTCATTTTTATGTCGGCTCGTTCCCTGAAGCAAACAAGACTTTTAATCATATTTTTATTTAGATAATCAATCGAAGGTAAGTAAAATTAACTAATTATGTATATTTCAACGGTAGATATAAAGAGAGTTTTCGTGAACTCAGCTCGACATTACATTTATTAATTTAAGTTTTGATGTTCATCAAAGTCTTTCGATATTCGCATCAGAAAGTTTTCAGAATTTTATGAAAGAAAAAAGGGAAGTTTTGAGAAAGACACGCGCAGATTATTATAACACATATTACAAAACAGTATTAAAAGCAAAAAAATTAGCTGGAAGAAGTTTGGAAATGCCTGAATTTGAAGAGAAAGGTGAAAAATATTTTCAAACATTTAAATCGTAGAAATTAATACCCTTTCGGTATCCACCCCATTTATTCGCAAGCTCAAAACTGTCAGAGCAAACTACGGTAGCACCCCGAGCCTTCGGGGTCGGAAGTGTCGGTGTTCAGGGTTTGCAGGGGAAGCCATGTCGGGGTTCGAGGTTTGGTGTCGGGGTTTCAGTAGAAATTCCTAAATTAAAATTTCAGCGCCGCAGGCGCTGAAATTTTTAAAATCTTTGTGAAGGCCAGAAGCCAGATTTCCTCACATTTCAGCACCCCAGGTACTGAAAATTTATTGGCCTTCCAAAACTCGAAATTTTCGCCTACTTTTGATATGTTGAAACTCTTAGAGCTGTCGACTCATTCCTTATTTCTGACCATACTTTTTTCTGAAAGGCAAATGGATTACTCATCCTCTCATGTCGATCATGGATTGTCTCGACATATTCTTGGCTTAATTTTTCAAAATAGGGAGTCCCGGGATTCTTCCCGGGCTCAATGACCATGGCAGGCCTAGTATGCGGGAAACCTGTTTCTTACACTATTCCTTCCATTATGCGGCATCTTGCCAAAATAAGTCGTGGACTTATGGCTCCGCGACGGAACATGGTTCCCCGACAATCCGGTCTTGCAAATAAATAGGGATTGACGAATAGATAAGGTAACAGAGGGGTGTGTCTTGCGAATAAATTGGGTGGTACCTAAAGGGCATAAGTTCAAAATTGAAGCTATCTTTTAATGGAACTTATATGGTTTGGGTACTCTTTTTTAGCCACGCCCTTTTTTCCTTTTCCATCATTATTCTTTTACTCTTTTTCCTTCTCAACCATCAATTAATTGAGTTGAGGTCAATTTTTGTTTAAAATAAAGAGAGAAATAGAGCTGACTCGGATGACTCATCGAGCTGGGCTGAGACGTATGGCACTAAACTCGGTCCGTGAGATCTCTGAGCTGAATTACAGGGGTCCAAAAATTTCTAAAAAGGGGTAAAACGGTCGGCATTTTGTAAAAAAATATGATTTTAAACATGCAAAAACTGGAAAACACAATAAAATACCGGACCTTTAGTTCCAAAACGTAGAACCGGGATACCTATTGCCATTTAAATAATTGAAATAGATAAAAATAAGAATATTGATTCAAATGTTAATTCAATTTTGGTGAAATTGGAAAGGAAAATTAATCTTTTCCTTGTTAATGTCTCTCACTGAAAATGCCACAGGAAAAGTTAAGTAAAATCGAGGAAGAAAGAAAGGCTGACCATTCTGTCCATATTAAGGTTGATTGATGAAGGAAAAGGAAAAAAGGGCGTGGCTAAAAAAGAGTACCCAAACCATATAAGTTCCCTTTTAATAAAATTTTAGTTAAAAAATCTGGCAAAGACGAACGGAAAAAAAGTAGCGGAATTATTAAAGCTGTAAAGTCTTTAATCTTGCCCGTGAAAGATATAAAATCTGAATTGCATAATGAAAAACTAGGCGAATTAACATGGGAAGAGATTGCTAGGGACTATAAATACGCTGAGAAGTTTTTTCAGGTCATTTTTGTTTTAATCAAATTAGCCATAAAGCAGGGGTGTGCCGAATCAGATTTCTTAAAAAGAGACACGCAAAAATCCGTGAAAGGCGACACGCGAAACTGGCACACCCCTAGCGTAATGGCATGGGATCATTGAGTTTGGCCATAACTCATCACGTTTTAATCAACTCGAATAAATCTTTCACCATTTGAAAGCCCTGGATGTGAGGATTATTTTTGCCAATAGGCATTTCAATTGACATTAATTCCTTATCTCTGTCTGTCAATGAGTTTAGGCTATTCCCCGAGTCCGACACTTAACATCCCCGTTCTCCGAATGATCTCTAGGTTCACACTATGCTTATATCATAATTATTAATAGCTATCGGCAGAGATGGTTCCGCCTTTTAAAATCCATCTCAACAGTTCCGTTAAGTCTAAACAAATTGTAAAATTGTTTTTCAGCCGTTAAAACAATTAAATAAATTTTGATTTAAGGATGTCGATGAATTTGTTGGATCTACTAAAATATCAGAATTTCTTGAAAATAATAGTAGATATTTAAATGATATGAAAGAGCAAGAAGGAAGTGTGAAAGGGAAAGAGATAGCAAGTAGTAGCTCATATCAGCCTAACTCCAATCAAAGTATATTAGTCGCTATCTATAGGCAGGGGAGGGGTACAACCCTAAGTATGGGGGGTACACCCCTAGGTATGGGGTGTACCTCTCCTACGGTACACCCCTAGAAGGGGTACACTCCCATCGGCAGTTTCTGCTTAAACGACAATTTTTCCTTCTAGTCTCGGTTCGCAGTCGGTAAAGCCTATAACCATGCAATAACTAACAGAGATTGCATGATGCCCGCTCTTATTATTTATTAAAATTAATTTTAAAACACTTTTAAGCTGTAGAAGTAGGAAAAATGAACGTTGCTTTACTTCAAATTGCAGAAAAACCGGCAATTATTTATTTAATTTATTTATACGAAAAACAGAAAAATATAGAAAACTATGGGGATTATTTTCAAAAATATGAGGAGGATGAAAAGATTCAAGTTAAGATAAAAATTGCAATGGAAATAATAAAAAAGGATGAATATTTTGATGAAAACAATTTTCTCGATCATGTTTATAGTTTTATTAAGGTTATTTTTGAATTTTGGAATTTTTAATAAAGGTACTTTTCCGTTATACGACCGCAAACTGAGTGCCAGCCGAACTTTGATCGGCTATAACTTTTTTTTTTGCATGATCCAATAAATATGAAGTTTATAACATTATAAAGCCCCTGACAAGCTGTATCTTGTTTTAATAGGATAGATTAGGCCAACCTCTCCTTAAAAAGTTATAACTAGACAAGTTATAACTGATAAATTATTAGGTTTTTTCAAATTTATCGTGTTATAGCTTTTTAAGGAGTGATCAAATCTGATCTATCAAGTTGGGAAAAAGATACGGCTTATCGGGGGCTTTCGAACAACCATTTGATGTTTCTTCTTCTAAAATATTATTTCTGCCCAAAAAATGAGCAAAAGCCAAAATTTTCCTTCAAGTGTTGACAATTTAAAAACTATCACATGCCAAAACTTTAAAAATTTTCAGATAAAATACTGTATAGATCGTGTAGAGCAGAAAGGAGACGATACGACAGATGCTAAATACCTCAATACAATTCTAGAAAAATTTTTTTATTTTAATTGGGAGAAGTTCCGCTTGAGGGGTGAAATAGAAACACCGGCCGGATATGGCGAATTGTCGACGGACCCAACTCCGCTGCAAAGCCTAAAAAGAAGTGAAATTCACAGTGAAAAGGGAGATTCAGAGAGTGGGGGTGGGCAAACTGATGAAGATGACGATGATAGTGGCGATGATGAGGGAGAAGATGAGGGATATGAGGAAGAATTTGATGATGATCAACAAGGTTCAGGACAGGAAGGAACGTCTGCAGGCCATACCCGTCTACCATGGCAACAAGGTTACATTTTATACAAGAGGGGAAGAGAACTCCTGCAGACCTGATGCTCATCCTCTAAGATTTATGAATTAATCTCATAAAGATCGAGATGGAAGACTTGGTAAAACTGGTTTATGTGGCGCATTTTTTCTCATTTTTCTTTTTTCTTCGATTTTTTAGGTTGTCAGTAGGCAATCGGATTGTTGAGTCCGATTATGTTTCAAATTCTATTTATTTCGAATCCCGGACCCGAATTCGAGCTCGAAGAGACGTGTAAATTGATTGATTTCGGTCGAAAATTCCGACACAGCAGAATCGATTAGCTACTGGCATCGCTTAAAAATATCGAGTCTACTTCCTTGTTCCTTCTAGGGAGGTGAAATAATGCATCACATAAGCTACACTTTTACTTACTTCTGATTTAGGCTCAGGTTTTTCAAAAAATCTCCTGGTCTCTTTTAGATATTCTATGATAAAAATATTAATTTAATTTAAGATTATCCATATCTACCACCAGGCTTCTATCATCCAGTCCCGCCTCCAGGCTACTTTCCTCCAGGCTCCTATCATCCAGTCCCGCCACCTGGTTACTATCATCAAGGCCCACCACCAGGCTACTATCATCAAGGGCCATAAGGTGACGATTAAAACTGTTAAAACGAGCAAGAGTTTGCAAGCATCGTACAAGCAAAACGAAATTTGGGGTAGTTTTTTGTAGAATTTTATTTTTTAAATTAGCATCATTTTTCTTTAAAGTTTTGAATTTTTATTTATCAAAAGCCAAGGCTGGGCAAAATAAAAAATTTTCAAAAACTAAAAGCTAGAAAGCTAAGAGATCGGTATTTAGTTCAAGCTGGTAATCGTCTACATATATTTCATAAAAATTTTTATATTTTGCCTAGTCTAGCCTAAATTTCTGAGCTATCGAATAGAATCACTGATATCTAAAAGAAACCATCTTTTCAGTGAAAGCTCGATATAAGAGACACTCCCTACCTATGTCTAGTCAGACACAGTTTATTTTTTAAAAGACTTTTTTTATTTGTCTCTTATATCGAGATTCGACTCTAAACGTTTTGGGTAATTTTTGCTTTTATTCCAAATTTTAAGCAGTTTTTAAATTTATTATTAGATTATTTTTAAAATTTATTTTACTAAAAATTGGGTACCAACATACTGTATTTATTCTATTAAATCCTCATCTCTATTAGAGACAAGAATGGGATCCGTTCCTGTTTCCTGGGCATTTTCCGGCTTTTTTGGAGATGCCGGAATGTAACCAGGAAATATCGCTTCCAAGTTCCGAGTCCACCCCGGATCAGGTCAGCTCTCTATTTGAACTAGGGATGCCACGAGTTGCCTGTTTTTTCGACTCGAAACCAGATAGGAAAATTTTTCAAAACCCGACCCAAACCCCGTCTTTTTTCTCAACCCGTAACATCCCTGATGAATCCAAGCTGTGTTCGGAACTTGGAAACGAGATTTTCTGGTTACATTCCGGCATTTCTAAAGAAGCCGGAAAATGCCCAGAAAACGAGAACGGATCTGATCCCTAATAAAAGAGTCCATTTTGACCCTTCACAAAAATATAGAAGGTCCATTAGAATAAATACAATCATATTATTTTTCTAAAGCTATTTTCAATTATAATTGTCATACAATTCGTAGATAAAAAATTAGTAGATTTTTATTTAAATATTTTTTTTGTTTGTTCACTTATTGTGGTACCTTCTTCAAACCAGTACTTGGAAATTTCAAATTTGCTTGTACTTCGAACCGCCCCATTCGCTGACCTCTTACTTCGGCCGGATCCGGTCCGGCATGAGCGCGGTTTCCGGGGCCGGATAAATAATTTTGCCGACACTAGTTTACATTTAAAAACCCCAAATTTGAAATTGTTAGTTGATCCGTTTATATTTAATTTTTTTAATTGAAGGCGCCCTCTATGAAATATTAAAAAAAGTTTTGATTTTTCTAAATTTTTGAATTTTACTTTTAAAAATTTATACCTTATATTTTAATCAATTTTTAAATTTGTTTAACTTTTAAAGTGTAGCGATAAAATTTTTTTTTAATTTTGGCAAATATTATTGATTCTATCAATTTATTTAAAGGCATGATAGGGAATTCGACGTGTCCTTTATACAGTAATAGAGCGCCCTATAAATCGACTAAAAATGAATGTTTGGGCGCCTAATGTTGTTTGGGCGCCCAGTTGTTTAAACATATATTTGGATAGGATGTTGTACGGAACTTGGTCACCGAAATTTTTGTCTCCAAGATTTTTCGGGACTTTGGTCACCAATTTTTTGGAATTTTGGGCAAGAGTACGTCGAGTACCGATTAATTGGGAAAAAACCGAGTACGAGTAATGCCGAGTATTAGTTCCTAGCTCGAGTAAAGGCGAAAAAACCCCGAGCGACCGAGTCGAGTTTACTCGAACTCGCTCGACTCGGACGTGCTCTATTTTGGACAACAAGTCAAAAAACGGAATATTGGGCACTAAAATTTTGGTTACCAATAGATTGATAAATTTCACTGGTGATCACTTTCCCGGGTAATCAATTTTCCAGGGGAATGATTAGGTGATCACTTTGGAGTGTGATTAGCCGGGAGAGTGATAATTTTATCATTTTGTGAATTAGTAAAGCAGAGCTGGGCTATAGCTATTTCCCTCCTTCAGCTAGTTCTTCAGCTCCAGTCCTTCAGCAAGTGTTGCCCTTTACCTTTTTTTAATTTACACTACAACATTTAAAAAGACGCCTCGCTCTTTTTAAAATTTTGGCAAGTATTATTGATTCTATCAATTTATTTAAAGGCATGATGGGTATACATAATTCTACGTGTCCTTATTTTTTATTAATGGAGGGGGTCCTATAAAACGATTAAAAATGAACATTTGGGCGCCTAAAAGTTTGGGCGCCGCATGTCTAAATTAATAAAATATTTAAAGAATTTGTACTTAAATATCGGTACTCATGAGGTGGTTACTGTCCAAGACCCGTCCAAGACTGTGTCCAAGACCCAATGGACTTAGGGCTTGTAATCAGTAAAGTAACTTTAAGTACTGCCTGTGCAATAAAACGTTCAAACATGTCCATAAAGAAATGTCTGCATGCCATCTGGATTTTGAAGGTTTCTCAGATTCGTCAGCTTTAATGTGCCGTCTCTAAAGGGCGAGGAATTTGAGACTTCCCCTACAATGCCGTTGAATAAAATATTGAAGTGGGCCCTCAGAGGATTCCCCTCAAGACTTCCTCTCACCCCTCAGAGACTTCTGGGCCCTCAAGACTTCTTCTCAGGCACTCAGAGACTTCTGGGCCCTTAGAGACTTATGGGCCCTCAGAGAATTCCTCTCAGGCCCTCAGAGACTTATGGGCCCTCAGAGAATTCCTCTCAGGCCTCAGAGACTTCTCGGCGCTCAAAGACTTCCTCTCAGGCCCTCAGAGACTTTCCCTCACACATCAGATGAAATTTTGAAATAACTCTACGCCCATGCCCGCGGCCAAACATCACCTATCACATTATACCCTCTCAAAATAAAAGTCCCTCCCTCCTTTATTAAATAAATAGTAAGGGATGGAGAGAGAATTGCACATTTCAATTTTTAAATTTTTTAAAATTAAATAAACTCAGTTTAGAGAAAAAAAATTTTTTTAAATAAAAAACGCATCGCATGCACATAATTAAAGTATATTTCCCGTATAATTTTTTCTAATTTAGACAAAAGTTTTTTAAAAATGCATCTTTGGACAATTTTCTCTTTAATTATTTTGTTGGCTATGGCCACTGAAATCTTTGGAGGTGGAGGAAGAAGGGATGATAAAATAGCAAGGGAAGTTCAATTTTCTACCGGGCATTCATCTAAAGACTCTTTAGAGCGAAGGGTGGAAAATACAGTTGAAGGCGCTATAGACATTGCTAAAAAACTTCCAAAGGCGGCAAAGGAAGGGATGCAAAACCTTGTAAAAGGAGCTAAAAAGGCTGTACAACAAGTAGTAACGGAAAGAGGAGGTTGGAATATATTTATTTTCGAGACATTTTTGTATGGTAAACAGAGGGATTTCAGGATTTTTGACAGCGACGTTTGTGGGGTCATTGCACAGGTACAGCAAGACCTTCCTTAGTAATCACCCCCCTTAGTAAACGGAAAAGCGGAAAAAGTAGTGGGAAATTTTTTTATTTGTGTAGGTCCTATAACAATTGCCCGCAGATTTTGCGGTCTTCGTTCTGTGCAAAGACCGCAGAACCACAGAACTGCTGTCTCAATTTTCCACACAGAAATTGCGGAAAAATGTGTCTACAGAATTTGCGGACAACTGAAATAAGGCCCTGGTAGTGAGCGAGGTCGTCGTTGCTTGGGGTCGAGTCGGCACTGACGCCACCATGGTCATCTAACCACGTCTTTATATAACGGGCCCTGATCGTCCTATAATTTTCAATTATATTTAAGATTATCAAAGGGACTATAAAAATAATCTCGAAGAGTTGAAGCACATAGCAAATCAAAATTATTTAAATTATTTGGGAGATATGCTTGGACAAACAAATGGAATTAATATCCGAGGATATTCACAGCATTTTAAAAACATAAGAGACAAAATTAAAAGGATTAAATCAAATCACGAAAAGAAAGGCGAAATTCTTTCGGTTATGATGGGCTTGTTTATGAAGGAAAAGATAAAGGTTGATGATAAATATTGTACTTTTATTGGTCAAGAAATTGAAAAGTATGTTCAAGAAGAAAATAAATTATATTTTGAGGTTATTAGTTTACATTAGAGGAAGGGGGGGGGTATATGGGGTAGTATGGTAACGGTAATCTGGGTGGTAATACGGGCTTGGTATCCGGGGTTTCTTTAAAGCTGACCCGGGCGAGACTTTCCAGCAGACCCTGAAACCCGGGAACTCGGGATACAAGGTTCAACCGGTTCAAAATATCCGGTTCCGAGCTACCGGACCTCTGGGCTCCTAGAAAAGTATAAAAAATGACGGAACTCCGCATATTTTGAAAATATGCGGATTTTAAAATTTAATTTACTATTAAATTTATCAATTTTAAGATTGCCAACCCAGAGTAAGTTAAATTAATTTTAATTTTCTTCTACAAGTTTGCATGGTATTACAATTGCGGAATTAAAAGATTTATAAAAGCTTTAGCGACACTCACCTTATGATAGTATAAAGCAGTGTTATTCAAATGCGTTTTTCCGTTACCGGTATTTTCAGTAAATACCGAAACCGAAAAATTCCGATTTTTATAGAAACGACCGTTACGATACGCGCTCACCCTGTTACGCTAACTAATTTGGTCTTCGCGCATACCTATTTTGTTTCCTTTTACTCTGAACAAATAATTAAAAATTCTTAATTAAAGCAACGGAACACTGAAAGCTTGTAATCTTGTAAAGCCTGAAAATGTCCCTCAAATGGAGCAAAATATAAGAAAATTTTTGGAAAACATACGGGATGAATATAAAGAGTATTTTAAAAGTGTGTCTTATGGAAGTAAACTTGTTTATAGAGAAGCAACAAAACATTTATTTCTATTTGATGATGATGATGTTATGAAAATTGGTAGTTAATGTCGTTGAAAATATGGAAATAAAAAATTGAATCTCCCCGGGGTTTGGAAATTAAGGCGCCGGAAACGGAATTGTCGGAACTCAGAAAGCTCAATAGTCGCAACTCGTAAATAGGAAATCATCGCAAACTTTCTGAACTGTGAACTAGGGTAGCACCCCAAGCCTTTCAGGACGGGATCGTCGGGAATCGGGGTTTGTCGAGGTAGAGCCTTCGTGGTTCAGGTCGGGGTTTTTGCCAAAAAATAGTCGGGTTTCGGAGGGTGGGGTGTTTCCTACTCTGAACTAACCCCTTTCTCAGATATCCGTAAAAGCTTCTAATGGGACAAGGGCTTCTTTTATTGGGATATTTATTCACTGTAGAGAAGGGAAAAGTCTATTGGTCATTCTCATTCCAAAGGACTTGGTCCAGGTTCCGGATTGTTTGTCAAATTTCAGTTCCAATGCAACAATCGATTAAAAATGGATACTTAAACTGTCTGAGCTAAACTTTTACTTTCCTCTTACCTTAAAACATTATACTTTTTTAGCTGACAATGCCTCTTCATCTGAAAGAAAACTTAGCAATAAAACTTTACAAAAGATTAAAAATGCTATAAAGGGTATACCCGCAAGGGAAATCAAAACACAATTGGATTATATTAATGAAAATATTGAACCAATGTGGGAACAAATAGCTGGCAAACATAACAAAATTATTAAACTTTACAGAGTACGTTATGCTAAAAGTTTTGGTTCCGTTAGCCTTCCCAAGGTTTCCATGTTCCAGGTTTTCTGTCCAAAATCCCAGTTCCGGTGCAACACACAATTAAATTGGCACTTAGACGGTACTGCAGTTCCTGTTTCCGAAAATTCCGAAATTTTGGCATTTGGACTCGTCTTGGCACTGGGCAGTTTTATCTCACTTTTCTTTAACATCCTTGACTACCTCTTCCAGAAATTTCAGAATTTTTCATCAAATATTTCTGAAGTTATAGTCGATATACCTCGAAAATTAGACCTTTTCGGAGACCTTTTTCCAGTTATTAAAGTATCATAAGAGTCTTTTTAACTAAAAAAATAATTTTAGCATGTCAAAAAAACGGAAAAGCCATCTAGAATAATTAAAAGTTTTTTTGATAGTGGACACCAGGTTGATCAATTTCGAATAACAAGTAATCTTTTGATAAATAATTCGAAAAAATTTAGTTTAAGTCAAATATTAGAGTTTCACCAGAACCTAATCCAATTTGAGTTACAGATTCCGGAACTGGAACTTCCGGTGAAACCTATCAAATCACGACGCAGCTTATAAAAACTACGGCTCCAGATGTGGAGCTCAGCAGACCTATTTACTCCAGATTACTTCATTTAAATTACCTGATATCCTTTCGTAGCCCCGTGATATCTCTTTAGATCTCTCTTGATTCCTTCCTCTTCACTACCAAGCATCTCTCAACGCTAAAGCTCAACTCCACGGCTAATACTTTAGAAAAATTTTTACACATTTTTGCGTCTTGCGTTCTCCTGCACCCGCCCCTGATTCACTTATTGTGCGGAATTTTGCCTAAGGTGTGTTACAAAATTATAGCCGTACTTCGGTCCACCCGGAAAATTCCACAAAAATTTTTGTGGACGTAACTATCAATAATACCAAGTAATACTAAATTTGAAAATAATTTATAGCGCCTAACATTGAAAAATTAAATTTGGCATTTTTTCAAATTAAATCAAAACCGGCGATTATTTATTCAATTTATTTGATCGAGAAAAAAGGAACAATAAAGATGTGGCACAACATCAATACAAAGTTGACAAAGTGAAAAAAAAGTTAAATATAAATGAACAAGAATTTTATGAACAAATGAATTTAGATCAATTAAAAGCACATATCCAAATTGCTTGGGTTAGTTATAAAAGTGGGATTTAGAGTTTGGATGCCCCAATATTAGACTTTTTAGCAGGGCGGTATGACAATTGCAGAAGAATCTATCCTCAGCCACTGGGCTGAGGATAGAATGCTTAAACGATATCCTAAATTTAATAAACGCCTCATTTCTCAATGTGATTTTTTCAGCTACAAGGGGAATTTAAAAATGAGTTTCGATATTAAGCTTTTTAGTGTGTCCACAAATAATTGTCCAAAAACTAAAAAAATAATTATATCATTTTTTAGTCTATACAAACAATAGAAGAGGATTACTTTTTCAATCCAATACTCAAAATCTGCTTTTATTTTAATTGGTCTACCTTCACGTTTTCAAAAAGTATTCACGATCCTTCATATAAACCAACCCCGTTAGAAAGCGGAATTCAAAGTGTTGCAGGATCGGGACGTTCAGGTCTAGCTAGTACTAGTGGGCAACGATCAGGGGATGATAGTGGGCATATTGAATTTGGAAGTGACGAGGAAGATGTTAGTGAGTATAACGAGGAAGATGCTGATGAATATAGTGATGAGGATGAAGAATATCAGCCAGAACAGTCTGAACCAACACCTCAGGAAGGTCAAGGGGATGAAATTCGAGAGATACAAGAAGGACATAATCCGGTCTGGCAGGGTGGTTATGCTCCAATGCCAGGTAGCAAATATTCAACAGAATTGGGAGGGACCAAGTCTCATACATTAACTCATTTTCTCAGATAAATCCTCTATAGACTTGCAGAGATTTCTAAACATTCTTAAGCAAATTCTCAGCTTTCACAGAAATATCTTGGTCTCTCCTGACTTTGATATTAAATGTCAAAAACGTTAAATTTTAAGGGCATGGGTATACTACAGGATATCAGTCTTATACTCAAGGACAATCCGGCCAAGATTTTCAATGGCATCCTCCACAATATTAAAACAAAATGCAGAAAGTTGCATAAATTGGATGAGAAAGACTGAAAAACTGTGAAAGAAGTTGTTTTTTGGGGTTATTTGAAGTAGTCTTTAGAGATTTTTATCTTTTTTAACGTGGTTTTATATTTTTGGGTATTTATTCTAGTTTAATTTATTTTTTATTTTGGCTACTCTTTCTTTATACTCCAATAAGGTCATTTCGATATATCCAACTTGAAGGGATTTTTAGAGAGAAACAAAGTTAACTAGGAATTTCTTTATTTTGAGAGGTTCGTTAAAACGAAAAGGAGCTATATCGAGATTGACTTTATGTATTTCTTGATGGATTTTAAAATTCTTTCTCTTATGGAATCCCTGACATTTTATCTTTTTATTCTCTTCCAAAGGGGGCTTTCTACTAAAGAAACGATATTTTTAAATTATTTTACTAAAATTGGGTACCATATTTAATTCAATTGCCCATGTTTAATCCTTCCATCTTTATGATTATGGCATTTTTAGTCATTTAGAGGGTGACTAGAAATGAACCGGACACTTTATTATTGGCATAACTTTATTCTAATTAAAGATAATGAGATAATTTAAAAACTAAATGATAGAGAATTAAATAAGGAATAAATATAACCAAGAATTCTCGAAGAGCCCAATTCTACAAGGATATAGAGTCGAAGGCGTGAAGTTCGCATGACTTGCGAACCTTAGCCAAATT